ATAACTGGCAGTACTGACATGTAGCCGTCTGAGACGGGCAGCCGGGTGTGACAATGTACCGATAGAGACAGGCCATCCGGTGTGGGCCGATGGCAATAATTGTACCGTGATAGACGAGTGGGCCGAGGGTGTGGTGTATCCGAGGCAAACGGATGGGCCGGGGGTATATAGTATAGATGGTAGTACAGCAGGCTATAGTGTCATTGTATTGCATTAAACCAGGCTAACTATCAGTGAGAAGTGATGCAGGAGCGATGCTAAGTGTAGGTTGCATTACCTTCTCACCCAAACCGGCAATGTAATGCATTAAGTGCATACTGACACCGCATGCTTCGTATTCCCTGTCCATTTGGCGATGACCTTCCCTGTCTCGGTGTCCCACAACCTCACTGTCCCATCATCACTTCTGCTCGCAACAGTCGTGCCGTTTGGAGACAATGCTATTGTCCACAACACTTCCTCACCTCGTCGTCTCTCCATTTCTGTCCTATCTGTACGCCACTCTTTAGGTCCCAAAGTCGGAGTGAGCCATCCTTCGAACCTGTGATGATGTGTCGTCCACCAGGCAGGTGTACAACATCTTTGACCCAGTCAGTATGGCGCATATTCTGGCGGGGCACGCCGCGTGCCAGTCACAGAATTTCAAAGCGCACCCGCCACGCCCGCATTGACACGAAGACAATAAACAAGCTGACATAGTAAATGCCGATGAGATCATATCGTGTGAGCAGCGACCATTCTGATGGGGAGGACAACTCCCGAGAGGGGCTTTGACAATAAGGTCATCCCAATTTGGCAACCGTAGTATTCATGCAAAAAAGTCCAACCCGGGTCCCCGTTGGGTGATGATAACCATCAGGAGGCCTGCGGGTCGTGCTATCTGCGTCCAGATCAGTTGAGTGCGTCCTTGTCCCAGCAACTCTATAGCGTGGCACGCATCTGTGATGAAGAGCACATGGTGCGGCATCAACCGTCAGGATGTACGAACTTGCTGCCGCGTACCCAGGAATGATGGTGGCGGCCCCGGGATAACCGGGACACAAGGAGACGTCCCTCGTATTGTGCCCAGAACATTTTGTAACAAGCGCTTGGGAGTACAATCAAGCACGCTTCAAGACATAGCGTTGAAATAGACCCGAGGCTGAATCAGTCCCGGAAGTCGACGGTCTCTCACGCTGGATATGATTGATAAGGCAGCAAAAGACGTGGAGAAAGAGATAAGAGCGAAAGAGAATTGAGAGCAAATATGAATATATGCTAGATGTGTATTAATGGCCATTGACATGCGGAGGAGATGCACAGCAGATAAAAAGTACGACACGAGCCCACAATGGGATGGGTCGTGGCTGCGTGACTACTGTGGTGGTGGTATCTAGAGCAGAAGGTGTCGCAGACGTCGAGGCGGCGGTAGCCTGAGATTGCGATGATGGTGTTTGTGATTGGCCTTGCGATTGGCTTTGCTGCTGCTGTGTTCGTTTAGCCTTGTCACGAGGCGGGGCAACAAACGATGTCTGAACAGAAATCGTTGAACTACGTTGATTGGAGATACACCGGAAGAAAGACATACCCGTTTGGCCTGTACTGTAGCAACTTCAACGATCTGAGGACCGCCAGGAGAAAAGAAAGATCGCCTTGGGCGTCGCTGGAGTTTAGTTGTTTCACTGGTATCAGAGCGATGAAAGGCGACCGAGGAGCGCACGTGGATTCGGTGAAGATGCGAGAGAGCGGTGGCGGGGCTCGGAACGTGGACCGATACTGCGCCCTGCGGAGGACTGAAAGCAAACAGGTCAGAACGAAATTATTTAAAAACGCCGACGGCGCACGTCATCGAAAAAGCCTGGTGGTAGTCGATGGGCGTCCCTAAGGTGGGACGGACGTCGCGTAGCATCACTCTAGAAGGTTGATTGAAAATGATTGAAAAAGTCGAGAAGACACGACACGCACATTTATTAATGACTTTACAGCTGGGACCTGTGAATTTTAGCTTTGTCTTTAGCGAACAGCCATGGAATTACACTCACATCGGGAATGGACAGTAGGTCTTCAAGACTAGCTTCTTTGAGGATGGCATGAACGTCCCAGACATACGCAATTTTGTCCTCGCAACCTGTGACTAGCAGCTTTCAATCAACGGAAAAGGCTGCACATGTCAAATCATCTTCGTGCTTGATAGGTGGACCGACTTGGAAGTTCGTATCGAGGTTCCATAGACATGCAGTGTCATCGTCTGATGCACTCGCAAGAAGGCGGTCGTTCAGGGGCCAAGGAGAGGGCGAGGACGTAGCGCGAGTGACCGTTGAGAATGGCGATCTGTTGGCAAGTGGTTGTGTCGAAGATCCTAATTGAGCCATCATCTAACCCGGAGATAAGCTTTTTCCCGTCCGACGTCCAGATCAACCTGACAACTTCTTGATCGTGTTTGAGTGTGTCGAGTAAGTCACCTGTCGTGGAATCCCGGATTTTTACTGCGTCCTTACTGCGTCCTTGTTGCGTCCCCCTGTCGCAATTTTTGATGAGTCGGGCGAGTACAACACTGCCCACACATCCTCGTGCCTAGTCTTGATTTCCAGAACGGTTTTGCGGCTTTTGACATCACTCGCACATCATCTGCACTCCAGCACGCTGAATTCACCCAATTAGTGTGTGTTGTCCATTTGGTGATGACCTTTCCCTTCTCAACATCCCACAACCTCAATTTCCCATCACGGCCCCCGTTTGCGACAGTGTTGCCATTTGAAGACAGTGATATACCCCACAGTTGTACTACTGCCTTCTCCCCTTCATCTCTCCAGGCCTCTCCCATCTGTGCGCCACTCTCTAGATCCCATTGTCGGAGTGAGCCGTCGCTTGAACTTGTGATGACGTGTCGTCCTCCAGGCAGGTGAACAACACCATTTACCCAGATGGTATGGCCTCTCATCATTTGCCAGGGTACGACTTTTGCCGTCTGTTGCATCTGGTAAGGGCAAAGATTATCGGTGAGTTGATGGGTCTTCACGTCAATTAGAAGCGCACAAATTAGCTCACAAAAATGCCTTCTTACAGGAAGTCGATCCTGACTCACAATGTGGCTTCGGGGCTATGTATGCAGGTGTTATTCCGGCGTTATTCACAAGAGATCTTTGCTGGTAGGTCAGCTTTACAGCCTAGAGTATCACTCACGAGATATACCGTTTAGACCAACTCACACAGATGGGACACTCCAATGCGAGACAGACTGTAAATTGAGACAGTGGGCGTTTGGTTCAGAGTCGAGAACGTCAGGCACCCCTTTGTTCAAGTCATCTTTTAAGGTGTGTCCTATGTGTCATTCTGGTTCTTGCTTCACAAGTTTGTGATTGGCGCTCATATGTGCATCTTCCTATAATGGACAACATATTACGTTGTACAATCCATTTGACAGGTTGCCGCACTGCCTCTCCGGAGTCTCCGCTACACCTTTCTTCCAGTCTCTCTCTTTCGAACTCGATGTCGTTGTGTAACGATTCGGCTTGTTTGCAGTCTGTGCATCACCCGGTGCTGTATTCCGAAGCCTGCTAATACCGCTGCCATATTCAGTGGCGCCGGTTGCCAGGAGGAGCTGAGGTCATGGTGACACCGAATGTCAATACTAAGTTCACCGCCTCAGCCTTCAGGACCTTCGCGCAAAAATTGACAGTCCACTGGATTACAGCCCTGTCCTAACTGCTCCCCCTTTACCGCTCAGCCCTCCAACATTCCACTATATCTGCTCTCGCTTCAACTCGGAGAATCATGCTCTAGGGAAACTGTCATGTGGCTGTGTCGAAGCACCATATGAGGCGGAGATAAACTTCTTTCTATCCAAGTTCCATCGTTCTAAGTATACCATCATACGTCCACAGATATTCATCGTGCACTTTGGCCTAACTGTTTCCCGCCTAAGTCCTTACTTTAAATGTTATAGCACTAGTACTATTTGGAGGAGAACGGAACGGCGTGCATTCTCAGCAGCGGATTCGAATAACTTTCCCGCTGCCTTTGTGTTCGCACTAGAAGTATAAAACCCTTGCTAGTATGGTCATGTCTCGTTCTAATCCACAAGCCCTACGATGTTCTCTTCCAACTTGATCGTCTTTGCGCTGCTCAGCTTCCTCGTTGGCGTCAACGCGTCAACATGTGCAACGTGCCCAGCCACAGTGCAGTACAACAATGGAGTCCTCGAGCTATCCAACAGCTTTGAAGAACCCAACAATGAGATAACCGAGTGCATGTGCGCCACACTCACCACCTTCATCGAACACAAGTGACTAATGGGCCGACAGATACAAGGATGACAATGGTGGACAAATGTTGTGCCAGTATGGGGTATGTGCTTTCTGGATGCTGTCCCACCCGTCGTTCTCATTTGACAAGCTAGTGATCATCAGAAGGATGGTCAGTATGTGGCCGGATATTATTTCTGTCCCAGGCAGTTAAACAAGAATGGAGATGGGTGTTGAACTCGCCATCACATACGAGCATCATCCCATCGATTCCACAGATTCCACAATGGGTAGTCATTATGCAGAAAGTAAGGTGGGGCCAGAAGTGCAACGGGCTCAGCAACGGGAGCAACCACAGGCGGGAGGAATTCGTGTCGCTGCGAAAGCGGTGAGTGAGCTTCAGCATTACCAAAAGTTCAAAATACATTCACTGACTATCATTTTCGGCGCCAGAGATCGTCGAGGTCGCGATCGATGCTCCAACGCACGCAGAATTTGAAGTCTGCAAGGCGCATTGAGTGCGGCCTGATATCTGAATGCCAGCATTGACAGAGCAACGATCGATGAAAAGTCCGTGCTAGCGACAAAGCAGCTACTTAGGTGGGCCTTAAGCCAAGGAAACAACCAACCAATTGGTAGAGAAATGAGAACAGTTTTGATGTTTGTTCGCCTGTTTACGAGCAGATGCTGGCGCAGTGGCCAACAGTGCGGTATGCCAGCAGACAAAGCAGATACGGCAGTTAATAGCCCTGCTGGCGCATTGAGTGACGTTTGATTTGAGTCTATTCAACTCCGGAGGCAGTTCATGCAGCGTCAGCTATAGCTATACGTAGCTATAAGTCGTTCAACTAAGAGAAATTTTTGAAGTGTACGTCAAATGGTCACGATAAGTACTGTGACAAAGCGAATGCGTCAACATGATGCCGAGTCATTGTCACCTACTTATTCTAGGCATTGACAGGTGATGTCGGACCAAGGAGTCCCGACTTTCCACGCTTGCCGTTAAGTATCTGCTGCATCCTCCCTTCGATAACCCGCAACTTCTTCTGTAGAGTATGTTTACCACAGAGAACCTCATTCTCCGCGGATTCGATGATGGTGATCTAGAGGGCCTTCTTGCGCTGGGCAACGACCCCCTCGTCCAACGCACCCAAACATACTCGGCTGTCGCGCCTCCACCTTCCTCGAAGTACAAGGAGCATGTGAAGACTTTTGCCGAAGGCAAGGCGCTCTGGTTTTCTTTGGTTCCAAAGGAGTCTGGACAATTCATCGGCTTTTCCTGCATCAATTTGTTGGAGGCGAAGAATCGGGATGGACGGTTGAGCATATCCATAGCCTCCGATGTTTGGGGGAAGGGATATGGAACAGAAGCGATGCGTTTCACTGTGAATCATGCATTCAAATACTTCGGATTGCAGCGTGTCTCTTTGGAAGTTACAGAAGGCAATGCGAGAGCACGAGCGGTTTATGCCAAGCTGTGAGTTGTTAGATCCAGTACTTTGGTGGCGCGGGCAGGCTTTGTGACTCGTTTTCTCAGGGGTTTTAAGGTGGAGGGGAGGAAACGACGAGGGAATTGGATAGATGGTCATTGGGAAGATATAATCAGTATGGGGGTTCTGGATGATGAATGGGCGGAGTTATACCCTGAAAGTTGCCAGCTGAGTGCTGAGGAACAGTCGAAGATTGCACAGGCTAACACTAGAACTTCCTGTTAGTACTTTCGGGGAATCTACACTCGCGGATAGTTGGAGACTTCACTAGGTGAAATTAGACTCAATAGGGACTGTCCGCGACCCGCAAATTCAATGAAGAAAGCAAGGAAAGTAGCTTGGCATGGGATTCAAGTCTGAGGAGCGCCTTAGGTCGATGATGCAATGGCGGCCCGGGGAAGAATAATCAGGCAGTTTCTATGTCATCGGAGGCCTGGGCCGCCTGGTGCATGATCCAGGCGCATCCAGAAACGGCTGGCCTGGTCCCAATATGTTTTGCATCATGCGCATCCCCAGCAAGAGCAAATAGAGATTAATCTTATCGTGATGATACCTGTATATAAACCAGGTTTTATCTGAATGCATCAAACCCACTCCCTCCTTTCCCCCGAAACTTGTTGCAGAGAATAAAACTGCCATAACTATAACCACTACCATGGATTCTGTAGCCAGGGAGCTCCATGCTCAAGTCGACCGGCTTCATCACGAGCTTCAAACCTTGAAAGTACAACATCACAGTGGAGACGAGGAGCTTATCACCATCTCTGATTACATTTTGAAGAGATTGGAACAGCTCAACGTGACGGTATGCGTCCCTTTCAATTATGTCCACTGAACTTGTTTAACTTCATAACCCGCAGTCCATTTTCGGAGTTCCGGGGGATTTCAACATGCGTAAGGGTTGATTGATGATTGAACAACTTTATGTATTGATCATATTCGCAGCTTTCCTGGTGAATTGTTATCCAAATAAGCGGCGGCGGCATTAACACTTGCTACAGGACTTTATCGAAGACCATCCCACGATCGAATGGATCGGGAACTGGTAACAAGTTTATCATGTCGCTAACGCGTTTTCTTACGCTGCTCTAGTAACGAGTTGAACGCGGCTTACGCGGCCGATGGCTACGCCCGCGTGAAAGAGCATAGCATAGGTGTGCTTGTGACAACGTGGGTTTGGTAGTTGACCACATTATTTAATTGTGATCTCAATACTTTGAATTAGGTTCGGCGTCGGTGAACTAAGCGCAATAAACGGGGTTGCAGGCGGTAATGTTGTTCGTCGTTGTTTTCGCAATAACTCACAGATTACTCAGCGTTCTCTGAAATGGTCCCTGTACTTCATATTGTCGGAGTGCCTAGCACTACGCAGTTGAAGAATAAGCCTTTGCTTCATCACACGCTTGGCAATGGAAAGTATGTACATATCCTGTTCGTTGATTACAGTGTGTCACGTTCACCAGATTCGACGTATATACGAAAGCTGCGGAACAGATCACCGTTGCTCAGGCCATCATTATGAATAAAACGCGAGCTGCAGCCGAAATTGATCGAGTCCTCACGGAGTGCATTGTTCATGTAAGTGCTGATTGTCCGCCTTCTTCTCTTCAAACATTGAATGTCCTGTAGGCTCGCCCGGTTTACCTCACACTACCGATGGATCTCACCACTGAAAAAATCCCTGCGAAGCGTTTGAAGGTCGAACTCTCGCGGACGCCTCCTCCTAATGACCCAGACATTGAGAACTATGTCCTCGACGAGATTATGGAGCTCGTGGATAATGCTGAACAAGATATTGTTGTCCTCGTGGATGCTTGCGCTATTCGTCACGACGTGCGGCAGGAAGTCAACGACCTTCTCGTCAAGACGCAGTTCCCTGTATATGCAGCGCCGATGGGTAAGACGGCGGTGAACGAGGAGCATGAACGATATGGCGGTGTAATTTTTCGTCCTGACCTTCGCTTAAGATCGTTCTGACATCTGCTATAGATGTACATCGGTTCGATCACGCATCCGGCCATCAAGGAGAAGGTCGAAAACGCAAAGCTTATCCTCTCGGTTGGCGCATTGAAGTCAGACTTCAACACGGGAATGTTCACGTACCGTATTCCGGAAACGCACACCATAGAGGTAACTTTCTATGGCATTCCGCTTCGCGATGCTTAGGTTGTTTTCGCAGCTGCACTCTGACTATACACGTGTTCGCTACGCACAATTCCCGGGTATAGGAATGAAGTGGCTTCTCCCGAAGCTCACGGAAAGGCTGAGGAAATGTCAGGAGGGTGCATCACAAATCCCTGTTCCGCGCTACAAGCTAGATGTCCCAAAGGAGAGCGACGACAGGATTTCTCATACTTATTTCTGGCCTCGAGTAGGCAAATTCTTCCGGAAGCAGGATGTCATCGTCGCTGAGACTGGTGAGTGGGAAACCGTCTGACTTCTTTCTAAACTCAGAGCGAATGTCGTTCCTAGGGACTTCAAACTTTGGGATTATGGAGGTTCCATTGCCCGACAAGTCCATTTTCGTTAGCCAGATCTTGTATGGAAGCATTGGCTGGGCAACTGGTAATTCCTGAAATTTTCGGTACAAAAGCTGCATCTGATTTAAATAACTTTAGCTAGCACACTCGGTGCAGCTCTTGCAGCCCGCGACAGATGTCTTGGGCGCACCATCTTATTCACTGGCGATGGTAGCATGTGCGTGGTCCGTCAACCGTTCTGAATTTTGTTTGACTATTTCATGTGTAAGGCAACTGACTGTGCAAGAGATTTCAACCATGACGCATCATAAGTTGACGCCAATTATCTTCGTGCTGAATAACAAGGGCTACAACATCGAGAGGCACTTGCACGGCTTGGACAGGTGAGTGATTACTACAGAATGCTATCAATATGACAACTCATGAACTATGCAGGAAGTATAACGACATCGTAGACTGGTCAGATACCTCCCGCCCTCTTCATTTGCATTTTGCTCAAGCCTTCCAACAGGGAATGGACCTCCCTCCTCACCACTCTCGGTGACATTGAGGGCAAGTTATCACAGTCATACACAGTCCGCAGCAAGTCGGAGCTCAACAAGCTCCTCGATGATGAAGAATTTGCGAGTGCACGGAAGATACAGCTTGTTGAAGTAATCATGGACAAGTATGACACACCCCGTGCGTTGCAAGCAGCTGCGGACTTGTCTGCAAAGATAGCGGCGGGTCAACTTTGAATCATTGGTGTAATTGTACAATGCGAACGAATGTGTATTCTGTATCTGTATATTGTGAGTAAAACATGGGGAAAGCCACCAGTGTTCGTCGCACTCTTATTGAGTCTAGCCCAAGAGGGACAGGGGTGTTCTTTATTCGGTCTATGCATTTCAACTGGCACGTGACTGACGCGTTCCGGGCATTGGCGCGTCAACCACCTGTTTTAACTTGAATCTGGCAGTCACCAACCTATCGTCCTGACAATCTTGCACTCCTCCAGCACCCGCCACATATCCTGCCACAGAGACATCGTCAGGCCATATTTCGCTGTTGGTTACTTCAACCCTGCCATTACCAATAGCACGTCTGTAACTTAGGATCAGTGGTCAGCATAATGGCACACACCTCAGAGCATATTCCTCGCAGAATGGGCAATTACTGGCTACAAGACCGGCTTGGATCAGGTTATTCAGGTACGTACTGAGCCCACTTAACACTATTCCTCACCTGGACCATATCGTCCCCAGGCTCTATCTTCAAGGCATACCATGTTTACGATGGCACCTTCGTTGCACTTAAAGTGCAAGATGTTGACCACGAGTGTCCAACAAATCGCTATGAGCAGGCCATATATCCTCTACTGCAAGGAGGAGAAGGCATGCCCCGGTTGTGGGCGAGCGGTATCGAGGGAAGGTGGCATTATCTGGTTATAAGTCTCCTCGGAAAGAGTCTGGACAGTATCTACCGCCAACATTTGCAATGTGGGCACCAGAGGATGGACCTTCGCAGTGTATGTTCCATTGCGATCCAGGTAGTGAGTTTGCTCGCTGGCTTCAGATCGATAGCAGAACCTTGACATCGATCGAATGCGCAGATCGCACGCTTGCAGATCATGCACAATCGCGAAGTTCTGCATCGCGATATACAGCTTGGGAATTGCGCCATCGGATTGACACCCGAACAAGAAACCATCTACATGATCGACTTCGGTTTTTCCAAACGCTATATCGATCCCTACACGCGGCGGCATATTCCAGACTCAAAACAGAAGAGAGATTTCTTGGGCAACTACTGGTTTACGTCGGTCAATGTGCATTGCAAAGGCAAGGGTCAGTATCCCAGGTTTATTTATGTGTTTCGGTTGCCTATGAAATTGTCGCAGTACCTTCTCGGCGAGATGATCTTGAGGCCGCGGCGCTGATGTTTATACATCTCCTTACGCCTGGAGGACTCTCATGGACACGGAACGGAGTTCCGAAAACCGACTCAGCACATGATCGCATCAAGCGCGCTAAAAAGAACGCTCGCCCTGAAGAGTTGTGCAAGGGAATACCCTCTGAATTTGAAGAGTTCCTGCGGTATTGTCGACGGCTGAAGTTCTATGACTGTCCTGATTACGACCAATGGAAGGACGAGTTCAGAGCGCTCGCACAGGACAATGGGTTCACTGATATCGAGCGCTTTATCTGGCCACCACCGCCAGCTCCCAAGGTACGAGGATTTTCATTACGCCTGAGTTCATGTTTATTCAAATTTCTCGGGTTCAGCCTCAAGTCGTGCGGCCTGCTCCTACACGGCCCACGATTGACGCGGCAGAGATGGAGAACGTCCTGAATGACTTGGCTAAGCTCCAGCTCAACCCGCCTCGTCCAATACTTGGGGACCAAACTAATGTTCCCGCCGCTGCGCGAACAGGCGATGCCAAAAAGCCTGCTGAAATCATATCCGTCAGCGACAGCTCCGATGATAGTAGAGCGAAGCCAAATGCCCAACTCCTTCCACCTCGCACCCCCGTGCGGACGAAGAAAGCCAGTCAGCTGCAGAAACTCAAGCTCTCGGTGCTTGATTCAACAGATAACGCTGCCCTTGCAGTCGCCGTGCAAGAGTTCACGAAATTCCTGCAACTCGGCTCAAAAACGCTCACCAAAGAGGGCTTCGCCTTTCTGGATGCATTGTACAAACAGCTAGCAGATCCCTCGATATTCGTGCACCCGCTTCGGACTTTGCGAAGTACGACTCAAGAGGACAGTCGTGTGCCCCAACCAGCACACGTGAAATTAGGCGTAGTTGCGAGGCTTCGCCGAGAAGTGGGAACTGCATCGAATAATCGAGTGCTTGCAAATCTCGTGGCTGACTTTGGTGCTGTGACCAACAAGAGCAGTGGCAGAACTATCACGAAGGATGGGTTCGCATTTTTGGAGGGATTAGCTGCGAGGCTTCAGGCGTTACATTAGAGAGCTAGAAGGGAGTACTTGCCAGGTCCCTCTGATTAGTGAGGTCGAACTGCTCTTGTGGACTGTCGTGCCTCGCCTTGATAGCTGAAATCTCACACCCAGGTCTTGGATCTTGTCAGGGGATATATATATAGCACTTTGCTCCTACTCCCATATTATAATGTATCAATACGATTTCATGAACGAGTCTTAAAACTGCCTTGAACGCACCTACGTAGCGTGCCTACTACGATCCCCGTGATGGTACGGGTAGTTTGTTTGCCACTTTGGAGTAAACTTGGAAGAACCGACATGTCGAATGCTTGAGACACGTGTGGTCTCGGTTAACACCGAGGACATAAATTTGTTTCCCCAATAAATAGTTTCGACAAACAATTTATTCGCTTACTTTCCTTTCTTCTCTTCCTTTTTCATAGAGGTTTGGATTAGACAAGAGTTCGCTACAACGACCCAAGCATGTCAGCCTACTCAGAGAAGGAAGGCGTCACGACCATAAAGCAGAATGTCTTCGTTATACCCGACCTCACGATCAAGGACCTGTTAAGTGCCATCCCGTAAGCTCGACGCGTCTCTAGAAACAATCCGAGGTCAGACGCTTATTACTATCATTTTTTCAGTGCCCACTGCTTCAAGCGTTCAGCATTACGGTCGTCACTATACATGTAGGTTGCTGCTCTCCCAAGAAAGTTGGTTCTGATGCGTTTGATTAGTGCGTGGGACGTAGCAGTGATCTCAGGTATCTACAAGGCCGCAACCTATCTAGATACCTTCATCTCCCCAACGTACATTTCCCTCCCTCACCCTGTGCTCTATCCCGTTGCACGATTCTCTCTTTGGGGGATGTACACCTTCTGGACGGGTCTCTTTGCGACTGGCCTTTGGGTTATTGCTCACGAGTGTGGACACCAAGCATTTTCTGAGTCCAAGTTCATCAACAACAGTGTTGGCTGGGTCCTCCATTCTGCGTACGCGAGGCTAAATTTTTATCGCCACAAGGGCACGTGACTCACGAACACCTTTATTAGGCTTGGCGTACCATACCATTCGTGGAGGATTAGCCATGCGAAACACCATGCTTCCACTGGCCATATGACCCAGGATCAGGTCTTTGTCCCGAAGACACGTTCGCAACTTGGTTTGCCTGCATTCGACCCGACGAAGGAGGATATCCTTGGTTCGAGCGTTTCGGTGGAAGTGATGAAGGAGCTCCGGGAGGCGATAGGTGACTCTCCCATCGGCGCAACGCTTGGCGCTGCTACCTACCTGGTTAGGCAAATGGAATGATATTTGCCTGTTTTTGGCTGATAGTGTTTTTAGCTTGGCGGCTGGCCTGCATACCTTCTCCGCAATGCATCTGGTCAGAAGCGGTACCCTAGTGGTACCAACCGTGAGTATTGGGCGTGTTGAAACAAAGACACTAGCTTAGTATCCATCTAGACTTCAACCCTGATGCTGTGATATTCGCACCTCACCAGCGCGAGTCCATCATTCTGTCTGACATTGGTATCGTGTTCTGGCTCGCTGGCGTTGCTGGCTCCATCTATACATATGGGTTCTGGACCGTGTTCCGTATCTACCTAGTGCCTTACCTGTGGGTCAACCACTGGCTCGTCCTCATCACGTTCCTCCAACATACGGACCCCATCCTCCCCCACTACCGTGCCTCTGAGTTCACTTTCCCTCGTGGTGCCCTGTCTACTTTAGACCGCAACCTCCTCGGCGACTGTGGCTCGATCATGGGTTGGATTGGTGCTCATGCTACCAACGGTATCTCTGAGACCCACGTCCTTCATCACGTCTCCAGCAAGATCCCTCACTACAACGCTTGGGAAGCCTCTGCCGCTCTTCGCAAGCGCCTCGAGCAAGCAGGTCTTAAGCTCGAGGGTGCTCCCGGTGGATGGAAGGAAGTCTACAGGGTTTTCAAGCAGTGCAGGGTCAGTATATTCTATTGCGGTTTAGTGCATATTCTGAGACACCCTTTTAGTTCGTTGAGGATGAGGGCAACATCGTTTTCTACAAGAATGCCTCCGGTCTCGCCGCCACTCGCCCTGCGTTCACGGATGGTAGCGCTAGTGACTCTGGTATTGAGGTTGACAAAATCTAGATGCGCAATCCTGCTGTCATGGAGATACCTGTAGATTCCAGCTTGGCTATTCCCTACATTATGATCCGTAACATAGATGTCTTCACGGCTTTGAGGCAGGGAAGGTTTGGGTGACTATTATTAGAGTCCTATGATCTTGCATATCATAATTCTAATGGGACAACAAAATGAATAATCTTTCCGCCCACGTCTAACAGGTCAATCGCCATCATTGATGGAGTGTTGAATCTCTTTCTGCCACAAATCTGAGAACTCGTCAATGCCTCGCCCACTACTCAGTGCGAGGGCTTCAATTGGGAGCATGTTATGTTGGTGAGCTGGTGCATTGCGTGCTGCAGCCGGATGTAAAGGCGAGTCGATGATACGAAGTTCAGGCGAACTCAATCCCTGTGTAAGGACTGACAACAGCTCTTCGTACGTGAATAAGAGGGGATCCGTTCGGGTTGCATATGGGTTGAAGTCCAGGACGTGTCCCCGAGACAGATCACGCGTCATCAACACATCGAAGATGTCTTCGAGCGGGAGATGAGGCAGGAACTACGGCAAGGGAACGTTATCACGTACAGTCTTGTTGTCCATGCCATTTGGACTTGATATTCTCCTCCCAAAGGCGCTGAAGCGCCTCGACGATCTTTTGCTGTGTTCGGGGCTCGTTCATGAAATCGTAGAAATTCGTATCGCGTTGTGATATTCCTGCATGCGCGTGATCTTCGTCGTCTTGCCCGAACAGGATAGGAAAATGGAAACGCACCTATGAGACGGCCTTCGCGAACGAAGCATCGGAACTCGCGGCTCCTATCTATAGGATACCATTTCCGCAAGACAAGCTCGAGTTCATACAAGGGTGGATTCGAAGGATCGCATTGACAACCCTCGAAGACCGTGTCGATACTCAGGTCATGCGACACGAAGTCCGATGATTTCAACAGGATGTAGACGTCTGACGGAGCCGTACATTTGAGAGGCGAGGATGGTGGTAGTACCCATGATGCGTCCTGTCACAAAGAGGATGCTGTTCGATGTGAACGGTGATTGACATCGATGGAAGAGGCTGACCTTTGGTGAAGAGAAATTGAGCTTTGGAAAGACGGCGCCGTATTCTTTGATCGCTTGTCTTATCCGCTCGTCTAGATCGGGGAAGGAGAAGGATCTCCCGATAGCAGCATCATCGGTGTCATCCTCTTCATCTGAAAGAGAACTTTCTGCTGGACTGGATGGGTCGAAAGTGAGTACAGTTGAGAAAAACGGTGAATCTAGTCAACCGACGCATTTTCCGAGCCTTCTGGTACGAAAATACCGTCTGAGTCGAGGTATTCCTTGAATGCTTGGTCCAAGGGACGGATGATGGTACTTTTGGTGCTGATGGAGGAAAATGTTGGATACCACGATGAAAATTGGAAGGAAAGTAGATAATCTGGTGTTTGTATAGGAAAGATGGGGTACGATGGTGGTGTAGACATGGTCGTATGTGATATCGAGTACAGGACTAGACATTTTCGAAACTCAGTAGTGCTATCAAGCTTGATCTATCCAATAAGTTACTAGAGTACTTGTATATCTATCTACACATCATGCTGTGTGTACGATTTTCATGGCCTGCGGCGCCGGCACATGCGCAGGCTGCTTGTACAAGTATAGGTCGATCACCCGAGGCTTTTGCTCATGACTTGGACCACCAGGGGCTGACCTTTTCATGCCATGTCATTGCCAATATCAATTTGAGTCTTTAAATGTTCCCCGGGCATTGCCTATAATGACCCAGCAATCAACCGATAAAGAATTGTGTCATGAACAACATCACCAAGGCAGGGACATGGCTTACGACTGAGTCACTCTTTCCTCAATATAGCTGGCCAGAAAACACTAGGTCTTCCGATGAATTACTTGTTACAAGGCGCAAAGGGTGAGTCAAGGGGTTGACCTCGGGTGAAAATCAAACTAATATTTACCAAACAATATCCAGAGCAGCAGTCGCTACCGGTCATGCAAAACTGACCATTGTCAGAGCATTGCGAGCCAAGGGCGAACACAGCTGGTACTGCACTGACAGACAAAGATCCTGTCAAAGCAACCACGAGGGCGAGGAAGAAGAAATGGATTGGTTGTACAAGGTGATATGTAATCTGTCAGACAGGCTTTCAAATAAATCTGAGGTGGCGCACGGTAGGGGGAAGAGGGCTCGCTTTTGTGCCCTGAAAACCTGGTCAACCATCCTGGAAATGAATAATGGATGTAACCGTTCCTCGGCTCTGCAATTGGCAGGATAGATGAAGGCGAACAGCATATGAATAGATCTCAAGTGACTGGGCACTGTATTTTAGAAATCTGGGGATTCCGGTCAGATGGCGAGGAGATAGAGTTTAACAGCTCATGTGGGTAAATGATAAGCATATACCTACTATTAATTGGTCGAATGCACGTAGGTTGCCGGCCCATGCACTAGCCGCAAAACCACAATAGATTTGCGGGAGAAAATACAAACTGAAGTAACACACTTGCGTGGACATCAAGAGATCTTCCGTCGATCGTCGTTTGCACCATGAAGTAGAGTCGCAAATGATCCCTGTGCTCGAATTTGATCGAATTTGATCGGCTGAAAATCGGCAGTCAAGACGCTGCCGTCCCCATGTGCCGTAGAACGAGAACAATAAAACAGAATGTTGGCTGCATAGGAGAGTGCTCCAATGACACAGGTATGAAACTCCTTACATTAATGAGATAGCTGAGGCGTAACACAGGAGAAAGTGGAAATAAATGCTCACCTACATTTCCGCTCCGCAGTGCTCTCTTTTTAACAGACGCACATTTCCACCCTCGTGGTGCAATTTCAATGACCGTCGAAGTGTCAGATATCAGTCTCCTCTATGCAGACCTTAGATGAATGGAGACAGCCGTTCCTTCTGTCAGATATGGGTTCAAACGTTCAAGATTGGACAACCACTCGCGATCCAGCTTCGTTTCTCGCGACCGCCATGGGGCGGTAACTGATAGCCCGAGTCGGTCGTGTTCGATCATTAATATGATACTAGATATCGGAGGTTCCGTCAGATGATTCTGATTTACTAGCTGGGTGAAATGAAAGAGTTTGTGTATAAAGAGAAAATTGTTCATGAACTCAGCCTGTTGAAGCGGATCCTTTGTCGTGTGCCGAGTGAGATTTAAGAGGCGGTCATAGTTTGGCGGCCAGTGGGTGATAGGTATGAGGGTAACCGTGTCAAACTCAATCAACAACCTGGTAAGTAGGATCTGATTGGTTACAAATCGGAAACGGGGTCAACTGTCAAGATTAGCACAAAATATGGATGGTTTATCTAGCAACATTGGAGTACTACTAGTACTTGTGGCAAGTACAAGCTTGAAGTTGAAGGGAAGGAGTATTTGTCTGATGTCGAGACTTGACTAGCATAATAAGTCACGTGCAAGTAGGGTAACCGGGTTGGTTCCAACCTATTGCATATCCTCCCCTTCCTACCCGTCCGCTCCTAATCCTCTAGGGTACGGACGAAAAGTGGGTTGTTAATAACACTGCTAAGAAAGGTGTGTTATTAACATGTTATTAACATGTTAATAACAGGCACACGGCCGTGGGGGGGTGACATGGTGCTAATAAGTCTATTGACCCCCATAGTCTTTGTGAGTCGCCTTCCGACCTTCTGCTGTTCCTCGCAGATCATTGACTTAGAAGTTTGCAACGCAAATCTTGCAGAGAAGCAAGCTGTTGTCTGACATGGGACTCGAGTGTCTCGCAATGAAGTTTTCAACTTGTTTTCCCTCCCTCTTGCACCAGTCGAGCACTCGAAATGGCTGACATCGTCGACACAAAAGCCTCAGATGATATTCTCATTATTCCTGTATCAGTGCAATCTATTATTCTCCCAGACAAGAATCTGTCTGTCTCGTCATTCCTTCAATTCTCACTCCCGTCAGCTTCAATTACCACTGCTCCGCCATTGTGCAAATACTTTAGCACTGACTCCCCACCTGAGGACAGCTTATATCTCGATTATCTCCGCACGCAGCCGCTTCCCCAGCTTGCGGTTCTGCACAAGCTCCTAGAAGGGGTGCAACATGCAATATCGGGTGGTAGCCGGTCTATTATCTATGCCCATGCCGACATCGAACAACCTTTTCCATTCTGGATTCTGACGTTTTGGCACCAAGCCTATACTCTCTTGGACGTCCAAAGCAACTGGCGACAGGCGGAAGCCTTCCTCACCAAACATCAACCTAATGAGTCCCAGCACAACCCCACACTCAAAGGACAAACAGCTGCTGATGTTCGTGAAGCTTTCGTTCGCCAGTTCGAGCGCTATGTGAAAGGACAATACCCTTTTGACACAATGATGGATGCTGGTCAGGACGTCCTCTCATACTGGACTCACTTGACGAAGATACCTGAAGGCTCCATACTTGCTGTGAGTTTCAGCCAGTCCTGACTACTCATAACTCAAGCTTTATCTCCAGTGTATCGCAGAAAAAATTTATTCAATAAAGCCCTCATCTGTGCCCGAGGAACGAACAATGTCGGTATTCACGAGGATGAATACACCAGCCAGGAACCGTCAACATGTCCGGACGTTGGTGGACATGACTCAGATTCGACAATGGCATATGTATGATCCAAAGGTCAGTGTCTTATTCAGTGGCCTGTATTGATAACTCATGCCCCTTAGAAAATGGTTGAACGACAGCATCCAGACATTTCATTCTGCGATCTTGACTCCATCATTTCCTCACCCAAACAATCAGCTGCTCGTCGAAGCCACGAAACCACTGGCAGCTATCTATCTGTGGGCACAGATGAGCAGGAAGAAATCCTTGAAGACGAAGAAGGCACTTGGCTCGATGAGACACTAGCGGCTAAACCGGCGGAGGATTCAGCCTTCGACATTGAAGCAGATGCAAACCTTCACGCACTAATTGTCACCAAGGCCTTGTCTGATGAACACGAGGAAAGTCCTATCAACGGCCTGTGTAGCACTCAAGGTGATGCTACGGAGGATGATGCTGACCTAGAAGGCATGGACAACGAGTGGGACGAATTTTGGTAGTAGCTGTAGCGAAATTTTCAAATTTTAGGTCACGTGACTGTTAATAACATGTTAATAACATGCTTGTTAATAACCCTACGCATCCTACTTGATTTTTAACATAGGTTAATAACAGTTGGATGACTTATCGTCCGTACCCTATAATCCTCGTAGCTAATATACTACATACGATAAGTCTTGTAAGGGAGTTGTTCTGCGTATGTATTCATTTCCTCCAATACCTCTTAGCCCACTCTTCATCTAAAACACCCATACTCAAACCATCCTCCCAATGTCCATCGTGCCAATTTGCTCGTCGCTTCCTACCCTCTTCCTTGAATCCGCTGCTCAAGTCATTAGTTTTCATTCCGCAGTATTGCATCAATTGCCTTACATTTTTTGTAAACTGCTATGGCAGCTTCATTTCCCTCCAAGACATTTAACGAGACGCGTTGAACTCCCAGCACTCTAAATGCATGGTCTACAATGAACTTCGTCGCCTCTGTCCCATATCCCTTTCCCCAAAACTTTGGAAGCATCCCTATGCCGAATAATCCATCCCGGTTTTTCACAGGCTCTGTCACCTTGATACTGCATTGCCCCATGAATTCCCCTGTTTCCTTCAGGACTATGGTGAACCAGATGGTTGAATTCTCCGCGAGAGTTTTGAGTGACGCTTTGTATTTCGTTGGTCGCGGCGTGATGGGATCACTCCTCGCATAACACGAGCGTCGTTCCGGAGCGCGAGGAGATCATCCAGGTCACTGTCTTGAAATCCACGCAAGACTAGGCGTTCTGTTGTGAACATGACTGCGGGTCAACCTGTGACTCATCCTCTTGTGTGCGACTATTGTAACTCCCCGGTCTCTAATCATTGGTGTAACGAGCCTCTGATTAGACTTACATGTAAGTCCCGGCTTCTATTATGACTGCCTTATGTGGGGGCAAGTGCTGCCAAGTCCTGGAAGACCCATCGAGTGAGCTACTCCATTTTATTTCATCTATAATATCATAATTTCGTCTCCTTCCTCACATTGACCACATCGAAAACATACTGAACTTCACCATCAGAATCGACATGCGTTTGGAAAGCAGAACTTGTGTATTTGCCTTCCAATAGAGACAGGAATTAAAATTGTTCGAACCAAGCGCGGTCTCCGACGAGCTGATATCTGTACAAAACACCTCCGAGGCCTTTTCAAAGGAAGTTTTCCTTAAGACAGAAAAGGCGAGTGGCACCGTAAAATGTTAAATTTAACATATATCGAGCACACTCTGACTCGGAGGACCGTAGGGAAGTTGTCTCTGACTGATACTTGAGCGGTGAGTGAGTGTAACCGTTCACAATTGCAATATATCGCGACAGACTCGCTTGGCAAGTTGGTAAGCTGGCAGAAGCCTCGAGGCTTGCTCGAGGCGGGAGTCCAACAGAGGTATCCAATACCTTGGGTCACAGCTACTGTTCCTGGTAAGTTAGCTCCTCGGCGCCATCCCTCGCCTCTTCGAAATTCAGCATTGAAAACTTCTTCGAACTTACTGTAATTATTGACCTTCCAGAGTTTTCTATGGTATGGTTTGCTCGTTATCGATCGATTGTTATCTGACACCGTACGTTGCCTCTTACACAATGACCACGACCACATCAAGGTCAACGCACCTCGTCGATGCCGCTATGGTGACAGACTCTCACTCTTTTATCATTACTCGCACCGTAAGTCATCCAGTTAATTTTGATATTCGGATTCTGCTGACCTGCATCTAGCTCGTGGATGCGGCAGTGTCGACAGAGGAAGTTGAAGTTAGTGAGGCTACCGAAAGGTACCAGGCCGGAGACAGATGGAAGACCCTAGATGCGATTCCATGTATCAAGGGTGGCATAACGGCGCTTGTCGGTAAGTTTTGTCGCTGCACATTTGCGTTAATCTTAAAATCATTTCAGCATCTCTTGGCGGCACTCTCCATGCACCCACTCACACTGGCTTCCCCTGGATGACCCTGCCCAAGGAGCTAGCCCGCCTTGGATATGTCCTCGTCAACTACCCTGACGAGACTTTGGTGCCTGGCGAGAAGCGACCTACACTATCTCGTTCCAAAGGCATTTGCGATATGACCGTTCACCACCGTCATAGTCTCATCAACGCCCTCAAGACAGGCACTCTTACCATACAAGAAGTGACGAGTGGTGCTGCCCGCACACGCCTCACCACATCCAATGATCCTGTTATCATCGGAGAGGCCCCCCCACCTCGCTCAGTACACTCTCGCGGGCGGCGGGTATTCGCTAATGGTCGCATCGACCGAAAGGGTCTTCCCCGTGTTGTTCTGCCTCCTGCTTTACCTACACCTCGTCGTCCCATCCAAGTGTCTGTTGAAATAACACAGCCACCACCATCCTTAGCTTCTAGAGCAGTCCACAAAGCAAGTCAACCCTCTGCCACAGATACTAAGGATCTTATTCTGTCGATTGCTTCCGTTGACGGGTCAGCGTCTGGCTCTGAATATCACACTGCTGACGATGAAAATGATTTCCTGGTCGAGGAGTCGCAGGTCAGTGAGGGCGACAGTTACCCTGCCAAACGCTTGACGAGGAGTTACACACAGCTTAGTGAGAGCGAGAGTTGTACGCAGGTTAGTGAGAGCGATAGTCGCCCTACGAAACGCTTCAGATTGACGAGGAGTCGTGCGTTCTAATACGAACCATTGAATACTAAACCAATAGCAAATGTAGTACTACAACTTTTGAAATTGCTCTTTTCGCAATGGCCTTTATCCAGGATTCAATCACAAATGATTCGCAATGTAGTCGTTCGTCTTCATCAGGACGCATACGTTGATTACAACTCACGAATAAGTGAGTCACGATGAAGATATATAGTGCGTGGCACGGTGATGCCTGAGATGAATGATAGCCCCGTCCGGTCTTGCAACTCGTCGGGTTCAGAGCATTTGCTTGAGAAGTGGGCCAGCACATGGAGGGCGCTGGTGCGCTGGTCAGAAGTGTCGCACGGTCGACAAAGATTGTGCCTTTGCCTGAATATTGTGATATTCGATTGGTTGCTGGCGGTCGTTTTCAAATGCCAGCCATGCAACAAATGACAAGGGGTGCGAGCGGTCAATTGCATTCCTCCATCCAGATTCTCACTGTGGGTAATGTCTTCTCAGAGCACATTACCCAGAATGAAGATCTGGCGGGAGAGGGTCATCAGATGCAAACGTGTCTGATCGTGCTTGGTGATCTACTCAGAAAGAAAAGAAAAATAAGAAACAAGCGATAATCGTGGGTGAGTTGGCCTGGGCTGACTGTAGCCCTTGCGTGCTTAACATACCCCATCTCTAATCCACGAGGGAGTTAGGAAGTGTTAATCAATTCACTGGGAAATGAAGGTGCGCGGACTGTTTGTTGAACAATGTCACGATTGCAGGACTTCGTGATGATCATTCGGTGGGAGGTTATGATCATGATCATGTAGTCCTTGAACTTCGAAAGTGGGACAGGCAAGCACATAGATCGGTACAGTAGGAATGGTCATGTGGTGACATGTAGATCAAGTTTTCATCTGAAATTCGACAAAGAAAACGGACGCGCTTAACCTGTACTCAGTGTAATATATGAATGATCATCAGCGCTCAACAACCTCGAAATACGATTGCACAAAACACGGTGAAACAACAACACTCACTTGGTGGTAAGCTACCACGGATATCAACAGAACAGAGTTAGATGGTAGAGAAAGCAGGGAAGTGCCATATTTTTAAAGATATGCATGCATCATACCGTATCGTCATAATATCCATGGTGACCACGCGCGGAGCATGCGACAAAGTGGGATTAGCAAGTGGCGGTGGATATGAGTTTACTCCTCCTCTTCCTCCTCCTCTTCCTCTTCGCCCTCTTCGTCTTCATCCTCCTCCTCCTTGGCAGCCTCAACAACAGCAGTTGCGATACGGTCCAAATCACGCTGACCGTCTTGGCTTATCCGTCGTCCACCGTTGTCAGTCTGCTCCAAGACACCAATCTTCTCCAGCGATTGGCAGACTTTTCTTTGGACGGAGGCAGGAGGAGTCGGCGTGGTGTGATGGGCGGTTGCCGCGTCTGTTGCGGCCACCGTGGAGTTTTGTCAATGCGCCGATACCGACGTCTTTGCGGAGGTAGATGTGTCGTGCAACAGCAGCTGATTGCGATGGGTCTTTAAGATTGTTCTCTAATCAAGGGTACCGAACGCGACGCACCTGCACGGACGTAGTACCAGTCTGGGTCATAAGGTGCGAGCTCCTTGAATGACCCTGTTTTGACGAGGTCGACCCATGTAGGGACCTCAAGCTTACCCGACCGCTTGAGATGGGAAGCGTATGCAGTAATGAAAGCCTCGGCGCTGCAACGATGGTGTTCACGATCAAATCTTAGTTGGTTTTGAGATAATTTAATGACATACCTTATATCTCTTACTCCTGGCATGTTGGATTAGTTGGAAGTACGACCGTGAAAGATATCGAGGAAAGTAACCCGGAACGTTTCGCGCGACGAGTGGCGTCTTGTGTACGACTCTGTGAATTAGAGTTCAGCACTGAGTTCAAATTCAGCCACCGCTGTGCAGTTTTGAGATGAGTCAGCAAATCTGCTCTTCCCAGCCAGGTCAACGTTGCAAGTGCTTCGATCGAAACGTTTACGATGAGAGACACCCTAAAACACCCACGAATTACGCGCACGGTCGGCTGGACTCGACCTGGTCACAACTTTGACAGAAATTTGAGTCGCTCGTTATCCAACGACATGATTTGCCATCGGTGTTTTTATTTTCATCGCAGAAGATGATCATTAATAAGGCGTGTCGCTCGCAATTCCAACCTTTCTCCGCACGTCTGGCACTTGCGCAGTCAAGATATTTGAGCTAATCTCGGACTGGGCAGGTTTTACATGCGACTGCATCGGCTACCACGACTTCGACCTTTTCGTCATGCTTATGTAAAAGGCGTATTATCTCGGGCGCTTTCTCAGACCTGTGCAGCCAACATCACTCTGAGCACCATGATCATATCCACACGTCCTACTAGCAAAGTTCCTAGTTTTATTGCTTTTTCTTCTTTACCCCCAGAACTACTCATCGAAATATTTTCAACTTGTAGCCTTACAGGTGACTGGCACATCCCCCTCACACTATCCAAAGTCTGCCGTTTGTGGAGAGAATTGATCATTTCGTCGCCCTGCATATGGCAGATCATTGTTGTATTAGATTCAAGGCGCTCCATGTCCTCTATTCGTACCCAGGCAGAGCTATGGGTCGCTCGCTCGTCACCCCTTCCGTTCAATGTAGTTGTCAAGCTGTCGGATTTTGAGCGACTGTTACCCATCATGTCATGTTTCCTCCCACATCTCGCCCGTTGGGTGCGCTGCACTATCACGTATGATGGTAAAACCATCGAGACATCCTTATCAGACCTCACCCTATCCACACCTCGTCGCATATTACATCATCTCGATATACTTCTCAAGACGCCCTTCGAGGACGTTGCAGGGGATGATGAAGACGATATTATCTTTTTCTCCTGCGGAAGCGTGGCGTACCGTCACATATCTATGAAAGTGGCAACGACCAAACTGCCCCACGCAGATATGGTCAACCCTTTGTTATTCACATCTCTCGATATTTCGGAGTCTGCGTTTGAACACTCCGTTCGATCGTCAGACCTCCTTCGTTTTCTCGACCATTGCCCCAACTTGGAGCACTTATACTTTCACGGTTTATCCAACGACGAAGGCACTCTTGTCACACTACCCACTGCCGTCTCCCTTCCGCGATTACATACACTGCTCCTCGACGAAATCTGCAATCAACGCAGTATCCTCTCACACCTCTACCTCCCTGCATTGCGAGAGCTCCATCTGCGTCACATTAACGTAGACTTCCCGCTAGAGCCATACCACGTCCCCGAAGAAGGCGATAGCGAGGATGAGTCCCACGACTTCTCCCAATCCCCGCATAGCGACCTTCACACCGGCATGGGTCTCCGCAAACTTTTATCACGCTCACGCCCTCCGCTCGAGATTCTGGACATGGACTTGTCAGATATGCGCACCAAAGACTTCCGCTGGGTCTTTGATAAGTTGCCGGAGCTAAAACAGTTCTCCATCGTCGGGTCCGATATGTCGGATTCGGTGGTTACACTGTTCATGCCTTTTGCTGTTGGAGATGAGCAGGAGCAGGACGGGGTGCAGATGAACGTGCGGCTACCCCAGCTTTCTGTTCTCAAGATGTACAGCTGTCAGCAGCTGTCAGGGGATGCGCTGGTGAAGGCCTTGAGTGCACGTGTCCGCCATACAGACCATGCAACGCCAGATGCTACGCTGACGACAGTGGTCATTTCAAGCTGCAACAATTTTACTGCAGGTGATTTTCAAGAGTTGTCCTGGGATTTGCACGATCGTCTGCATGTGTCGTGAATCGTGATGGTGCATCTGGAATGACGCCCTTAGTGGCCGTTTATGGATATGGTCTCATACCTATCGCTCACAGCATATAGATGTATTTATATTGTATTTGCTCTGTTCTGTATCACTATGGTTGGCGCTTACAATGTACGAGTATCAGAAGAGCTTTCGACCTCCCAAGCTGGCAAAACTAGTCTGGTCCTTGCTAGCGTTGTGTAAGGAGTGTGTAATGAGCAGGGGGCCCCCAATTCATCCAGCCAGCGTCTCGTTTCTGTGTCACTGTTAGTATGAGTCTGACGACTCGACAAAGCCTCACCTAACAGGGAAGGGAATCCGCTGTCTCTCCGCCGAGTCTCTCAGCAGTACACGGACGTCCGCAACGTTCGCGTAGTTCGCCCTCCACACGTCATCTCCGTCGCGCTCGCCCCAGTGGAAAGTATGAAACGAATCCACCTCATATCCTTCCTCCCACTTCTGCCTCACAAAAGACGCATTGAACGGCGGTTGATATATCCACCACTGTGATCCCCACAATCAGTCAGTACACACGTACTGCAGAAACTCAAAGAACGCCAAGCCTCACATGATCCACAAAGAGAATCGGCTCGTGAAGAGGCGCGACTAGGTGCAGCGTTGTAGGCGCTGCGATCTCAAGGAAGCAGGTCGTTTCGAGGAACAGGCCTAATACCTCCATGAAGAGCTGACGGTGCCGCCCCGGGATGTACATCGTATCTACAGAGCCTCCGATAAGGCGTGTGTCTCCATTGGTGAATGCGGCAAGGCGTTCTCTCAAGTGCAGGGGCACCTTCTGGAATGCCTTCATGCAGACTTCGACTCCCACATGCGGATCACTATAGATGTGCGATACACATCAGATAAGCATAAGGGAACACGCTGTGAATCGACTTACCCCCACCTGCCAACAGATGATCAGAAATAATGAGAGCTTATCAGATTACCACGTACCACCAGTCTGGTCCCCATCCCCTCCAGGTCTCCGTGAGATTGACGGATGGATCCGGTGATACGTTGGCAGGGGGCGCATGCAGGCTGAGGTCAAGGCTATGCGTTGAATTCGACTGTGCGGGGTTAAAGACTGGCAAAGCCCACGGAGAGTGGTACCAAAAGAATTCCTGATTGAACTTCTCCAACCGTGGAATATTTAGCAGAGTGTCGAACGGCACCCATAGGTAGCCATCATAACAGTCATGCTCCTGGAGAGCGGTGAACAACATATGATGAGCCATCTATGGCACCATATGTGACTGATGAGCAACGCAGCACGTGGATTGAAAGCCTCGGAGTACCCACACGTCCTGCCATCTTATAAAATAATGGATCCCTTAGGTCCTCGTCAGAATGGTACGAGTCCACGAGTACGTCGTAGGAATGATCAAAGCCTGCATCCTCGCGAGAGGAAGGTCCAATGTAGAGAATCTAGTATCCACGATGTGAACCTCTCCAAAAGACTTGATCGCGCAGCACTCACATTTGGAAAGTAATCAGAATACACTTCTCGGTGGTAATCTAGATTAGCGCCGTAACGCGCGTGGCTGAAGAATACTACTAGTAATACGTTGTCGAAGCGACCGTAATTTTCCAGCGTCTGCCTATGCGAATGAGGCGGTAAAGGTCGCCGGTGACAAATGCTTGGATTGGACTCTGGGGGGAATCCCCATTGCAATTTCAGGGTGCGCGACCTCCACACACTCTCATGCGTTATTGCAAATGACACGTAAAGCAGAAATCCAATTAATACCACTGTAAATGCCACCGGGTAGCGGGGCTAGGCGTTTTGTATGAGCTCAAGAATGGGTCATATGAGGCATTGGCCTACCCGTGTCATGCATTCGGACCCGACATCTTCCTCCGCGGTCCGTCTTATACTGGAGATATAGATGCCCGCTGTTGTTAATGCGAGAAGGCACCCGATGAATACACCCGGTTGATTGAGGAAACCTGCAGTCAGGAGAAAAAGAACGACCGTTGAGGCGAGTGCGGTCACAGTGCTTCCCAAAATGACGTTGTAATCTGTAATGGCCTAAGCACGAGACACACATGAAACGCATCATACTCACAGTAAATGACATAGAGGGCAGATACGTCTCGACCGGCATCCGATAAACATGATAGAGCAAGTGCAATCGGGTCCGCGCGCCACCCCAAAACATGACTTTTGGTGCCAAGAAACGTCACGCTGAAAATATAGAGCGATAAATTGGAAAGACAACCGAATGCGAAGATGAGCAGATTGATGACATCGAAAGATGATGAATTGCGTGATTTGTATATCTGTGTGCACAGCCGGCTCTACTTTGAACCGTTGTTCAAGTGTGAGATTCTATGACTTACAACGTCGACCAGGGTGTCCGAAAACGAGATGATGAGCGCAGACGCAAGCAACGAAAGGTATGGCAAGTCGCTCGAGGGGCCAATAAGATCACTCTGAATAAAATCAGAGAAGGTTCAACTGCTGGCAGGAGTTGCTTTACCCGAACGATGAATAAGCCACAAAACTAAGTCTTATTAGTGCTCAGGAAGATTTCTATCTAACCAAATTCCTGGGATTGCGTACCTGTAGAAGAGCAGCATGCCACAGTTGTGGAGCATACGTTCTGCAAAAGAATGCACGCAGCACAAATAGCGAACAGAGACTCGCCGCGGGGATTACAAGGTGTTGCGCTAGTGGATCAATGTGTTCTCTGCTTTTAGAAATCTATGAGAAATATGCACGAGAGTAGTTGAAATCTCCCTGAGATGAAAAAGGGCCGGACATACCGCATAGGCCCGTAGCGAGTACAGCGCGGAAATAACAAGAATAGAGAGACTCGATCGCGCGCTAAGACTCGACCAGGTAGGCCTTAACCGAGGATATATTTGCGCAAGCTCGCTAAGTCGAATGTTCCTGGAGATAAAAGACTCATGACTGTCCTCGAGTGAGAGATTTATATTGTTCAACGGTTGATCTTCGTTGTTATGTCTGGAAGCATCAAATGAAGGGGACCAATCGGGGCGGAAGTATCTTCGTCTCACGGAGTATAAACCCAATGCAATGAACAATTTTATAGCTTCAGTGAAGGCGAGCTGAATGTGGACATCCACAGGAGTTCCAGACTTGTGGTCAACCAGAATTTCTGATGAGACCCAGAGAACAAAGAACCCAATCTAGTAACATTAATGAGCTGGGACATGATGACTCAGTCAGGCGTAGTAACTGACTGGAAGGAGAGCTTGATTCCGCGAAAAATTGTAGTGAAACGAGAATGAATGCATGTGCGGCAAGCGGGGAAGGACCAGCATGGTCCGTGCTTGGAGTTCGGTGCGCTGTCGATTGGAATTATGTCTGATCAGCGGATACTAGTATTGTAGTAGACCAGAGTTGTCGTAGGGTATACTTATGCTATACTAGATAGTCCCACGAGTCCGTGTGTCCCCAGAGTTCGCGCATTGACTCTAGCACACGCAATTCTGCACGGAATCCTTATGTATGTTGCATTTAGGTTCCCCCCAACACAATACACAGTGTCATGTTTTTTTTTGAAGAAAATCGAAGTAGATCTCGTCCCGTGGCCAACTTATTGGTGCTGGAGGCTAGTTTTGTGCATAGAAGGCTCGCTCTAAAGGTCAGATCACCACATAAAATTCTGGGATGCGGTATGATGGTTATACACGATGAGAGAATACTAAAACAAATTTCTCTGGGGCCACATGCTTGTCAGGATCATCTGCAATGAAAGAAATATGCCTCAGACGTGACAATCTATCCAAAGCGTTACATCGAGACTCTGTAAATCGAAACTCCGCAATGCCGGAATGCGGCACAAAAACACCAATGCCAAATTGAAGTCCGAGCCCACCCCAACAGCTGCATGGTCAAGTCCAAATCGAAACAATCCTGAACGTGTTTCCTTGATTCAAGCGCAGCTTGATGGCCACCCACAGCTGAAGGATGATCCAAAATTCACTGGCCTTTATGGCCGTCTCCCTCGTGGGCAGAAATGCATACATGCAAGTGTGATTGATGAAAACGCTGCACCAGCAGAGTCACTTCAGGTTGAGCGTCCTGCAATCCGTCGTCGACTCAACGAGTTGCAACGTTCGACGGGCTTACCAGTGTCATCCTCATCCACTAATCCGCATCATGTTCCTGCGCTGTCAATGTCTGATCCCCCCCTCGACTGTTTATTCTGGCGTTGCACATACTTTACTTCCCCATGGACACCAGCATCACTATTCTCTCCCCAGCATAATTTATATCATGCACCTAGCAATACACACTATCCCATCATTCTTTTTACAATTATCATATGCCTGCATAAGCTCAACCGAGTCCACCTTAAGTATTATTCATATTAGTTACTCTAAGTCTCTAAGTCAAGAGTCGAGATATAATACTACATATCTTACGGTCACATAATCAGTTCAATAGCATAAAATGCATGCTTCTGCCGCTTCATACAGATTGTTTCGTGTGCCATAGCCTCTAAGTAAGTACACAGCGCATGGCTTCGCAACACACTGTACGAATGGTTGCGGGCACTGCAGTGTGAAAAGGCATTGCGGCAGACGTGTGACATGGTGTGACAAGGTGCGCGAACTCTAGGGAAAATGCACTTTTATGCGCGGTAACTCTCCGCCGGACTTAACACGTCGAGTTTTGAAAAAAAAAAAACTAGCAGATATTGTACTTTCGATGTCAGGCTATCAAACTGTCAAAGAATTAATTTTTTATGTTTGTGCGTTGTGGAGTAATAGACGTTACCCCAAAAATGCGCGAACACTAGTGGACATCTAGTATTAAGTTCAAAAGTTGTTTGCTGTGGTAATCACTGATATTTGGTTCATTGGAATGGTTCCCGAAATTAATTATGACATGTACGCTTCGCCACGTAAGGTCGGCGGACAGCTGGCTGCTGCACGCCGTGACCTAAGAGCTCCAACCTACAACTTCGGATCCTCTATGATCTCCACCGATTTCTGAAATTATTCATTCACGATGAAGCTCATGAAGGCGTGACAGATTGGCTAAAGATATCATGCGATATTCAGTGACTATGCTTGTGAGTCGCAAACATGACCTCAAGATCTGATAAAGAATACACTGCTGAAAGACCGAACAAAAAAGTAGTTGACTGTATATCTATGCAATTGATAATAAAAATAGTACACAATGTGACATGCGATAATGAACAATTTGGTACACAGTACACAACCCACACTACATTAGTGGCCGTCGACGCCATTGACACCGTTCGCACCGTTGAGCTTCAGTTCCTTCAGGCCGTTGGCTGGAAGATCCAAGCCTTTGGCTTTTCGAGAAACTAACTCTCGGCGACCACGGACAGCTTCACGCAAACGCTCAAGGGCAGGGATGGTCATGTCCCAGGATATGCAAGCATCGGTGACCGACTGGCCATACTTGAGGGCAGTAGGACCGCCCGACAATATATCTTGCCGTCCCTCAACGAGATTAGACTCGAGCATGACACCCATGAGAGACGCCGAGGTGTCTTCACTCTCCAGTTGTTGCGCCTGAGTAAACAGTAAATATCAATATCAAAAAAGTCGGGGAATGCTCACGATGTCTTCTACAACTTCGATCTGCTTACGATGTTGTTTTTGGCTGTTTCCGTGACTGCAGTCGACCTGATTTTGAACCATATCAGCGATAGTGAGGTCGTGGGTATAACATCGTAAACTTACCATGATTTTGCAAGGAAGACCAGCTTTGGTAAGCTTTGCGCCACAGTCACGGACGTATTCCGCAGCGTAATTCGGGCCTTTAGAGCCACCCCGCAAGATTACATGGGTATCTGGGTTGCCCTACCAAAAGTTACTCGCTGCGGAGCCGTTAAAGGTCGAGTGGCTTACCTCGGTTTCAATGATACTGCTAAGGCCTTCTTTGCCCACACTGAGGAAGACATGGCCACTTCGAGCGGCACGACATGCATCAATCGCAATGCCGACCGATCCGTCAGTTGAATTCTTGAATCCAGTAGGCATTGACAGTGCAGAGGTCAGCTCTCGGTGCACTTGAGATTCCGTCGTGCGGGCGCCAATAGCTCCCCAGGAGACTAGATCGGCGGTGTACTGGGGCGATATTGTATCAAGGAACTCGCAGCCGGAGGGAAGACCAAGTTTAGCGATATCCAAAAGGAGGGTGCGCGCGATGCGCAAGCCCTTGTTAATTTGGAAACTAGAATTCATATCGCTATTTGCTTATTATTAGCATCTCATTGGTTCTAAATAATTGAAATGAGACGTACGGATCGTTAATCAAACCTTTCCATCCAAGAGTCGTCCGCGGTTTCTCAAAATACACACGCATGACGATGTGCAAGTCATCTTTAGCCACGTCTGCGTAGGATTTGAGCAGCTTGGCGTACTCGATGGCAGCATTGACGTCATGTACAGAGCAGGGACTAATGTCGATGTGTCAGTCAATATTCAATTGCGCATGGATATTTCATACCCAACCACTACCATGAGCCGGTCATCATCACCCCTAAGTATATTTTCGGTTGCCCGACGTCCCTCAAGGACGGTGTTCGCAGCAAGAAAGGTCCTGCATGTGCGTTAGAACATATCATGAAAAAGTAAAAGTCCATACAAAGGAAGATCTTCCTGCAGGATCTGAGGTGGAATCAACGGACGTGTCGCTCTGACACGACCGTTCTCAAGCCGTTGAAGGGCATCTTTGAAAGAGAGAGCCATCGAGAGATCCACTTGAAAATAAGGTGAATTGGTATCTGTTGAAGATGATACAATTCTCCGAGACTGCAGTACTTACTTTCTGACATGAGACTATATAGGTTTTTGGATGAAGGCGATGAGCGGAATCAATATCACTTGTCAGGCTATCTTGTGAGAATCACGATAGGCTTGAAGGGGCAGGATGAGAGAAACTCTTTGGTGGGCGAATGGGAGTCTGCTGAAGAGATCTTGGTCGAGTCATCGTGATCTCTGCAAATCTGCAAGCTGAAATCAAAAAAAGTAAATTACCGAGTTCACACCGGTGCACGTGTCACGGGGACTGTCCGTCGATTTCTCTTTTAGAGTTACTTCGTACTTTCGTTCAACCAACCAACCATTTACACAGACGACTCCAACGTTCTTCTGTCATTTACCTCGCCGCTGTCTCCAGTCATGGATTTCTCACAGCTCAACTCTGCTGAACAGGCACACATGACAAAAATTATTGAAAAAAAACAGGTATTGGTCACCTCATGTGCGCTTTAACACCAGAGTCTGAATGTCATCTTACCTGTCAGATGCAAGACTTCCTACGTCTATACTCAGGCCTCGTGGAAAGATGCTTTAGCTCATGCTGTAATGACTTCACGAGCAAAGCATTGTCTTCGAAAGAAGTAATACCTTCATACCTATCTTCACACAGTTCAAATTTAATCTTGGAGCAGGAGCAATGTGTTCTGAATTGCGCAGACAAATTTTTGAAGCACTCTGAGCGCGTGGGGCAGCGATTTGCCGAGCTGAATGCAGGTACGCTTCATCTTTGTCCAGGTCTGAATGCAAATAAACTTCTGATCCATGTCTTCAGAGTCCATGGGTCCCAAGCCATGAGAATAAATACATGCAATTTAATTCGTATGCTATGTCGATGCTATCGAGGTGCTATCATATTTTTGTGTTTGATTAGCATGGCGACTTCGTCGCAGTTGCTTCGTAAACCCAATGTCCTGGTTCATCCTACCGATTTGTGGCCGTCGGCGCTCCTTCACAACGATACTCCCAACTGTTATCTATGTATCCACAAGGTAGTTCATGGTTTCCTCGGCATTGGTTTATCGTTTTGTCTAGATGTTGTGTCCTCTCCTGTCATTTGCGTGAATGCGATTATCAGCGTTGTGAGAACGTTACTTCGGTCTCTCATGCGTGCATACCCAAAGCCATTGACACGGATTTGTCCCCTCCTACAGTTTTGGCTTTATTCCTCGGCTATTATCTGATATGCTCTCGATCTCATTCTCAGGCGCTTTCGTGTGCAAGCCGAAACAAGTAAGTACTTTCGATAACGAACTTTAAGAGGATGGAATTGGTGTGGTCAAAACAACTACATTTTAGGCTCTCGAATCCAACCCTGACAACCACTTAGACTGCGATTGCTTATCTGCGCGAACAATCGGATGCTAACACAGGCAGCATGCTCGATTGATGCTAGGTGATGGGCCTCACCCTGACTTATTTTCAGTCCGTCGGTCACTTCATGCGCCTGCTGATATCTTAAATATTTTCCTGATAGCTCACCGTTAGTCCCCCACTGTCATTAGACTCAATGCACATGAGATATTGATGCTACCTGTCACGGCGATGGTCTGAAGTTTGCAAAACAAAAGCTCATCGAGATGTGTCTGGTCTCACAGTATCGGCTTGGCTTCCTTAGTTATTATCCTTCTGCTTTCAGCCCATCAAGGCACCCACGCAAATATGTTTCCTGTAGATAATTTCCGGAAACTCTATCACAGATTAGAGAACAGTATGTAGATTTCCTGTACATGTCGACCTTGGCTCGAGATATGGGGTTGCGTGGGATAGGTCTTCAGGGGCTGCCTAAATTTGTCACTACGAAACTCGCACCGTCACCTCGGAGCTCCACTGAGTCCTCGTCAATCGTCCTTGTGCTCATTTTGATTAATTATTATGACACTTCATCCTCTTATCAATAAGCCAGCGCCAGAGTTTTCTGTCCCCGATGCGAACGGACAAATGTTCAAGTTTCCCCCTGAAGAACAGGGGCGGCGAGTGAACAAGCCTATTGCATTATTCTTCTACCCCGAGTCAGGTAAGCGCTCGTCTATTCGCGTACATCGGTCCCGGCGGTCCGAAGTATTCGTGTTCTTGCACAGGGTCGCTTGCCTGCACCCAGGAGGCTTGCCAATTCCGCGATGCATTGGTTGGTATGTATTCTCACCTTCTTTAGGGCATAGTTGTGTATTGAGCGTGAATATGCAGAGAAAGAGATCTTCAAGCGGACTAACGTCCAGGTCATCGGGATAAGCCCCGATTCTGTGCCAAAGCAGAAGCAATTTGTTGAAAGTCATAACCTCACAGTGAGTTGCCCTGCCTGAGATATTGGAACGTCACGGAATAACTGAACTTATTGCGTGCACAGTATCCTGTCTTGAGCGACGAGAAGCACGTCGCCTACGGGGCTTTCCAAGTCGGCAAGAGCTTTCTCGGATTTACCGATGCGAGAACAACTTTTGTCATCGACAGAGATGGCATAATCAGGTAAAGTCACATACGCTCACCTGGCAGAATTCAAGTGGAAGTAACCGGAATTGTATAGGGATTCATTGTCTGCAACAATGATATACAGAGCCCACGTCAAATTCGTTGTTAAGGCCTTGGAAAAACTGGCGTCTCAAGTCGAACCTTCTCCTCAGTCCTCGGCAGAAAGGCATGACACCGATGCAGCACGGTCCGATGTCCCGTCTTCAGCTGAACTGGGTCGAGTTGCGTGCGTGGTTGGTGCATGATGACGTCGTCCCATACTCTTACGTTCATTGTGATTTCGGGCGACTGTCTGTGAGTACCTGAGCATCTTGTGCGATAACCCGTTATGAATTTTAATGTACAATATGGTCGGTAACATAAAAACTGGAATGTAATGAGACCCTCCGATGGCTATGGCTAGGCCCAGTTAATGAAGGACATGCCATTAGCAAAATCCGCGGAGGCCATATGCGCGCCATCTGGTATCGGCTTGCCTTTTTGGTAAGCACGAACCATATCTTTCAGTTGTTTTTGCTGCTTGCATGCTGCGATCACAGCAGTTAAGTCGCGCAAGACACCATATCAAACTACAACTCACTTGGTTTATGAGCTTTCCAGTGGCTCTTCTGGCATTCCTGGGTACAGTAAACCACCTATACTGCTTGTCAGTAGCGAGTCACGGGCTCTTATTGGCGCGCTTACTTCTTTGCATGCCGCACATCGCTTGAACTGCGTAACATTCTGTTCGACAGCATTGCAGTTAACATTTGAACAACTCCTCAGAAGTTCTTTCTTGGCGTCCATGTTATTATTTGCCCACTCCCATACCACCGGGTCCATCCACAGGTTCTGGGTCAGCCAAAGATAATCCTGAGCCTCCTCGGGACTATTGAATCCACGAGGGTTGTGATTCAGGCTGCCTGCGAATAACTAGTGAGAATTCGGAATGAGATATATTGCTAGGGCCATACGAGGCTTTTCTATTTTTGCCAGAATTTTGGTCAGGATAATGGGGTTGGCACGAGCAGCTATTCGAAGGTACTGTCGAGCAACAGGGCAATCACCCCACAATCTAAAGCAGGCCAAAGCTGCTGTGTGCAGCATCGATCCATCGGCGCGTTTCAGCAGTGCTTGCTCGTGCTCGGATGTCAGGCAATCCGAGGAAGGAGTTTGAAATACGGTTCCACCTCGTGGAGGTGTCTGTCGCCGATTATGGGCAAGCCACTGTTTTACGAACGACAAGGCATCAGATGTTCGACCTGCACATAGGAGCATAGATCCGAGCCACGTTCGTTGTGACGTGTTATCTCCCGGGCACAGACGCAGCATCTCAATCATAGTGTCACTTCATAAATCAACGAGACATCAGAACTTGGCGAAGAGCGCATAAGGCGAGGGAACACATACGAAGATTTACCAAACTGGCCGGCTTCAAAATAAAGTCGGACTTGAGCCTGTAGGACGCGCATGTACGGGCGCGTTTCAAGGATGCTATGGAACTTTCCAACTTCCTTGCTGCCATCATCGAAACAGGTTGCGCCCAAAAGCTGTTTCAAGCCTTCTTTGCCTGTCCCAGAACAATGGATGGTCTCCAAAGCCAACGATTCCACGAGCAGACTCACCCTTGGCCTCAGCATTCTCCAGTGCCTTCAGCGCTTCCGGCAGAGGAAAAAGGTAAGCAGCCTGGATGAAAGCATCCAAGTTGTTCCCATCCTCCATAGCCTTTAGAAGGAAAGGCAAAGCTTTCCGTGGCTTCTTTCTGCGGCATAAATCTTCGGCTCTATCGAGACTGCATCGGTCGCAGTTGGTCAGCGGTTTATCAGATGCAAACGTTTTCATGATGATGTCCATACTTGTTCTGAGCCTCTATGCTAACTGTGCCGCCACCGACCCCGAGCTTGCTCTCCATTCCATGTCGTCGATTCATACCTGAAAGAAGTGGTCGCAGACAGAGAAGTGTAACCACGTGTTATACATAGCCCCAGTCAGTATGTCGGACGCGTTAAACGACGTAACGCACATGTCACGTGCCTTAGTGCACTTATTGCGAATGCAAGTCTCTGCAAGAGCGTTCAAAATTGTATGTACCCGCAATCATGTTAGTACGCATTCTTTACCATGCATCACAGTAAAAAATGTGTGTTTTGAAGCATTGTTGCTACCTGTGGGCCTCTGCAGCCACCAAACATCTCGTGCCGATTACTTATGTCAAACTCTCAACACTCAAGTGAACGTCCCAACCCCAACCTCAATGACTATGCAGGCAAAAAGTTGTTTCTTTTTGTGCTCAGAGGACCACCATATAGATTAGTCTCAAGCATTTGGGTATGACGAGATCGAAGGAATGCCAGCTAGCGCCGTGGTGGATGGTGTCGACAGTTGTGCGATTGGCAGCTCAAGCCGGTGAGTGGATGGTTTATTCCGAAACCCACCTCATTTAACCTTCAAGTACTAATGTGCTTCATCAATTGGCAAGAAGCTCAGGCGTGAGGACCTCCTGCTCTGCCTTATGACCCTGATAGCTTGGTGAGTTTGACACGTTTATGTGGCGGGTCTTGTCCATGCGGTCGATTCGAATCGTCCAGAACGGGGACTATGCGCTGGGTTGGTACTATCCAATGCAATGCCAGCAGAGCACAGAACGAGGTAGCCTGGTAGGCGAAGCTTTCTCACATGGTACAACGTCGACTTATTACAGGATTTCTTTCTCTTGGAATCCAATAGGGGCTCTTCACCGCAATCGGAAAATCGGCAGTTGTTAACGCGCCACTGAATAAACCTCAGAATAGCACTTTGACATGGACGGAATCCGTCGGTGTATGGGCGCATCTCTTCTGTGGTATATATGTATGTATGCGGTATATCTGATAGGCCCTGAATCTCACCCCTGCAAGATTCTGATACCAGCCTTCCGTCAACCATTTGAGTCGCCGTCATGAACTACCATCCCACGATCACCGATCAGGGCGTGACACGCACTGATACTATGCAGCAATGCTGTAAACGTGACTGTCAGTCCCTACGGCCTGCCACACTGGCAGCAAAGGTACGCAGACACACCTCCTCACTTACATAGATATTCACTGATTTTTTAAACGATACTTGAAGATAGCACGTCCCCCCCAGTTCACCATCTCTTGCTTTCACATGCTCGTCACTGAACGTCTGATTCTCCGCTCTTACGTCGAGAGTGACCTCGATGACCTCCTTCGCCTCTGGAACGATCCACTCGTCCAGCCCCTTGTTACCAACGCCAACGTCACTCTTCTTGGTCCGAGGTTCAAGGAGTCACTCCGAGCTCAGATGGAGCAGGCGACCTTTGGTGCCATAATTGTGCTTAAGGAGACCGGGGAATTCATGGGTCAGGGATCAGTAACCATTCTCGAACCAAAGAATCGCGATGGCACGCTTGGGATCTGCTTGCTTCCAAAATTTTGGAGCAATGGATATGGGACCGAGGCGACAAAATTTATGATCGATCATTCGTTCAAGTGGTTCGGTTTGAATAGAATGTCCCTGGGAGTCTTTGCGCATAATGCACGAGCAATTGCGCTCTATGAGAAACTGTGAGTTGTGTTGTTTCATCTGATTGACTCTTATGATTGCATCTGCAAATGATGGTTGATTGATGTGTTCTCCATCAGTGGGTTCGTAATGGAGGGCAGGAAGCGACAGGCAGTTTGGATGGACAATCGGTGGGAAGATGCTTTGACTATGGGCATATTGCGAGACGAATGGGAAAAAAAGCAACAGTGATAAGGAGTGTATGACATACTCGCTCTCGTAGGTGGGCTTCATGACTATGTGCACCTCTATATTTATATGTTCGTGTTCATCCCACTCATCCCACTCATTTACGTCTAATTCCAATCTATAATGTACCAAAGTTAATCAATTTGACGGGAAGTCTGCATCATAAATACGCTTGTCGGCAAAGGGACTTTGCTGACTTGGCAAATGCACAAAAGACTGACTCTGCATCACGCGCAGCGCACTTTTGTTACGGAGGGGGTTACCGATAACACTGAAGAGTTATTCGTTATCGTGCTAAGCAATATCGCAATCAGAATGATGGTAATGTATAGTAAATGTCAAGGCTGCCGTACAGTATCAAACCGACTCAGAACCAAAGTCATACGACATCCGTGAAGTAATCAGCCAAACTCTCTTGCACCTCCTTCACCTTCCCAGCCACAGCAGCCAAAACGTTGTCTTTGCACCATGGCATTCCATCTAGCATCCCCTGCGTAGGTATCTCTCGCTCCACAAGGGCCTTCGTTACACTCTCCGCAAGCATCAATTTGCCCACCACGTCCGCGTATTGTAATGGCAGGACCTGACGGCCCATGTCCAATGTCGAGCGCCATAGTGCAGCCCATGCTTGATTACACCGTACTTGCGCGCCCCCGGTGCACCGTGGGCTATGCGCGATAACAGGTGGTTCGCTTGGTAGACGTTCCCATAGCCGGCCAAGAGCGTAATGCCCAGAAAGAAGGCGGATGCGCTGTGCTCGCGTGAGTAACACATCGTTGTCCCAGACTTCCCGGCCTTGGAGCATCATAGCATAATATGCGGAACCAAGCAGGATGCGTAGGTTAAGTCGTTCTGCGACTCCCATGGCAAGTCCAATGTCCTTTCCCGATAAGAGGAGCCGTTTCCATCGCAGCGTGGCAGCGTCAAGAAGATCCCGTTGCTCACAAAGAGATGCCAGCTCCGTAAGTTGCACAAGGCTGGGCCCTTCGACGTCTTCAACTTGAACGCTGGGGGAGTGCAATGGACGCGTGTATATCGTTGTAAGAGCCCCAAGGGCCCATCCTTCGATCGAGCGGAATTCATACTTATGCGTGATGCGAGCGAGATTGAACAACTGGGACGTATTCGCTTTAGGCGTTAGCGCGAGGGTGAGCTCATGTGGCCTGCGTATCAATTACTCTCAATACAACTCCGTTTGGGGAAAGAGGTCGTGCAAACGTACGTACAAAGCGTATAAAGCCCACAGGAGAGCGCGGAATTCCTGCGCTGTGTCTCCGTGGAGCCTAATCGGGTTGTCGTCGCTTTCACCTTCGGGTCCCGCCGTGACACTCGGCATGCTGGAGCTTGAGCGTAGGTCTGAGTCCAGGGAGAACATACTGTCAAAGGTGGATTTGTCCTTTGTCAGTGTCGACCTATGGACCTAAGAGTGATGGCATCGGCGTCAGTGGCGCACAATTCGCTGTACACAACAACGAACCCTAAAAAGTGTGTTCTCTACAAGCAGAACAGTGTTTCCGTCAGGTATATAGTATGTTGGATCATGGTGAGGTATAGAGAGCTGGAGCTGGAGCTTCGGAGTTGTTGGACTGACGTCTCCCGAGTGCATGAAGCTGGTTGTGAGATAAACGTCAGACGGTAGATGCGCCATCAAAGTATCGAAAATATAGCAGAGGCTGTTGGTGTTGGGAGGAATGGTGAGAACTGTTGCTGGGCGGTGGTGGTCAAGGTTCCAAGATAAGATAACTGTCATTCAAGAAAGGCAACCTCCTGTCTACTAGATATCTCACAATTGAGTTTTGATTGACTTCCTCAATGTGACCACGGTTTAACAGCATTGTATTCCTACAACGTGATGCGGAGATATATACAAGCCGTACCATCTGGTCACCTGGCTAATAACCCCTCCAACTTTGGAGGGGATGTGAAAGTAGCAGTAAGAGATAGAGAATGAAGAACCGAAAAAGAGAAAAGGATATGCGGGTTCACAGCTAAGATAGCGAAGCGAGCGTGTAGGATGCTAAAAGTGCGAATGCGAGGAGGGAAAGGCGAATGAAGGAGTCTAGAACGAGGAGTACATGGGAAGGCATAGCGTAGGCGTACATACAAGTTGAAGGCTTGGTTCGAGTCGCATACAAAGACGTGGTGGTGTGCAATGAAAGATGACTGCGCTGGCGAATACAGTGTGCCGATGAGTTGAAATATTGAAAGTCGAGTGGAGACATCATGACTCGAGGGCTTTGAGCTCTGCTACCAGGCGCTGAGGTATGAAGATTAACATTGGATCCTAGACGCATGATCGATGAAGACATACCTCTGCTTCTTTGGCGAGATATTCCTGATCTATCTCGCCATTTTGAGCCTGCTGGCCCAATTTAATGCCATACTCAAGCAACTGCTTCATGTAGTAGGGATTAATGATGGTCTCGTCTTGCGCCAGCCGGGGCTTCGCTGCCGGGACCTCAGCTATAGAAAATGAGGTCACCACAAATTTCAGATAGTGCTTCAATCCTCACGTTCTTTCATCGCCAACCATTCTTGGTCAAGCAACTCAGGAATCGTTGCCCGCTCCTTCGAATTCCGCATCAAGCAGCTCTTAATGCCCTTGATAACGTCCGCTCTGACAGGTCGTTTCAAATGCTCGAGCTTTTTCCGTTCACCTGCCTTGTTCACGACGGTGGGTATGCTGTAGTCCGGATACTCGATGATGTGCGCTAAGTCGGGGATGGCCTTCATCTTCTGATATACAGAAAGATGCTGGAACGGCGGGTGACCATAGACCATCTGGTAGAGAATGCACCCGAGAGACCAGACGTCACTGGCTCGACCGACTTTGAGCCGCCGCATGCCGTCAGGAAGTTCGATGGCTTCGGGGGACATGTAGTTGACGGTTCCGATCTATAGACAGAAAACGCAATCAATAATGAAGAAGTGTACCTGAGGGAGAACTTGCCTGATGATCTCGCTGGATATTAGTAGTGTCGTTGGCGATAGCATTTGCAATACCGAAGTCAATAAGCTTCAGTTGGCCCCTCACAAGAACGAAGTTTGCGGGCTTCAAATCGGAATGGACGATTTTTTCCTCGTGGATGACGTGAACGGCTTGCAGCATCTGGTCGCTCACGTTAGTAACAGGGATGAACAAAGTGGCCGTGTCCTGACTGACCTGCTGCCAATAATATGATATCCAAACCATATTCATCGGTTCCTTCTGCTGCTCCTGCAGCAACTTTGCTAGATCAACCTCTCCACATTCCATTACAAGCATCAAATGCCCTTTTGTCCCTCCAGGACCCGCCTTCACCTCACTATCAAACAGCTGAATGATCCGATTATTCCCCTCGAGCCGCTTGAGCAACCCGATCTCATTCATGTATCCGCTCATAGTCTCCGCGTCTGTCTTATCCAGCGACACGCGCTTGATAGCATAGATTTCATTGTTCGCGTTCATCACGCGGTATACGCGAGATGAGCCGCCCTTTCCGATCAGATCGAGCCGTGCATACACTTTCTTGTTCACAACAATGTTGTGATTCCGGACGGGAGCTGGAGCTGGCACTGGCAAGGGTGGAGGGGGTGCCTGACGCACTCGCGACGCAGTCTTGGCCTCTGGTTCACTATCCGCAGGCTCGTCCCCCGCAGCCCAGGTCTTCCCGTTCTTCGATTTGCCAGGACCGGGGGGTGGTGCTAGCGACCCACTCGTAGTTGGTGGTTCGGGTGCTGTGGGATTGCGCCGGTGATACGCTTGTCCCTGTCCCTGTGACGACGACACATTCCGCGCAGACGGAGACAGTCTGCCTGGATTATGTTCGACTACTGTGGGTGAGGACGCAGTGGGAGGGTTATTGAGCGCGATGGAGCGGAGAGTGTCAGAGTCGCGCCGATGGTGCGTCTGTGCACGTATGTGCGCATGAGACATATGTGTTGGGGAGGGCGACTGGCGGGGTTGGGGGAAAGGTTCAGGCGCCTCTTCCGCTGCACGGCGGGCGTATTCTGCTGCGTATTCTGTAATCGTAAGGTCAATGAAGAGGCGCAGGCAAGTATGAGGATGTCAACGCACCATCTTGCTCGGACGTCACGCGTCTGACGCGTGCTGAGTTGAGGCCCAAGCTGGACCCTGGGCGCGGGGCGTACTGCTGTTGGTTTTGGCTTGGGAGCAGGCGGGGGGACAGCCGGTCTTCTGTTGCGCATAGTTGTTAAATACCATGATGAACTGGATAGAATATGGGAACACACCTCCAGAGGCATCACTTAGACTTGCTGAACGGCGAGGCCGTGTGCCACTCGATAGTGTAAGAGAAGTGACATGACTGCGATGGCGAAGCATGCCATTCGTGGGTTGTGGTTCATCTGCGTCTTCATAAATGGGTTGGATTGTGAGACTAGGGAAGACAAAGAGATACGAACTGGGATCGGTCTCATCGCCTGCATAGTCGGTAGCAAATTCGTTCTCACTACCCTCATTCTCGTTGATCTTGTCGAATCCACCCGAACCCACACCGTACTTGACGCCCATCAATACCCGCCCCGCGCGATTGGGCCCGGGCATGATCTGCCGGCCGGGCTGAAGCGGCTGGCGTGCGCCCGTTGATGGCGCATATGCGCGTGTGGGTAGGCCAGAAATTGCCCGTCCGTCTAGTTGGCTCACAGAGGCTGAACGAGCAGCTAGGCGAGGGGATGTTCGTTTCGTGGCGGCTCCATCTGACGACAGACCGTCTGCGTCAGAAGTAGTCATTAGATTTTCCTTTTCCTCCTGTACCCGCATCTCCCACTCCCCTCGCACTCGCAGCTCCTCCCGTTCATCCAGCGTAAGTGGAGGTTGTTCACGGTACTCGTCTCGAGGCACGCGTTGGGGGCGCCCTATTTTTCGACCGGTCCCACCAAGGCCACTCGACATCGGTGCCCGTAATGCCGATTGAGAGGCAGCAGGCGTCAATGCAGCAGGTCCAGACGCGACCCGTTGGAATGAACGAGCCGGATTACCTGTTGCTAATGACTGAGTTCGGTGCTGAGCTGCAAGTGGCAGTGGCTCAAGAGCGCTCCCGCTTTGAAGCAGCGGATGAGCGCTCTCTGACCGCGAGAGGGAATTCCGTCGTGGTGGTACTGGAGAATTGAGTAGTATAGGTGAAGGAGGCTTAGCATACGCATAGGAAATAGAGGTGCCCTGTGGTGGTGAGGACGAAGAGGGCTTAACAGCGCCGTCAAGTAGAGGGTCATTTGGTGTCGGCGGGCTCGAATTAGTTGACCTGGATGAACCTTTGGATATGCGGACATAGTTGCCCGCAGAGTCGAGCTCGTAATCAAATGAGAGCTCGATAATAGATGACTCGTCAGACGGGGAAGTTGATGACTGGCGATTCAAGTTCTTTGGGTCATCAAATGCAGTCATTGGTGGTGTTCGTGGTGGCGAGACACGGTGCTCGCGATGGGTTGGCGATATGGTTCGTGGTGAAGTTGAAGGAACCATCGATGACGAGAAAAGCTATTACGCCGAGAACAGGAGGTAAGCGCCGACGAGAAGGGTGTCGTCGTCGTCGTCGTCGGCGGCGACGGTGTCGAACTTGAGGGGATGAACGAAAGTTACACAAAACTCTTTGTGAACTTTGAAGACTTGAACAACACGAGGCAGATACGCGGTCACGTGCAAGTTGTAATTTGACCGCAGACCGCGTTGTTACAACCGTAGACCGCAGGACCACCTTCCATACTTCCACTTCCACAGAAGCATGGATTTTGTCAACATATTAGGTCAGTTCAATTATTTACACCGCAAACGATCGCAGATATAAATTGTGTGACAGCTGCACTATGTACACTGCGATCGTTCAATCTCTGGTCACATCTCTCTTGAGTGCTCGGTGTGCAGCATAGAAGAGTCCTACTACCACTAGTGACGGAGCTCAAAACCCTAGTTGAATTAACGCGGGCACTTGCGGCGAGGGAGCGGTGAAGCCGTAACTTGGTCGGAACATCCTTTTAAAGTTTTGATCTCGATGCGGGCAGTCGCAGCATGACCCTTCAGGTTGTTCCGTAAGTGCTTCACCAGACATAGCAGGGTCCCTAACGAGCCCTAACATCTCATTAGGCATATACCCGCGGAATGGTCATCAAGCTGACAGACCGCACATAAGAGCTAGCGCTGGCACTGGCACATTAGGTCAACCCGTAGTATCGTAGCAAAGACATGGCATCTTTTCTCTCTTTTCCGCCTCTCAAATCATTGACTCCAGAGTTGTTGACCCAGCTCAAAGAGCGCAGTGGAAGGTTTCTATTCGAGATCATCAGCATGAACTGGAAGCGCAAATTCTGCCAAACCGCCCACGAGCTGACCATCCGAGTCCGACACGGTCAAACCCCTCCACGAGGATGAGCAAGGATTTTTGCGCAACTTCCGCAAGTTGGTTTCACTCACTGTATACGATACCTATCAACTATTCGTGAGTCGGGTCTTTGATACGCCTTGTCAGGAATCTGAGATCGTCGATCTCTTTGTACTTGATTCCCCTGCTTTCATGCACCCAAGAGTATAGAGGAACAACCTGGCTTGCGACAGGCTCTCAGATTCAGAGTGTACACACCTATCACTTAAGCTATAGGGAGGTCTTGAATATCAAGGCATCGTTCGCAAAATTGTTGTCACTCCGTCGAGTGGTGGGTTACTGAGCACTCAGATGGGATGGAACCCCAAGCAAGACGAAGACAGAATATCATATGAGGGTGAGTGCCGTTCGAATTGATATCAATTACTCAGGCTGATCATTATTTTCACCTAACACAGTCTTGTTCTGCAAGACAGTTGAGCGTATGCAACGTGCAGGGAAAAGTGAAGTATTATCATGGTGATTGTGGGGTCGAACAAATCAAGAACACGTTGCGTCAGCAACTTAAAGAGTCAACATATGATACGAAAAGTACAGAGGTTTAAGTTGGTAATACTAATTGTTCATGCAGGCACTGCCAAAATACGAATACACTACAATATCTCTAGTGTCCCGATTTTCATCTTTGAATAAACAGCAGTCATGTCCTTGTCCCCTGTCATGCCCTTGACCCTCGCCATGATTTTGCGATCTGAAGCGATTCTCTTATATTCCCCACCACGCTGCTGCGCTAGCAAAAGCGCGCCAAAAGGCTGTCCAAGGCGAACGATCAACCTTGACTCTCGCAATTGAGAATCGACTGGCTCAATGTCTCCAGGATACCTGCGCTCGGACGAATCATCCTTGCTCCGAGGTGCATCATCCGCAAAGTCAGGCAGCCCGAAGTCATAACGATTCCACGGACGGACGAGGACGAATTTCTGCTGCGTAGGCTGCGCAGGCGAAAATTCAACGAGTTTGTCTTTCGTCGTAATTAGCAGGTCTCGGAGCCCCTTTGCCTTGACATTATACCGAGTATAGCTCGTCTCCTGGCCCTCTGAGTCAGCGCTCCGTGTGACTTCTGTGAGACGAAACGCGATGCAGGGCAGGTGCAGTCTGTTCTGTGCGAAACGAGGAGCAGAGAGAATGTCAAGGTCGTTATACAGCGCTGAAGCTGACTTCGCAGTCACAGCACTTTGCAGCTTGGAGACTGATGCTTGCATGTCACTCTCAGATAGAGATGGTAACGTGGATGGCGCAGCGTTGTAAAAAGCAATGTCGGCTGGGAGACAGCTATTGAACCCAGATGGTTTCCCGACCCAATCCAGGGCAGTAATATCGCCCGACCGAGCGATGACCTCCTGTAAGAGTCGCCCGAGCGCGTTTTCTTTTGTCTCGCCATAAAGGATATGTAAATGGATCCCGAAGATGCCGAACAATGAGTATGCGACATCTTCCGCCAATGTGGTGATACGCTTCGATACCCATCGAAGTTTCTCTCGCGCATCTGTCATGCCCGGACGGAATGTGAGGAGGGATCGTGCATCTATGCCTGTTGAATTCGCTAACTCCTGCATGATGGTGGCTGACTTCTTGTGGTTGGGAGAACAGTCTCCGAGATACGGAGTCCAATCTGCTTGGTAAAAGATGACAACTCCCGGAGCGAGGAACTCCTGAACAGTCCATCCTCGCGTGTTCCAAGCGCTCTTCGCCAGCGCGCCAGACTTCGACGAAGGTGGGACGTCCGACAAGTAGACTATCGTAAGAGCCGAGTTATGATACCAGACGAACATGGAGTTAACCGATCGTGAGAGCTCGGCGTTGTTTTTCTGGTCGATGCAGCATGTATCGCTCCATGCCCAGCGATGCCCAGCATCACGAGCAACTTCGCAGAACATCTGCAACTTCACCACGGTTCCCACCGGATCCAACGTGTACACATCCTTCTCCTGAATGTCGTGCAGCCCGGGCTCCTTGGTATCCCACCTATGCGATAACATGGCCCAACTGAAGTACACCGCAACCGCTTCTTTGATTGGCTCTATTGGGAGAGGCGCATGCGTGATCGATAATGATTTAATCTCCTTGTACTCTGCGCTCTCCATGAAGGTATTTATTTGCGCCTCTCGATCACATACATGGCCAGTGAATGTGTTGAGTAGACGAAGCGGGGCATTTTCCAGTTGGGCATCAATGGCCTGTTTAATAGCGTCTTCTATCTGAGATGGACTGTCATATTGCTGACCTGGAGAATGTGTTAATCATCATCAGTGAGCACGTGAGTCGTTCAGGGCTTACGTCCTGTCAGTTTGTCGAGTGCATAGTCCACCTTCAAGAGTGCAGCTTCGAAGGCCTCGATTACTTTATCATAGCATTGTATGCCAAGAAGCGCCACATGCTTCAGTTCGTGCCCAAGAACAGACGACGGGCTGAGTTTGATTATCTATGCATTGGTAATATCAGCACAGTTGAGAAAACAATAACGGAGATCGTAAGCACCTTTTCTGCATAGTGAAGGGCCTGTTTATAGAGGTTTCTTTTTAAATTTTCCTTACAGCGGTCCACAAAGAGGGAGACTTTGTCAGGTTCCGAGGCTTTGACAGGTTCCAATGCTTCGTCAGGGTCCAAAGCTTCGTCAGGCTTACGTCGCGTCTGTGCGTTAAATGCCTTCAAAGCCTCGATTGCTTCATTATAGCGTCGTTCGCCACGAAGCGCTACAAGCTTTAGTTCGGGCCCAAGAGCCGACGAGGGGTAGAGTTCGATAACCTATACATTAGCATTATCAGCACAGTTGGGAGAACGATGATGGAGATCGTCCACACCTTTTCTGCGTCGTGAAGCGCCTGCGTATAGAGGTTTCGTTTTAAATTTTCCTTGCAGCGGTACACGTAAAGGGAGTCTTCACTTCCAGCTTCAGCAGTTTCTGAGGCTTTGGCAAGCTTGCGTCGTGTCTGCGCGTCGAATACCTTCAACGCCTCAATTGCTTCATTATAGCGTTGTGCGCCAAGAAGTGTTGCATCCTTAAGTTTGTACCCAAGAACAGTAGAATGGTAGAGATCGGTAACCTAGTATGTGTTATCAGCGCAGTTGCGAGAAAAATGGCAGATCATCCGCACCTCTTCTGTGTCATGAAGAGCCTGCTTGTAGAGGTTTCGTTTTAAATTTGCCTGATACTGGTGCACAAAGAGAGAGTCATTGTTGTCACCGCCATAGGCTTCAACAGTTTCTGAGGCTTCATCAGGCTCTGAAGCTTTGTCAGGTTGTGAGGCTTCGTTCAGGCTTACGTTGTGTCTGCGCAGTATTGAATGCCTTCAGAGCTTCCATTGCTTCATTATAGCGTTGTTCGTCGAGAAGTGTTATATCCTTTACTTTGTACCCAAGATCAGTCGAAGGGTATGGTAACCTATACATTGGCATTATCAGCACAGTCGCAAGAAGAATGATGACAGAGTTCGTCCACACCTTTTCTGTGTTGGGAAGAGCCTGCTTATGTTTATTTTGTTTTAAGTTTGCCTTAGGGCGATGCACGGGGAGGGGGCCTCCGCTACCACTGGCATAGGCCCCAACAGTTCCCGAGGCCCCGTCACCTCTTGCACCCTCAGGCTGGCTCTTGACGCCGATGAATTGACCGGTAACATAGTTCGCGTACTGAGGATGAGCCTGCTCAAAGATTCGACCAGAACTATCCAAAAGGCTGGACGGCTCGCTCGCAGAGACGATGATTCCTGGTGTAAAAGCATTGGCTCCTGAATGTACATCTCCTTGACCCCACGAAGCAACTGGCGTTGTACCACCAGCAGGGACTGTGGTTCCACCTACAACACCGACTGCGGTTGGAACATTGCTCAGATTGATATTGTTGAGCATGAGGGGACCGGCCAGTTGACCTCCAGGCCCACGACTGCTTCCGCCAGGCCCACGAGGCCCCACAGGCCTACGACTGCCTCCACCAGGCCCACCTCCACTAGGTCCAACTTCACCAGGCCCACCTAAACAAGGAACACGACTGCCTCCGCCAGGCGCACGACTTCCTCCACCAGGAGCACGACTGCTTCCGTCAGGCGCACGACTACTCCCGCCAGGTGCACGACTTCCTCCACCAGGTGTACGACTGCTCCCGCCAGGTGCACGACTTCCTCCACCAGGAGCACGGCTGCTCCCGCCAGGTGCACGACTTCCTCCAATAGGAGCACGACTGCTCCCGCCAGGTGCACGACTTCCTCCAATAGGAGCACGACTGCTCCCGCCAGGTGCACGACTTCCTCCAATAGGAGCACGACTGCTCTCGCCAGGTGCACGACTTCCTCCGCCAGGTGCACGACTACTTCCGCCAGGAGCACGACCTCCTCCGCCAGGAGCACGACTGCTTCCGCCAGGAGCACGACTGCTCACGCCAGGCGCACGATTGCCTCCGCCAGGCCCACCAGGTGTACGCTGTGTCTGCGCATCGGATGCCTTCAAGGGTTTGATTGCTTTATTATAGTGTTGTGCGCCGGGAGGTGTTGCATTCTTTGGTTTGTGCCTAGGATCAGCCGAAGGGTGAGGTTTAGTAACCTATGCATTGGCAGTATCAGCACAGTTGCGAGAACAATGACAGAGATGGTCCGCACCTTTTCTGTGTGGGGAAGGGCCTGCTTATATTTGTTTCGTTCGGAATTTGCCTCACGACGGTGCACAAAGAGGGAGCCTCCGCCGCCACTACCATAGGCTGCAATGGCTTCGTCAGATTCCGTGTTGTCATCCGCGTCGATCTCATAGGTCAGCAACTCTTCAGTGGTACGGAGGTCCTCAGAAATGTATCCGGTCTGCATGAAGCAAGCTCAATTTACGTGATAAGTAGACACATGGAATGTGAAAGCTCACGTCAAGCACTGAGTGTTCGTCGTCACTGCCATAGACTTCGTCATCTTCGAAAGCTTGAGCTTCTTCAGTTTCCCAGGGTGCATATGTCCCTTCGGCCCCTTCAGTTTCTGAGAGATAAGGACTTGGGCTCTCGTGATCCGAAGCGCCAGAGTTGGTGGGGGGGCCGTCATCATCAGAGTCATCATCATAGGGATCAAGTTCATTAGCGTCCCAGTTGTCAGCGGGCTCGCTGCCAGAGTTGCTATAGTCACCACGGAGACCGTCATCGTCAGAGGGATCAGCTTGCTCGCTGCCAGAGTTGCCAGAGCCATCATGAGGACCGTCATCATCAGAGGGATCAGCTTCCCCAGCAGGCTCGCTGCCAGAGTTGCTAGAGTCATCACGGGAACCGTCATCATCGGATGGATCATCAGAGGGATCGGCTTCAGCAGCGGGCTCGCTGCCAAAGTTGCTAGAGACGTTACGGGGACCGTCATCATCAGAGGGATCACCCCCTTCAGCATCCCAGGTGTCAGCGGGCTCGCTGCCAGAGTTGCTAGAGTTATCACGGGGACCGTCATCATCAGAGGGATTAGATTCCCCAGCGGGCTCGCTGCTAGAGTTGCTAGAATCATCACGGGAACCGTCATCATCAGATGGATCGCCCCCCTCAGCGTCCCAGTTGTCACCGGGCTCGCTGCCAGAGTTGCTAGAGTCATCACGGGGACCGTCATCATCAGAGGGATTAGATTCTCCAGCGGGCTCGCTGCCAGGGTTGCTAGAATTATCACGGGAACCACCATCATCAGATGGATCGCCCCCCTCAGCGTCCCAGTTGTCACCGGGCTCAGGCTCGCTGCCAGAGCCGTTAAAGTCATCAGGGGGATCATCAGAGGGATCGCCCTCAGCGTCCCAGTTGTCACCGGGCTCAGGCTCATCGCCATAGTTATCAGGGTCATCAGGGAGACCGCCATCATCATAGGGATCATCGTAGGGATCAGCCCCCTCAGTGTCCCAGTTGTCAGCAGGCTCAGGCTCGTCGCCAAAGTTGCTAGAGTCGTCAGGGGCTTCATAATCCTCCCACTCGCCAAATTCATTGTAAGGCATGTCAAGCTGACCTAGACAGAGAGATAGATAGTCAGTTGCATTCGAGTTGAAGTTGACGAGGAGCACACTTTAGGGATATTGCAATCTTGTGGATATTGTGTGTAGTGAGTAGCAGTAGATAAGGTTCTGACCACAATTTGGCTCGTGGAGTCTTCCGTAGGCAGATAGAGAAGGAAGACAGGAAGTCGTTCGTTCTTTAAAGACTCGCGGAGGCGCTCATCCATTCACCCCGACTTCGTACATCTGTATTTGAACTCGTCTTGAGAGACACTTGAGAGCGATACTTTTGGGATAGTTCAGGGACACTGTCGCCCAAGTACCTCTCCACCAATGAGAGCGCGCACTTATGGCTGAATAAAGTTTCAAATATGAACGTAAACTAGGCCGTCTCTCAGATGTACTACTTACACGCTGTTACGGCTTCGATCTCACGTTGCAATTGGCTTGCTCCACCATCAGATATTGCCCCTTTTCATAAGCGCTGCATATACTACTGGGAATAGCACCTTCATTCTGTGCTCAGTGAAAGCCGAAACAATGTATGTTTGGTGGTATCACGTACCGCAGGCAATTCTGCAAGTAGATATCTCTTCTACTTAGCTCGTCTTTCATCATCCGTCGTAACACACCCTACTTCGCCGAAATATTGACGCGGTGTTCATATCAGGCACTCGAGCGGTGAAAATACATGACATCGGTGTCTGTTGATATACCCCTGTGAGCCTGTTTCCCCACATGATAGTCATAATGACGCGTACCTCTTGGCCAAGCGTTCCACGTCACCATATTTTATCAATGCGGCGTTCATATCAGGCGCTCGAGCGGTGAAAATGCATATTGCCGGTGTCTGTCGATGGACCCTTGTGGGTCTGTTTCCCCATTTTAATTATAATGATGCGTACCTCTCAGACAAACGTTCCATGCCATCGTATTTTGCAGTTTCACGATGTCTCTCTTTGACAGTTAGCGGAAGCTAAAAGACATGAAATCTCGAGCATTGGCTTCTCCCGGTCGATACCGAGCTTCGCTGGCATTGTGACCATGAAGTCGTGGTTGAAAATGAACAGGGTTATCGTCCGGGCACCGAGGGATGACGGTGTGGGAGATCCTGCAGATGCGAAGGTGATTGGACCCAATCATGCGAGGGAGGCGACGGATATCGCACAGGCAGCTCTTACGATTCCGCGTTCACGGGGACGCTGATTTAACAGGACGTGTGTAATCTAGTTTCGGAGCATGAGGGTGAGGCTCTTGACTCTTGGGATCCGTGTCAGGTCGGCGGTGCGAAAAGTGATGCTTTACGATTGATTTCTCCTAGTGGATTTCAATATAGCGAAGGTGGCGGATGCGAGGGCACAGGAATATCGGATACTGAGTAGCAGGAAGGCAATTCTTCTCACTGACGTCAGAACCTGCATGGGAATCATGGAGCTGTCGGTTAATAGACTTGCTGTAGAGCCAATTACGATGCTGAGCGCTGAATGATCGGTGCGGTCTCAAGATCAGCAACGCGCTTGTTATTCGATTCCCCACGGACCTCCCAAGCTCCTGAGATCCCAAACATACAAGTAGCCACCCAGCAACTAATAGAGACTCGCCACCTCGGAGATCGATGACGGGCAGTGATGTGAAGATGAGGTTGTAAGTAACAGAAGATAGAGCCATAATTGCATAGATAAGTCGCGTCGAAGCTCTCAAAAGTATGCTCAGCCAGCGAATACAAACCATTGAATGTGTTGACACTCACCGGTAGAATAGCATCAATCAAAGCATGGCCAACGTCCAGATGACGTTCTGAAACATGACTGAGTAATCATTAAGGACCTGAAATCCTAAAGACTCTGATAGTTAGTTAACTTAGTTGTAGGGGTCAACATACTATATTAATGCTGCGAAAATACAATATTGAATAAAATTAATTCTCAGCTATAGGTGAGGGACTCTCGAGTGGTGACTGGCCCAGAGCTATCGCCAGGCAGCTTGAGACATCCGATCCTGGGCCAATCGAGAGGGAAACAACTTGGAAAAGACGAGACGAGCCTCGACGCTAAACGAACGCGACGTGTAAGTCACGTGTCACATGTCTTTACGTGCAGCGACGAGTAGCATCTCATAGGTGTCCTTACTTGACAAGTAATCTTAAGTGCATCATGATCTATTTGACTTATCCAATTAATATTGTGATCAATGTATCTTCGTCATTTGGAGCGATACCATCATTGGAATTTCTATATCACCTTTACCGTCAGTCCCATCGCCCCAGGAGCTACCTGTAAGCACGCTGGCTTACCTGAGTTCCCATACTCAGTATATATACTGTCGCTGATACTGAAAGCTAAGCTTTCAGTATTCTACCTTTTGGTGTAACGGTTATGCGCGTGCGGCAGTCTGACCTACTTACACTACCACGCTGATATTTTCTTTCGCTTGTGGACGGTGCGCGTGAGTTTTAGAAGGATGAGGGTTCTGAGGTTGAGGTGTTGCAGCATGGGCTAGTGGTATGTCTGTCCCCACCCCATTCCCTTCCCACTCCCCTCACGCTTTATTCCTGCTCACGCTCGTTACAGACAGATACTTACCCTATCGCACTCTCTGCACCACCTCACCGGTCGTTGCATACATTTCACCCAAAAGTCCGGCAGGTTTCTAAAGACTCTGAGCAATCTCCTTCGTCTTCAAAGTCTTCCTTGACTTCGCCGTCGTTCGTAGTTTATCGCAAGTGCAAGTGCCCCTACAAGTCTACAGTCGTCTACCGCAGGAACTTTGTTCTCAAGGCCTTACTTCCAAGCTCACAGAAGCCACCATCCACCAGTTCCTCTCGCCCCACCACCGTTATCTCTATTCTCGCATATTTCGCTCTAGATTCGACTTATCCGCCAATTCAAGTCTGGCGACGCGCCTCTTCTTCATGCACTATCGACATTCACTGCCACCGACCTCACTTTGTACTTTCACCGTAGACCGTGTTGGTGCATTATGACTCCGCCGTGGACAGCGGGACTTCTTCCACTGACACATCAATCCACCCACTCTACTCCTACGCAGTGCCAACCAAGTCCCCTAGAACCATGGATTCTATCAATCGATCAATTAGTGGACTGGCAAGTGCAGCCGCACTATGCATGATCAATGCACATATTATCACACGGCGATTGTTCAATCTCTAGTCATACCTCATGGGTCTGAGTCCTACTAGTAATAACACGGAGAACAGAACCCTAGTTGGATTCACGCGGGCACTTGTGAGGGAGTGGGGAAGCCGTAACACGGTCAGAATACCCCTTTGAGTTTCATCATCATGGGACAGTCACAGCCTCCCGCAATCAGATGTGACAAGCTATGAGAACAACCAAGTACGATTCCGTGAGTGCATCACCCACCATATCAGACATAGCAGGGTCCCTAACGTAAAATTAGGCCCCCTGAGGAACGGCCATCAAGCTGACAGACCGCACATCAGAGCTAGCACTGGTACATCAGGTCAACTCGTAGCAAAAAGATGGCATCTTTTCTCTCTTCCCCGCCTCTCAAATCATTGACTCTAGAGTTGTTTACCCAGCTCAAAGGGCGCAGTGAAAAGTTTCTATTCGAGATCATCAACACGAACTGGAAGTGCAAGTTCTGCCGAACCGCCAACGAGCTGACTGTCTTTCGACACGCTGTCGAATAACTCCACGAATATGAACAGGGATCTTTGCGGAACTTTCGCGAGTTGATTCCACTCACCGTGTACGATACTATCAACCATTCGTGGCTCGGTTCTTTGATGTGCCCTGTCAGGAATCTGAGGTCATTGCACCTGGTTTCCCTGCCTTCATAACAGTTTCTAGTGTGACCTCGGGCAAGGAACCCGAATTTTTCGCGAACTATAGAGGAACAACCTGGCGTGCGGGAGGCCCTCAGATTCAGAGTGTATACACCTATCACTTAAGCTACAGAGAGGTCTTGAATGTCTTCCGTGGAGATCAAGGCATCGTTCACAAGATTGTTGTCACCCCAGCGAGTGGCGGCCTGTTGAGGACTCAAATGGGATGGACCCCGAGCAAGACGAAGACAGAATGTCGTATAAGGGTGAGTGCCGTCCGAATTGATGATCATTAAATCTGGGCACTAAAATTCGCGATTTTAGTCCCAGGGGAGACTGCTCTGCTCGCAGTGGTCATAGTCACACATCACCCCTAATTTCTTCTTCTGCACGCGCTGTTCGCGCTGGCCGATCGTAGTGTGGAGACTCTTAAGGTCCTTTTCTCAACAACATTGCTCGACATGTTTATGTACATCGAGTGTGATTAGTTCAATCTTGTGGACGCCATCGATAAAGGGACAATACCGGATTTCGAACATATTGAATACGTGCGAGATCACCTGGAGGTAAGCACAAGTTGATATTTCTCCTGTGACTACCTGATCAAATGCATAGTAGCACTTGCCTGCGAACCCTGTCCGCGCGACCGAGCTTCGTGCCGTCGGACCGCCTTCCAATATCATCGGGTGGGCAAAATAGGTCTGGCCAAATCTGAAGATAGCATTGAGCACCGGAAGTGGCCCTCTCTCGTCTGCTGTGCCAAAAGTCGGCTGGTTGACTTCTGCGTTTGTTCTTCAGCATTATGCTCATCAGGAACTATCAGGTGAAGCATATTCTTGACCCTGATGTGATACTCCAAACACCAAGATATGGTAGTAGTGAATGCGTCATTGGCCCCCCTTATCAGCCTGGGGACCTGAACCGGTTCAGGGTTTTGTTGGACGACGCATTCATTAAGTACCTCGACGTGGATACAGAGGAGGTGTCCAACAATCTATGCGCGGCGGTGTGTCCTTTTTGTCGAGTTGCATGAGCGGTAGCCTTGATCCATAGTAGTGGGAGGCTGAACCAGGGAGACTCTATGAACTTGTTCTGACCACTTGCAACGGATTGTGGCGGTACCGACTTGGTGATGTAGCTGAGCTGTTGGGCTTTGCTCCAGACGATGGTTCTCCCGTAGTGAGATTCGTTGAACGGCGGAAGTAAGTCATAGACTATCTTCGAGTGCCTGGTTGAGCTGAGTGAACCTTGCAGTGCGGTGATAAAATTCGATACCACATTTCTCACGGAAGCCCAACTGGTCCAATCGATATCTTCTGCAACCCAAGACACGATCGGTCAAGTTTTGGAGTTCACTTGCTTCAAGGACACCCGATAACTTCCCTCAACCCTTGGATTCTTTGTGGAACCAGCTCAGGAGTCATGTAAGCCTCTCATTTTCACATTAATGGTTTCTACAACTGCAGGTTTGCTAGGCAACTCTCCCCATCCCCTAAAGCTATGACTGCTTGATGCCCTTTCAGGTGTGAACAAGAATATTAAGCGCGCCTATGATACTGGGGCGTTCGGTATGCCCACAATACGCATCGTCAAGCCTGGAACATTCACGCAATACAGAAAATGGAAGGGCGAAGCGGTTGTGATTGGCACCTGTCAAGTGAAAGTGCCTGTGGTGAAGTCCGACACCACAGCTCAGGAATGGATAATGAACAGAGTAGAATTGGAAATCCAAATGTCCCCGACGTAGTCCCCTTACAAATGCGTCAACAACGATCACCTAGCTAAGCTTCAAAGTATGAAATGATGGTCATCATTGATATTGTTTTGAAAACAATTCTCAGCAGGCGTTATGTACTATTTCCACTTACAACTGACATGTCAAAGACGACCTGACGTAGAATCATAACTGAGATCGACGTATAAGCACACTAAGAGGAGGGTAGTGAAAAACTCCAGGAATCGTATGCGCCAACTTGTGCGAGTTCCGCAAAAATCCCTGTTCATCTTCGTGGAGCATTTGACAGCGTGTCGGAAGATGCTCAGCCGGTCGGCGGTAAGGCAGAACTTCCACTTTGTGCTGATAATATCAAAAAGAACATTTTCACTGCGCTCTTTGAGCTGGGTCAACAACTCTAGAATCTGGTGGAGAAGATAAAGAAGATGCCACGTCTTTATTACGAGTTGGCTTGATGTACCAATGTATCCCTGACGCATTTGGATGCATACAACATAGCCAAGGGCTGATGTTCGGCCCTTGATAGCTCGTAAGGGACAGTGATATTCCTGCGAGAATACCCTAAGACGATCTGGAACCAAATATAGCCGTCTTCGAATGGCCAATGGCGGCATGGCCACAGATCTCCCTAGGCTCGATCCTATTAGCGGATAAATATCGATACACTGGCGGGAAGATAGGACGCGACGAACGCGCCTATGTAATGACTGAAAGTGACACGTACAGCAAGAAGGAAAAGCCCGCCCTCTACAGAACCTTATCTCAAAATCAGCTTACTTGATCTGGGTCCTACGATGAGAGCGCGTGATTAATGGAACCTTTCGACGACTTTCAAGGTCTCCTGAAAGTGGTACTCACACTTCAGCGCGCTGTACAATCTTCTGCGTGGCACTTTCCACTGTGCAAAACATTTACAAGCATTAGTATTTCCTCTGCAAACGAAAACAAAGATGACGGCCAACGTAGTTTACTCCGACCTGTTAATTTACACCATACCACTCCACGTCCGAAGGGGAACGGATTGCTTGTACAACGCTAAGGTCATAAAACAACCAATCATAGAATTACGCCTGAGCATCAGCGAAATTATCACGATAAGTATACTTGAACGCATCTATAAAAATACATGCGAGATGCATCAGCGCGTCACAATCTGATATTCGAGAGCGACTGAAGCCATGGCTTTAAGTAGGAGAGGTAGGCAAACGTCATAAAGATGCTTGAGAAAGAGGCAAGTTAGAACGGGACTTGTCCATTCTAGCAGTGCACACTGCACATGTGAACAGCACATACATGCAAGCACCTGCAGTCAATCATCCACTTCCTCCCATTCCGACTCCGAACCCTCGTGTTCCTCTTCGATATCTGCTAGTGGCTCGAATTCATCGTCGCTGCCCTCAAAGCGATCAAACGTCTCCAAATTTTCTTTCAACCATTGCAAATCACAATCCGAGATATCATCGTTCTCCTCCATATACACAGCTTTTAGAGGGACACCTGCGTCCCTTCGCTTGTGCACCAACTCGCGTATTTTGTGTCCAGGGACGTCGGTAGTCGACAAAGTGGTAAGCGATGGGAGCCAGGCGTGACAAACGTCTTGATGGCCAGATATTGAGCAAGGGTGATCAAGTAACTGAAGGAACACAGGAGAGAGGTACGTCATCGATAAGTTGAGCGCCTTGAGGTTGCCAAGCTCTGCGTACATGAGTTCTACGCTACGGTCTGAGCAGGGAAGACCGGATATTTTGAGGGTGTCAAGTCCGCTGAGTAAACTGCGCTTCTTCTCTCCGTCTTTGGGTGCCACCGGGACTGCGGTCGTTGCAGGAGCAGCAAGTTGAACTACAAGATCCGTAAAATCTCCGTCGTCCAAGTCGAGTGTGAGGCTTTTGAGTGCGGGAAATGCCAGACGGCGGAGTAACCCGCTGGCGTAGACTGGCAAATGGAATGCCAGGACAAGATCTGTCAGTGAGCGCAACTCGATGACTCCGGTAGAGTCATCGCCATAGCTTCCTGAAATTCCTTCGTGACACCAGTCACTAGGAGCACCGAGGGGACCAGAACTGCATAGAGAGAGTGTTTCTAGCTTCGGTGCACCGCGAAGGATGCCAACAAACTGTGTCCATGATGGTCGCACATCATCGGTATGGTAAGCGAGCTCCAAATCCAAGAGATTGGACCCGCAAGATAACCATTCTTGGCACCAGTCGACGTGTACACCCCAAAACGCTACGCTCTTGAGACGCGGAGCAATGCCTCCAAACAACTTGAAATGCTGTACCAGGTCAGGACGTGCGAACGCTGTGGTGCTTTCTGCGTCTTCATGGTGATACAATTGGAGAGCCTCGAGCTGGGGAGCACCTGCTATGGAAGGATCGGAGACTGCAGAGAGGAAAATAAACATGTGCTTGTAACATGCAACCGCCACTTCGATAGATCCCCAGCGTGATATATGTGGAATAAGAAGGGACATGAGATTATCGAGATCGGAAAAGGACATTGAACGCGGGGACTGATCAAGCTCCGAGTCTTCAGAGCCTGAGTAATCCTCTTCTTCTTCGTCATCGTCATCATCGTCATCGGGAGGTTCACAGTCTATGTGGATGTCGATAGGGAGGCTCTTGCTGCGTTCAAGCAAAATCTGAACTCGTTCAAATGGGGGTGATTCGAGAGGTGATACGTCGATCTTCGTCCAGAGAGACGGGGTATTAAGGGCTACTGTGCGCCAATGCTGGCAGACATGCGATATGAGTACTTCAAATGGTGGTGCGGCCTCGAATGTCGAGTCGCTAGCCATCGATGGTTCCGATCCTTCGTCATCAACACCATCGTTAACATTCCCCGTCCCTCTGCTTTGTTGTAAGTGTGTCGTATCGCTGACTTCGTCTACACCGTCTTCCGCGCCCGCTTCCAAATTCCAGAACGCCGCCATTGCCTCGTCTTCCTCATCCTCATCCTCATCTTCCTCCGAAATGGATTGGGCACCAACCTCGAAGATGAGAGAAAGGAGCTCCGGAGGGATGTCATTCACGGGACAATATGTACCCTTTGGTGGGACAAAAGGGTTGTCTTTTAGTAGAACTTCTACATTTTCCATTCTTTACAAGATGGTTGATTAGCTTGTGCTACTTGATTTTGAGCAAAGAACGCACTTGAAGCACCGATTTGATGTGGAACGGCTTATAGAAAAACGAAAGAAGATGATCTGCCGTGATAACTTGATATACCAAATATGGAAAGTCAGTAATTCTCCCCGATCCTGTGTTCATTGCGTGTACCATTACTTGTACCATTGCTTGTAGCTCAATAGCAGCTATACACCCTCCCACAGACGTTTGTGAATCTAGAATGTCCGCTCCAGTCAAGATTTACCTTTATGATCTCAGCAACGGTCTCGCCGGCCAGCTCTCCTTGCCGCTCACCGGTAAGCAAATAGATGGTATCTGGTTAGTATCATCTGGCATTGACAACAATTCATGTGCTCACTGATGCACTCTACGTATAGGCACACCTCAGTCGTGGTCTTCGGGAAGGAAATCTTTTATGGACGAGGCATTTGTGAGACTGAGCCTGGCCGGTCCCATGTAAGCTGCCACGGTTGTGGTTTAATTTAAATATGTTGACGTGGTGAACTAGCACGGGTCGCCTCTGAGGGACATTGATATGGGCGAGACGTCTATAGATGAGCAGACATTTGAAGAATACCTCAGCCAGATGAAGGAGAGTTACACTGCAGACAAAGTAAGTTACTGCTCTGACATGAGGTAATTGTCTTGCTCACCGAACTCAGTACCATCTGTTAGGTGAGATAGCGGTGCAAGCTACTTAGGATCGTCACTCATTGATTGACATTAGAATTCAACTGCAACTCCTTTACTAACGATTGTCTCGGATTTTTGACTGGAGGCTCGCTTCCATCGTATATCAAAGGTATTGACCCTTACTTCACCTTTGGTTGAATATCATTATGAGAGTGCCTACAGATCTACCATCCGATTTCCTATCGACACCATTTGGTGCTGCCTTACGACCAACTATTGATGCCATGTTTAGAGGCAGGGCTTCTACCGGTGTACTAACACCTCCCCCAGATATTGGACCAGCCACAACTACTTCGCCCAATCTGGAACTGACTTCGTCCCTGCTGATGGCTGTCGCAGCTGATGCGACATCCGACGGCTCTGGAGCCCCTTCCTCATCCAGGAACTACCTTCCGACACCTGCGCCAACATCGCCCCCTACACCGACCCAGAGCAACACGCTTACAACACCCGTGCACATTGCTACAAACCCCTCATCTTTCCATAATGAGCTGCGCACACACCGGGCGGTGGTTGCATTCTTCACGAGCGCAACATGTGGGCCTTGCAGGATGATTGAGCCTGTGTTCGAAGACCTCGCAAGCAACAAGAGTCGAGCCAATGATGTCGCGTTTGTCAAGATAGATTTGAGCGTCGGAATGAGCAATGCGGTGGGCGGCGAGTATGGTGTAAGAGTGACGCCGACGTTCATTCTCTTCTTGGACGGGAACAAAGTAAGAAGGGATCACATAGCGTTCTCGTGACGACTAATGTGCTTTCGTAGACATATGAGATGAAAGGTGTCAATGGACCTGAATTACGCACACAGGTCGACTTGCTTATTTATCAGGCGTTTCCTCGTGAGTATACAGATATTCATTTTCTAGCGACAGCGAGCTAATAGCCATGGTGATCAGCACATCCGCACACAGCGACATCCCTTCCCGCGGTTGAAGCTATATCTCTCAATGCCATCTTGTTCTCTCAGGTTCCGAACCTCGATACTGCGCTTGCGAAAGTGACGGGGTTCATAGATGCTGTTTCTTCATGGTCCGGTTCCACTACGAAAGAAGATACGAAGCAGATTCTTGCTAAGAATATCATCCCATACCTCAAAGCACGAGGGTCTTCAGCACCTCCTAATATTTCTTTCGAGCCTTGGAAAAGCGCGACGATAAGCCTTGCGATAAACCTTTCTGCAGGAGAATTATTCCCTGTGGCAGATATGTGGCGCGTTGCACTGCTCGACGCAGCCGTATGCGGTTGGATTGCAACAAAGCTCGGTCCTGAAAGCCCAATTGTCGTCTTGCTATCCAAGGCCGAAGGCGCACCGAGGAATTATACGCTCACGCTCCTGCGAATGATTTCAAATGCGTTTGGGAACGAGGTCATAGCGCGAGAGCTTCTTCTCTCATCTCGAAGTAGCATTACAACGGTTCTAGTGGCTGCCTTGTTGCACGAAGATCCAACCGTCCGGACGGCAGCAGCCAGTCTAGCATTTAACATGGTTGCACACCTTCAGAGACTGAGAGTAGAGAAGGTGCGCGGGAATGCTGAAGGGAATGATGTAGACGAGAATGAAGACTGGGACGTTGAGATGACGAGCGGTCTTCTGGAAGCTATAGAGCGGGAGAAGGCGGCTGAGGAAATAGGTACGCCTCTGATAAATTCAATACCATCCCAGAGCTTGGCCATTGATCTTTCGTGACAGTTCACCGCATGACGGCGTCACTGGCCTTGCTGATCCGATTATCGCCGTCTCTTGAACAGCTGACTCTCTTGCTAGAGGTTCTACAGGCTCGGAGAATACTCAAGGAGAAATTGGAGAGAGGCGGATGCGGGGAAGCGGGGGTCGTAAAGCAGGAGGTCCGTAAGCTAATTGGGGAGGTTGCTGAGAAACTTTGTCCTTGATCATGAAGTGTCTTTTCCTCACTGTACTGGTATCATGTGTACACGTATCATCTAAGAATATAGATCCTATATAGTGAAGGAGGGCTATTCATATTCCACATTTATGGAGAGGGAGCTGGAGAATGAGTGCCCTCTCAAGGGCTTCAGCGGACGGCATTTCGCGCAAAATATCACAAGCACAACGAATAACCGGCCGGAAAGCCGACGGAAGTTGCGCCTTCAAAAACATGTTATCTGGGACAACACTGATGTTGCAATTTCCTTTTGTTTTGCATCTGCTGGATCACTCTTAGACGCAGCTAGCGACTGATACCATCTGATCAAATCAATAGACTCTAGAGGCTCCGACGAACTACCCTCTCTATCTCCACCTCTTAAAGCACCTGAACCGGCAGTGGATGCGTGAAGGACGAACATCCTTCCATCCTTTGTCGCTCAATCATTTCCCGTCGTTTCAAGTCCATGCTGAAGTTCTCGAGCAGATTAGCCTCCCGGTCGTTGCGTTATCCGGTACGTAATTTGCCGATTAGTGGCGTCACGTACTTCACGTTAACCCGGTTCACCAGCTTGTTCCACAAATGGCCACCAAGCGCAATTTCAAGTCCTCTGCTCCAAAGAAGTCTGATATTCCAGAGGGATATGCTGTCGATTCGACTGCGGGGAACATGTTGCGGTTCCAGGCGTCACTTCCTCAGCTTCCCATTCCGACGCTGTCCTCAACCGTGCACAAGTATCTTGAGACCATTCGGCCTCTTCTGACGGATGCGGAGTATGCTAAATCTCAGGCTACTGCGCAAGAGTTTCTCAAGTCGCCTCAGGCTGCTGAGCTTCAGAAACGCCTAGAAGCCCGTGCTGCAGATCCCTCCATCAAGAATTGGCTAGCGGACTGGTGGAATGACGTTGCATACATGGGCTATCGCGATCCTGTCGTGGTCTATGTCAGCTACTTCTACGTGCATCTTGATGATCCACGCAGACGTCACCCTGCGAAGAGGGCTGCTAGCCTGATCAAAGCCATGCTGCCCTTTAGAGATCTCACGGAGTCGTCAGTGTGCTGCATGTCTTTGGCCTTGTTTCATCGCTAATGCCGGCACGGAGCAGGAAACAATTGGAACCCGAAAAGGTTCGTGGGATGCCATTGTGCATGAATTCGTACAAATGGCTGTAAGTGTTTATTCCGTTTGTCACGCATCGCATTGAATTAAATCCTCGCAGCTTCCATGCATCTCGATACCCCACCAAACCATCCGACACTGCCAAGAAGTTTGATCCGAAGGCACATAATCACGTCGTGTTTGTGAGAAAGAACAAGTTTTACGAAGTCTCGCTCACAACTCCGGAAGGACATGAACTAAGTGAGGCTGAGCTTGAAGTGTCAGTGCTGCGTGTTGATTACTCTAAATTCATCGAACTTAACTTAACTTAACTTTGGAACTTAGGCAAGTGGAACGAGTCATTAAGATCGCCGGAGAGGAGAAGGGCGCTCCGGTTGGCGCGCTGACAGCAGAGAACCGAGATATTTGGACTGATGTAAGTATTGGTGGTGCTTTCAATCGCGTATGGTCTCATACCTTGATCCGTTCAGGCACGTTCTGCTCTGATTGCAGGCTCACCGGTGAACCAACAATCTCTGGAGCGGATAGAATCCTCCGCGATCGTCGTCTGCCTTGATGACACTACGCCCGTCTTGCGCGAAGATATTTCTTGGGCTTGCTGGGTTGGAGACGGCCGGAACCGTTTCTACGACAAGCACCAATGTATGTTGCCATCGAGTCTCGCAGTTTTCCAGATATGCTGATGTACTTTACTCGTGTCAGTGCTCGTCTTCGATAATGGGCGATCGGGTTTCATCGGGGAGCATTCTTGCTTGGATGGCACACCCACGCTTCGCCTGAATGAATTCATTCTTGCTTATCTTGCCCACAACAAGGTCGATCTCGGTGCGCCTAGGTCTAGCTCGACCGGGGCAAATCTCCCGCAGCCCACTGAATTGAAATTCGAGCTCGACGCCACATGCAAGAAATATATTGATGAGGCATGTCATCATTTTGACGAGCTCGTGGGTCAGCATGACATGGAGGTGAGTCCAGGGTCCAGTAGGATCTATAAGCGCTCCAGATTAATCAGCACCGTTCCTAGGTGCTCCACTACGAGGGCTATGGGAAAAATCTCATGAAGAAGTTCAAGGCTTCTCCTGATGCATGGGCTCAGCTTGTGAAACAGCTGGCATTCCACAAGATGTTTAATCGGCCTGGTGTGACATATGAAAGCTGTCAGACACGCAAATTCCAGCAAGGCCGCACGGAGGTCATCCGTAGTGTCAGCTCAGAAAGCAAAGAATGGGCCGAAGCCATGCTTAATCCAGAAGAATCTGTAAGTCTTCGTGCGGAAATCGCGTAACACTTTCCCATTCCAAATAGAGGCTAAATGGCATGCGTAATTCGCGTCTAGGATGAATGCCGCGCCGTGCTTTTCCGCCGCGCCGTCGCGCGCCACCTGCAGTATGCTGCTTGGGCCGCGGATGGGCAAGGGGTGGATCGGCATTTATTCGGTTTAAAGAAGATGGTCCGAGATGGCGAGTCCGTTCCGGCTATCTATTCGGATCCAGCATTTTCCAAGTCCAACCATTGGGAGTTGTCAACGTCTCAACTCTCTTCGAAGTACCTAGATGGATGGGGATACGGAGAAGGTACGTCTTGTCGTTGAAATTGTTTTTGCAATTGAGAGTTGTTAATTATCACACGCAGTCGTCACGGACGGGTATGGACTCTCATATTCCATCGATGACCATTACATCCGCTGGACCATCACATCACTCAAACGGAATACTGCTGAACTGAAGCACTATCTTGCGGAGGCTGCAACGGAGACGAGGTTCATGATGGAGAGAGCTGCTGCTGCTGAACAGAAGGCGAAGTTGTGATCACGTTGTGGCGCAGTTCCGTGTGTTATTTTATGGCATACTTTATTTTGACAGTCAATTACATCAGGGATCGATCGTTCACTTGCGTAAGTTACTAACAGTGTGACTGGGGGTGAGAAGAAGACATGAAGATGATGATTCCCTCCTTCTGTTTCCACATCATGGAGAATCTTGCGTGCGGTCGCAAGGGGATCTCCGAAACCCGATTTCTACGGAACGAAGGAGCTCCTTTTAATATCATTTATTTCCTATGATTTGATCCCTGCGGCACAGCGTTCACACTGAAGTTGGAAGGGTACCGCCGCTCTTGAACCCTGGCCCTGTGGCAGGTCCGGTACCAGCAGTACCGTCGGCGTCAGGAGGCTATCGCATCCGCTACAATGATACTCTGTTTTAGACGTCGAGCCCCATCAGCCCCCACGGAGTCTGATTGAGTTGTTTTTCACGCGATGACATTGAGGGACCGGCTCCGCATTGAAGCCTGAAGACCGACCGCGCATCTCTATCGCCTTTTGCTAAAGCCTGGGAGTATCATCGTTTCAGAAGTGCATGGCGGTTTTCTCTATCACCATAGCGGGCTGTATACTGCTGTATGTCCCACGAAGTATCGTCATCATCGACGAATACTTCCCATCGGCTGGCCTCATGGAAGGTACTGACTTTCCCAGGCGACGAAGGATTTTGCCTAGCGCTGCGGCGGAAGCTGCGCGAGCGCCTGAGGAAGACCCTGAAACCTCCTGAAACCCAGAGACACAAGCGGCCGGTTGATTCCGCGAACAGCTTTGTGCGAACCGTAAATCATCTCGCTCGTTTTGGCAGAAACTTTGTGAACATGCGAACGGGTGCGGCGCGATGTTCAGCCTTCGCTGAGTGCAAGCTTAGTGCAAGCCAAGTAAGGTTCGTGCACTTCACATCACGTTCGATTTATCCCCACATATTTTTGCTTTAACTCCCCTATGAGTGGTGAAGACTGCCTTCCTTGTCTTTCGGACTGCATGCCTTTGCAGGATGGCTAAATTTTTGATGCGAAACTTACGGACTGCGAAGTAACCGTGAGTCCTTTTCTGATCAAGCAAACAAAGGAAACTCTCTCCCGGAGGATAGAATCGTGATAAGAGCACCTTTACATCAAGGATGATGCGGTAAAATACCGTGGTTTCTTGGCCATTTCAGGTCGTTGGAAATCCTGCGGCTTTGTCTTTGCTGGCAGTTAGTTCCGGAGTCCGTAGTTTCCTGAGTCCATTATGATTTCAAGTACCCGCCAATGTATCGTTCTACGAAGCTATGCGACTGGTGGCGTAGGCGATTGCTAACAGTCTAGAATCTCACTAGACCGCATCACGAATAGCTCATAACCGGAGAATCCGAGTACTGAAGCCAAGGGGATTCGAAGTGGAGTTGAACGGCGAGAACTCAGATGAAGATAGTAAGTCAGGAGACTCGTGGTTTGATGCCGTAACCTATGGTGTGCACTGTGCTACATATATCTATCCTTTGAAACAATGAGTCCGTTTAATTCGGGGTCTCTTTTAAGCCGCACAAGCTCGTACACAAACGTCGATCTCTAGTACTGATAACATGCTCGCAGACGGCAGTGAGCATAGACAAACATCCACGAGGAGCCTTTCAGATGCTAGCACCGACGCCCGTGCGTCCAAGCGTGCTCGCAACGCACCCGGTGGCTCGTCTTTGGACGCGCCTGGGACTCCCCCTGAAGGATTTACTCCGACAGCCAGGAAAACACACAACAAGAAGCAGCCTCTATCGTGCGCAGAGTGCCGAAGGTGCGTTTCAATCCTCTGACCTGAACGCCCTAATCATAAGTACATCCTCAAGATTGAAACTGAAAGTATGTCCATTTTTCCCTCCGAATCTGCATGACCTCAAACTGAATGCGCTAGTGCGATCGTGTCTTTCCATGTCAGTCGTGCTCAAAACGAGGCTGCGCTGAAATATGTCCAGATGGTATTTAGCTCGCCATGTTTTCGAACATTCGATCTCACCGTGCTTTGTATTACAGGTGCTCTCACGTCTGGAAAAGGCAGCAGGTAAGTAGTGGGTTCTCTGGTGAGCCTTCCCACTGACGACCGATCAAGGTTCATTCTTGCCAATACTGAGCAGCTCCATTCCAAAATCATTCAGATGAGCGATCGTATACGACAGCTCGAAGACGCCTTGGAGACCGTGCAAGCCAAATGTTCATCTGACCCTCATCCACTCTTACACCAAGACTCCTTACGTATAAAAAATTCACTCGAGCTCTATAGTTCTCACGCGACCAGTGGACGGCATGCCCAGACTGAAGGGACAAGCAAAGAAAATCACGCAAGCAATTTCCAACTCTCTGTTGCCTCATCTTCAACACGAGACGCAGACAAAGTTCGTGATAGCCGATCGGAGGTGTCTGCTTTGTGCCCAGTTCGGAGGGTGGTCGCTGATCAGCTTTTCTAGGAGAGGTATTCTTCAGCGGAAGCTTTAATTTCAGATGTACCCGGATTGTCTCCCGAGATCGAAAAACTCAGTCAAACATTTCCTTATCCTTGGTTGCCCAATAATCCTATGCGACAACGGATTTATGAGATGTTGCCGTCTCGGCAAGAGGCAGAGTACCTTTGCACGCAAGCTCGACTGAACGCTTTATGGCAGTAAGTTTTCTTGTCACTGTCAATTCGTGGCGTGTTTATGGCGTACACACAAGGTACAACCTCGATCCAAGCGAAACTTGGCTCCCGAATCTAGTTCATCACGTATACACCACGCCAGTGTCAAGCCTTTGTTTCCGCCGTCTCTCTCTGCTATTCATTATGATGGCTATCGGGCTACTCGTTGATCTCAACCAACAGAACGAGTCTCCAAGAGCTGAGGTGTTCCATCGGCTGGCGCGAGCCTCCTTATGTGAGATGAATCTGATGGACGAACCTAGTTTAGATCTACTGCAGACTTTGGTGGGTTGGTCAAATTATCCGTCATGCGGTCGTGCTGACGAGACTGCAGTTCTACATGATTTGGTATCTTCTTATTTTCTCAGACAAGAGTCAAGCTGTAGCATATGCATGGAGTATCATGGGACTTGCCGTGAAGCTTGCTCAAAGCGTGGGTTTTTCCGAAGTAGTAACTCTCCACTCACCTAAAACATCTGTTACTCTAGTTAGGCCTACGTACGTCGGGCATCCATTACCGCCCTGAGATTTCCTCGTGTTCATTCATTTTCATAGACCGCGATGGCAATAGATGGAAGGTAATTCCCGAAGAGTCTCAGCGGCGACGAATGCTTTTCTGGGAACTTCTGAATTTAGATGCACGCCTGGTTAGTTCTGACTTTCAACTGATTGTACATGTGATATGTGTACTGAACCCTGATTTCCAGTCTCTATCTCTTGGTCGACCACCTTCTCTTTGCTTACAGCATGTGGACTGTCGGCGACCATCTTATGCTGCAGAGGGGATGTACATCGTCCCCGGAGCTCAGTCATGTTAGATAACTTATTCATCTACCTTTGTACCGGAGAAGCTAATCACTCCACAGACCATGAGTGGAAGCACGGGTTCTTCCTGCACTGTCTTACACCGGTCCTAGTCACTGCAATATCTGCACAACCGCAAACCTATTCTGGCATTCTGGATGTCGACAAAAAAATCCGAGACTTCCACATCCCCCCCACACTAAATATATTCAACTCAGAGGGCATCACGAATATCCGACAATTGACTATGCAGCAAGTGCTAGTAGCTAGCGGGCGAGAAATCGGTGAGCTGTTGCCGGGAATATTGTGTCCCCGGATGCTGAAGCTAGACACCCATAAGTCCTGCTGCAGCTTCATAGGAATTTTTTTACTGAGGCACTTAGTGATTTTGATACTTTCACGTATCAACACAAATATGCGCCGTCAGTTCTTGCAACATACCTTAGTGCCTCCCGCCTCGTTGCCACGTTAGGGACCATGCTACGTCGTGAGCCCCAGCTGAGCAAGCGGTTCATGTGTTTCTGGTTTAACGCATTCTCTGGCGCGGTAAGTGACCCCTGAATTACCCACCTGTTACATGTTGACTGGGCATTTTGACTCAGGTTGCATTATCATTGATCGTTTCCAGAATACCCTTCATCAGTCTAGCACCATTTGCGCTGAAGGAGTTAGATACTATTTACCGCATTTTTGCGAACGTGGCCGAGGAATGTTCAAAGGTCGCTCAAGCACTGGTTAGTGATGAAGACAACTTTTGGGAGATCCTTACTAAACAGACATACAGCCTTTACTCACAAAAATGGCAGAGAAGTCACGTCGGACCTACATCCAATGGCTCAAAACGTCCAGAGATACCTCAACCATGGATATCGACGAAGCGTCTCAGGAGACACCTGTCAGATCAGCTGTGTGCAGTACTGCAGGGGATTGTGCGAACCCTTTTGACGCTGCACACTCGTACTTACAGCAAACGCTACGAGAGATTGAGATAACTACTCCTCCAGCCATCCAGGAACTTCCTGCTTATACGCCTCAGCAGCCCAAGCCAATGCCAAGTTCACACATAGAACAAGTAGAGCAACCTGAAGAGCTGGTCCATACCCCCGACTTGTCCACGGACATGCTTTCACTTGCTTTAGGTTTGAATGAGGATCTGGTTGCGGCAACTTTGAGACACAGTGCAGACCCTTCGACTCCTGCGGGCCATACAGCTCAGAGGGTTGGGAACCATACATTCAACTTTGATTTTGGTGCACTAGCTTCAAACGTCGAGAACCAGAACAATACATATATGTCATGGTTTTGATGATTTGTACTCGAGTAATTCAATAACCTGTAGCTAGATGTCCTGAGAATATTACTTTCGAGCTCTCTGAACCCGTCAACTACAATGATTGCGCTTACGTAATAGACTTTGTACCGATATCTGAGCAAGCGACATAGACTTAGCGCCCGCCTTGCTGTATCTCTGCTTGAAACTGTCCACCGCGCTGCTATATCAGAAAGCACGGATTTTTAGCTATGTCCCGGATACGGGAGGTATGGGCGCCAAATCTTGAGGTAGAAATGCGGAACATACGAGACATGATCGACCAATACCCTTACGTTGCAATTGTGCGCAGTCCGATATCTCTTGTAAATGGATGCTCACGATACAATAGGACACAGAATTTCCGGGCGTAGTTGCACGACCAATAGGCAACTTCAAAACGTCTTCAGACTATCACTACCAGACAATGCGATGTAATGTCGACCTGCTCAAGCTAATCCAGGCCGGTATCACACTCGCGGATGAAGAGGGTAATCTCCCCCAGGATGTCACAACTTGGCAATTCAATTTCAAGTTCAGTATAAGGTGTGTCTTGGAAGCCAAAGTTGTCAGGCGTCGCATGTTGAGAATGAAACCCTAGTGAAGATATGTACGCGCCAGAATCAATCGATCTATTACAGAAGTCAGGCCTCGATTTTCAGCGGCACCAGGAGATGGGAATATCGCCGAATGACTTTGCTGAACTTTTGATCACATCGGGTCTAGTCCTTGCACCCGAGGCCAAGTGGATATCATTCCATAGGTGAGTGGCGCCAAATGCTCTTGAATGTTTCTTTTTGTACTGTCATTCAGCTCCATCCGTCGCGAAAGCCCACTATTCTAGCTGTTCTCATTCACTTCACTTACTCATTTACTCATTTACTCCATATTTCAGTGGCTATGACTTCGGCTACTTGGTCAGGTTATTGACTGCGATGTCTTTGCCGACGTCTGAAGAGCAATTCTTTGACTTGCTGCGTACTTGGTTCCCTTATTGCTACGATATCAAGTTCATGATGCGTGCCTCCAAGTCCCTCAAAGGAGGGCTACAGGAAGTCGCGGATGATCTTGGTGTGCGTGATCTCCCCTGTGATTAGTTGATCACCAGCTTATTATTGATTCCTACAGGTGATGCGTATTGGAACATCACATCAGGCAGGATCAGATTCCCTCCTTACCGCATCCACCTTCTTCAAAATGCGAGAGCTCTACTTCAATGATCAAATAGACGACGCCGAATATAACTGCAAACTGTATGGTCTAGGACAGACCTTTGCAGCATCCAACGGTATCACTGATACCGGCCGAGGTGGGGCTACCATCGCCGAACGAGAAGATCGGGGGATACCAAGGGATTCACAAAATCAGACTCCTGCCTTGTCCGTTCCCCAGAATCAGGGTGTGGTAATGGGTATGGGAGTGCCTTTACCTACTCCAGCACTTGGCGGGGCCCTGCCTACGCCACTGCCGTCTGGCACTTCATATGGGCCTATGGGAGCGAATGGCCCATTCATTCGGACGGCAATTGGGGTAGGGAGATAGCCTGAGGCACTTCATTTTCTCCCTTTTTGTATAATCGTTTTATGTAATTATTTTGTTGTATTGGGTTTCTTTCTATTCATTTCTGGGATAAATCGTCACTCATCCGGAAGGCCATGGGTTTACATCGACGTGTGTATGTGAGTACTCTACTCATCTACTCGAACTTACAATCATCACTGGGTCTACAGTAAGAGCTAATTGCAAATGCACAAGTCAAGGATAAGCAATTGATTATACTAAGTATAGTGCGTCTACTACATCACCGCTATTTCGACAGACTCGTCATGCCGCCAATGCTTTGTCCGTGATGAGATAGGTGTGGCTCGCTGAAGGAGTTGTACAACAATCCACTTCCCATGGATCGACGTCGCAGTCATCCATCGCAAGAACACACAGCCAACCTCGCCATCATCAAACGAGGGTCAGCAAATGCAATCGTTGCGTGGAGCTACGACGTCGATGCAGGTGAGAGAATAAGTGAAACAGCCTTTGAGCTCACAGTTTCCAGGAATGTAGGTCTGGAGGTGACCAGTGGTTGGGGGTGTTGTTGGTGGTCAGTGACAATGGGTAAGCTCTTTATACAATTCGGAGCGGTACAGGTCTACTCCGTGTATCCGCTAATTTTGACTAGACCTCGATCAGATAAGTCACTGCAGTTTCCTTATGGCCAAGTAGAAGCAAAGTTATGGAACGTTCACCTCAAATGTAAGAACCACAAATCACCATCGAGGTATATTGAACCTACGGAGAGCATCCGCCTACACCTCACCGCGGAGCCAAATTGCATCCTGACTTGGGAACGTCCAACTGTGTATTGGTGCCCTTATTCTTTGTGAAACACATGATCCTTCCATCCAGTCCCAGGCATGGCATGTAGGTGTTCCGACTCCGGAATCCCATTTTTTGATATATTCGTGCAGAGACAGATCTACGCTGTCACCAACATCGAGATGACATGTTTTATTCGAAGCTCTAACATTAGTCTCCGAGGCAATTTATCCGTGCTGAGGGAAGAGAAACAATATCACAGAGAAGCAGAGTTAACAGCTCTTTTAGAAGACCTTCAAAGGTGAACATGAACAAGGTTGCGTATGTCAGGCACTTGCTGATTTCAACATCCTCAGCAGGATATACGCCCAGACCTACTATCTGTTCAGATATGTTAATCTCCGGTCGTTCAGCGAAATCAGTGGCTTGCTCCCGATGCCAGGGCTTTGGTAACTATCGTTTGTTTAGGCTTGTCCTATGATGGCACGGTCGGCCGCAAGCAATTCTTCTTTGGATTCCCTGCTCATTCGTCTATTAACAGAAGAATAAGCCTTCTGCACTAGGCTCAAGTTGTCCCCCTGAGAAGATCTAGAAGTTTTTTTTGATTCCACACCTCCACTAGCGTGCAGTCCCTGGTCATGTACCCTGGCGGACTACTGTTAAATGACAAATTCATCAAAACACCGTCTACCTACCATGGTGCTAGCCGAGATCATGGTTAGCTGTATTCGTTGTAAATTGTGATGAGGACTGTGAACCACAGCTAAATTTGTATGTATGGCTGTCATAACTTCATGTCGCTGGCACATTGTAACGTACAATAGGGTCCTTTGACGGCATTCGTGGTCCTCGGCTATAGCCGCCGTTCAGACCATACCAATCCTACGAGACAATATAATCCTACGATACTGATTTGCCTGCATATAAACCCAAATCGATGGAGGCGAATATCTGCTCTTTAAGACATCATCCTGGACAATTTTAAACTCCTCGATTTATTAGATGGCGGTCTGCCTCCTGGCAAACTACTATGAAACCAGAATGGACTCAGGGCTAGCAATTACGATCAGGTGCAAACACTCCACTGGAACGGAGAAGTGCGGTGTCGCTCCATACCTTAAATGAACGAGGTAGTGTAGCTGGTTCTGTACACAGAGATAGGATTTGGTGGTTATCATACGGTACTCAGGGTTTTTTCGAAATCGTGATTAATGTATTGTCAACTGACGGCAGCGATAGCACCGCTGCGAGACAATCAGGCTAACTCCACCTGACACATGTTCAGCAACTTTATATTCTTGATTTGACAACCAGGTCCACGTACATAATTACTGGGAAATATCCCCTTCTTCCGGTCTCTGGAAAACCCTAAAATTATAATCAGTTGATCGTCACTGAAATGAAGACCATACGGTCCAATACCTTCCCACCAACCCTCCGCATAATTCTGACCTCCGCTTGCTCCAGAGGATAACTCAACAAAGTCCCCCTCATGTATCGTGAGCTCTTCTGATTCTTGGGCTCGATAGTCGTAGAGAGCCCGTACTGTTTATTGGGTTGAAGTGAGAAATTGACTGATTGGCGTACCAGAAAATAGGCGGTACTCGTACCGTATATGCCTGACGCTTGCTGAGAATTTTGTTGGGAGGGTGCAGTTGTTTCCAGCGGCAGTCCGCCTGCATGTTCCAGATAGGTCGCAGGAACCAGCCCTTTCTCACCACTGGAGTCAGCCACCTTTACCCATCCGGAACCATCGTCTTCCTCTAGCACACGCACAACACTACCCTCTTGAAACTATATCAGCACGTGCAATACGGATACATGTTGCCATGCAGACCTGTCACATTCAATTCGAAGGACGAGGAGGCCGCGAACTCGAAGATAACACGAGCCAATCGATGGCTTTCTTCCACATGTGGTGAGTTATTTGGTGCCACAGAAGTAGACGGTATCGAAGATTCTCTGGGGCTAGTGGATACCGATGCTGTGGATATTCTGTAAGTCCTACACCTTTTAGAGCTTGTCATTCACCCACATCTACTCCCCGATCTAGACAACTCAGAAGAGAGAGATTGCAAACTTTCCGAGGCTTTGTAATCCCCGTGAACGTTACTGCACTCCGCGGGCACCTAACGATGTTCATCAGCAATGCCCTTACATGGTTTAAGTTGGAATGAATCACTTTTAACTCGCATTTAGAGTGCACAGATAAGCCACAACCTTTACAGGTCTTTCCCTGCTTACTTAGGCCCCAGATCGATACCTAGGCAGTTGTTGGTCAAACAGTACAGGCACTCATCCACCAGCTTCCTTGAACATACCTTGCAATATCCGCATGTCGTAGGGTATCGAAAAGGCCGAGCTCTTGAAAACGTGTGGGCTTGAACCACCCTCATCGCCTTGCGCGCGAACATTAATTGATATATTCGTTTAACGTGTTACTTACCCCCCAGGACATCCGCGATTGTATTTACTTCTGTGGTCAAGACACATGCTGAAGTCGAGAGGGAAGTGACCTCATGGGCAGTGACAAGGTAGCTCTGCATGAAAGTTAATAAATGACTCATTGTCGTCGCATAGTGACTACACACGTTCACGGCACCACCCACATCTCCGAGTATATTGTCAGTGGCGTATGCTGTCACCAAGCCACGATATTTCTCGACCTCGGTCCCTGTACTCACGAGGGTGAGCACGACCAGCAGTCCATGGCGCAACATCGCACTTACGTTTTTGTTCGAGCGCAGGTTTAAGTTCTCTCGATTTAGCTCGCGCGTGCGCGAGTTTATTTTGTAAGAATACCTTTGGGGCCGGATCAATGCAAATATCTCCCTGCGATTTACACGTTCCTTAACATCGCGCATAGAACTCGGGTCGGTCAGGCCCACCGTATCGTAATGGTTCGAGCATGGTTCAAAAACCCAGTCGTCGGGTATGCTGAACGGACGGATGTTGCAGTCTACGAAAAGTGCTTGGTCCTTACCGGGTTGGACTTCGATCAAAGCGGCGTTAACTGTCGCAAGACGGTCCTTCAAGATATCTTGGTGTGACAATTGGATTCTCTGGGCCTCTGTCACAACGGCAACGAAATCCATCACTAGACGAGTCTGTAACTCCTCTGCAGACAGTCAGCTGAAGCAAGTGCACAGCGGTACCTGCTCACGGAATAACTTGATCAGGTTCGTCAGCAAGACACTATACCAAATAGAATAATGTTATCTAACTCACATCCTCAAGACTTGGCAGGTCCTCAGTATAGAACTTCATCTTCACGCTGTTGGCGGTTGCAACTGAGATAATATAGGCACTGCTGAAATTTGTACGAGTGTTCCACGCTTTTTTTTGGCACGTACTTCTTACTATTGAGCATGTCAAGCCTTTGCTGATCATATTGTTTTGCTGAGCGTTCCGCGTGTCGATCGTGAACATGACCAGACTTGAGAGGGTTATGACCGTGAGAATATTCTTGAGGAGTTTCCTTACCTGCTTCTGACGGTAAATTTCAACCTCGGTGCAGTCGGCGTCATACTTGATGCATGCTGTGGTCAGAAACGTTGCGTTATGGCGCCCAAGATCTTACTTTTTGCTTGCTCTGTATCGTGAGTGTCAAACGTGCAACACACGGAACCAATTTATCACCTTGCCTTGATGCGTTCAGCATAGATCTTATCGCGTCCAGCCACAATCTTGTGATAGAACTGCATTTGCTACATATATCGTCAGTAAGCATAGGAATGATTTGCCACGACAATGCAAAACCTTTTTCTTGTAATCGTCGCTTGCGACGCTCAATAGCCTTCAGATGTTCCGTAACTTGAGATGTCAAAGCTTCTGCTAAGTTGATGTGATCCTGAGCAGAAGTTGACATGGAGGATAAGATTTCAGAGTATGCGTGATTCAGGGTGCTGTGATCGGAACCATTGATGAGTACCTGGTCTAAAATTGGGAAGAAATGACCTGCTTCTGTTGATTCATACTTTCCGTGCAAACCTTGGTGGGGTTGTCTCCGACGACTAGTAAAAGTGCATTCTTGTTCTTCCTTTCGTTTGCTTTCTTCGCCAACTGCTGCAACTTGACTGCGTACTCGCGTTCTAGCACTGCTCTATCGCGGTACAGTTCGTGGACCTGTATGAGTCGAGCAGGTGGGCTCAGCTGTCGGAAATTTCGAGACTCAGAAGACGCACATCGGCCAATAAAACAAGGTGGGCATCAAAAAGACTGGATATACGATCTACCTGATCCTGATCATGAAACAAATATCAGCGATGAATGCAATGCTTAACAGCAGATTCAGTAGTTTACAGGCAATAGTTGACCATAGCTGTTGCTTTGTGTCTGCATTTTCTTGGTTCGAGATTAGCACGCCGCCTTGAGTGGCCAGGTGAAGAGCAAGCGTAGTAGTGCCTGCGGAACGGACTCGGATCGATGTGAAGTTGATCACCGGTCTCGTGCCAGAAAAGGGTCGATGACATCAGTTTCATCTCGTATAATGGTAATTATATATTTAGCATGAAGAACATCACCGTCGCAGATACTGTTTTTCCCAAAGTCTCAGCGGCGGAGAAGTTGCGAAGAAGCAGCTCAAATGTGGAGGGGTGTCAAAAATTTCGGCTACCTCACCGCCATCGAGCATCATCCAGCAGCGAGGATGTCGACAATTTGACCCCTTAAATTTCCGCCACAGATCTTTTTGAAAAACACGTTATAATTCAAGCTCAAGTAAAATTTTGATTACAAGTGCTGTACAAACATTACTTATATGCTATATAAAATTATGGCAGGGACAATTAATCTTTACCTTCCGGTCCACCCAGTCCGAATCAGCTGAGCAAAAGTGGAACGTGGGGCGGTGATTAAGTTGGAGGATAAATTTGACGAAGAACATACGTCGGCGATTGATCGACGGGTGAAGGGACGGCAAACTGCAAGGTTTGAAGGACTGTCTCATACGTGTGTCCACGCGCCATCGAATATGTCATGGTACGCTGGTGAGGGAACGTCGTCTTTACGTCGATGCCGCCACAGAAAACCACGAACCTCAGAAATTGATTTGTCGATTGGGATGTGCCCGAGAAGCTCTTTTATGTTTTCACTGACTGAAACCGTTTTCACCGGTCCGTGAAGCACATGAGCTGTCATGGGGTAGGTACTCTAGTTGTTGCTTGGCCATGGACGTCCGCATGCAGGTTCCAGGCTGTGCGCACTGCGTAGCATATTCAGTAGTAGCGGGGTGCGCTCGTGTTTTTTAAGCGTCGATAAAAAGGACTTCCAGAAGCGAGAAAATCTTGGTACGCGGAACTCTATCAATGCTCAACGTTCAACCATGACTAGCCATCAATGTTTGCTGGCCTGAACGGACGATCTCTGAAAATGGGGATTGGTGTTGACACGAGCTCCAGTTTGCAAAAGAAAAAAATGATTGCATTGCTTGGAACCTGAACCGATACCGAGGAGCTGCCTCCGCATCGCTTATTGGCGGGTAATCCCCGCGGTGAGAGAACGGTATGTTGGAGACCGAGAGCACGACAGAAGTTAGACAGTGGTGAGAAACGAAGTAGAAAAGCAATAACATCAGGTGCGGGGAAGGTGGCCCGAATTGCGGAGCCAAGACGGAGTGGAAGTTAGATGCGTGGGACAGAAAATGAATACTTCAAGCAACATTCAAGTCTCTTGAATTTTGGGTGACTGGTACACGAGGGCCGGATCAGCTAAATAACAGCCTTCATATCATCCGAGATGGGTACACACCTTAGCCTGCTCGCACCGGACGGCATTACTTTTGTCATGTGTATGTGTACCTGTGCTCCAGATTGACGTGATTCTTGTCTGTCCTCGACTCGGAAACAATAATCTGCCCTCAACTTCCGATGTACGTTGTTTTCGAAGTACGTATAGCTGTACCCTCTTTCTCTCGTCTAGACAACGCGACTCCAGTGCGGGACAATAATCTAAAACTGGCACAGCAATCAAATTACCTGAAGAGCACGTCTTAAGTGTGAGGTAAAAGCCTGTCTCTAGGTATATAAGGGCCTGTGTATTATGCATTGAAGTAAGCGCGAGTAGTGCTCCATCCCCCTAACGTCCCCGTCTTCCCGCTTTTCATCTCGTTCCCTCACTGACCGCCAACATGTATAGACTGACAACTGTCTTGATCACGCTATGCGCGATTACCTTCACCGTTCTGGCTGCACCAATACGGCTCAGTGGAACTGCGACAGTATCACTTGAAAAGCGCGTCACACATACAGGCGAGGTGTGTTGATGAGAGATAGTTTTTAGCTGCTTGCTAATTTCTCCTCAACAAAGGGTACCTGGTTTGAAGTTGGCGACGGCGCCTGCGGAAATACGGATACGGATAGTGATCCTGTAGTTGCCATTTCTGCCCAGATCTATGGTAGTGGAGGAAACTGCAATCAGGTAGGCCATCTCCTATTCCCGCAATACGGACATTGAATACTTACCGCTCGTAGTGGATTGAGATCACCAATACCGATAACGGATACACCGCGTACGGCCAGACGCGTGATGAATGCGAGTCTTGCGGTTCAGGTAGCCTAGGTTCGTTGTCTTTTTTAGGGTTTAAATCGTGCACTCGTTGAATCCGTTTCGCAGACATGTCTCCTAGCCTATTTGAGAAACTAAGCACACTCGACACCGGTGAAATCCCAATTTCATGGCACTTTATGAGCAAGGGCTGGTCGCCAAGTTAATCACGCATTTCAATCCCTACTTCTATAGGGCATACGATTTTCTCACGATTCCCATCACGAATTTTTAGATGATCATTATAGACGACGGCGTATCCTCTTCGCCAGGAAGGGGATCAGGAAATATTCATCTTCTGTATCATTAATTTTATTTCTGTTGCGTTTTATCACCTACGACTATAAAGTAGATGCGGGGCTCTGGTAGTCTACCATCGCTTTCTTGACCATATGTACATCTGATACGCTTCATGTTGTTTCTAGTAATCTGATTGGCATCTGATCTACACGTCTTGCTTGTCATTTGCACCTACAAGTGGGACCAATTCCTCTGTCAACTCCTGAAGGGCATGCACGTTTGAGATATTCAAACAAAGTCACCAGGTTCCTCGTCCTTGCGACTCGAAGACGTGTGGTGAGTGCAATACAATTCCATTCTAAACGAAAACCCAACAGCGTGGCATCTTAGCAGTCCACTTCGCTTATTGTGGTATAGAATTATACAATCCTTAAGGTTCGCAAGATTGCCAAACGTCGGAATTAGACCATGATGTGTACAGAATGAGTGCTTGAACCTTGAACCTGCCCATCGCCGTACCTTCGCAATGCCGCGATGATGCGGCTGATAGCTGTTATCTACATTCATGATACGCGTGTAACGCACAGCCTCGTGTTCTCCGCCGACCTGAAACTAACGTTTTCCGTGAGTGTCGGAGGCTCGCCATGAATATACGACATGCTTATGCACCGCGGGGACATCACACGAGGATTGTACGCGATTACGAGGTTGCCATCAGGGATGTGACACCTGACACATGTTCGCTAAGACTTATGACTCGTTTTGGTCCTCACCGCCGCCACCCAGGCTCACCACCCACGACAAGGCTACCCTAGTTTGGCAGCATAGCAGCTGTTTCTCTGAAAAGCACGGCATATCTAACAGTCACACACCTCTCGAGTGGCTACGACCGAATAACGTACAAAATTCAGAGGAAGCTGGCGAAAGTTTGCGCCCCGAATATCAATCTGAGAAAAGAACATATGGAGGCCACGGAAATGAGGTTGAATATACCAGACATCAGACGCTCTCGAAAGTGCTGCGTCATCAGAAGGTATCTCTGTCCCTTGGCAGCCCAAGGCGTCCCGCGAACGATCAAATCCCGAACGGGAAGATACTTTATTCCCTGAATGGTCTCAGCTAGCCTGCTAGCGAATAGCGTTGCTGCGCGCGCCATGCGGAAAGCGACATCTCATCATTGTGAAATGTAATTAACACGCCAGTACACGCGTCAGTTTCTAGATGTAAGAGGACCTCACATTCTCCTCCCCCTTCCTTCTGTCCATCTTGATTCTTGGAAGCCCTCATACTAGCAGCACTGTATTCCAGATCTAAATTTGCGAATTTCATCGTCGACGATTTGGATAGATACATGACCTTCGACTTGAGCACCAGACCATGGTCTGGCCTTCTGCAAGAGACCATGCCCGATTTCATCTGATGCGCAGGCTAGTACGCAATCACGGGGACCAGAGCAGCTCTTGCGTTACATTTTGCATTTTGCACGCTTCGTAACGAAAGTCGAGACTCAAGGTCGGGTGAACCTGTCATTCAATACTGTCACTTCTTTATACCCCTTATAACATGTCCCTAAAATCAATAGAAAAGGTAGCGAAACAAGGGACTTCATTCCCTTTCGAGATTTTTGGAGCAGCCTCTGACTTCGAGGGCATGCATTGATCATCCGGCAGTTCTCGCCAGGTACTGCGACTCAACCAACAGGGGCGGTCTTCGAAGTTCCGAAACCAAGATTCATTGCATTGCATTGAAATGAAAATGGTGTTCTGATAATGGTGAGGAGCGCTTCTAGACAGCCGACTACTGAGTACGGAGTTATCCAATTCGAACTGAGTATGTATGTGCCATAGGGCCACCTTTGGAAGCATGATGTCCGTCCTCGAGTTGCTCAGGTACTGGACGATCAACCTGCCTCCCTTCTTCGAAGTGGAGGCGACCATGGGTGTTCCCCTGACTGCCACCATGCTGAGCCTCATCTAGTGCTGGTACGCAAATTCACGGCGACCAGAGCAATTCTTTTCCATAGCGAATCATTTCTCACTACCTTGAATATAACACACTTCGTGATGAATGATGTCTAAGTTCAAGTTGGGTGACCCTTCATACCTTGCCCAAAATTCATGCGAAAAAGGACCTCTTTCATCTTTGGTAACTTTGAAACATCTGACTTTAAACACACAGTCTAGCGATGAGACGGCGGGCAGCGAAGATCTGCGAGATAGGCAACGAACGCTAAGGTTGACGGACTCGCAGCAGGGAAAGTGACATCCATTGCAGGAGGTGATGCATGAGGAAGTGTGGCCACTGATCAAGAATCTGCCTCGCGGGTTGACCCGCAGGGGCGCTCTTTTATAACCAACATTAGCTACATTCAATTTCATGTAAGTCATGCAGTGTCCAATAACAATGGTATCGTGAGGGGTACTAAAGTAGAGTAATTGAATGCCAACCAAGTATGTGTCGTAGATCACCTTCGTCATCAAAGTCGTACAATGGAAAAATGAGTAAGCAAGAGTTCATGAACACTAAATCACAATCGTCATTAACATGTCCTCGTAGAAATGCGTTCGGCGTCCATGGATGCCAGTCAAAGCTCATTAGAACTAGAGGATGTAGACCAGCGATACCAGGGCGAACATAATTGACGCGCCTGACGCGTGGTTCCTCCATGCAGCACCCGTGAGTGTAGTTTGTGTTGGCGCTAGGGTAGGACGTGACAACTGATGTCGTTGGGATCACACTAGAACTTAAAGTAGGCGTGATTGCCCCAGATGTTACGCTAGAAGTTGTTGTGGGAGCTGTTGCAGGAGTCGTATTAACAGGAGTTAATGTCGGGCTTTGCGTGGGAGCTTGACTTGTAGGGGATGCGCTGCCCGTAGAAGTAGTCGACAAAACTGAAGAAGATGTGGATGACGCAGAGGCGGATGAAGATGAGCTATCGTTGATAATGGTGAACTGTGGACTGGCATTGCCAGAGTCACCAAACACTTAATCAAATTATTAGATCCATCCCTCGCATAGACACGCCGCACTACTTACAAACGACGATATAATCTTCTCGTGTGTCCACATTAGGGACGGTGATCTGAACTTGACCGACCGTATAATTGATGTTCGTTGCAAGTGGTGAATCTAATAATATGCTATTTAGTAACAATAGAGCAAAACACTACATGTCATGGTTAACTCACCCAACATCAAGTTCTCGCTGTTGTTGTACATGTATCCCAGAACCAGCATCCCAACCGGATTGGTCATATTGACAGGCAAAGCATTAGTGCTCCTGTGATAAATCATAAATGTCTTATTCTCGAGGACGGATTAAATCACACCAGGATGTACAAACTTACCAAGTCACCAGCTGCTTCTCTCCAACATGCCATACAGTACCCGCCGTTGGACTAGTAACGGGCGGATCCACAACATCCCTCAACTTCAATGGCAGTGAGAGTGCCAATAATGCCAGAGACGATATAGTGAATAAGAGGTTCGTGAACGCAAACATCTTGTTGTAATCTGAACCCAAAGCAAGGGCAGGCAACTGAAGCTGGGGGCCTGAGCAGCTTCACCAGGTTCTGGGTGGACATGTTAATAACATAGCGCTCGTGAGAAAAATAGTTAAGTAAGCGATAGCATCGTGCCTCAGGCCCTCAGGGTACCCGGTACAAGTATCTTTCCCTATCTTTCCTCAGGACCTTGTGATTCATTATGGCTGTTGTGTGTCACTCGTTTATGTCAAGCTAATGTTGATTTGACAGTGGTGGCAAACATTTTATGAAGCCTGGGGTGAACCCTCAGTGCTCACTGTGCCCATGCTTCCTCATGCAACGGTCCCGTAAAAACATGAATGACAGCACCTAATGCACAGACTGCGGCCCATCCTTCAACGTTGTGAAGCTTCTAGTTCAATGTTCAAACATTCACCTGGGAATGAATTCGTCAAAGATAAAGATAGTTTTAGGAGTCGCTTAAAACTGCTTGATTCCATTTACTTATATGCTCGAACGTGACTCTCAACGTTAAGACAACTCAGATATTACTACTTATTAGCGTGGGCATTATAGAAAGGTAGACACGAGGAGCGCGGAAGTGAAGAACAGGCTGATAATAATATATGACGGCATACACTAGTGCCATTTAATTAATCACGTGTTCAGGATCGCCTCACAATTCCCATATTTGGGGAATATTGTACTGGAAAATCATCGCTTAAGTCAAAAATAGTTCATGCACGTCATCCTGCCTCGTTGTTTCCACTCTAGAATGTTCTGCACACTTTCAAGTATATTATTATCAACCATGAGTTGTCTGGACTGCAACAGGGGATCGATCCTTGAAGGCCAGCCCACCGGTTCATTTACCGATATCGATGGCGTCAAGGTCTATTTGGCCTCTAGTACGGGCAACGGGCGTCAGGGTGGTCGCGCGGTCATCCTCCTCGGCGATGGTTTTGGCTTACCGCTCGTGAACTCACATCTAACTCTCGAAGGAGCTGGCTTGTGACGTCTGGATCCCGGATCTTTTCGATGATACTTAATTTCTATTTGTAGAGCGCCATACATCTCCTAACAGAACATGCGGCATTAAGGACAGCCGCTTTTGGACGTGAATGGGATGACAGACAACCTCCTGCCGAAGCGACCGCCCCTCTGGGACAAGATAAAATTCGTTGTCATGATTCTACTGCCGCGCAGTGGGCTTATGCGTCGGTTATTGATCCGAGAAATATTGCTGTTAGGATGTTGCGGTTTAAACTGGCAGGGCCGCCCTGATTTCTTCGCAATTCATCAAGAGAATTCGTGAACAGTGGAAATACGACAGAATTGGTGCTGTCGGGTAAGTGTCGCTGCTTTTGAACGAGGAATATCATATTACTCAGGGAACAATCAAGATACTGTTTTGGAGGACCTCTCGGTGTGAGGCTAGCCCCACTCGATATCTTTGATAGCTTAGTAGTTTGCCATCCCGGGTGGGTCTCTGAGGCTGAAGTGAAGGCAATCAATGTGGGAACCTCGGTTATTCCCTTTTCATGGTGAGGGCATACATGGATATTTCCAGGTCCCTACTTCCTGGGTGTGTGCGGAAGGTTGGTGCATGTTTGGATGAAGAGAGGCAACTTACGCTAATTCCGTGAATCATACTATGACAGAGGATATAACTTTTGGTCCTGCTATCCGTAACCAGGCTGAAGCACTGCTCGCAGCTCGTGAAGGGAAGGATGATTTCGTCGATTACGAGTTCGTGGATTATAAAGGTTTGTGCTATTCGATTTACGATTTCGTTGCAGTACTTTTCACCTTACTTTGTCAGGTACCGTTCACGGATTTGCCTGCCAGCCCCCTTTAGAATTCCCTGATGTCAAGGAGGCGTTTGAGAAATCTATCGATCAGACCCTGAAGTGGTTTGAGAAAACACTCCTGGTGACCTAGGAGGCTTCGACGGTGGTATGATGTTTATGAAATTCTATAATTTCCTGTTCTGAGTTTCGCATCTTCTGAATCCGAGTCATGTTAATATCTTAGCTTCTTTTCTTTAAGTTGCTGTTCAATCCTTTTTAACACAAGTCTCATTGGTCCAATGCGTTTGAACTTTCATGGCCTACCTTGGGACTAGTCCCTTTACCTTTCGCGCTCCGCTCTCGACTTGTCGATCATGCCGAGTGATCTTAATGATCCCGAACGGTTGAGCATTTAGGGGGTAGTGCCTGCTCGTTGTCGTGCCAGGTACGTCGCTTGCGTTAGCTTTTGTGGCATCTCTTCTCATCTACTGGCGGTCGTGTCAGTGTATAGCATTTTCGCCATTATGGAGGCCTGGTCTCTCGAACGTCTCAATCATGAGCGTTCAATCAATCTCGCAATGACCCTCAAACGTTCTACCAACCACTCGTACTCCTCAGCTCCCAACTCCTACATAACATTCTGTGTTCTACATCATTTCTCCTTGGAACCCACACCAGATACACACCCCTACTTTGTCACCTTCATGTCTGCTCATATCAGTCCACAGTTCGTTAATAACTATCTGTCGGAAGTTTGTAGCCAGTTCGAGGAGTACCACCCAAGTTTTCACGTTCGCGTTTGATTGCACGGACTTTAAAAGGCGCAAAAAGGCGTTATGCAGTACCAGTTAATCGCAAACTTCCTCTCACATGTGCGGACTTGCAGCTCGTTCAAAATTGTCTCTCTCATCCACTTTCTCATGACGACAAGCTGTTCCTTGCTCAGCTCCTGGATGAATTTCATGCACTTCTTCGCCTCGGGGAATTAATGTGACCTGACAGCAGAAGTCTCCAACGCCAGAGGAAATTCACGTTGCGAACGTCTGTCGTTGTTGAAGAACAGCATCATTCCTTTGTCCTTCGCACACATAAGACAGATTCTCACTTCGGAGGACCCACTATTGTTGTTCGTCACTCCGACCTCTCGCTAGATCCCCATCAGGCTTTCAGAAGGTTCCTAAACTCCCGCGACTCCCTTTTCCCATTCTATTCAATTCTTTGGCTTTGGATGGACGGCTCAGTTCCAACTCGCAGTTGGTTCATCCTGAAACTGCGTCAAATTTTCCCCTCTGCAATAGCAGGACACTCGAGAGCGGGAGGTGCTACATCGCTTGCAGCCGGAGGGGTCCCAGCGAGTCACATCCAAGCAATTGGGTGCTGGTCGTCAGAAGCCTTTTGGGTCTATACACGGAAGAATGCTACGTTGCTCCACAGTCTCATTTTCAATGGTCGGTTCGCACATGATGTTCGCGATCTGTTCGCGTGCATCCCTTAATTATTTGGCTTGCCTCGTTCTATGTGCGTGTTTCCCATCATCTACACTCAAATCTTCATTTTTACTTATCAGCCTCTACTACCTCTACTTCCTCAGTCATCAATCCACTTCCTCCCTCCCAAAAGTCAAATTTCATAGGGTTCTTCGTTGCCCTCTTGTTGGCTAATCCTCGCGGTTTGTGCTATCGCGAGGCTAAGTGAGACCAATTTGATGTAACTTGGCTGAAGTGAATATAATGGTGTGACGTGTTTTCCTAGGGGAATCTATACAAAAGGCTTCTACATGAGTCAGTACCGCTGCCAGCGTTGTCGCCTAGCTCTACAAAAATGATTGTTTTCCATCGAGGAGATCCTAGTAGAGTTCTAACGATATGAACCTGACTACTCCTGAATACTCCCGTCGGACGATTGGAATCAAGTTGAAGTGGTCAACTGTGGGTTCCCGCTTCCGTGACTCTTCGATTAGCCTGAGGTGCGTCTCTATTCTTAGTGTCAGGTCCAATTTGTTGATGCGCACAAGACCACAAGACCATGAGAAAGTTTCGTCTGCGCTCCCCCAGTACGATTTCTGCGTAAGGCTTTGCCAGGTACCATAATGGCGAGTCCAAATGGTACGGTAATACGCAACGTTCGACTACCATGCGCAGAACGATATTCGGAGACTCCAGCGTGGGACGTAACCTGCATTGATGGCCGAGTACAGAGCATAACATCTTCAGGATCATGCACACCTCACGATGAAGCTACAGTCATCGAAGCAAACGGCGGAGTACTAGTCCCATCGTACGTTTGGCTTTGTCCATCAGCCGCGAGGTCTGGAGACTCAACTTGTGTGTAGGCTGTGTCACTCGCACATTCACCTCGACAAGTGCTTCATACTCGGTCAGTGTGACCCGTTGATTACTGGGTGCGTTACATTAGATTTATAAACGTCCTCAACAACACGAAGTGTTAACCATATCCAAGGTCTTTACCTGAAGCTCTTCAGGTAACAAATAAAGCTAAAGCAGATTTTCCAAAGGATGTCGATAATCTTCATGCCAGGGCGACTTATCTCATCCGAGAGAGCGTGGAGTCTGGCGTCACTGCGATGCGAGCCTTCGTTGAGGTGGATACAACAGTAGGATTCACATGTTTAGATATGGGTCTTCAGTTAGCCAAAGAATGGGCTGAGGTCTGTCATATCCAGATAGTTGGTCTGCTAGCTTTACTTTCCTTGCCGCATAGCGCTGATATTTGCTTTTAGCTTTTGCACAGGAGGCGCTCTATGCGCTTGAGGCTTCAATAGAACCTGGTCTAAACTACAACCTTCTCTGTGATGCAGCTTCTCGCCCGGGCGTTTCTGTCGTCGGCTCTGCGCCTTGGGTTGAACCTGACCGCGCACATGCTCTAAAGAACGTCGAACTCATATTATCTCTTGCTGAAAAACACGGCCTACACGCAGACTTTCACCTGGATTACAATCTGGATCCGCGTGCCACACCAATGGTCTGGGATGTACTGCAGCAGATGCGTCAGCGATCCTGGTGCAGAAGTAGTGGAAAACGTGTTACGATTGGGCATGCAACCAGGTTGGGACTCTTTTCGCCCGAAGAGTGGGCCGAATTGAAACGCGCCATGGACATGTTACCGTTGGAGATCGTTGCACTACCGCAAAGTGATATCTACATGATGGGTCGCACGGATCCTAGCGGAAAAGTTCCTGTCCCACTTGCAGGGCGTACGCTCAATGCGCCGCAGGTTTACCGCGATCACGGAGTTCGTGTTGCGCTTTCTGTGAATAACGTCGAGAATGCCTTCACGCCTCAGGGGTCACTCGATCCCCTCACACTTGCCAGTCTCGGTGTTGCACTCTTTCAAGTGGGCACAGAACCAGACTGGAGAGTACTTTTGGTGGGCGAACTGGGTGAAATTGGTTGCTGCCATGATCTGACGATAATCACAGCGATCGGTGTCGACAACATCTAAAGAAGCCATTGGCATCATGCCCGGGGGGGAAGCTAGTGGGAAATCTGCGGATGAAGGCGATGGGCTGGTCCCCCGCGTCGGTGATCCCGCCGATTTCGTTGTATTGCATGGGGCGCGTCGATGGCAATCTGCAGTGCTAAGCCCGGGATTCGACCGCACAACATTCTACAAAGGCAACGTCGTGGCAAGACGGAGGGCTCAGACATGGAACGCAAACATGGGTGGAGAGATCACCAACTAGTCACAATAGATAAATACTTCAATTGGTTTACACCTCAAGTCAGGGGATGACGGTCGTAATTCATGCATAACGAAGAGAGCTGGATATAGATCATCAATAAGTACATGCATTAGAAGCACGTTGTATTTCTACAACTGTACGAAGATAAAACACATATTCAAGTCTCCATTTATAAAAACCCGCTTTCTTGCAGCAGTCGAGCCATCTTCTCATCTTCTCTCTCGCGAGGTTCGCGTTCCAGACTGAGGTTCCAAAAGTAATCGCCTACATCAACTTGCTCGCTGAACTTAGCAAGTGATTCCTCAAGGTAAGTTTGCACGCTCGTAATAGGATTGAAATTATGCGGGAATGTTTGCCAGCGCTGGATATCTTGGATCACCTCCGAAGCTTTCTGTCGTTTTCGGAAGTTCACCAAGTTACCTGGAAGAGTGTCCTTGCTTCCATCTTGGATGAAGGTCAGTGTAGTAAGGAAGACGCCTTTACAAGCGAATGAATACAGCAGCCACGAAGAATCGAAACAGAAAGCTCACCAATGAAAGGCACACAAGGGGGAGATACCTTTGCGAGCGTCGAACGATAGTTATTGAAGTTCTTGCCTGAATCGATGGTCATCTCGCAAGTGCCAAGTTGAGCCATATGTCGCGCATTCACTTGCTCCCATGAGCGCTTGAGACGCCTTATAGGGGGCGAGTTCAGCCCAGATACTATAGCAACCATGCTCGAGTAATTGTGCATCGAGCGACATCGCTGAGGGAAGTAAGCATCGTACAGACGAGTTCCGTAGCGCGCCACTCACGTCGGCCACGCTTATGAACTGCTTCAAAATAGCAGAACGCTTCCTGGAATCCTCGTGGGTGAGAACTGAGTCAGCCACCCAGTTAGCAATCTGGCAACGCTATGAGCATATGATGGCTATTGAAGGGCCGGACCATACCCGATTACTTGTTTGGATGACCCGAGCGATATTATCGTTGTGGTCTGTCTTTTGCTCCCGCGAACGCTGCAGACATTCCACTGGCCGTATCTTCTGGTATAAGTAACTCTCCATAATTGTCAACTGTCGTGCCAACTCCAAGGGGTCTATGTCCAAAAGTTTTAACTTCTTGTTGGGCTTGGGTAAGATCGAGGCCGGTGGACTGCCTAAAGTAGGAGTCAAGCCCTTCTTGACCTCTCCTCCACGCTGTGGCGCCGGAGTCAGACAACCTAGATCATAGTAAGGACGCTGAACTTACTGCACGTTCGACAAGTGAAAGTAGCTGCTTCGCAGCTAAAATCTTACTAACATCCTCGTTCTGCAAGAACTCTTTCATTCGATTCAAGATGTACATATCCTCTTTCTCAAGGAAATCTTCATCCGAAACCATGGCCTTGAGAGTATTTAGGACACTGAAAACAACATTAGGACAATGCGGAAGAATCCACAACGACGTACCGCATCTGAATAATGTGCTGCTTGAGCTTTCTCCACTCTTCCGACTCAGTGAGACTCAGCCCTTCAGGAGTTTGGATGCGGAAGCGACGGACGAGATGGTCGAAGAAGTCATCAAGGGTGGTGAATGATTTGTACGTCATCAAGAACGTTTTGATGAACGTAGGGTCTAATAGGTCCAATACTGAATATGATGCCGTAGATTGATAAGTTATGAAGTGCCCTTACCTGAAGGGTCATGCGATGTCAGACGCTCGACCAAAGCTTGAACAGTTCCTGCTCGCACGCTTCCATCCACATCGATGACCATGTCATTCTTCGTGTAGTCGGGGCGTAGATACCAGGGTTTGGTGCTGATGATATGTTCAGGAGCGTCATCACCAAAGATTTTTTTGATCTTCGTTGCTGTTCTCGTGGTCGCGGCTGTACAGATCATAAGCAGAGAAAGAGAGGGAAACGAACATATGACGCTTACAGTCGTCATCAAGGATTGAAGCCGAGTCGCTCATCGACTAGGACATCCTGCGGTTTCTCAAACGTCGAAGGGACCAGGGTGTGTACAGACATAGTAGGGTCGTAGTTTGAAGCTCCCGTCCTAAGTGACCGATCGGTAAGGGTAATGGTGGTGTCAGACAATTGCGATTGACTTCGGAATGCTGGTGTTCGGTCGCCGAGGATGGCCGCAGACTTTTTCATTCCAGACGCACCCAAAGCAACTTCGATATCAACAATGTCTTCGCTCTCTGGATCTGTGGGGTCGAGGACCGACATGGGACGGGCGTCAAAGTTGCTGTCAATGATGCTTAACCGTGACATGCGCCACTCTATTGCACCTGTATATTCCCCTTGTGCCATGTCTGCTTGATCATGGCCGAGGGAAAGCAGTGTATCAAGGGTTTGCATGAGGAATTGGAGATTTGACTTGAGAGAGACGGAGATCGCGTCTAGGTACTCGCACTGCAAGTCGCGATCTTGCCGTGAGGCTCTGCAGGTAAGATGACGAATTCGCTGCATGGTGAGAAGCAGTGTAGCTGCGTCATCGTACAAAGCTTGTACTACTGCTTCGAGTGTGCGTATAAGCAAGCGAGCTTTGTCGACGGTTTGAGTATACTGAGCTGCACGCTCGGCATGTGCCATATCGGAGTAGAAACCATCAATGTCGACGTGACGAGCGATGTGGATATTGGCAACGAATAACAAGAGTGATGCAAGGCCGGACACAAGCTCACAGCCTGAAATCCACACTCGTTGCTCTGAAAATGTGTCAACGAATAAATCATAGAATGAATACTCATACACTCACGAGTCTCATCTCCGATAGTCTTGAGCGTGTTGTGGAAAGTTCCGAACCTTGCCTGCATTGACACCATGTGCGTCTTGAACTCAGAGAAGACGTCGCTGTCTAAAATTCTCTGAGGGGCTTCGTCATTATCGTCTAGTGGTACCCAGCCAAAACCCTTCCAAGTCCCTGCACACCCCGCACCAACTAGCCCCAGCCCAAGGTAGACTGTGGAGAAGCAACCTTGAACTCGTTTTGCTCCTACGCCACCAAGTTGTTCATTTTGACACCGCTGAACTTCAACAACGAATGTCACGATGGCACGATCAAGCTCCGCCGCGTCACTTTCAACACGCGATGCCGTTTCATGTGCCCCAGGACCCGAGTCATACTCCATTGCTCGAGCGGAAAGAACGAGCTTGGATAACGTGGCGGTTACTTTGCGTTGGGCTGGTTTCAAAAGCGTTTGTGATGCAGTAGTTTCGCGACGTCCACGGGCATCGCGCGGTATGAGATTACCGGGTATGTGACCAGGTGGCGCGGATATGTAAAGTAAATTACGGACGGTGATGACAACAGCTCTAATGAGGCTGTCAAGCACCTGACCGTGTTCTACTCTGCGAGATACACCGACCAGCGACTGGTTTTTCTGGACAACGGCGGAGATAGCGTTATGTGCGACATGAGAGAGGTCGGAAATGAGGTCAGGGGGTGGTGGTGATAATGATTGCTGGAGTGATTGGGCAATTTTCTCGGCTGCGGTCAGCTCAACGGAAGGCTTCTGAGCCAGTTGATCCGCAAATAGGTCCTGACCACTTTGAGAACGCCCACTAGCTGAAGGTGAATCGCCATGGTCTGGAGAGTAGAGACAGGAATCTTCAGAATCACTAATAAGCTCCGACTTGCTGTGGCTCCTGTCTTGCCCATGTCGGGTTTGGGATGTCGCTGAATCAGATCGAAATCGTGTTGGTGCCGAATCCTCATCCGGACTGCTGAATAACTCCGATGAGGCAGTGGAGGAACTGGTGAGAGCGCGGACTCCTGCCCTTCTGCGCAGCAGCCTCTGTCTCCGGAATTGTCCAGCTCACTTGACCAGTAAGCTTATTCCAGTAATAGTAAGACATGCCATCATCGGCAAGTCGTCTCACCCAAGGCTCAGGCGTCCCGGAGCGCTTTAGAACGCCAAACCCTGGGATCGAAGATTCCGCCAATGCGCTGAGTCCTAACCCTGCGCTTGTGCCTAATCGTGAACTCGGTGAAGAGGCAGTCAGTCCAGCAAGTTCACCAGCTGATACATCATCAACTTCTTGCGGCAAGTCCCGCGAATGTTGTCCGGTTTGGGTATTGACGTAGTAAATCTGGAGAAGCAGAAGAGATTGGTCTGCTGTGTAAAGAATCACAACGAGAAAAATACTCTGCTCACCTGACCATCCTGTGTGACTTGGGGCATCCAGAAGTCGCTTGACAAAGTTGCGCCGTGGTTCACAGCACTGCGTGATTCGACAAGACTGTTCGATGGAGCAGACTGGTCACGTTTATTTCGCGACCATTCGCTGTCTGATAAGTGGAGGTCCTGTGTCCGGGAGTGGATGTCATTCGAATGGGTATCAGGAGCCGCCACTTCATGTATTTGCTGAAGAGGACCTTGTTGGGTTGTAGTGTCATGGTTGGAAAGAGCGATCTCTGCCTCCTCATCAGAAAGTACTGCTACATAATTGGATGGAAACCATCCCCGTTCATCTCCAAGGAGTCCATCCCACCACCCTGACTCGAGCTGGGTGAGAACCTCGATGATGTCATTCTTGTGAAAGGAGAGGGATGAAGCATCTTGTGTCTGGTAGTCATATAGCGCTCGACAGAAGAATGTGGATATGTATTGCTCCTCCGGAAGTTGTGAAATCTGCTGTTCCTGTTCCATAGTGATCGTTGTGGTTTGGGAGGGATAGCCGTTGACACCACCGTACATGGCGAGGCCAATGGCAGCCATGGAAGAACTGACGTAGACTGCAAGAAAACGAATTAATGGATTGGCGGAAGCGGAGGGAAGTCGACTCAAGTAAGATGAGCCGTATGCCTTCACAACAACTTATTACGTAATAGCACAGTTCGTTATCAAGGTACTACTTAGCGAAGCCCACCAATCTCACCGCTTCAGCGTCCTTTGCTTCTCCGCAAACTCCACAATTTTTCTGTCCACAAACATGCCTTTCCGCTCTCGCACGCTGTCCATGTAACCTTTCGCGATATTGTCTCGATCAGCTTTCTCACCCAGGTCTTCCAGCTCTTCCTCAGTCGTTGGTATCCAAAAAGGATCTTGATCGAGCAATTCATACCTTGTGCTCCATTTCAATGATTTGCGAAAGCCCAACAGGTTACATCGCTTACCCGCTGAAAATTAGCTGTGGACTTGCAGCACCAGATGTTCGTTTGCGTATATCTGCATCACGGCGTGAGACTACCCTATCGCAGCTTGTACATGAAAGCTCACCGTCTGCGAAACCAAAACTCTCCACAACAGGAAGAAGGGCAGATACTGTGAAGAACGTAGTCCCCTCCTTCATCTCCTCAGCCACAATTCGACCACGTCGTTTCGCAACCACTCCATAAACTTTCCCAAGGACATCCGCTGAAAGATAAACTCTGATGAGTACAGGTTCTGGAACTGACCAGTTGATTACCTACTTGAGGCTTGAATATCACACGAATACATTGCCAACATAAGCCGAGGGGACCAATCAAGCAGTCCATTTCTGCAGGCATCTCTCACCGCCGATATCACAGAGCCTGTCACTTGTGACAACCTATTCTGGACTATTCAAAATGTCCAGCCGTCATATCTTGAGGTCAAACACTTGTAAAGAACGTACCGATCTCCTTCTGGACGCCGTCGGCATCAACGTCGATAGACTCGACGAAATAGGCCATCCCTTCGATAGGCTCGGCACACAAAGGTCCTTGGAACGTGGCTAGCTGGAAGCCTGTCTCAACGTAGCCCGTGAAATCAATGTCATTGCCGGATGTATCCGTGGACTGAGCTGATTGATTCCGTGAGAGACGACGCTTCAGCCTGAATACAAAGTTAATGACACCGCAGGTGACAACACAAGGTAACGCACGACAACGGTGTCGTATCTTTTCGACAATCAATAAGAACACAGCCCCCCGCGTGGCGAGGACCAAATGCCCATATTCTGTCGCACATGTTCACCCATTCCCCGCCAGCTTCATTGCACTTTTCTTCTAGTGCATTCCAGAATTGGTCCGCTCTAACACTTGGAGTATGAAGTACATCGCCTTGGGCACCAACCAATTCGCTCTCAGAAACAATATCGATACTGCTGGAGGTATCTCTGTTCGTTTGACCGTCCTCTTGCAATGCCCTGAGAGTCGTTAGATTATGCAGCAAGAATTGCAAGATGACATCAGGGACAGGCGCCGAGCGGATCGAAAAAGTGACCAAGTTCTGTGAGCTTGCACCCTTGATGGTTCCGCGGGGAGCGTTCTGCGTCTTTGGGGGCGCCATATCTATCCTCAAAAAGTGAGTAGCGAGACGATGCATAGGAGAGGATACATACCTTGGGCTTTCACAGCAGTTTCACGGAAAGGAACTATCGGTTTAGACGCCTGAATCTCTACGCGAGCAAATCTCTCCCGCAAGTCTTTCAGACATCTCTGTGAACAGGGTGAATGAAACGAGGCGACAATGAGTGATCAAATTGTACCTCCAAGTGTAGCTCTCCTGCGGTCAGGATGACATGTTCTCCGGTTTGTTGCTGAAATGTTTCAACGCAAGGATCAGCTTGAGCGAGGAGCTTCATCCCAGAGACAAGTTTTCGCATATCAGAAGGGATGACTGGTTCAAGCGCTACTCGCACTATAGGCGACACCTACGATAAAAACGCTGAACATTAGTGACACAAACACTTGTGTGACGCTTACCGTGCGAGTGACACCACCGAGGTTAATGAGACAATCTTGCACTTGGACAGAATCCGCGCCCTCTGGAGCGCCTATGCTTTGCGGTGCACACAGCGTCGCATTCCTATACACCTTTCCTGCCAAACCCTTGATTGCAAAGGTGTTCCCGGCCCTGACGCTCTCCACAGGGATAAGCTCCCGGCCCATCATAACGTACAATCCTTCGACCTTGGCTGGGATAAGATGTGCAACATTGTATGAGTGATTTGGAGGAAGGGAGGCGTTGTACTTGGGCAGCACACAGTATATAGTGGAGTCCGTGCGTATCGTCCCTGAATATAGTCGTGCAAAGCCAAGGATAATTTCAGACTCCTCAGAAGCGTCCAACGTTTCTTCTAGACCTAAATCAGGAGGGGATTCTGAGGCTGCGCTGGGATGGACTGGAGTCTCTGAGACTGGAACGCTGTTATCCCGTGCTTCTGTAGCTTCTCGCGCCCGCTGACGCAGCTCGTCCGCTGTCATAGGCCGCTTCTTGTTTTCTGGAAGGTTTTTGGCCGCAACAGCGAACGTTTTGCTTACATACGCAACCACAACCGCGTCTGGCGCGAAGTTGGACGTGAACAAATCCTGCTCTAACTTGTTCTTAGGCTGTATGCTCTTGTCGAATATATTAGGGTAAAGCATTTTTGGGATGCGAATTGCTTGGGCAACAGGAGGGGAAGGAACGACATCGATGGTCGCCTGAATGATGCATGTAGACAGTGAAAGCCACTGTGTAAAAATCGTGGACAGTAACTGCCGACTGTCTTTTGACCTCAAATCGCGAGGTAAAATCTTCAAATTGAGAGCTGTTACAATCTTTGTCACTTTCTCTATGTTCCTGGAGGTCTATTAGTATATCACGTGGCATCATATAAAAAGATAACGATTACGGGTTCATCACAGCGGCATCGTAGACCGCCCAGATGTTCTCCAGCACAAATTGGACAAACAACGGCTTCAGTGAGCGTCCGCGTAGATGCTTGTGGCTGATGACTTTCTTGGTTTTGGGATCGATGTAGAAGTCGCCCCACAAGACGCGCCTTAGATTGGCTTCCTTGAAGCCGAGCTTCGCAGAACAAAGTTGGGCGAATTTCCCGACTCTGAAACCCCAACCATCAATAGCAGACGCAAAGACGACGTTACCCCGCTCCGGTGCGAAGTAGATATCTTCATCGTCTTTCTCCTTGAACTCATCTGCTTCATTGACGGCTGCTTCAGCTTCATCTGCAAGCTGATCCTTCTTTTCAGCAAGCCGTCGATCGCGCTCTTCCCTCCATCGGAGATCGTCCTCCATCATTTCACTTGCAAAAAAGCTGCCCATCACCGCATTTACTTGTTCAATCAACCGCGAAAGGTGCTGGTAAGCTTCGATGGGCGCCAACTTCAGCTCCGTAATGAGTCTATCCATCTTGTTGATGACAAGTATCGGGCGAAGGCTATCCTCCCATGCTTGTCTAAGTACAGCAATAGTCTACACAAATGAGATTAGATATACTCTGTGTCAAAAATTAACTTGCCCACCTGCGTGCATACACCCTCAACGACGTCAACAAGGACTAGTGCACCATCACACAGCCGAGACGCTGTAGAGACTTCGCTCGAGAAATCGACGTGTCCTGGGGTGTCGATCATATTCACGATATACGTCTTTGGGGAGTTTCCTGGGTATGTCCATTACTGCTCTTTGGCATGGACATCATGGTGAGATAGATACCTTCGTCGGGTCGCCCCATGACCTGAAACTTAAGCGATACGGCGCTGCTTTCCATGGTAATCCCGCGCTCCTGCTCGTCCTCTCTACTATCAAGAAACCTCAGTTTCCCCGCCATCCGCTGAGAAATAATGTTGTTCGCCGCAAGAAGGGCATCCGTCAGCGTAGTCTTTCCGTGATCGACATGCCCGAGAGTCGTGATTATTCGAACGTTAGCTGGATCTGGAGCCTCCATCGATGTACCTGTTGAACCCATATGTACGCCTGCGTGAGCAAGAAAGAGGGTAGGATACGTGAGGAATGTGTTCTCCGCAGAAATAATCGCTATGACTCAAATATCTATTAGTATATGTATGACTTGCACGGACCGGTGCATCTTCGGAAACGAGATGGTCAACTGAATAAGGAAATCGTGAAGCGCTCGCAATTTGGGATTCTGGGAATACAGATAACGGCAGGATAACAAGCTAAGCTAGCAATCGCTCGAGGCTCTGCCTAACCGACTCGTCTAGACCCTTCCCAATCAACACCAACTTCCCTGAATCGGGGATTCCTGTAACATCCCCTTCTACTAAGGATAGGTCATACATACTCTGCACGCCCTGCAGAACGTACTGCTCCCCAGACACCATCACGAAAAGACCCTTACAGCGAAGGATCTTGAGTTCCGATGTTCCAGTCTGAGGGACATTGTCTGGTATTCGGTTCTCCCACAGAACCGTACGTATCCATGCATCTAGTTCTTCGAGACGATGGCGGGTTAACGTGGGAACGGTGACCTGCAGACTAGAAATACCACGCAATTCGTAGTGCTTAGCGGATACGCCGTACTCCGCGTGGTCATGATTGTCGTCGTCGCCATGTTGGTGTTGTGCGGATCGCAACCCCTTTGTCCCGCCTGCGTATGCGTTGATGTTCATGATATGCGCAAGATCGATCTGACCGCGAATAGTTCGGTGAATTGGAGCAGAGGGGTTAACCCTTTGTATCAGTTCTTCAGTCGAGGACAATTGCTCCTCTGATACTAGATCGACTTTGTTCAACAGGATAACATCTGAGCATGCTATCTGTCTGGATATGGTGTAAGTGACGGGCCAGATTGCAGATATAATCCATGATTACCTGAGACTTTCGCCAATGCCGTCGACAGAATGGTCCTCTTCCATTTGCTTGGGTGTGATTTAGCGAAGAAACTATACAAGTCAGAAAAGTGTGAATGTACCTGTTGGCCAAAGACAGCATCGACAACGCAGACAACGCCATCCAGGGAAATCTGTCGACCTAAACCAGCGGCATACTCTTCATTCAGCCAGAACATGGACGCGATGGGGCCTAGGAGATATGAAAAGTTATAAAATACGTAACACATCGTAAGCGGGTCATGGACTGCTTACCAGGATCAGCAAGACCAGTCGTTTCTAATAAGATATGGTCAAAGGCACCTTTCCTTTGCATAAGTTTCTCAATGGCAGCTACACCCGCGTCTTTGATGGAACAGCAGAGGCATCCATTTGCCAGCTCAAGGAGCTCCTGTGACTTCTCTGCTGTTGGGTCATCTTCCGAGGAGATATTGATGGCTTTCGCTAGACTTAATATTAGCGAAGAACTTCACACCGTTAGGAGAGTAACGGAAACCTTCGATGCTCTTCCGATGAATGTTCAATATAAGCGCTTATGAGCAGATTAGATCATTGCTCACTGAAGTATCACCAAATTCGTTCATGATCACGGCTATCCGATAACCGTGACGCTCTGTTAGAATACGCCTAATGAATGATAAGTACACAGTGCACATGATGCTGAGTACCTCGCATACCTCAACAAGGTAGATTTCCCTGCACCAAGAAAGCCACTGATGATTGTACATGGTACTCGATGGGTTGAGGCAGAATCGGGGATTGGAAGTACTTGATCATCATGCTCGATCAACGTCCTTGCGTTCATAAGCAGGCATTAGCAATGCAAGCGAGCGATAAACTAAAACATACCGCGAACATACGGTATATCATCATCGAGGTCCATGTCTTTGATATCAACTTTCGGATTCGCTCTAAGTGACCGTGTATGAGCAACCACTGTACGGAGGTGACTGTACCGAGTCGAGCGGATCAAATGAGGTTGTGCTACTAGAACGAAGGCGGGAGCAAAGCTTTGGTGCCGATGAGTACTGCTTCCGAACATTACGGTATACCGTCTTACATAGTCTGTTCTTTACTCTCCGTTTTATGGCACGCTCATCCGTCTAAATGGCTTTTCCATCCACAATGTCAACTCTGCCTGATAATGCGTTTCCGCTGACAGATGAACCACTCAAGAACCTAATTCAAGGTCCAGGAGACGTGGAGTGGAGGTATGCGCTCCACAAAGCCGTTCTTCTGTCATGGCTATAAATGTGCTGCCACTTATCAGGTATGAAATGCGTCGGGAGTGTCAAGAGATCCTTCCTGGCCTTCTACTAGGCCCTTTTCAAGCATCCAAATCGCTTGAGGTGCTCCAATCGCTCGGCGTCACCCACATGTGAAGTTCCAAAGCCTCTTTGGATCGCTGGCCCAACTGATTAATCGACGCGTTTCCTACCTGATGTCCCTTTTATGCCTTCATATTTTATTCCCAGAGTCTGTATACGCGATAAGAAGGAAGCCTTCTCCGTGAAAGCACGTTTCCCAGATCATTTCCGGTACCTGGTGCTAGATGTGGAGGATAGCGAAGACCAGAACGTTATTCGTCTATTCCCAGAGTATGTATTTACTGCACGATATTCCATGAACCTGCTAACAGTCTCGGATAGAGCTAATACATTCATTACCCAATCGTTGAGCGCAGGAGGCAAGGTTCTAGTTCACTGCAATGGTGCGCTCTGCGTTTAATTGTTCGTAGTGCCTACTCAGTCCATATACCATAAAGGCGGTATTTCCCTATCACCGGCCTTTGTTGTCATGTTCGTCATGCGTCATTGTCAGTTGTCATGGGAAGATGCACTTCATCTGGTACAAAATCGTCGCTATTGTATCTCGCCAAACGGTGGCTTCTTGACGCAGATCAAGGTGGGTTTCGTGTGTCCCTGAGCTTGTTCACCGTTGCATTCCCGTGCTTCGCACCTTTGTGTTGAACTACGTTCCAGCGCAACGGAGCATTACATTAGAGGCTTTATATTCTAATGAATTGTGCCACAGGAATATGAATCGATATACAAGGCATCTGTCGCTGTCGCGGGATTTCCGCAAGGGCAGATACAGCGGGTTGTATCCCGGAGGAAGAGAGATGATGACGACGACGACGAGTTCAGGTACGCCCATTTCTCAAAACCACCCCTGTCGGTTGCATCCTCTAACAATTTATTAGAGAGGATGACCGTAAAAGAGCACTAGTCGATGGAGAAGGGGACGACGCAATGGCAACAGATTTATAACCATACTTTCCAGGAGTTTTCTTCATTTCCTTTAGGTCAATCCAGTTTAGTCTACTGTTACCGTATATTTGCTTTTAGAAGCGTTTTCTGTTCCCTCACGATGAATGGTATAACTTGTTTTGTCGGGGTCCAATGTGACCTAGTTTCCAACTGGGTATGATCTATAGTGATTTGATCTTTGCCTTCTCTTTCTCCTGTAAAACGCGCTTCGCATGGACCTCTGGAGCATGCACATCAGTCTCAAGGCACAGTGAGGCAGCTGGAGCAATAGCCTCTGACCTTTGCGTTTTACCCACGCCTCAACTGAGATCCCTCCAAACACGATGCCCGCGCCTGCCCACTGCCCGAGGGTGAGTTTGTGGTCGTAAACTACCACAGAGAGAACCATGGTGAACATCTTTCTTGTCAACGTGATCATTCTGCCAATTTGCGATAAGCACAAGGTGTAACAGAAACGCCAGAGAAGGACTACGAACACTAAAGTGAGTGATCCAAAATGCTGTAACGTCTCGAAGATGAAAAGTTGCCCAAGAGCTCCAGTCAAAGAAAACTGGATTAGGGGTACAACGACAGAAGGATGCGTCTTTATAAACCCAATTGCGTTTGCGAACTCTGATTGTAAACCGCTCGAGGGGTGAATCACAGGGATATGCGGCAAGGGAAGGGTTCCAAGCGCGGTGCTCAACAGGGTGCAAAAGATATTAATCCAGAGCATCATCTGTTGCCCGGTCACCTTGTATCGAACGAACACCTCATCTTGCGTCGAGTTTACCGCGCCGTCGAGGATAAGATTGATAACAAGGTATAGGATGCCAATCAGCTGACCATGAGGCGCCTGCTCGCCATTGGATGAGGCTTTTGACGGCTTTTCATTTCCGAAGCCCATGAAGACACTGATGCCAGCTGTGACCATTGCGACGACGACATATTTATGCGGGGCAAAGCGCCTCCGGTACATGACGAAATTCATGAGCATCACTGGGACGAGCTTGCAGGACTTTCCCAAGACCATTGTAGGATAGGTGATATACGAGAGGGCCGCGAAGCCGAAGGGGGCGGCGAGTGTGATGAAAGCTGAGACTTGAAGGTAGCGTAGTAGGAGACCTTTGGGGGTGGATGAAGGATTATGTGATGGTGCTTTTGAGGGACGGGCATGGCCGTTGATGGAGACTTTAGTGCTCGAGGATCCATTTGTTTTGGAATTGGATGAATCTTTTGCCTGTGACATAGAGGCGAAGTCCAGACCCAGTAGAGATGATAGTGATGACCCTGATTTGCCACGGATTAATATGTATGCGAGGGCAGATAGCGAGCTCAGGAAGCTCTGGCAGGTCCCAATGAAGAGAGCAGACTTAAACTTGTCTGTTGATTGACCATCTATGTGTTGGAATGGAACCGATACTAAGAGGCTGTCTCAGTTGCTGCATTCGATGTTTGTGTGTTGTACCTACATCGTTCCTGCGCCACGGCCCATAGCTGCCAAGCATAACGCTAGTGAGCAAGTGTCATTCGTCAGAAGTAGCGAAATTGACATACTAGAAACATGGAGTAGACTCCGAGGATACATAGACCAAGCCTGGCGTTCAAAGCTCATGAACTCGGACAGAAATTCTTATAGTGCAAGGGCTTACCGAAGGACCGACATCGTGAGGGCACGAAAGGCAAACGTGCTGAAATTTAAACAAGTTGAGTGCAGTGCTGACGTTTGTACAGACTACGTGTCGGAATTAAGACCTAACCCTAAACTAGGGTATGATATCCAAGCCCAGTTGACCACTGAGTGTCATAATACCCTCCCTCAAACGGACTACATCCTCTCTAGTTGGTCTACCCTGCGATGGTGTACTTGGACTTCCAGCGGTGAGCCTCTGTAGCATGTCTTCTAACCCCTCCATCTCTTTCTTCTGCAAAAGTTCCTCACTCTGTCCGATTGGAGCGTCATCAAGATGTTCTCTCGCATGCTGCTCGGCTTCCTGATCGGGAGGGGCGATATCGGAAAAGCGAACACTTGCAAGAGAAGATGATATTTCGCGTGCGGTTGCGAGTGCTATAGCAGATTCTTCTCGGCTTTTTGAGCTCAAGAATGATGCGATGGCAGATATTACGCCACGCATTGATCCCAATTCGCGACCTATGGGAACTCCTACGTCGGCGAAACCCATATCGAAACCCTCTTGGATTGCGGATTCTTTCCCTGCGACTATCCCTTCTCGGTACCCTGACTGTGGATGGAAATATCAATGAACCGGGAAGAATAGATTGTAGGTGCTCGTACGTTTGTGAACTGATTAGATAGTTTTGCCCAGTCTGCTTCAGGGGCATAATCTGGTCGTGGGTCTTCCTCCCAAGGTGAATCCATGCTATATTACGTTAAACTGGACTCAGATGCTGACGAGAAACATATTTGAATTGTCCTCGTACGATGTGATAGATGATAGAGTCTGAATAACCACGTCTGAACTATACATATACGGGAGATATCATATAAGATTTCCTTTTCGGGTACGTTACTTGTTTCAAACCTACCTCCGTTGCGAAGTGCCACGTCGTAAGTACTAGCCCGAATCCTCGTTAGCAGCGCATTCGAATTTGATTGATCGGACATCAAGACTCCAGTTCATTCTACGACGTTCCTTGCTAAAGTGTTCGCTGTGACTTGATCAGCTGTTCAGGCGGCTCGCTCAGAATTTAATGATTTGAACCGTCGGATGCTTGTGGGCCCATAAATTTGCCGCTTGAATTTGACCGGATATTATGATATTGCCGAACAGAACGAAATCGGACAACTTCGGAACAAAAAAAAGCAGCGATTGCGCTGCGCCAGCTTCAGACTACCAGCACAGGTGGGTATCGCACTCTGATAATTAACTAAGCTAGTACAATAGTAGCACGGTTTCTATCCCCGACCTCAAACACCAACATTTGCACCACTCGCCGATTTACATATTTGGTGTATTTTCGTCAAATTTCCGTGGGAAGCGGACGACACGTCGACACATTTTAGTTGTCTCCTTTATTTAATTTCTGCTCTCTTTTTAACTTTTCTCGACTGACCCTCCTTGTTCTCTCCGCCTGCTCCCCTCCCCTCGGTTCTGCAATCATTTACTCCCGGTTTCGTTCACTAATGGCTGTCGCGTCCTCTTCGGACGCTGCAATCCTTGCATTAGGCGTCGTCCTAGCTGCTGCCTATCTTTTTCGTGATTCAATATTCTCTTCCTCAACGCCCAAAGCTGTCCCGGTTGCTCCTTCTAAACTCGCAAATGGCCATGGAAACCCTCGAGATTTTGTCGCTAAAATGAAGCAAGGGGTAAGCCCATCCGCTTCCAATTTTTATAATGTGTCATATCTCTGACATTTTTGTCAGAACAAACGTCTTATCATATTCTATGGCTCTCAAACTGGTACTGCAGAGGAATATGCTATCCGCATTGCTAAGGAGGCAAAGACAAAGTTTGGGCTTACATCTCTGGTTTGCGACCCCGAGGAGTACGACTTTGAGAATCTCGATCAAGTGCCTGAGGATAGCTGTGTCATCTTTGTCATGGCTACTTATGGCGAGGGCGAACCCACCGATAACGCAGTTCAACTCATGGAAAACTTGGCCGATGATTCATTTGAATTCAGTAACGGTCAACATAGACTTGAGGGCCTCAAATATATTGTTTTTAGTTTGGGTAACAAGACTTACGAACACTACAATGCCATAGGACGCCAGGTAGATGCCCAATTAACCAAAATGGGCGCAGTCAGAATTGGCGAGCGCGGTGAGGGAGATGACGATAAGAGTATGGAGGAGGACTACTTGGAAGTGGAAGGACGGTTTGTGGGCTTCCTTCGCTGAAGCCATGGGTGTAGAGGAGGGTCAGGGTGGTGATACCCCAGATTTCACTGTTACAGAATTAGAATCGCACCCTCCGGAAAAGGTATATCTCGGTAAGCACCTGTTGTCTATTTTGGTACATCCTCTCATTCTGCTCTCTAGGCGAACTTTCTGCACGTGCCCTTACGAAGACCAAAGGCATCCACGATGCCAAGAACCCTTATGCCTCCCCTGTCAAGATTGCTCGCGAACTCTTCGAAGTTGGCGGAGATCGTAACTGTGTCCATGTCGAACTTGACATCGAAAGCTCTGGGATCACATATCAACACGGAGATCATGTCGGCGTCTGGCCTATCAACCCTGATGTTGAGGTTGATCGTCTACTTTGTGCACTTGGACTCTACGACAAGAAAGATACCGTTATAAACGTCGATTCCCTCGACCCTGCTCTTGCTAAGGTTCCATTCCCCGTCCCTTCAACCTACATCACCGTCCTGCGTCATTATATTGACATCAGTGCTGTCGCTGGTCGTCAGATTCTCGGTGCTCTCGCAAAGTTTGCACCCTCTCCGGAGGCTGAGGCATTCTTGCGTAACCTTACCGTCGAACAAGGAGGACTATGCGGCCGTTGTCGCGAACGGGTGTCTCAAGCTTGGCGAAGTCCTTCAACTAGCTGCAGCCAACGACATCCATGCTCACCCTACACCTAAGAACACTACTACATGGGCCATACCCTTCGATATCGTTATCTCATCAATCCCTCGTTTGCAACCCCGCTACTACTCTATCTCGAGCAGTCCCAAGCTTCACCCGACCTCCGTGCACGTAACGGCTGTTGTTCTCAAATACGAGTCCATTGCCAACAACCTCGTTGCTCCTCGTTTGGTATATGGTGTTGGCTCAAATTTATTGCTCAATATCAAGCACGCTGCAAATGGCGAGACCGCTGTCACTGCCTCGGCGTATGCTATCGAGGGTCCCCGCGGGGCTCACAAGGTTGAAGACATTTACAAGATCCCTGTCCACGTCCGTCGTTCCACGTTCAGGCTCCCGACAAATCCCAAAACCCCCGTCATCATGGTTGGACCGGGCACTGTAAGTCTAATTGTCAAGATTCTTTGTGGCTTCGCTCACAGATACGGCTCAGGGTGTTGCGCCATTCCGAGGGTTCGTCCAAGAACGTGTTGCTCTTGCTCGCCGAACAATTGAGAAGAACGGCCCTGATGCTTTGGCGGACTGGGGTCAAGTCTCTCTCTTTTATGGTTGCCGTAAATCAACGGAAGACTTCCTCTACAAAGACGAATGGCCACAATACACTGCCGAGCTGAAGGGCAAGTTCACGATGCACTGCGCATTCTCACGGGAGCCGCCGTACAAGCCGGATGGTAGCAAGATCTACGTGCAGGATCTGATTTGGGATGACCGTAAGAACATTGCCGACGCTATCCTTAATGGGAAGGGATACGTGTACATTTGTGGTGATGCCAAAGCGATGAGCAAGGCAGTGGAGGAGGTTCTTGCGCGGGTTTTGGGTGAGGCCAAGGGTGGGAGTGAGGCAGATGGTGCGGCTGAGATCAAGCTGATGAAGGAGCGCTCACGGCTGATGTTGGACGTCTGGAGTTAGAGGAGATGATATGTTTGCATATGTTACTTTTGCGCTAGCTCATGACATGTCGATGCCCGACACTTCGATATTATATTGCAATAGATATACATACCTTGGGTGGTAAAGTTTGTCTATAATAAACCCACTTCACGAATTTATCCATCGTTGAGTTTTACTCATTGCAGCCCAGTGTCTGATTTGAAGCGTTGTCGCTGTCGTGGTTGTCGGCGAGGCTCGGGATATTTGTCCTCTTCCACTCCACCATTTTGGTCCAGGCATAATCATGCTAAGGAGCAGGGCATGGAGACCAGCCAACAACCTACGGGCGTTCTCCCATTCATGTCTGCGCCCTAATGCGCAATCAACGGACCCTCTGTCTCCGCGTCGATCAAATGATGGTGTAGAGGGCTCGCAAGCTCAACACCGCCAGGAAACTCATGCCAACGTGTCCGAGGGCGTTAAAGAATCACCCGGAACTGCGTCAGCTGGTTCAAACCTCCAGTCCGCTGAATCTCCTCGACCGCTCAATTCCAAGACATCCACATATGATCTAGACACCGTCAAACAGCGCTTGGGAGATTGGATGATACTTGCCTCTGCTGTATTCAAACAGCAAACGGAAGAACTCCGTCAACGCACAGATGTGCTCACACAGAAAACGTCCACAAAGTTCTTTCAATTGGGTTCTCAACTCAATCGTGTAACGGGTTACGAGCAGATCGAAGCGCTAAAACAACGGGTGGTTGAACAAGGTGTGCATTTGCTGTGTTTGTACTAAATCTAGAAAACTGAGACTTGTGTTTGCCCAAGAGGCTAGAATCACAGCTACTCGACAAGCAGCTCGAGAGGCTAAGACATCGTATGACGATGCTGTTTTGCAGCGCTCTCTCTCTCAGCGCCAAGTGAATGAGCTGTTGCAGCGCAAATCTTCGTGGTCAGACAGCGACGTCAGCGCCTTCACTTCTCTCGTGCGTGCAGATCATCAACTGGAACAACACGAGGTCGCGACGAAGGCCAAGGTCTCCGAGAATGAAGATGCGTTGGATAGGGAGTTTGGAGAGCTCATGCGCGCCATTCTGGCTAGGTATCACGAGGAGCAAGTTTGGAGTGACAAGATCCGAAGCGCCAGCACCTATGGGAGTATGATGGTGCTTGGGGTCAACGTGGTGGTGTTCATACTGGCCATCATGGTGGTTGAGCCATGGAAGCGGCGTAAACTGGCGCAAACGTTCGAAAAGAAAGTGGAAGAAATGGGCACGGAGACCAAAGTTTTAATAGAGTCTGGGAGTGCACAATTGGATGAACGGCTAGTGAAGCAGGAGAGGTTGATCTCAGAGATTGTGGAAAGGGCGGCATACGATGCTCGACACCTGCCTGGCTTGATGCCGGTGCCAGCTGTGGCAGTGTCTGTTGCTGAGGAAAAAGTAGGCATTCAGTCAGAGTCCACCGCGCTGTCATCAATCTGGTCACATCCGATAACACGAACTCTCCAAGATCGGGAGGTACTGCTTGCTGTTGGCAGTGCTATTGCAGGTAGTGCAATTACCCTTGTGGCCCGATGTCTTTTCGGAAGTTAGTATCGATTAGATAGATACACAAGGCTACATATTTAATCATTACAATATTGTACGTTGTCTCTTCTCTCGATAGAAATTTCCTAGATGCTTCATCGCCTGGCCAAAAGTCTCACAGGTTGTCACATCGTCTCTTAGCCATTGTGGTAATTTCCTGCGAATCGCGGCCGACGTGAACCGTCGATCAATAAGTACGAGGGAAGCCCAGTCCCCGCGGTGTCGAATGGCTCGGCCTTGGACAGCGCTTAGCAAGTGTTCCAAATATACAACGATCGGACGTACCTATACTCTGATTGACTGCGTTCATGCACATATTCTCATACATTTCGGCTGCTGCGTCTTTGCCACCAGCATGGTTCTTTACCCCAGATCGTGACTCTACTTGATTTGCATACCGCATCCGCTCCTGCAGCTCTGGAGAATTTTTGTTGGCAAAAGGTAACCCAATCACAACAACAGCACGAGCGAGATCATCCGAGAAGTTCAGCCCTTCTGAGAGCTTGGCGCCGATAACTGCAAATAGTACCGCGCCAGTCTTCTTATCTAGAGGTGTCTCCAAAAAAAGTTGTCACGATGGCGAGATGTTGTAACTCGTCAGACCTACATGTGTTTTGGCAGCTATAGCATACTCTCGCAGAATCGTTTCAACTCCTGAGCTCTCCCGAGGTTCCAAGAAGACCTGAGCGCATATTTAACAAGTTACATCCTGATACTTATAGACACTTACTTTCTTCTTCACACCGAATTTATCCAGTAATCTACTTTGACTCCAAACCTCTCTTGCGAAATTCAATGATGCATAGGAAGGAAAGAAGACCACCATTCCTCCAGGCACGACGTTGCAGAAGTTCAATATGATCTGACCCAACTCGGAAACGACTTGCCGATCGCTCTGCTGCGCGAACTTGAACTCCAGATCCGAGCCCGAAGGCCCTCTCGTGAGCAGCAATGTCTGCACGTTAGATGCAGGAATGATATGACCGCAGGAGAAAGTCGAGAGCCTGTCTTGAGGCAAATAGGTAAAAAGCTCGGATACCACAGCAGATATCTATCTCCGAGTTATTGTATTGCAAGGAACTGTCAATAGAAGCTGCTTACTGGTGACATGGTCCCACCAGCAAGCACAACTGAGCGTGCCACCTCCACAACGTCGCGGAATAACGCCGATGGGTTCAGCAACTGGTATTTGATCTCGACAGCATCTCCGATAATTGAGAAGATCAGTCGACCGTCTATAAACAATGATGAGCAAAGAAACAATCTCGGGTGCAGCTGAGCCCACCTTCGCTTGCCCCCGCCAGTCCCAGCATCAATGCTTCAATCGTATGCAGCGGCGGCGTGCCCACACTCGATGGGTGTTTCCTGGGCTTCTCGTCTACAAAATCAGTGATAATATTGTACCCTTGTCAGGGTGTACAAACCCTCAGAAACATCAATAGCATAGCGCGAGATCTTCCGCGCTATCTGCAAGTAATCAGAAAGACTCCTGATCGAGTCTGTAGAACATACTTTGCTGCGCTTCAGATACGACTCGATCTCCAGGAGATTAATACCCTCGATCTTTCGCCCGAGCCTGTGGATGAAATCTGGTACGGTCACCACTTCAGTATCTTGTCTTCTGGATTTGGCATTCGATTTCTCGGCCATCCAATCCATTACTACCTTTCGAAATGCATCCAGGAATCCAATAAGCCTCTTCAGATGCAATGCATGCATCGCAGACAGTCGATTGCGAAATTTTTGATAGTACACTGAGACCTGTTTTAATGAGGTCAACAGGAGATCGGATGTCAGGCGGACACTTGAAAGTGATAATAGAGTTGGTATCAAGTCTGAGGGAAGCCTTCAGCCACTATAGCAAGGCGGTCTGGGTGAGATCCCTACTATGCGCTTCATCAATGATGACAACCTGGTTAGTTAAGTCGATGCCCAGGGCTTCTCGGGCAGTTTTCTGCAGCAGCAGGTTATAGGGCAGAGTAACAAGCTAAAGATCCACCATGAAATCAGTAAGGCACACCAGTGGGATAAATTGCTGACCTCTGCCTGAGGTATCGCTCGTCTAGATCCGTAATAAGGGCAAGTCTGCATATTCTGCCCAGCAGTCGCAAGATCTTCTATATCTTTCGGAAATGCCTTTAAGGGAATCCATCAGCACCCATTCGCTCGAATACATCACCTTCACCAACCAGAATCTGATCTCGCAGATCAAGCATGCGGGTATCATCACTCGCTGGTGGCAAATATTGACACCGTTTGTTTTGCTTCCCTGCGAGTGTATCCGCCAGAGGTCAATGAATGCATGAGTGCCGATTAGTCTGCTACCTTCCATTAATTCGCGACATTTCTCGTCGATATCACCTGACCTTGACTTTGCGTCCTCGTTGATACATAACTGTTTGCGAGATCCAAGGGATACGGTCCGCCACTGACGCTGATCCGTTTCGCACTGATCATCGCCTACATCCTCGATGTCCCGTTTCTTTAGGGAGCAATGATCGTGACTAGCTCGGGACAAGTTTCCTGCATCTGGAACAGCATTGCCCAAGGCGAGATGCTTGAACTTGAGTTTGCTTAATTCAGGCAGGACCTGTGAAAGTTGTGAATGCGTGCGAGAAGCATAGTATATCTTTGTGCAGGACGGCTCGTCTCCTTGAGAGGCTGGATCACGTTTATTATTCTTGTCAATTCTGTTCATATATGTTAGTTCTGTCTCATATCAGCAAAGCTTTGCCCTGACTTTGCCATTAGAGCTCGAACGGCGGGGGAGAAGTTATCTTGGCTGTCTTCACAGTCATCGTCCGGAAGATATGCGTCCTCTTGAAGGTGGTCATGAGTAAGATCGCCTGCCATCCGCTACTTAGACGGTGTAAACAACCAATGAGCTCAACCGCGAGTGTTGGCGCACGCACTTGCTTCTTGGTAACCCGAGCCCGAGCCAGCATACGGAAATGAGCCTCGGTCTTCCGAGCTTTGGTGAGGCGTTCCTCATATTCTTGATCCTCTGACTCCAGCTCGCGCTTCCGAATATCGAGAGCCTGAGCTGCCACCCATGATGGCTCTGATGCAACTTTAGGATATTACTTGCAGGACCTACAGGGACCTACCACTGACCGGCACTTGGGAGAGACTGCTGCAATAGCTGGCCTTCGCGTGCGCGGTCTTTCTCGTCCACGAGCCATGACAGGCTCGAGCAAAGTAGGCTTAGCGTCTTACCCTGTTATTCCGCGTCAGAAACCCGCTGAACAGCCTTTACAAACACTCACAGTGCCCGTAGGACTCTCCACAATGGTGACCTGCCTCTTCTCGATGGACGTATAGACGTGGCGCATCAAGTCTGTCTGTATCGAATACGGTGGATCGTATGGGAATGTAGGGAAACTGCTGGGAGTCGGGAGGACGAGGTCATCGTTGTCCATGCCGAACAGTAGGCGCGACGCGTGACCTCACGCCTCGTCACAAAGTTCGCGAATGACCTTCAATTCACTGCAACAATAGCTACAAAACAGTGATATCGAAAAAGTGGAGCGTAAAACACGAGACAAAGCTTGGGTGGTTTAAGATGATGTGAAGATGTAGTACACTGCGTCTGGAACTAGTGCATAGTGGAACAGTGCGGTAAGTGGATGAAAACAAAGGATGGGTGTAGCCAAGCGTAAAGGTGTGGCAGTTACTTAGTAGATGGGTAGCTAGAGTACAGTGAAAATCATACAATCTGGACTCTTGGGTATGGCGTTGAGCATACAGCTCAGTAGAGGGTGTAATTGATTGATCGTTATCACGGCGGACACTGAGCCTCCAGTAGCAGCCATCTCTTTGCCGCACCGTATTCCTCCTTAACGCGTTTTAGTAACGACGTCACTTCCTCAAGGGTCTTGTCCGTAGGTGTACCCTTGGACATGTTCTGTATCTTCTCGCAAGTCGCGGATACCCGCCTCACGCCCAGCGCCGCTGATGAGCCCTTCAGAAAGTGCCCTAGTTGTGATATTTGCTTCAAGTCTTTAGTTTCCCTGCGTAAGAAAGTCAGATTCCATGGTAGTCGGTCAAATCACAAAAGCCTACATAGCCTGATCCATCTCATTAAATGTGTCCTCGACCTGGCCAAGGTACTCAGTCACCATCGCCGATACAAACGAGCGGTCCCCATCATCCAGCTCAAGTATCTGGTTGAAGACTTCCTCATCGATTACATCTCCTTTACTGGGCTGGTGGTGCGATGAGTGATTATCATCACACGGCGTACAAGATGACGAGATAGGCAGGCCCTGGCGAAGTCCGGGGTTCCCGGCGCACACGCTCTGATTCCAAGTGCCGCATACAAACAATCCACTTTAAGGGTGGGGACATACCTCGCTATCCTTCTTCTCAACCTCCTTCAGGTCGCTCTTCTCCTTGGGTGTAATAACAGGCGAGCCTGCCTTCGGCGTTGGCTCCTCCGAGACAGGTCGCGATTTGATGTCTAGCTTCTTCTGTGGTGGGGCCTTGTCGGAAGGAGACGGCGGTGGACGCTTGACAATCTCGTCAATGACATTTGGTGAACGAGCACGTAGAGCAGGAGACATGAAGACAGTCCTGGCCTTGTTTACTGACAAGGGGCAGCTTTCAATCGGGGTAGCGGCTCTAGGACGTCAAGCTGTAGGGATTCGGGGCTATGCTTAAAGTAGTCTACTGATTATCTGTTGCCGCCGCAGTGCCGCTGCCAAATAAGTAGCACCATTGACATATTCATCGCGAATGCACCATGGCTAGATCGACATGCCATTTTCTACAAAACATTCCCCTAGCCGGCGGACCCGCGCCCAAAACCCAAACTCTGAATCACATCGGTAAATCTATGCCTCAGATAATTTTTCGAGCCCTCAACTTGGCGATCTCATTCTGAGAGTACCCTAGTTCCAGCATCACCTAAAACCAATCGACCATCAGAAACCAAAATGCACAATGCACAATGCAATAAGAGGGTGGCGAAATAAACAACCCCAAGATGTCATGCACATACCTCCTGTGTATGCTGTGACAGCCAGGGCGGGGGTCGTCTCACCGGCATCCTCCTTCCATTGTAAGTCACAGGTGGAGCCACCATCCTCACTTTCCCCGCTCGTGGATGCTATTGAATTAATTCGACACAATCAGATTGAAGTCTATCACACGAGGACGGGACGACACGTACATCAACCTCCACCGTAGCCTGCCGTGCGCCAACTTGTGGGTGCGCGAATGACTGTTCGATATTATTGATCGGCCCAAACGGTACCCTGCACGGACATGCGCGTGTGAATACCTTGGCAATGGAACATACATAAGTAGACTGCACACTCACCCTAATCCTGTGAAGCGTTTAATCCAATGATCCCTTTCATGTCTTTGGAGCACTTGAGTAATGATGTCCACCAATGCCTCCCTGTTTGCTACCCGCGTAGCATTAGTAGCAAACCTTACATCGTCCACCAGCTCGGGCTTTTCCAATATCCTTTCGGCAAGGAGTCGGAACTGTGTCACATGTACCTCGGAGTCAGGTCGCATGGAACTGCTTATCAGTGGTGCTACCCACCTGCTTGTCGTTGCCCGCGCCAATCATGAGAAAGCCATCTTTGCATGGGAAGACTTGGTAAGGAACAATGGATGGGTGGGCGGTTCCGTGCCGGGAGGCTTCCTTTCCGGCGATGAGATAATTCGACGCTATATTCGCAAGACCCGCAAGCTAAGTATATACGAGAAAAATTATATCGATGTCGTGAGGCAAAATTAGCTCATCAAAAAATCAAGAACATGCATGTACTGGTCACCGCACCTGCGTCTCGAATAAGTTACAGTCTATCCAAACGCCTTCTCCCGTGTGCTGTACGGAACGCAAACCAGCAAGGATAGCGCCATGTGCGTAAAGACCTGTCATCAAGTCTGTCACTGCAACGCCTACTTTAGACGGTGGACGATCAGGTTCGCCAGTGCTATAATCCATGAAAGGCAAAACATAAGACTCAAGATATCAGCTAGAAATGCCTACAACACAGCACACATACATGTGCATCAGCCCAGCTTCGGCTTCAATGATAACATCGTAACCTGCAGCTTCGCGGAACGGGCCTGTCTGCCCATACCCTAATCGGATTAGTTAAATTGGGTACTGGTAGCGGAGAAAGTTAAGCTCAGACGAACCAGTAATGGAAGCGTACACAAGCCGCGGATTAAGCATCTTGCAGTCCTCCCAACCAAGACCCATCCCTGAGAGCTTTCCCGCAATAAAATTCTCCACGAGAACATCCGAACTGCGGATGAGCCTCTGGATGACCTCTAGTCCCGCAGGATCCTTGAAATTGACGGTGATAGAACGCTTGTTTCTATTCACAGCGAGGAAGTATGCAGATTCAGGAGGGAGGTGGGATGATTCTTTCGGAGAATGCGGGGAGACGGGAGCAGAAGGAGGAAGCCACGAGCCTGGCTTTTTTTTAGATGGACTACGGATAGGCTAGCACAGCACACTCACGAGTGTCGTCGCCGCGAGTGACCTCCTCGACTTTGATGACATCCGCACCCATATCTGCAAGAAGCATGGTGCATGACGGGCCTGCAAGAACTCGAGTGAGGTCGAGGACTCTGACGCCCGCAAGTGGGGGAGGAATGCCCTGGTCTTTAGACTGAGTAGAGATGAAAGAACGTCTGATGAGACGACGCTCAAGTCGGGTAACGGTGCTGAGCCTTCTATAGGTTGACAATAGCATCTCAGTTGACCGTCACCAGTGAGCAGTGCACCTAGAAAATAAAATTAGCAATTAGTAACGGTCAAGGCAATGATTTTTGAAATTTACAGATAGTCGTAGGCTTAAGCAGCAAAGACTATGTGATACTACTTACTAGTAAGCTACTAGTACATACATTGTGAACAAGGTGGCAGAAGTCCAAGTCTATTGTCCAAATCTCGACAATGACATCGCACCTGGCACCGCTCTGCATCCGCAATGCGCTAACACTGACAAGAAAACATATAGCAGAAAACGAAAACTAAAACATATCAACTTGTTTCATCTAACGTTCCTTACGGTTATTAACAACCATGGGTTTTTTCTCGTCGCGCAGGGCAGCTGACGAGTCCCAGTCGTACGTCCATAACGACAGTTCCGTGTCCATGTCAATGGTCCAGGTCATCCGTTCCCGGTTGGTGCGTAGTTCCTATCACTGTTCCGTTCTCCTCATGAACACTGACCATGATACGGGCCGTGAACTCTGCAGTCTGGAAAGTACAAAGGCAAGGAGCGCGAGACGCATCTTCCTTCAATGATCAGGCACAGTGACCACAATCTCCACCGTCTCAGCGCTGGGCGCTCCCCTCTCGGTACCGAGCAGGTCTTACAAGACACTCCTCATATACATACGGACGTGATCACGTATGTATTTTGTCAACCGCCATTTGTACTTCTTGCTCATGTTCTCTTGCTTACAGGGCCACCCTCGCACAACGCCTCGATGAACTTGCTGCTGCAAATTTACAGGGCTTGCTCGAGTGAGTTTCGTTTTTGCATAATTTTACCCTTCGGCCAGGGACGTGACTCGTGCATTGTGGTAGTGATCGTTGCACCTAGATGGGTTGACGCAATGTTTCCTCACCGAATTTGGTCTCCCATGTTCACGTTAAACCTACCACCGTGCTAATTTCGCTCACAGTGACGATGAATACCGTCTTCTGCGGCAAAACATCTTCGAACGGCTTGCTTCAGGGAGCTCAGTCCCGCAGGAAGCATCCCTTGTCCCCCTTGTTTCACACCCACCGAGCGGTGAGCTTTACCCTGTATTCTTTTTTGCAGAGACTGATTTCCAACCTCGTTGTCTACATCAGCAGTCTACAACCCGGCTTCTGTCAAAGTTCGCTCCCCGTCTGTCCGCTCCAAATCCTCCATTTCCTCCGCCATGAGCAGTCTCTTTAAGCGCTCTTCTCGAATTTCAGCTACCACTTCCCTCACCGCAACAGACGATGCGTCCATCTTCTCCAGCGCTACATCCCGACGGCCAATTCCCCGACAAATGCGAAGTAATGTTTCTCTGACGACGGAGAACCCGTCACGTACGGGTGACACGCAGTATTTAGGCGTGAACGGGAGTACTAGCAGTATCAATGTCAGTGTAAATGGGGGAAGAAGCAGCCCGTACCGCTCCCTTCGTCGCCTTCAAACAGGACCAGGAGCCACCCCTCCCCCGTCCTCCTTTCGTCTCAACAGCACTTCCGGCTCGCCTTCCACACTCATTTCCTCAACATCAACGACACCTCGCACGTCCTCACACACTCCCTCGCATTCGCAGACCCCATCACTCTCGCCATCTACAAACCCAGCTGACCCCGATAACCCCTCCTCATCAGAGCTGAAGCGCCAAATTGCAGAGCTTGAAGCCGAGGGCGGTCGGCTACTTGATGCGTTCAATGGGCTTGAGCTCACCACGCTAACTCGACGTCATCCGCCGCGAACGCCTTCTGTGCGTCGTGTCCGCGTGGGAGTAGGGGGGAGTGATTATGGTAGTAGAGGTGGAGGAAGTGAATATGGTGGTAAAGGCGGGGTCAGTGAATATGGAGGCAGTGGGTACCTAAGCACCGGGAGAGGAACACCCTGCGATACCGATGCTCAATCCGTGTGCTCCGCATCAGCGGCCTCCAGCGTTAGCCAACCCCGGTCTCAGCCGCAGTCATACCGGAATCCCTCGTTACGTGCTCCACCATCAACATTATCTGCGTCAGCAAGGAAGCGCAGTATGTCATCTATATCATCTCGCGCACGCGTCCCCACGAATGGCTCCATGCATGCTTCGCTCTCCTCGCCTGGACTGACCCACAGCAAGCTGCGGGAACTAGGCAGCGTCTCCTCTGTGAATCTGGCGCGAGACTCCTCCGTCCACCTCCCATCGACGCCGGTGCGTGAAGTACCCGATGATGATGCATCCATCTTAGCTCTCGAGAGCGAGCTGAGTGATATTCGACGCCGGCGAGGAGAGGTGACGGCACGATATCAATCACGGCTGGAGTATTTGCGGGCGCAGCTCCGGGGGGCAGAGCTGCGGGAGAAGTTGATGAGGAGGTAAGACTAGGGTATCGCTAGAGTTGGCGGGTTGTTTTTAGGGAGCATCATTTATGATTGGGATGTCATTATATATACCTTTGACGCTACTATTCTGTATTATGTGTGGATCATGCTGGCGGTTCTTTTTTCCATTGCAAAGGTTTTCCTGTGCATTCAGTAAAATAAATTAGGACAGGTGATGCCAAATGTGGGATTGAAGGATGAGGTAGCGCGTCCAATGTTAGCGTCACTTTTGCTAGTGGGGCTTTCTTCTGTTCATACCACCAACTCGGATGTCTACGAACATCAATTCCCCAAGTGGTAGCAGTCACATGGACGACCACGACAACCAAGAGCTCTCCACGACGCCCACTCCAGCTAGTCACCTCAACCGCAGTCGGAGCCATAGTTCGCATTGGTCGCCCATTGAGACACCAACGCATCATCATATAGGGACATCCTACTTTCCTTCCTCGTCACCGACACCACGGGCACCGTATCCCCAGTCATCCATAAGCCGTAGTCTATCCAACAGTCGCGCTCGTAGCACTAGCATAGGCAGTTCCCATGGTGCTCGCCGTCCAACTCGGGACAATGAAGGCATGCTCAGCGAAGACGAAGAGGATGGCTACGAAGACCACGTTAATGACAGAGGTGTTTTGGGCAGCAGAAACCGTGGCAAAGGCATTGCACCCTTACAAGACCGGGAAGAAGGGGAAGAAGAAGAAGGGGACAGCGAGGAACGAGAGACTGGTTCTGAACACGACGACACAGGCAGTAGAGATGACGACGATCCCATTACAGTCAAAGATCGTCAGTCGCTCATAAATGTTCAGCATCCGTTTGGTCTGCGCATCTGGAAACCTGCATTGTACAAGAAGTCGCGCTCTGTTACTCGCCATGCGGATGCTGCGCTGCACTCCGTCCCTTCTGCTCAAGCAGAGCGTCACCTCCTCCCGGGAAATATTTTCTGGGTTGTCTGCTTTGGCTGGTGGCTTGCGCTCGCCTGCTTTGTTGTTTCTGCTGTGCTGTCTCTCGTTCCACTTGGGGGCAGACGCTACGCCGTGCTCATGTTCGGTTTGGGCTGGTACGTTGCATGGCCATTTGGCAAGTATGTTAAAGGGGACGCTGAGGACGAGGATGAAGAAAGCATACTCCCCCCGGAGGATGTTGAACCTTGTGGTAGCGCTAGTACCATCAATGGCAACACGTCCTTCTCTCGTACGCCCACCATCACCCCCAACACCACCAGCGAACGAACTCTCCTCCGCCCTCCAGCTCCCTGCAAATCCTACGGGGCTGCCCCAAGCCCGACCGACCGCACGCCGTATGAAAATATTTCCATTGACTGGTTGGGCAGGGCCGTCTTCTGGATCCTGTTCATAACGCTCATCGCTCCACTCCTTCTCCTCACTTGTATTGCCTGCTGGGCACTTATAATCACTGTCCCAATGGCTAAGCTCAACTGGGCTCTCATCAAATTCATCTTCGCATCTCCTACCCGTATACGCTTCTGCGCTGCGCCCCTCGTTCCCCCAAGTGCAACCAAGACACCCCGCCTCGCGGCTGGTCAGGCTGTCCCCTCTATGTCTGGCCAGAAGAGCACCGTACTTTTGTGTGTTTATCGGGCTGTCGGATGGAAATACTACAAATACACTGTCGGAGGTGTTAACATCATTTTTGTCAACCTCCTTCCGCTCGTCTTCTTCGTTATCCTCGATGGATTGGTGCTCATGCCTTTCGCAGAGGATCTAGAGAAAGCAGGCGAGCATGTCCCTCGCATCCTCGCCCTCGTTACCTCGCAGGCACTCATCTTCCTCATGAGCCTTGCGAGCGTCATTCCCCTCTCTTACTTCATAGGTATGGCTGTAGCGAGCATCAGCGCCCAAAGCTCGATCGGTATGGGCGCCGTTATCAATGCTACATTCGGAAGCGTCATCGAAGTCATCCTCTATTCTATCGCGTTGACCCAAGGCAAGGGGCGCCTTGTTGAAGGGTCTATCGTGGGATCTTTGTTGGCGGGCGTACTGTTGATGCCCGGTATGAGCATGTGTGCGGGAGCGCTAAAGAAGAAAGAGATGAAGTTCAATGCCAAGAGCGCAGGCGTAACGAGCATGATGTTAATCATGGCGTTTATTGGAACGCTAACACCGACGTTGTTCTATCAGACATATGGGAATGTGAGCCCTTCGTGTTCTTTTCCGAAGCAAGCGAACTCTGATACTGCTTGCAGTTCCAGCTAATCTGTAGCGGATGTCCTGACGACTCCACCCGTGGCTCGACCGAGTGGAGATGTGACCAGTGTTATTACCAGCACCCCGACCCTGTTGAAGATCCATTCTATCAGTCTACTGTGAAGAGCCTCATGTACTTCTGCGCTGCGATTTTACTGTTTGTGAGTCCCCTCTCCATTTGGATGTGCTCAGCATTTATAACCCTTATGCTTGCCATAGTCGTATTTGATAGGCCTGTGGTTTTCTCTCCGCACACATGCGACTCAGATATGGCAGAACCCGCAACCGCTCCTGCAGCCCCTCGAGCTTCCGACCACACAACCATCTCGTCTCTCGCTTTACAATCATCCACGGCCTCACTCTGTTGCAACCACAGCGCAATCTCCACCACAATCGCAGGCTCCGCCGACCATTCGCGAGCCACGTCCTCGTCCTGAGTCCCGTGACCGGACACGAGCAGAGGATGATCCTCGGTTTCAGACCCCGGCCCCACGCCCTACCACGGCAATGACAGCGAATACGATGTCTCCCATTTCCCCTTCGCTGGCCCGGCGTGTCTCCTATGCCCCTGCTCCCCAGAATGCCCAATCTCAAGCACAATACACACCCCTTCTTGAGTCTGTTGATCACGCTATCAAGTCTACCGGTGCCCTCCCCCTGCCCTCTACTATGTCCAGCGACGATTTCACGCGTGCCGTAGCAGTCGCGACCGTCAGTGCCCTCCGGCACCAGCATGCGCATACTCGGGCGGCCCGTGCGAGCGTGGCTGAGGAAGAACATGCAGCAGCACATGGGCACGAGGCACCAGAGTGGAGCCGTACGACAAGTGCGGGGGTGTTGCTAGGGTGTACAGCTTTGTATGCCCTCATCGCTGGTAAGTTCAGATGTTCATTCGTCATTTTAAAACACGTGTTTTCTGATTGATTGGGGCACTAGAACTCCTTGTGGAGGTTGTGGATGTCGTGCTGCAAGACTCCGGGATTGAGGAAAAGTTCTTGGGTATCACTTTGTTCGCCCTCGTGCCCAATACCACGGAATTCATGAATGCTATCTCGTTTGCTCTGAACGGAAATATCTCATTAAGGTACACTTTAGCCCAGTCGCCGCTCTTCATACCTGACCTCTACCTTTTCCCCCAGCGTTGAGATTGGCTCTGCCTATGCCCTGCAGGTCTGTCTGCTCCAGATTCCAGCCATGGTTGCATTCTCCGCATGGTATGCGCCTGACAAAATGGGCGAGGTCGCAAACGCGTTTACGTGCGTATCGAAACATATTCTGAATGCTGTCAATATTAAAGTCTATCGTTATCTTTCCCCAGGCTCGTATTCCCGCGGTGGGATGTCATCGCGATCATCCTGTCCGTCTTTCTGATGACCTACACCTATATCGAGGCCAAGAGTAACTACCATCGTGGAAGTATTCTCATTTTGAGGTGGGTATCTATCCTGGGTTATATTGTACGATGTATTAATAGTGTGTTACAGCTATGTTGTCCTTGTTTCTGGATTCTATTTTGCCCCACGCAACTCTAATGATCAGGAGGACATGGTTGTGCGTGGAGATGTGGGGACTCTTTCTATCTTCTCACAGCTGTACGCGGTCCTCTGGTCGTAGGACGAGTACATCCGTATGGCTACCTACTCAGTTTCCTGGTCTCACTTACCATCCGTTCATTTGATAAACATCGCTGCTAGTAGTCGCAGCTGATTCTTATCCTCATACAGGAATATTCGCATTCGCTAGATACCAATACTAGTATTGATACATTGTGGCATCTCTGTGATGCGATGTTTAATGCAGCTGCCTGGTGTTTAGTGTGATATTCTAACTCGCTCTATCAATGCATGCTTTGCATGCTCTCGAGCACCTTCTGAATCTTATCTGCTGATATTGTGAGTTTTTCAGGTTCACTCTGCCCATGCACTATCTGCCTGAGCGCCTGCGGATTCCCCACAAACTGCAAGAAGCGTTCGAGGAAGTCACCGTCTAGGAATCCAAAGGACGACGCATCCGCATCGCTGCGGCCCCGAACATTCTTCGGCGTGCGGTACCTATGTGCCAAGTCAACTGGGTAATTATTAAGGGACAGGTTCACGACGTACTTTGTGTGATTCGGCCCTTCCTGCTTCTCAATAAAGTTGGACAGGTTGCGTTGAAGGCCGGTGAGGTCCAAGGCAAGATCGTCAGCAAGATCAATGATAACACCGATAAGCCCAGATGATGTGAAAAACAACTGTTGAGGCTGCATCGGCCCATCAAGCGCAACCTCCTGGGACGACAATGTGCCTGATACATGTGAATATGGGGAAGTTGCGATCAAGCGTACGCGTACCAGGCAGGAACTTGTTGACCAAGTCCCCAAGGAAGTAATTGCCGTCTCTCTCCAGGAGCTGCCGCGTGCCCGTGTTCTGGAGACTGAATGTATAAAGGTTGTATTCACTCTGAGCACAAGAGGATGTGAATGAGTACGCAACGTCGCACAAGGAACCTTGGCTTACATTCGCACCAATCAAGGTCGAGTTGCTCATGAGCTCAACACAGGTGGGCCATAGCGCGCCATAGTCTCTGGCAATCAAGTGCAGTCGGTTGTCCTCAAGCCGCAACATCGAGATCGAGCTTATTGCGTCGCCTAGCAGAATCCTATCGCCGCGAGACGCGAGACTTGTCACTAAATAGTTGTGGTTCCAGGTTGCCATCCTCGCCAGTGTCGTATTTCCACTCGCTGTGTCCATCTTGAATACAATGACCTACGGGGCAGGTGAGTGGTTGCGTATACGGTGTATGAGTTGATTCGTCACCATGCTATTGACTGCCGCAGCGATCAAAGAATTCACCGAAACCAAAGCGTAGGGGCATCCTTTGACGTCATGCGAGGTTACGACAGACGTGTTTACCTGCGATGGGGTTGACGTCATTGCCAAAACAAAAATGCGTCCCTTGGAGGCTTCGGTCTCTTCATCTTCGAGCGTCACAGCTGCTACACACAGATACGATGCGGAACCCGTTGTAAAGGGTAGCAATGATGTTGACTCCTCGCCTTGCTCCAGATTGAAATGCCCGACCTCTGTGATATCGTCAAGAAACCTTTCTGCGCATTGGACTAGACTCACTATTAAACGATATGTCGTCAAATAATTGTATAGAGCCCGTGATCTCCTCGAAATCTCCAATACGAGCCGGGTTTATGCGGCGACATGCGACGGCAAAAACTCTAAGTGCAGGGATATGCGTGATGCGCAAGGGATTGTCGAGGCCTAGAGGTATCTGAAAACTGACAGTCAGCTGGACACCAACAGATGACAAGTTTTTCGACCCACAGAACGAATGTGCAATTTATCGAAATTGTTCACGTTCCCGAGGATCAGGTCGTCAGAGTTAGAGAGGATTACGGATGATGGGTAAGCCCTTGTACTAAATTCCGCGGCAGCCGTCACATCCTACGAGCTCGTTGGTCACGAGGCCATTATGCACGAAGTGTCACCGACCTTCAGTATAAGCGGCGAATACGTCAGCCTCTCTTTCTCCCAGAATAAGATCGCCGTTCGACTTCCACATGCAAGCACTGTTTGTCTCGTCCCGATCTTACACGAACGCATCAATACGGGCAAACTTCCAATAGATACCAGTTTCTGGTCAAGCAGTTGATCATTTCGATACACGAATGACGCGACGGAACCATCCGTAAGACCGACGAGTAGGTGTGGGTGTGCACTTGACAACTTGGAGTCATCTGATGTGAAATTGTATAACAGCAGTGAGCGAGGTGTGGAGGAGAGTGCAGGAGTCTTTGAAATTGTGGGCATGCTTCCATCCGTAGGTTTCACTGAGAGTATTTCAACGTGCTTAGATGTCCAGAATCCGACCACGATATTGAGCGTGTATTCTTTAGTTGGATCCTGCGGTAGACATGACACTGCTGAAATCTCCGCATCGCGGTTATTGTGCACGAAATTGCGCTCCCTGAAATAACGAACATCAATCCTACAACCTTCGCTTAATTGCTAACACTCACCTCATCTTGATAAACCGACTTCCATCCAATGTCACCACTACCACCCTCCCCCAGTTGAGCGCCAGCACAAGCTGGCTTGCGTTAAGACTCGCAGCTACGATCTCTCGTCCCTTCCACAGTCCCTCACCAGGATTTGCGAACTTTTCCAAGGTCCACGGTTCACCAACTCTCGTGTACTGTCGTAGGCCAGGGTCGTACTCAAGTAATAGCAGGGCCTTCGAAACGACCTGTACAACAAGCCCAGAATCTGCATAATCAGACTTTCCTTGGGTTTGCGTACGTCGAAGGATATTTGAGATTGTGATGGTAGGTAAATTGGTGATAAAACCAGAGTTCTTGTCGCCATCGATGCTGGAGATGGATGAAGCGTCGTCGAAACGAAAAACGTGTGTTTCTTGCAGAGTCGAGACCGCGACGTGGGCATAATCGCTTGACCTCATCGTCAGTGGTTCTAGGAGATGTCGGGACGAATGAAAACTTACGGCGCGCGGTAACTCTCTTTTAATGGCCATATATTGGTGATATTCCCAAGCCCCTGAACTTTCGCTCTCTCGGAAAAGTCAGCGCCACTTCGTACGACTTTGATACTGCCTGTGCTTCTGCCACCAGAGCATGTCACAATTTCGTTCTGCATCGCTTCAGCCTCCGAGTCAGAACACAGTCATTTGACATACCTGTCCACTGCCATCCGTGTCAACCAAAACAGCATCAAGTATTGGAGCGAGATTGTTGAAGGACTCGATCTCGGTAAGATAACTCCCCTTTCCAACAACAATATAACCTTGTACATCAACATTTCTACCCATACCTCTCACAAGGGAGTTGAGCGCGTTCGGGCTGACAGTCGATATCGACGGTGAAACAGGTAGTGTAGGAGTTTTGAGCGCGGAAGATGGTGTAGCAGTAATCTGGAGTAATTGCGAGCTACCAAAGTGTGAGCCAAGGTAGAAAACTTGATTAGCAAGGTAGGTTAATGTGGTTGGTGAAGATGTCTTAGTTAACACGATCAGTACAAGAACGACCAGCGGGGCTTGAGCAGACCTACCTCTCCGAGCGCCATCAATGTCAGCGTCGTTCTTTCCGTAAGGTTTATCGAAAGTAAGGCGAGCCTTCCATACCGGTCCCCGATCAAGTACTTCCGTCCATTGCCGTCAATATCACACCACCTAACGGTGGGTGAGCCCGGAGTATCGGACCTACGAACGGAACTCACGCAGTGACTTCTGCCCATGGCCATTCTACTGCAGCTCTAGCTTTCCTCTTCTTCCACTCCTTCGCCTTCTCTTTAGCAATTGCTTCTGCATTTCCAGTGGTCTTCTTTTTATCCGCGCGTTTCTTCTTGCTCTCTCTCCTGTCCTGCGTGTCTCTGCTAACAAAGTCATACAGCATAATGTTACGCCCTCCGATAATGAGGATACCACCTTGAAAGTCGTCGTCGTCTTCCTGGTAGGAAGGGATGTGTATGATAGTGGGGGTTCCATCGTCGTCCATGGCTGTACTAAATAGTTTACCTGGGACAGGAAGTGAGGGAAGGAGTGGTGAGGGTGATGGGGAAAGTTGGAGGTCATCGATAGAAAGGTCGCGAGTAAGAATCTGAAGGCGTTGTTGGTAGTCAACGTGCATCATTGCCAGGATATACACATCTGGAGACGTTGATACAAAGGTGATATCCAGGAGGTTGAGCTCAATGATCCTGACGATAACGGGTGAGCACAATAGCGCGAACAAGGTCATGACCTACGATGCATCGAAATCACGGGAATAACCTCCGCTTTGGTCAAGTACCACGACTTTGAGCTTTCCCGTGTGTACACTTACGACAGCCACACGTCCTAACGGATGGACTAGAAGAGTGTGGCAGAATTCTGCTGGTCGAGCGCTGCGCTCAGACAACGAGATATATTTTGTGGCCTTGATCCCCGTCGATCCTGCGCCATTCAGAGTGAAAGATAGGAATATAAGTTCTGGCTCTGGGTGATCGGTGAGTACGAGCAGGCTGAAACTGCTTGGGCGCTAGAACACGAGCCCAAAATGTCTCAATATAACATGACGGACATGTTATACGCAGGCCGTTGCTCACCGCGATCGGGACAGCCTTAATGACTCTAACTCTTCCCCAAATATCAAGACCCTGTTGATGACGGAGCCCTTCTGGAAGTAGCGCATAGATGTCGAGCCTGTTTGACTTTGCGACGACGAGAAATTCCGATTCATGGTCGTCCGATAATTTAAATTTGAGTGAATCTACGACAGATGAAGCCGGGTGAAAGGTGGTAACGACCTTCATGGTGAATTGCACCAAGTACTATTAGCACAGCCACTTATGTATATTACACTGTGTGACGACATGGGAAGCGTGACTCGTGACGCGTGTTGGTCGCCGGGAGTAGCTCCGGTGCGCGGCCAGAATCGGCGCATTCCGGGCGCTAGCTTACTAACATATTTGCAACCTCTTTAACCTTCCAAATGCAGTAATAGAGTGGGGGTCACTTTGACTACAGACGCGACGTGGTCACGACTTTCAGTGCTCCAGCTCATCAAGATGGTAAGCACTAATCAATTTCGACGATACAGACACTAGATCTAACGAAAAAGCAGGTTGTTCTAGCAGCATCAATATGTACCAAAGGCGGGAAAGGCAAGTCTACTTGCCAAAGCTCCAAATTGATCCAGATCTAATGCACACCACCCGCAGCGGTACTCTCGCGCCAATTCCACCCAATGACACGCACCCACATCGAATCCCTCCTCGCCTCCTTCCCAAAGCTCATCCCAACAAACTCCCAACACACTTCCGTAGAAACTGCCCAAGTCCGCTACGTCTACCAGCCCCTCGAAGACCTCTACATCCTCCTCATCACTAACAAGGCTTCAAATATTCTTCAGGACATCGATACCCTCCACCTCTTCGCACGCGTCGTGTCTGATATCTGCCGCACCGCCGACGAACGTGAAATTCAGAAACAGAGTTTTGAGCTGCTTGGCGCTTTTGACGAGATCGTGAGCATGGGTTATCGGGAACAGGTCAATCTCATACAGGTGAGGAGCATATTGGAGATGGAGAGTCATGAGGAGAAGATTCAAGATATCATCGCAAGGGTCAGTGTCCTCCAGTCAAACTACCCGATCCGCCGCTCATTTTATAACAGAACAAAGAAGCAGAGGCAAAAGAAGAGCTCAAGCGTCGTGCACGGCAACTTGAGCTTCAGCGCCGCGAGCAGCAGAAGCGTGCTGCAGTATCTGGCAGCGGTGGCAGCTCATATCTTGGTGGAGGCATGTCTGGATACTCTTCCGTTCCTCAGCGTTTCGATGCTCCAGAGGTCCCGGCAGCACGTACTGCATCACCTGCACCTGCGGCCAGCACCCGCACCCAGTTCAAGAGCAGCGGTATGAAGCTCGGAAGCAAAAAGACCAGGCAAGCAGAGCTCCTAGACGCTCTCGGCGGCGAGCTAGTCTCTGAGGAGCTCTCTGGCCCACCCACGCCTTCTATATCCGAACCACCCTCAGCGCCAGCTCCCACAAGAGGCAGCCTGCCCTCCATCACAGCTGAAAGGTAAGCCCTCGCACCCTACAAATTCAAATCTCACTAACTCATCTCTAGCGTACACATCGTAATCAAGGAACAAATCTCCGCCTCCCTCATGCACGAAGGCGGCGTACAATCGATGGAGGTCAAGGGAGACATGAACCTCCAAGTCACCGACCCCGCTTTCGCGCACATCAAGCTCGCACTCTCGTCCCCCAACACCGACTTTGGCTCTGCCCTCCAATTCAAGCAGCACCCCAATGTCGCCAAGTTTGCCCCCGGCCAGAACCGCATCGTCGCGCTCAAAGATCCCTCCCGCGCTTTCCCAGTAGGTCAAGCACTCGCTGTACTCAAATGGCGCTATGCAGGGCACGATGAGTCATTGGTACCACTGTCCAGTAAGCTCTTCACCCTTCTCTCATTCGCACCCACACTCACTCACCCCATAAGTCAACTGCTGGCCCTCCCCTTCAAATGACGGCACTTGTGAAGTCAACATCGAATACGAGCTTGAAAACGAAAACGTCACACTGCACGACGTCGTCATTTCCATTCCACTCCCGTAAGTTCACCCTCCCCTCCACTCCCCCTACCAATCCCCCACTAACGCACCTCTAGCACCGGCTCCTACCCCAACATCACCCAAAGCGACTGCACCGTCAACCCCGCCACGCACTCGCTCGACTGGTCCATCCCGCTCGTCTCCCCTGAAGCGCGTACCGGCACGCTCGAGTTCGCCGTCGGCGGCGACGACCCAAGCATGTTCTTCCCCGTACGCGTGTCGTTTGTGGGTCAGGGGAGTATTGCTGGCATTGGTGTAGATGCTGTGTCGAGGGTAGATGGTGCTGAGGACCCGGCATTTTCTGTGGATGCTGTCGTCACGACGGAGGATTATCTCGTTATTTGAGCGTTTTGTCGTGTCTACTTGACTACATAATCAAACAACTTGGGCTCCTGCTGCATCGGATATAATAGGGGAGCTCAAAGTTCGACGCTCACGTTTATGCTTATGCTTACACCCCCCCATCGCACACCAAAGCTGATTATGTAATCTTGAGCAAATTCTCGATCACTGTGCAGCCACAGTGCGAGGCCGCTAGTACCATGGCACGAGTTCCTTTACATGATCAGTATCTCCATGCATATCTGTTGTCCATGGTCCTCCGCATCCTCGCCAATCCAGAATTGACACCAGAAAATGCTGCTTTGCTCCTTGATTGTGATATTGCTTGTGTCCTCATGATTCAACAAACATGCTATCTACAGCCTGAGGGACAATCACCTGTCACTAAAGCCCCCAGTATTCACCTTGCTTGGGAGTTTGCCCAGAATCCATCTGACCACCCTCAATTTGTCAACATGCTTCGGGTGTCACCAGAAGTATTCCATGTGTTGCTCGATCTGATTGAGGACCATGTCATTTTCCAAAATAATTCCAACAATGCACAAGCTCCAGTTCAATTACAGCTTGCTGTCACACTCTATCAGATGGATTGCTATGGAAATGGTGCATCATTGGAGGATATTGCTCACCCTACGCTTCCGCTCAACCGCTCAACCGGTCCCCTTCCATAACCTCTCCATTCAACTGGATCTCTTTCCCCTTTTAGATATATACCTTCCCCATTGGTACATAGACCCTTACTTCTGGATGACCGGTAATTCCTATTACCGCTCGATCACTGATCCAATGCGTACATATTGATATCCGCCCCGACTTATGTCTTCGCCTATGTAAAATACTTACAAACTATATCCTTGGTACATAGCTTTACTGCATAGTTATCCTGATCACTGCCTCATACATAGTAGTATATAACATATCATGTACTTAGATATTTTTCCTCAGTCTTAATATTACTTGTCTTCTTGCAGTTATATCTTGTGAGAATTCTCAGTAGGACCTTGCCTCCTCTGGACACAAGTCTCAACTTGTTGTCACCTCCGACCCTCCGACCCTCTGCTCCGACTTAGAGCTGTGCTCTAAGTCTTCCCCTTATTACTCCGCCCCTATCACATATCCTCCTTTGCCCCTCTGCATTATCCTCCGCCTTTCCCGCCCCTACCAAAATTCCCCTGCTCCTATCCCCTCTCCGCATCACTCCCCGCCTTCTCCGCTCCGCTCCTAGCCGGCCCACTGCTAGTAGCTCTTACTCCCCGACCCTCAGAGCGGACCAAAGCAGTCCAATCATCCTACCATCGGACAACATCGGACCTGCTCCAAATTCGGGGCACGTACTCGGCTAAGGGCACAGCGCAAGAGCTGAAGCCAAGCCCCGACCCCTCTGCTTCCTGAGTCGGCACGGTACCTAACAGATTCGTTGGATGGAGCGAATGATACTTGCGGATCGGACGGGATGTAAATCAAAGTTGAAGGAAGTTCATTAAAGGTTGGATGGATAGTGGGTATAAGTCAAAGCAATTTTCTGGTAAGGTGCAGGAAAAGTGGGAGGAAGTTACATGAAGTAAGTATTTTCAAGGAACACTTGGTATAGGTAGCAAGTCTAGACTGTGCCATAAGCTATCCGGAAAATAGTGGAGTGTGAGAGGATATGTCTGTGTTCAGTCAGTAACAAGGAAATGCGTGTGAGTACGTACCAATGAGGTAGAATGGACGTGGACAGGATGGATGTGGCGGATGCGCGAGCTATAGGGGGAGATCTGAAGGTATCCGCTTGTCATCCGAAAAGCAGATGGGTATCGGATGGAATGGATAGGTATCGGATGGGTGCCTGATGCATTGGAAAAGTGGTGGATACAAGCCTAGCATAGGGATACTCCCTACACTGTCCACTTCATTCCTCCTTCCCTGACAATGCACAAAGTGCATCTCAGCAGGACTGACCCTGCTACCTCCACCCGGCTCCCCTCCGCTCCTCAGATGCTACCCCTATTCCCTCCGACACCATACCCTTTCCATCCGACCCTATCTGGAGTTCCACTCCTCTGCCCTATTGGTCCGCCTGATCCTACTTCCTCTGCTTTTCTGACCCACTCAGTTCCTTCAGTTCCGCTCATATTGCCCCACCTGACTATTAGTCCACCCGACCGCCTCACCGGTCCACTCCTAGACTAGGAACCACTCAACTGGTCCTATTTCCGTTTAGTATCATAGTTCCTCCTTTGAGATCACCAGTAATCCCATACCCAAGTGATTATTGATCCGTTGCATACATACTATTCTCTGAGCCTCTTTCTCGTATGTCTCAGTCATCTCTCTTGTAATCCTGTACACTCAGCACATAGCCTTCTGCTATGCTATGCTACTTACTTAGAGTATATAAACATATGTACATCTGTCTGTAGATACTCAGTCTGAATATTACCTTTCCTAAGCCCTGCTCTCTTGTCCTTGTTCTTGGGCAAAACCCTTGACAACTCCTGTTTGCCAGCCTAGGGGATTGACTCCCTAGGTCAGCCGCCTTTTCCGCTTGTCCGACTTCCTGCGCCTCCGCCGCCTTTCCTGTGTGTGGGACTTGTGGCCAATCCTCTTGTACCTCTATCCTCCGCGTTTCCATTCTGCTTCAGACTTCGTCCAAGCAGTCTCCCCTGCTCCATTCCTACTGTTAGCTCCGACTGCAGTAGCCCTCTGACTCTCCCCTGTAGGGTGGACCAATCTCCACCTGTCATTCCCACACTTACCTAGTAGTCTGTCGGTCCTCCTTCAGAGGACCTCCACTCCGACGTTCTGTCAGAGCTTGTAGAACTCGAGTCGGACTACAATCCGAAATTAGGGGCATGTACTCGGGTAAGGGGTGCAGCGTACAAGCTGAAGCCAAGCCCCTCAGACTCCGTCTACCCCTGAGCATGGTCTTAACAATGAGCCTTACACTGCAGAAGCCTTCTGGGACTTTCAAGTATGTATTCGAGCGGTTTCGACTATGTAATGTTTTCAAATGTCATGTTTACCAGTTGTGTTAAGACCGTGCTCAGGGGTAAAGCAGAGTCTGAGGGGCTTGGCTTCAGCTCGTATGCTGTGCCCCTTACCTGAGTACGTGCCCCTAATTTCGGAATGTAGTCCGACACGAGTTCTAGGAGTTCTGACAGGGTGTCGGAATGGGGGTCCTCTGAAGGAGGACCGACGGACTACTAGGTGAGTGCAGGAAAGTTGGGCGGGGGTTGTTCCGCCCGACAGGAGGGAGGTGGGAGATTACTGTGGTCGGAACCAACAGTAGAAGCAGAGCGGAAGGGACTGCTTGGATGAAGTTCGATGCAGCATGGAACGGAGGGGATGGATGCGAGAGTGCAGGGTTTAGTTCCGACGCACGGGAAGTCGGAGGAGCAGAGGAATGGAGGGAACGGGGGAACGGGGGAACGGGGGAACGGGGGAACGGGGGAACGGGGGGAACGGGGGAACGGGGGAACGGGGGAACGGGGGAACGGGGGAACGGGGGAACGGGGGGAACGGGGGAACGGGGGAACGGGGGAACTGGGGAACGGGGGAACGGGGGAACGGGGGAACGGGGGAATGGAGGAATGTAGGAATGGGGGAACAATAGAACAGAGGAACAGCGGAACAACGGAACAGCGGAACCAGTGGGACAGAGGAACGGGGAAGCAGGGAAGCGGAGGATCGGAGACAGCCAACCTAGGGAGTCAATCCCCTAGGCCGGGAAACAGGAGTTTGACTTGGGATAAGCTTTAAGTCAAAGGGCAGAAGAGCAGGGCTTAGAAAAGGTAATATTCAGACTGAGTATCTACAGACAAATGTACATATGTTTATATACTCTAAGTGATGAGCATAACATAGCAGAGGGCTATGTGCTGAGTGTACAGGATTACAATAGGATGACTGAGACATACGAGAATAAGGCTCGGGGAACAGTATGTACGCGATGGATCAGAATCGCTAGGGTATAGGGATTACCGGTGATCCGAAAAGTGGAACTATGATACTAAATGGGGATAGGACCAGTTGAGTGGTTCCTAGTCTAGGAGTGGACCGGTGAGGCGGTCGGACAGACTAACAGTCGGGTGGGGGAATACGAGTGGAACTGAAGGACCCCCATGGGTTGGAAAAGCAGAGGGAGTAGGAGTAGGATCGGGTGGACCAATAGGGCGGAGGAGCGGAACCCCAGATAGGGTCAGATGGAAGAGGTATGGGGTCGGGGGACATAGGGGTAGTGTTGGAAAAGTGGAATGGGGTCGGGCGGAGGTAGCAGGGCTAATCCTGCTGAGATGCACTTCATGCATTGTCGGGGAAGGAGGAATGGAGCGGATGGGGAAACAGGGGGTCAGACCAGCAGTAGGGATGCTTATAGGTGGTACTGGGGGTACTCGGATCCGGTATATGACAAGTTGCAACTGCCTGAAGGTGCTAAGCCACTGACTTTCATACTATATGCCGACAAGACTAAGTTGTCAAGTTCCGATGCTGCGAAAGCTTATCCTGTCATCGCTTGGTTAGCAAACGTGCCTACAAACATATGCAATGGAGAGGGTATAGGTGGTGGTTATGTTGTTGGCTGGCTACCTAATTAATTGTATGCCAGGATCTTTGCCACTGTAAGAATGTGCAACATTGTACTGACATTAGCTTATTTGTTAATAGGTGAAGGAGGACAAAGAATTTGCGAAAAAGCCTGGTTGGGTTAATTTTAAAAATAAAGTCTGGCATGAGGCGTTTTCAAGGATCCTCTCATCATTAATGTTGAAATCAAAAACGGGACAATGGTTTGAATGCTTAGACCATCTCTCACAGCTGGTTCTTCCCATCAATTCTTATTTTGTCAGCTGATTACGAGGAACAGTAGGTATCAATAACTATAGCTATTTCTTTGTCACTGATGGACCATGGTTACTAAAAATTATAGATTTGTGATGTCGTTGATTTGAGGAGTATGAAGTCTGTGGCCATGCCCTATTTGCCTGGTCCCTCGAGACGCGCTCTCGGATGCATCAAAGAGATATCCTCTTTGAACAAGCAAAGGCTCACAGGCAATCGTCAACTTAGCACGAACAAAGCACACTTTGGAGGAGAGAGAGAAAACACTAAAGGAGTATGGACTTCGTGATGTGGGTGTGAGCATTTCTTGACCTTCCTGAATCTTCCTTTTGACTACATATATTGACAGAACTCACTGTGGCTAATACACCGCACAGATGTTCACCAAGCACTGTCATATGATAAGCTTCATTTCTGTGATGGTGGCTTTTTGATGACCATCTTTGGGTTGAGTTCCAGAAGTTCCTGAATGGCCTTGGGAGAGACACCAGTTTCTCAAATTGACAAGAGGTTTGGAATTTGTTCTTGCAACTTATTAAAGCTGACACGTCTTGCAGGTTTAAAGAATTTCTGTGCTGGCAGAATCAGAAGCACCCCAATCAGGTCATGGACATTGCATTTACTGACAGCTCCATACCTGAGAACATTTCGAAGGTTTGTGATCTTATGACTGTTCTATTTGAATGGTGCTGATGACTAGCCAGATGATACCATATGCTGCGCATGATGTTGTGACAGAGGAGGACTGTCTGCTTGGTTACCTGCTTCTTCAGTGCATACGTCTGTATATTGAAGTTGACATGTATGCATCGTTAGAAGTTCACACATCAAATATGATTCATGAAGGGAGAAATGTAGTTGACGTATTCTCTGTGTTCTTAAAGGTATGTTTCTGGCATTCCAACATCACATATCATTGACATATATACAGCAATATATTGACAAAACAGCGGATATTGAGGATAAGGGTTGGAACTTCCCAAAACTCCATATGGACATGCATCTGTTTGATGACATTGAAGTGACAGGAGTCACATGGAACTACAACACGAAGCCAAATGAGAAGATGCAAGGACCATTGAAGGATTCATATTTGCTGTGGACTAACTTCCAAAATGTTGCTGAGCAGGTCATGCTATTTTTTCATTGTACAATGTAATACTCTCTGAACTTGTATTTAATTACAGATTCTGTGCATAAATCACTGGCAACTGGTCGTGGAGGATATTCATTGTTGTCTGTCAGACTTCGATGAATATCATTGCTCACAAGCACAAAATCAATCCACTGATGACATGCTTGACACTGCAGACAACATGTTTGATGCTGCAGATGACCCGATTCCACTGACAGGTGTTCTCCATGTGAAAGTTGGGTCGAAACAACCCCCACAGACTTTTGACTCGGTCGAGAACATTTACCAGTAGTGACAATGCATTTTCAAACTTCCGCACCAGACTCAATGACTTTTTGAATGACTTCTTACCTGCTTCCAATATACCTCTACCACAAGGGAAACAGATTTGCCTCTGAGCAAGTGACGAGGTACAATTGTTTCATTCAGCGCTGTTATTTGCTACACTGATTTATGGCAAAGATAACAGAATTTCGCTTTTTGAAAGTCAACTACGAATCAATGGTCGATTGGTGGCAGCACACTGATTGTCTTCGCTGCAGTCCACAATTCTTCAGCACACCACATTTTGACTGTGTTTTCATTCAGATGACTCCAAAGAAAGTGATTTTTGGCCGCCTTCTCTTTGTGTTCGAGTGTACAGTTGGGAAACATACTTTGCCTCTTGCCTTGGTGCCCCCATTTGATGCTCCCACTGGTGTATGCCTTCGCAAGGATAAGAACTTCAATTTATTCAGAGTTTGAGCATGTGCATGAGCACAGTCGCAATTTTTCTTGGTCAGGTCAATAATATGTGGAGTGCTTCTGGTTCCAGATGGACCATTTGACCATCTGGTGGTTGACACTGTGGACACTGATATGTTTGTTCATATGAGGGAGATGCACTTGGAGGCAGAGCATCTGGTGCATGCTTGATGGATTTTGATGATTGGAACAGTGAGGTGCGGCACCTTCACACCAATATCAGTATATTTTCATGTTGATTGATGTGACCTCTGTAGGGATCTGCCAATAGGTGCTATGAGGCTATGTGACTCCATGTTAAGACCGTGCTCGGGGTAAAGCGGAGTCTGAGGGGCTTGGCTTCAGCTCGTACGCTGCGCCCCTTACCCAAGTATGTGCCCCTAATTTCAGGGTGTAGTCTGACATGAGTTCTAGGAGTTCCGACAGGACGTCGGAATGGGGGTCCTCTGAAGGAGGACCGACGGACTACTAGGTGAGTGTGGGAACATCGGGCGGGGGTTGTTCTGCCTGACAGGAGGGAGGTGGGAGACTACTGTGGTCGGAACCAACAGTAGAAGCGGAGGGGAAGGAACTGCTTGGACAAAGTCTGAAGCAGAGCGGAACGGAGGGGATGGATGCGAGAGTGTGGGGTCTAGTTCCGATGCATGGGAAGTCGGAGGAGCAGAGGGATGGAGGAACGGGGGAACAGGGGAGTGGGGAGAACGGGGAAACAGGGGAAACGGGGGAATGGAGGATTGGAGGATTGGAGGATTGGAGGATTGGAGGATTGGAGGATTGGAGGATTGGAGGATTGGAGGATTGGAGGATTGGAGGGTGGCTGACCTAGGGAGTCAATCCCCTAGGCCGGCTTTAACAGGAGTTGACTAGGATCAGGCCCAAGTCAGAGAACAGAAGAGCAGGGCTTAGAAAAGGTAATATTCAGACTGAGTATCTACAGACAAGTGTACATAGGTTTATATACTCTAAGTGATGAGCATAGCATAGCAGAAGGCTATGTGCTGAGTGTACAGGATTACAATAGGATGACTGAGACATACGAGAAAAGGCTTGGAGGAAAGTATGTACGCGACGGATCAGAACTCGCTAGGGTATAGGGATTACTGGGAACCCGAAAAGCGGAACTATAATACTAAACGGGGATAGGACCAGTTGAGTGGTTCCTAGTCTAGGAGTGGACCAGTGAGGCGGTCGGACGGACTAATGGTCGGGTGGGTCAATACGAGCGGAACCAAAGGATTTGAGCGGGGCGGAAAAGTGGAGGGAGTAGGAATAGGATCAGGCGGACCGATAGGGCGGAGGAGCGGAACCCCAGATAGGGTCGGATGGAAGGGGTATGGGGTCAGAGGACATAGGGGTAATGTCGGAAGAGCGGAATGGAGTTGGGTGGAGGTAGCAGGGCTAATCCTGCTGAGATGCACTTCGTGCATTGTTGGGGAAGGAGGAATGAAGCGGACGGGGAAACAGGGGGTCAGGCCAGCAGTGGGGATGCTCATAGGAGGTACTGGGGGTACTTGGATCTGGTATATGACACTCCACCACACTTCTCCATCTGTATTCTGCATCATTGATTGGTGTTGGTTGTTCTCCTGACAAGCTCTGCCGACATATACCTTGCCATCAAACAATTCGGCAACATTCACATTGGTCCTCACCATCAAACAATTCAGCGACATTCATGCTGATCCCTGCCATCAAACAATTCAGCGGCATTCACACTGGTCCTTGCCATCAAACAATTTGGCGACATTCACGTACTCTTATGTGACTCCAGTGTGCTTCTCCACCCTCCAGTATTCTGCATTGTTGCTTGCCATTGCTGCTCCATTAGACACTACCCTCCAACTCTTCTCCATCCAACCTCCAGCACTTCACCACCCTCCAATGCTTCACTACCTCCAGTGCTTCTTCATCCAACTACACCCTTCAGCACTCCCCATCATGTGTTCGTGCTTTGGTGAACATTGATGTGTCAACAGTGGTCATGTAAGCAGGCCCACCTTAACTGCTTCATCTCAGCACTTACAACTGCATTCTCATCCTCTAGTGCTTCCCCATCAAACACAAAACACTCTGAGCACATGCAGTCACCAATGATACCCTTTACATGCGAAGGTTTGTGCCCATACCTCTCTTTTTGGTCTAGCTGCTTACTACCAGCATACCTCATTACATGTATGTGATCACTCAAGTTTACCACTGACATAATATGACTGATGGTGTTCGTTATTAGGTGGTGCTGGATTCTGTCATAAAAGTCATGTAGGTGGCTAAATTCTCCTTGCACTTGTCATATACCTGATCCGACTGCTCCAATATTAATATCTGCTCTGCTTTCCGACCATCTCCGCTCCATCTATCCTCTGCTCTGTCCAAACATCATCCACATCCGCCCCTACGTTTCTGCTCGACCGCCCAACTGGTTCCCTTCCATAAACATCACCATTCAACTGGGACCGCTTCCCCCTTTTAGATATATACTTTCCCTTTCGGTACATAGACCCTTACTCCCGGATCACCAGTAATTCCTCTTACCACTCAATCACTGATCCAATGCGTACATATTGATATCCACTCCAACTTATGTCTTCACCTGTGTAAGTACTTACAAATTATATCCTTGGTACATAGCTTTACAACATAGTTATCCTGATCACTGCCTCATACATAGAAGTATATAACATATCCTGTACTTAGATATTTTTCCTCAGTCTTAATATTACTTGTCTTCTTGCAGTTACTACTTGTGAGAATTCTCAGTAGGACCTTGCCTCCTCCAGACACAAGTTTCACCTTGTTGTCACCTCCGACCCTCCAATCCTCCGCTCCAACTTAGAGCTGTGCTCTAAGTCTTCTCCTTACTTCTCCGCCTCTATCAAGTATTACCCCTGCTCCTCTCCACCATCTACACTATCCCCTGCCTTCTCTGCTCCGCTCCTAGTTGGCCTGCCGCTAGTAGCTCTTACCCCCCGACCCTGTTAAGACCAGTGCTCAGGGGTGAAGTGGAGTCTGAGGGGCTTGGCTTCAGCTCATACGCTGCACCCCTTACCCGAGTACATGCCCCTAATTTTGGAATGTAGTCCTGACACTGAATTCTATGAGTTCCAACAGGACCTGTGCCATGGCTTTCCAGCGCAGGTGCACATAGTTATGGAGAGCTCTTATTTCGCTGAGCTGGTGAGTAGTTTTCTTTGCTGGACTTATGTGCCTTATCTATACTATGGTAGGTACTTAAAAGTATCATGGACGCCTGCTCAAGTGAGATCAAGAAGCTACAGGAACATTGCTGGCATGATCTTTGACCTTCCCTCAAAATATTTTACCAACATCAGTTACGACCATGCTGGTGTCCCTGAAATCCAAAAGTTGCTTGGAGTCATGCCTGCAACCAACCCGATGTATACTGACATTCCCACCAGTTCTGTTTCCCAACTTGATTGAAGACAAGTCTCTCAAGACTGTGTTCGGAAATTTGAAACTGTTAGCATAGGTAAGACAGTTGTTCTTTTCTCATTTGCATGTCTCACAACACACTCAGATATTGAAAGCGGCATTGTGTGGTGTTACATCACTCTACCAGGGTACCAGTCATGGCGGTGGCGCTCACACAAATTTGCAGAAGTGGGATATCCGCCAAGTCATGCCAGGATCAATTGCATGGGCAGCCATCATTGTATGACAGAGTTATCTTGTCCTTGCTGTTGGATTCTCTCACTGACATAATGACACAGACAATATTTTTTCTCTCACCTGACACTGAGTTTTCTGGTTCAGGTGTAGGAAAGAAATCCAACATCAACTACAAGGAGCTTTTCTACAACTATAAGAGAGTTCTTGTCACAAAGTGGAAGAGTAAGCGCATTGAGGAGATTGTGACTAAGATCAACAACTATGTTTTTGGCGCCACCAGCATGAACTTCAACCATCGATGCTGATCATGAAGATCATACCTGTTAGGTACCGTGCCGACTCAGGAAGCAGAGGGGTCGGGGCTTGGCTTCAACTCTTGCGCTGTGCCCTTAGCCGAGTATGTGCCCCGAATTTGGAGCAGGGTCCTGACGTTGTCTGACAGTTGGACAAATGGACCGCTTTGGTCTGCTTTGAGGGTCGGGGAGTAAGAGCTGCTAGCGGCGGGCCAACTAGGAGTGGAGCGGAGAAGGTGAGGGGTGATGCGGAGAGGGGATAGGAGCAGGGGAATGATGGTAGGGGCAGGGAAGGCTGGAGGATAATGCGGAGGGGCGAAGGAGGATATTTGATAGGGGCAGAGTAATAAAGAGAGGACTTAGAGCACGGCTCTAAGTCGGAGCGGAGGGTCGGAGGGTCGGAGATGACAACAAGTTGAGACTTGTGTCCAGAGGAGGCAAGGTCCTACTGAGAATCCTCACAAGATGTAACTGCGAGAAGACAAGTAATATTAAGACTGAGGAAAAATATCTAAGTACATGATATGTTATGTACTACTATGTATGAGGCAGTGATCAGGATAACTACATAGTAAAGCTATGTACCAAGGATATAGTTTGTAAGTATTTTACATAGGCAAAGACATAAGTCAGGGCAAATATCAATATGTACGCATTGGATCAGTGATCAAGCGGTAATAGGAATTACCGGTCATCCAGAAGTAAGGGTCTATGTACCAATGGGGAAGGTACAGTGGCTCAAAAAAGTGTCTCAATGTTTGCACATTTTCATATAATTGCATCATTGTGAGCCAGGGTGTGGGAATATAATAGGGCTATAGGGACATGTCTGAATCCCTCGTATCCAGGCTTGAATCTGAGATATGCAGCGTGGGAAAGTGATGTCATGGAGCGGAGATATGGCTATTCTAGTTTAGTGACTCATTGAGACACTTATTTGACTTTATATCAAAATCATAGAATTAGACCACCTACACATGATGTGATCAATGACACATGTCTTAGAATATCATATGGGATGTGAAAGTATAAAAATAATAAAAATAAAGCCAAACATCAACCTTTTTTGGCATCTTTTATCACTGACTACACAAAATCAATTCAACACTCTTTCTACACAATTCAACCAAATTTTTATAGAATATCTCACATTATACTTGTGTCCACTAAAGTATTATAAATAAAACTTACTGTAGACACTATACAAGCCTTCAGAAGTTTATTGGTGATCACCATTCTATGCTTTTTACCTCTACTATTTAGTATGCTATTTGCTTAAACAGTACTGACAAGCCTGCAAATGCTGCTCAAGTGACAAAAAGACTGTATAATATCTAGAAGCAGCTTATTACATCACAGACACCATGTTGTGACTTGGGGGTAAGTGATATCAAGGCTAGAATTATGTAAAAACATCCTTTTCTTATTTAGCACTATAGAAGTAAGAGTAAACACTGCTATGTATCACTAGTGCTGTACTATGAATAGCTGAACAAAAATTATACAATTAGCAGATAGAACTGGAATTAATCATCTGAGGCCAAATGGATGGCAATAGTGAAGCTTATAATCTCCTCTTCTGTAGTGCTAGAAGAGAAAGGAATGTTTTTGCCTAATTCTAGCCTTGATATCACTTACCCCCAAGTCACAACATGGTGTCTGTGATGTAATAAGCTGCTTCTAGATATTATACAGTCTTTTTGTCACTTGAGCAGCATTTGCAGGCTTGTCAGTACTGTTTAAGCAAATAGCATACTAAATAGTAGAGGTAAAAAGCATAGAATGGTGATCACCAATAAACTTCTGAAGGCTTGTATAGTGTCTACAGTAAGTTTTATTTATAATACTTTAGTGGACACAAGTATAATGTGAGATATTCTATAAAAATTTGGTTGAATTGTGTAGAAAGAGTGTTGAATTGATTTTGTGTAGTCAGTGATAAAAGATGCCAAAAAAGGTTGATGTTTGGCTTTATTTTTATTATTTTTATACTTTCACATCCCATATGATATTCTAAGACATGTGTCATTGATCACATCATGTGTAGGTGGTCTAATTCTATGATTTTGATATAAAGTCAAATAAGTGTCTCAATGAGTCACTAAACTAGAATAGCCATATCTCCGCTCCATGACATCACTTTCCCACGCTGCATATCTCAGATTCAAGCCTGGATACGAGGGATTAAGACATGTCCCTATAGCCCTATTATATTCCCACACCCTGGCTCACAATGATGCAATTATATGAAAATGTGCAAACATTGAGACACTTTTTTGAGCCACTGTATATACCTAAAAGGGGAAAGAGGTCCAGTTGAATGGAGAGGTTATGGAAGGGGACCGGTTGAGCGGTTGAGCGGAAGCGTAGGGCGAAATGTGGACTTGTGATTGGACGGAGCAGAGGATGGATGGAGTGGAGGGGTTAGAGAGCGGAGCAGATATTAGTATTGGAGCGGTCGGATCAGGTGTATGACAATACCAATGCTATCAATTGGGCCATGGCCGCACTTGATGTGGATAGTGATGACGAGTCAGTGGATGCACCCGCTCATGGCACACCCAATACAGTTGCAGCTGCAGAGCCTGCCTCCATACCACAGCTCATTGAGAGTATCTTGGGGATGTCTGCCCTTAGCAACATTGATGAGAGCGGAACTGATATTGTGCCAGACACAGAGACTGATCCTGTTGTTCAGGAATTACAGGCTGCGGGAAGAGGTGAAGGCAGGGGAAGGGGAAGGGGAAGAAAGAAGAAGGCTGCTGCTGCATCTTCTGGAATCACAGTGACTTGTGAGACTCATTCTCGCAAATAGTACTATTATATCAGTTTCATTTGAATTGTGTCTTGTAATTGTTCCATAGTTACTTTGATTACACCGCACTTTTGGTATTACAAGTATTATGACTCAATTGCTATTCATATACAACCAGGGTTTACCTATATACAAGGCCCTATTGTGTAACAGAAACTATGCTCAAGGTAAGTACCAAATGTCACTATAATAAGGAAATATTAATTTGAATAAGTCTTAGGCCTTGAGTTTGAACCTCGATGACAACAAAGTATAAATGGTTGCAATAGGTAAGGTAACAAGGTAAGCTAGCTAAGATAAGATAATGGTACCCAAGGTAAGATAAGATAATTGAAAGTTGACTCGCCTCCCGACAAGATAACAGCAGAAATTGCAATATTCTATTTTTGTTACAATGCTTGCAGGCTATTTCAAGCCATTTACATCAGCAACCCAAATGAGCAATTTGTTAGGTACCGTGCCGACTCAGGAAGCGGAGGGGTTGGGGCTTGGCTTCAGCTCTTGCACTGCACCCTTAGCCGAGTATGTGCCCCGAATTTGGAGCAGGATCCAATGTTGTCTGACGATAGGACGAGTGGGCCGCTTAGGTCTGCTTTGAGGGTCGGGAGGTAAGTGCTACTAGCAGCGGGCCAACTAGGAGCGGAGCAGAGAAGGCAGAGGATAGTGCGGAGGGTGGATAGGAGCAGAGGGGGATGACTTGATAGGGGTGGAGAAGTAAAGGGGGAGACTTAGAGCACAGCTTTAAGTTGGAGTGGAAAGGTCAGAGGTGACAACAAGATGAAACTTGTGTCCGGAGGAGGCAAGGTCCTACTGAGAATTCTCACAAGTAGAGACTGCAAGAAGACAAGTAATATTAAGACTGGGGAAAATATCTAAGTACAGGATATGTTATATACTTCTAAGTGTGAGGCAGTGACTAGGAGACTATGTTGTAAAGCTATGTACCAAGGATATAATTTGTAAGTACTTACACAGGCGAAGACATAAGTCGGAGCGGATATCAATATGTATGCTGTTGATCAGTGATCAAGCGGTAAGGAGAATTACTGGTGATCCAGAAGTAAGGGTCTATGTACCAAAGGGGAAAGTATATATCTAAAAGGGAAAAGAGGTTCCAGTTGAATGGAGACGTTATGGAAGGGAACCGGTTAGGCGGTCGAGCGGGAGCATAGGGGCGGATGCGGATGATGATTGGACTGGAGCAGAGGTGGTCAGAAAGTGGAGTGGATATTAATATTGGAGCAGGTCAGATCAGGTATATGACATGATCCCAAGATGACTAAGGTCAGTTGCAATGCATTGCAACCATTAGTAACTGTTATTTACACGAGCATTTCAAGGACAACCTCTGTTAATACAAGTCATTTAAAGGTTCGCTCCCACTTTAGATGTTGCAAGGCCCTGCAAGGCCCTGAAATCCAAATTAGGAATTTGCGACAAATACCTCCAACAATGTCCACCACAGTGACATAGCCGACCAGCCCCAATCCAACATCATGATGTCCATCAAGCATAGATGCATCAAAGAGGATGTGGGTAGATCAGTCCAGAGTGCTACACTGTCCAAGGTAAGATATTCAATCTGATAATCTTGATGTCAACATTATGATATAACACAACCCATGCAGGAACATGCACTGGACTTAGTGCCTCATAATAACGATGCCAGTGGGATACAGTGTCATATACCGGATCCGAGTACCCCTAGTACCACCTATAAGCATCCCCACCCCTGGTCCGACCCCCTGTTTCCCCGTCCACTCCATTCCTCCTTCCCCGACAATGCATGAAGTGCATCTCAGCAGGATTAGCCCTGCTACCTCCACCCGACCCCGTTCCTCCACTTCTCATTCCTCCGTGCATCAGATCACCTAGTAGTCCGTCGGTCCTCCTTCAGAGGACCCCCATTCCGACGCCCTGTTGGAACTCCTAGAACTCATGTCGGACTACATTCCAAAATTAGGGGCATGTACTCGGGTAAGGGGCGCAGCATACAAGCTGAAGCCAAGCCCCTCAAACTCCGCTTTACCCCTGAGCACGGTCTTAACAGAAACCCACCTCAAAAGGTCCTTAGTGTCAATGTGTTAGGTACCGTGCTGGGCTCAAGAAGTGGAGGGGTCGGGGCTTGACTTCAGCTCTTGCGCTGCACCCTTAGCCAAGTATGTGCCCCAAATTTGGAGCGGGTCCGACGTTGTCCAACAATAGGATGGGTGGACTGCTTGGGGGACTATTGGTAGAGGCGGAGAGGTAAGGGGGAAGACTTAGAGCATGGCTCTAAGTCGGAGTGGAAAGTTGGAGGTGACAACAAGATGAAACTTGTGTCCGGAGGAGGCAAGGTCCTACTGAGAATTCTCACAAGTAGAGACTGCAAGAAGACAAGTAATATTAAGACTGGGGAAAATATCTAAGTACAGGATATGTTATATACTTCTAAGTGTGAGGCAGTGATTAGGAGACTTATGTTGTAAAGCTATGTACTGTTAAGACTGTGCTCAGGGGTAAGACGGAGTCTGGGGGGCTTGGCTTCAGCTTGTACACTGCACCCCTTACCTGAGTACATGCCCCTAATTTTGGATTGTAGTCTGACTCAAGTTCTATGAGCTCCGACAGGACTGTCAGAGCGGAGGTCCTCTGAAGGAGGACCGACAGACTACTAGATGAGCGTGGGAACATCGGGCGGAGATTGGTCCACCCTACAGGGGAGAGTCAGAGGGCTACTGCAGTCGGAACTAACAGTAGGAACAGGAGCGGGGTAGACTGCTCGGATGAAGTCCAAAGCAGAACAGAAACATGGAGGATAGAGGTATGAGAGGATTGGCCACAAGTCCGACACACAGGAAAGGCAGCGGAGGCGCAGGAAGTTGGATGAGTGGAGAAGGCAGCCGACCTAGGGAGTCAATCCCCTACGCCAGCAAACAGGAGTTGACTTGGGTTGAGCCTAAGTCAAAGGACAGAAGAGCAGGGCTTAGGAAAGGTAATATTCAGACTGAGTATCTACAGACAAATGTACATAGGTTTATATACTCTAAGTAATGAGCATAGCATAGCAGAAGGCTATGTGCTGAGTGTACAGGATTACAGGAGGATGACTGAGACATATGAGAATAAGGCTTGGAGAACAGTATGTACGCAACAGATCAGTAATCACTCCGGTATAGGAATTACCAGTGATCCTAAAGGAGGAACTATGATACTAAACAGAGATAGGACCAGTTGAGTGGTACCTAGTCTAGGAGTGGACCGGTGAAGCAGTCGGGCGAACTAATAGTTGGGTGAGGCAATACAAGAGAAACTGGAGGAACCGAGTGGGTCGGAAAAGCGGAGATGGTGGAGGGAGTAGGAGTAGGATTGGTCGGACCAATGGAGCAGAGGAGCAGAGCTCCAGATAGTGTCAAATGGTAGGGATATGGTGTTGGAGGAAATAGGGGTAGTGTTGGAGGAGCGGAGCAGAGTCAGGCGGAGGTAGCAGGGCTAGTCCTGCTGAGATGCACTTTGTGCATTGTCAGAGAAGGAGGGATGGAGTGGACAGGGAAACAGGGGGTCGGACCAATAGTAGGGATGTTTATGAGTGGTGTTGGGAGTGGCTGAATTGGGTACATGACATGCACCAAGGATATAGTTTGTAAGTACTTACACAGGCAAAGACATAAGTCAGAGCAGATATCAATATGTATGCGTCGGATCAGTGATCGAGTGGTAAGAGGAGTTACTGGTGATCTGGAAGTAAGGGTCTATGTACCAAAGGAGAATGTATATATCTAAAAGGGGAAAGAGGTTCCAGTTGAGTGGAGACGTTCTAGAAGGTGACCGGTCAGGCAGTCAAGCAGAAGCGTAGGAGTGGATGCAGACTGTGATTGGATGGAGCGGAGGATGAATGGGGCAGAGGTGGTTGGAAGGTGGAGCAGATATTGACATTGGAGCGGTCAGATCAGGTATATGACACAATGACCCTGATGTACTCTTATCACTCAAACTGTTTCTTGCTGATACTACTGAAGCTGCATACAACTTGATACGTAATGCCATCATGGAGCGATTTCCTGATTCTGAAATCCTCTTCGCATTATTAGATTCGCCATTGTGTCGCTTTACTGGGTGGAATAGAGCCCATTGTGCATGACATGTGCATAGACTTGTGTATAGCATTTTGCAGCCCATGGTGACATCATGACAATTGTCTGAAATGTGGGAAGGATCACTACAACCAGAACATCTTACACAAGAGCCAAGGGAGGAAGAAAGTGCCCATCCAAGTCTTTGAGACTATCCCTGTTGCAGATCAGATTCAGGTGCTTTGGAGGGACCCTAGCAGTGTGCAAAAGATGCAATATCAGGATGATGCTACCAATGTGCTTCTTGAGAAACTCAGGATGAATGGTGGGGTTATTGATGCTTATGAAGACTTCTTTGATGGCATGGACTATCTTGATGCTGTCCAATGGGGCAAGATCAAAGAAGGCGACCCTATCCTTATGCTTTCAATTGATTGCACTCAGTTGTACAAAAGCAAGCAATCCAACTGTTGGATATACATATGGGTAGTATTTGACCACCACCCACAGGAGCGCTACAAGAAGAAGTATGTTCTCCCTGGAGGATTTATTCCTGGTCCCAACAAGCCAAAGAATGTAGACTCCTTATTTCCTGGGTTATATCACCTTGCAGTTGTTCAGCATGAAGGGCTCACCATCTGGGATGCATCGTGAAATCACATTTTTGAATCAACTCCCTTTCTCACTCTCACAACTGCAGATGGTCCGGTGTAGGGAGTATCCCTACGCTAGGCTTGTATCCACCACTTTTCCGATGCATCAGGCATCCATCCGACACCTATCCATTCCATCCGATACCCATCCACTTTTCGGATGACAAGCGGATACCTTCGGATCTCCCCCTATAGCTCACGCATCCGCCGCATCCGTCCTGTCCATGTCCATTCTACCTCATTGGTACGTACTCACATGCATTTCCTTGTTACTGACTGAACACAGACATATCCTTTCACACTCCACTATTTTCCGGATAGCTTATGGCACAGTCTAGACTTGCTACCTATACCAAGTGTTCCTTGAAAATACTGTACCCTATAAGCACAGAAGTTTTCAGAAAATACTTACTTCATGTAACTTCCTCCCACTTTTCCTGCACCTTACCAGAAAATTGCTTTGACTTATACCCACTATCCATCCAACCTTCAATGAACTTCCTTCGACTTTGATTCGCATCCCATCCAATCAGCAAGTATCATTCGCTCCATCCGACGAATCCAGTACATTTCGCATCCTATCCGTTTCATCTGCTTTTGCGGATCCTTCATCCTATAGGGTCGCTTTAGACAGAGACTAGTGTTTCCCCAGTAGCAATCCCCTTAAGGGTCGAACTGTGCTTGTCCTCAAGTGAGGCAGTAGGCAGCAAAGACCCAACTGTGTGGTAGATCGATTTCTCGCTGCTGCACTTGTTGTTCACACACCGGGTATGGTTTATCTCAATGGCCTAGTGGGCTCACACAGAGGCAATGGCTGTCAGCTCTACTGTGGTATGAGAGGGTGCCATAAACCAAGTGCTGGTGGACACTATTACCCTGCACTTCTCAAGCCAAACAACTACAATCACCTGGGTTCTGACCATCTTGATATTGATGTTGAGCACCTTCCTCCTGCATCTTCAGGAAACTACCTTGACAACCTCAAGTACCTGATGCAGTCCCACACTCAGACTCAGTACGAGCAGTGTCGCCTTGAAACGGGTATATCCAAACCCACTATCTTTCTCAGTATACAAACCAACAACATCCTTGGTGTTCCTGGCTGTTTTGGATTGGATATCATGCACATTGCTACAATCAACATTGCCAATGAACTGATTCCAATATGGTGTGGCTCTTTTCAATTTGAGTCTACTGATGATAAGGACACATGGTACTGGGCTGTTTTCAAGAGTTGTGTCTGGCAAGACCATGGTAAAGCTGTTGTGGACACAACCCCTTACCTTCCTGGATCATTTGATCATCCACCTTGTAACCCCACACAAAAAATCAACAGTGGATACAAGGCTTGGGAGTTTCTACTCTGTCTCTTTGGCCTCGGGCCTGCAATCCTCTATGGTGTACTCCCCAATGTCTACTGGAAAAACTTTTGCAAGCTTGTTTGTGGGATATGAATCATGCAGCAACACAAGATCCTTGCAGCTGATTTGTGTGAAGCTCATGAGATGCTTACGCAGTTTGAAAAGGAGTTTGAACTCCTGTACTATCAGTGCCATATCAATTGACTCCATTTCATGCGACCATGGGCACATTCACTTGGACATCTTGCACCCAAGACTGTTGCAAAGGGCCCCCCAATCTGCTCCTCACAATGGACTATGGAACACATGATCAGGAACCTTGGCTGTGAGATTTGTTCACACTCCAAGCCATATGCTAACCTATCCAAATGAGGTGTGTGCTGTTGTCAAGTCAACACATTAAAAGTCATGGTTCCTGGCCTCAATCCACCAACAGACACCCTCCTGTGCTGCTCAATTGACTTGGGCCATGGATATGTACTCCTCACCAGGTGTGAATGGACTCCCCATTGTCTGGATGAATGTGAAGCAACAGCCCTTATTTCCTATCTTGCCACTCATGGGATCAACATCACTGTAGATCAATGCCCCTGCATCATTTGATGGGTGCATTTACAAATTCCAAATGGGCAGGTGGCACAATTGAGTTGGAAGGAAAATACCATGACATGTATGCCACACATGGCACACAACATCAAAGTGAGTGACTGTATGTTGTTCACTTGTGCTACAGCTCAACTCAACGTACACACCAGCTTTGCCTGAATGAACAGATACAATTTGATGAAGTTCAGTTTTATTTTCAGATCAATTTTAACGACAGTATCAAGACTCTCGCCCTGATATCCCTCTGTTCTGTGCCTGACTATGAACTTCTCCATGAGTCTTACAACACATTATACTCATGCACATATGAAGGCAATGAAGTGCTTGTCCTCATTGGGGTCTCCACAATTCAAGCTGTGGTCGCAATAGTCCCCCACAAGCTCCCCAACCACCCAGAACTCTGTTTCTTTCTTGTCAAAAAACCTGGCCTTGATGTTGCTCAATTTGCAGGCCATGTGGACCATGATGATGAAGGTGATGATGAAGATGACGGCAACTAGCTACAATGAGGGACACAACAGATGGATGGCAAACTGTCCAGAGTCTATTACACCTGTACTCAATACCAGGAATTTAAAGTATGGGTACTACAACTGATCATTGTCATATACCAGATCCAAGCACCTCCAATACCACCTGTATTGTGAGCAATATGGGTGTGGTGAGTTGAAACACTACCTTTGAAAAAGCATTGGTTGGAGGGTACATCATTGGCTCTCAAATTGAGGATGCAGTCTGCAGTTGTGGTGATGATGTCTTCTGGTTCTCCTGTTAGGGGGTTGAGTGTGACACCATAATGGATAAGGGGGTATCTGGCTGACAGTGGCAATGTCATATACCTAATCCAACTGCTCTAATATCAATATCCGCTCCGCTTTCTGACCGCCTCCGTTCCATCCATCCTCCGCTCTGTCCAATCATCATCCTGCTTCCGCCCCTATGCTTCTGCTCGACTGCCCAACCGGTCCCCTTCCATAAACGCCTCCATTCAACTGGAACCACTTTCCCCTTTTAGATATATACTTTCCCCTTCGGTACATAGACCCTTACTCCCGGATCACCGGTAATTCCTCTTACCGCTCGATCACTGATCCGACGCATACATATTGATATCTGCTCTGACTTATGTCTTCACCTGTGTAAGTACTTACAAATTATATCCTTGGTACATAGCTTTACAACATAGTTGTCCTGATCACTGCCTCATACATAGAAGTATATAACATATCCTGTACTTATATATTTTCCTCAGTCTTAATATTACTTGTCTTCTTGCAGTTACTACTTGTGAGAATTCTCAGTAAGACCTTGCCTCCTCTGGACACAAGTCTCAACTTGTTGTCACCTCCAACCCTCTGACCCTCCACTCCGACTTAGAGCTGTGCTCTAAGTCTCCCCCTTATTTCTCTGCCCCTTTCAATACTCCCCTCTGACCCTTTTCCATCCCCCACATTATCCTCCACCTTCCCCACTCCTACCAAACATTCCCCCTGCTCCTACCCACCCTCTGCATCACTCCCTGCCTTCTCTGCTCCACTCCTAGTTGGCCTGCCGCTAGTAGCTCTTACCTCCCAACCCTCAAAGCGGACCTAAGCGGTCCACTCGTCCTATTGTCGGACAACATCGGACCCACTCCAAATTCAGGGCACGTACTCGGCTAAGGGCACAGTGCAAGAGCTGAAGCCAAGCCCTGACCCCTCTGCTTCCTGAGCCAGCATGGTACCTAACAGGCAACCCAAGTGAGAAGAGGATGGTACTTCCCCTCTTACAATGAGCTTCCCTGCTAGGGGATATAGCATGGCCTGTTGGGTTGGGGATTGATAGGGGTTTGCATTCAGGGGTTTTTGGAGTGGGTGGTGGGGAATAATGCATGATAGATGGTGTGGCGGTTCCTTCTTCCTCTAGGAAGTCTCCTTCATATTTGCTTTCTTTAGTGATGGGGATAGTGATTTTCTCAGTTTTGGTGATAGGGGTTATGGGGTTAGTTTCTCTTTCTTCGGTGGGGGCTTCTGTGGGTATGAAAGGTACAACTAATTTGACATCTTGTTCATCAAATGGGTTTGGTTGGATGGGGGATGGATTGTGTTGGTTGTGCAGTGAACTTGCCACTGTTGATCTTATTGACTAATCTGCCAAATTTCTTTATGGCTAGGAGCTTCATTATGGCATTTTTAATTTTGTTTTGCACATAGTGGAGGGATACTGTTCCAAAGGTCCTGCACTTGCATGTCAATGATGCATGTGGTCAGAGTGTCTGCTGTTCTCAATGTGGCAATGAGTTCAAAAAGGATGGGGTCATCTTGGGCAATGATCAGTTTGTTGATTTCTATGGCATAGTGACTGTCTAGGATAAGTGCCTCCCAGAGGGTTTTGTCTTCTGCTACCAGTGAAAGGTGGGGATGGATGAGAAGAAGTTCAAGTCATTAGATGAGTTGGACATGTTTGATTGAGTGGATTTTTATTACAAAGTTATTGTTTGTACTCCTCTTGTGATTGTTAGGTACCGTGCTGGCTCAGGAGGCAGAGGGGTTGGGGCTTGGCTTCAGCTCTTGCGCTGCTGCCCTTAGCCTGAGTATGTGCCCCAAATTTGGAGTGGGTCTGACGTTGTCCGACAATAGGACGAGTGGACCACTTAGGTCCGCTTTGAGGGTCGGGAAGTAAGAGCTACTAGCGGCGAGCCGACTAGGAGCAGAGAAGGCGGGGAGTGATGCGGAGGGTGGATAGGAGCAGGGGGAAGGTTTGGTAGGAGCAGAGAAGGCAGAGGATGGGAAAAGGGGCAAGGGGAATATTGATAGGGGTGGAGGAATCAGGGGAACACTTAGAGCACAGCTCTAAGTCGGAGCAGAGGGTCAGAGGGTCGGAGGTGACAACAAGTTGAGACTTGTGTCCAGAGGAGGCAAGGTCCTACTGAGAATTCTCACAAGAGGTAACTGTGAGAAGACAAGTAATATTAAGACTGAGGTAAATATCTAAGTACAGGATATGTTATATACTTCTATGTATGAGGCAGTGACCAGGATAACTATGTTGTAAAGCTATGTACCAAGGATATAATTTGTAAGTACTTACACAGGTGATGACATAAGTCAGAGCGGATATCAATATGTACATGTCGGATCAGCGATCAGGCGGTAATAGGAATTACCAGTGATCCGGAAGTAAGAGTCTATGTACCGAAGGGGAAAGTGTATGTCTAAAAGGGGAAAGGGATCCAGTTGAATGGAGAGGTTTATGGAAGGGGACCGGTTGAACGGTCGAGCAGAAGCGTAGGGTGGAATGCGGGTTTTGTGATAGAGCGGAGCGGAGGATGGAGGGGGCGGAGGGGGTCAGAAAGCGGGGCGGATATCAGTATCAGAGCGGTCGGATCTGGTATATGACACTGACTTGGACTGCTGCAAGTTATCCGATTTGGGGTATCCTTTCCATGACACAAGGTATCAGCGACATTTTCTGATGCCCTTGTGCACCAGGATTGCTTTTATTTCATATTGTTCTTCTCTGTTGATAACATCAGGGGGTGGTTCTTCAAAGTTCAGCCTGTGGATCTCTGTTTCATGATAGGTAGATAGTTCTGAAGCATGGAAGGTGGAGTGAACTTTCCAGCTATCTGGGAGTTTGATTTTGAATGTGATAGGTGATAAGACTTCTTTGATGGGAGTTTTGTTAATAGATGGGTTGCAGATAGCCAGACCTTATCTCCTTTCTTCCATGGAGTGTACTTCCTTCCCAACGTTCTTTCTCCCATTTGTTGTTGGGTGATAGCATGGCAAGCTAGTGCTTCTTCTTGTATTTTTCCAAGGTGTTTAATTCATTCCTCTATAGTGGGTAAGGAGGTTTCAGGAAATACCTGGGGAAGGCTTTTCAGCTCATATCCCTTCATTAGGGCAAAGGGGGAAGTATTCCTGGCAGAGTGTTTTCTAGAGTTGTGAACAAACTTGGCCATGGGCAGGTGTTGCGACCATTCTGTAGGTACAGTTTGACAGTAGATAGAGGAGGTTCTTGTGGTTGGTGAATACAATGACAGGGTGGGAGTTCCCTTCTAGAAAGTGTCTCCAACTTTTTAATGTGTGTATGACAGCCAACAATTCTCAGTCATATATTTGGTAATTGCATTCAGCAGCATTAAACAATTGTGGCAAGTTGTTAGATACCATGTGCCAACTCAGGAAGCAGAGGGGTTGGGGCTTGGCTTCAGCTCTTGTGCTGCACCCTTAGCTGAGTATGTGCCCTGAATTTGGAGCGGGTCCGACATTGTCCAATGGTAGGACAATTGGACCCCTTTGGTCTGCTCTGAGGGTCGGGGAGTAAGAGCTCCTAGTGGTGGGCTGACTAGGAGCGGAGCGGAGAAGGCGGGGAGTGATGCAGAGAGGGGATAGGAGCAGGGGAATGTTTGGTAGGGGCAGGGAAAGGCAGAGGATAATGCAGAGGGGTGAAGGAGGATATTTGATAGGGGTGGAGTAATAAGGGGAAGACTTAGAGCACGGCTCTAAGTTGGAGCAGAGGGTCGGAGGGTCGGAGGTGACAACAAGTTGAGACTTGTGTCCAGAGGAGGCAGGGTTCTACTGAGAATTCTCACAAGATATAACTGCAAGAAGACAAGTAATATTAAGACTGAGGAAAAATATCTAAGTACATGATATGTTATATACTACTATGTATGAGGCAGTGATCAGGATAACTATGCAGTAAAGCTATGTACCAAGGATATAAGTTTGTAAGTATTTTACATAGGCAAAGACATAAGTCGGGGTGGATATCAATATGTACGCGTCAGATCAGCGATTGAGCGGTAATAGGAATTACCGGCCATCCGGAAGTAAGGGTCTATGTACCAATAGGGAAGGCATATATCTAAAAGGGGAAAGAGCTCTAGTTGAATGGAGAGGTTATGGAAGGGGACCGGTTGAGCGGTTGAGCAGAAGCATAGGGCGGAATGCAGGACTTGTGATTGGATGGAGCGGAGGATGAATGGGGCGGAGGGGTCGGAAAGCGGAGTGGATATCAGTGTCAGAGCGGTCGGATCAGGTATATGACACAAGTATCCACAGGGGTGGTAAGAACCATTTTTATCAGTCTGTAGCAGCACAGCTCCAGTTGTGTGTAGGGATGTGTTGGTAGCAAGAGTGAATTGATCATTGGGATCAGGGTTTTGAAGCACCAGTTCTGTGAGGAAGCATTCTTTGAGTTTGTCAAAGGCATTTTGACATGGTTCAGTCCATGCAAATATTAAGTCTTTCTTTGTTAGGTCAATCAAGTGTCTGTAGAAATTGCAGAATCCAAGAAATGAGCGCACTTCTTTGACAGTGTGTGGTGTCTGCCATTTGCTGATACCCTCAAGTTTAGCTGTATCCATTGCTACTTGGCCTGATTGAATGATCATTCCAAGATATCAACCTCCCGACCCTCAAAGCGGACCAAAGTGGTCCACTCATCCTATCATCAGACAACATCGGACCCACTCCAATTCGGGGCATGTACTCGGCTAAGGGCGCAGCGCAAGAGCTGAAGCCAAGCCCCAACCCCTCTGCTTCTTGAGCCCAGCATGGTACCTAACATCTGGTGGCAGGAGCAAACATCTGTATGCCCTTGTCTATCCTGCATGGTGCTCGACTACTTGTCGATTCCCAGTGAGCTACTAACTTATACTATGGCAATGGTGTTGTCTTATTAATGACATCAGTGATGTCAACCGATGTTGAGCATGTTTTCAGTCAGGGCCACCTCATTTTGTCTCATGTTCATAACTGGTTATCTGCACAGTCAACATGTGCTCTCCTCTGTCTCGGAAACTGGAGTCTGCTTGGCTATGTGAAGAACAAGGACATTACTGCTATCACAATTCTACCAGAGGTTGCAGGGGATGACGAGGAGCTTGAAGAAGGCTGGGACATCATAGATTAAATTTTTCAATTTGTTTTATGCTAGTAGCAACTCAGATAACTACAGACTCATGCTTAGTGTTATTGGTGTACCCGCGGGTTACCTGCTGCGGGTACAGGTGTGGGTACACACAAGGGTATGAACATCTGACCCATGAAAAAACCCCTACCCCTGGTATGGGTATGGGTTTTCACGGGTAAGGGTATGGGTATAGTCAAAAATACCCATGCAGAACACTACAGATGGAAGGCCACATTCTCAAAATTGTTTGGTCTCTTTGAACCAAAAGTGATGTTTTTTGGCCTATGTAACTCCCTGGCTGACATTCCAGGCATATATGAATCAAACATTCAAAGCAGAAATTGATGCCAGTTGGCTAATCGTCTATATGGACGACATCCTCATCTTCTCCAGTACATTGGAAAAAAACCAAGAACAGACAAAAACTGTACTACAAAAATTAAGTAAAGAAACCCTTTTCCTCAAACCAGAGAAATGCACCTTCGACGTGCAAGAGGTAAGTGCTACTAGCAGCAGGCCGACTAGGAGCGGAGCAGAGAAGGCAGAGGATAGTGCGGAGGGTGGATAGGAGTAGAGGGGGATGATTGATAGGGGCGGAGAAGTAAAGGGGGAGACTTAGAGCACAGCTCTAAGTTGGAGTGGAAAGTCAGAGGTGACAACAAGATGAAACTTGTGTCCGGAGGAGGCAAGGTCCTACTGAGAATTCTCACAAGTAGAAACTGCAAGAAGACAAGTAATATTAAGACTGGGGAAAATATCTAAGTACAGGATATGTTATATACTTCTAAGTGTGAGACAGTGATTAGGAGACTTATGTTGTAAAGCTATGTACCAAGGATATAATTTGTAAGTACTTACACAGGCAAAGACATAAGTTGGAGCGGATATCAATATGTACGCATTGGATCAGCAATCAAGCGGTAAGAGGAGTTACCAGTGATCCAGAAGTAAGGGTCTTATGTACCAAAGGGGAAAGAGGTTCCAGTTGAGTGGAGACGTTCTAGAAGGTGACTGGTCAGGCAGTCGAGCAGAAGCATAGGAGCGATGCGGACTGTGATTGGATGGGGGATGGATGGGTGGAGGTGGTCAGAAGGCAGAGCAGATATTGATATCGGAGCGGTTGGATCAGGTATATGACACCAGAGAAGGACATCCCTGGCTTGCTCTGGATTGTGCTGAGGTAGCATGAAACTTTGTTGAGCATTTCTGCAGCACAGTGGCACAGCAAGGGAGGGCAGATCATCGAATATATTAAGTACCTAGTATAGAAGATCAGCTACACACCAGCAGTATGAAAAGTGTTTGAAACAAAATGTACCTTGGCCTGCTCGTTTATGGGTGCGTGTATATCCTCATGTATACCAGATGCATGTAGTGTGGAATAGGATGTTTGAAGACATTCCTCACAATCTCCTCTGCAGTATCAATTCAGGCATGCTCCCAGCCAGCACACTTGAAGTATTTAAGTTTGTGTCAGGGATGTAATACTGTCAATAGATAGCATTATTATATTAGTAGTAAATAACCATTCTGAAAGAAAAAGACTTAGTACCCATAGCAATACAATATACTTCAGATTGATCTGTAGCATTGTAATAGTGGTTGAGTGTTTTCTTGGCAATCCCTAGGGCAGCACAAATTGATAATTGATAATCATGATTAAGGGAGTGGTGGGTGAGCATTTCGTCAATGTGATCCATTGCAGGGATCACAGTCACAAGACTGGGAGTGGAACAAGAGAAAAATAATGTGGCATCTTTGAATATCTAAGTCATAATGAGAACGCGGCGCAAGATCAATCCTAAAAATAGAAATGCATGCACCTTCAACGTGCTGTGCAGCTGTCCAGCAATGATCCACTCATTCTTATCCAACTCAAACTTGCGCAGGTTTGCACTTTTGTCTGCTGTAACACTGTCAATGGCTAACTGATACTCTATTGCGAACACCAGCATGTCAAAGGTCGAGTTCCACCGTGTTGCTACATCACGCAGTATTTTCTGTTCTGGTAGGCCAAGCTTCTGGAGCGTTCAAAACCACAAGGGCAGGAGAAGTGTTGTTGAGTGGAGGAGTGCAAATGCAATCTAACATATCTATGGAAGCATTCAGGTAAGTACAACAACACCTATAAGACTTTGGTTTGGTGACTGACTTTAACCAACACCAGCTTGACAGGCCTTATGTTTTCCTCAAGTTCATTATGGTCAGCCATGGGGAGTCTAGCTACCTCATTGATCCAGCCATCTGCAGTATCACCTATATCATCATTGTCATCTTCCTTCCCCTCCCATTCACCTCTGGTCTGCTCATCTTTGATATCAAGATCCTCAGCAAGATCTCTCAACTCCCTCTCTGCTTCGTCCAGTGCTGCATCTGCCATGCCTTTAGGGACATCAAATTGATGTATTGAACTTTTTGCTACAAGTGTGTGTTAGAATAACCAAGTGAACCAAGCCACAAGTGAGTTAATGAGAGTGAACAGGACTATAGTCCAGTGTCAGTTGCTATTGTGTTGTGTAAACTAATGAGTGTACTATACCTATAGTCCAGTGTCAGTTGCTGAAGAGCAAGCAACACAGGACTTGCTACCTATGGGCGAGTCTATGTAAACAAGTGTAAACACTGCCTAAGTAAGTAAGGAATTCACATCACATGCTAAGTGAGAGTCCAATAGAGGAAGCAACATCATAACACAAATAACTCGCACCATAAGGTGCTCAATCACCACAACTAACAGTTTCCCAGAGTCAAGATTGATGATACTGGTGGCATCGAAACCTTCACCGTCAAAAGAATCTGCTTTACTTGAACTGTCTTCTGCTATATCCTCAGGGTCAGCAACATCCAAGTCCGAGTCGTTGTTATCCTCGTCAGGCCCCGCTTCAAGTTCATCTGTGAAATTGTCGTCCACATCAGAAGTTTCATCATCATCATCATTTTCATCTTCCTTCCCTCGCTTGCGCTTGCCACCAAAAATGGTTGATGACATATTTCGCCATTTGACAGTTGGTTTCTTTTTTGGAGGTGGTGCCTAATGTTGATGTCAGTGAGTTGCAGATAGTCAATGAAAATATTGATGTACATACACTGGGATTGTGTTTGTACCAACTATGGATTTGGACAGTCCTGACAAGTGTTTTCACCTGCTGTTGACTGTGAAGTGGTGAGTTGAGCCAAGTGAATGTCGAGCCAGTCCATTTATCAGCCATTGAATTGGGTACAAGCGCAAAGATTCAAACAGCAAGCCTCTGGTTAGATTATGATCAGCTTTGGGACAATGTAATTGTAGGTTTGACATACCGCGAGTGGCTGAGCATCGCCAGAATGATCTTTATCCAGATAACTCCACCATTCATATGCCAACTCATCAGTTCGAAGTTCACAATTGAAAGGGTAAACCTTTTTCAAGTATTTTTTTTTACGAGGTCTTTCAACCGAGTGTTGGCCTCTGAGATACTCAGGTTTGCAATGGGAACCTTTCACTTCTCGTATTCGATATGAAGCATTGAAAGCAAAAACTTTCCTATACAACGAACTGAATCTGGGAGTTCTTTGTCCTGGGGGTGATTCATTTGGCCTCCGATCTTGATACGAGCAATGGCCAGTGGGTTCAAGTCCAGGAGAATATCTGCCCCTCTGAATTCTTTGAATGATGTTCGAGTCAGTTAAACAGCGAGTAATGTAACACAACAGAAAACTCATAAGGATCAAGAAGAAAACCAGTTAAATACACATCACACAGTGCATCATTTACCATTTGATTGAAGCAAAAATTGACACCTCATCAAATCTTCTCAGTGACCTCAGTTGGCAAACCAGTGATATCCTTGGTGATAATTTGGTGTATTGTCACAGTGACAGCAAACCAGAAGAGATATACGTCTGACACAGTGGAGTGAGTAGACTCAAGGCATGTTATAGCCTTCGCAATTGGAGCAAGCACTGTGAGAAGTTGTCGAAGTTCAACTTCAAATTTTTCAGTAGTGAAATGACCTTTGATAAAGTAATTGTTGACTTCCTGCAGGGTCTTCTTAGCATTTCACAAAACCACAATCCACCACACATACTGGTATGTTGATAATCTTTTCGGTGCACAATTGTCGGATAGGCTTGAGGCAACAATGGAGTGACTCTCCAGAATGATAAATGGTTCCGAAGCGTGTTTTACCAACTGACACGAGTCCTCTCTTGATTTGTAGATCCTTACAGCGACAACGGAGATGAGCACTGGCAATGTTTGAATTCTTGAAGTACTTGATTGTTTAACGTATCTTCTTGATCACCTGGAGTGAAAAGTCAGTAATTCAAATCAAGGAGTCCAAAGATCAGCCTCAATATCTTACTGGTCAAAAGAATGCAATGCTACCAATATCCTTGCATAATGAACTCATGCGATGACACGAGTCAGGGAGAATAATGATCCAACTAAATTCATCCTGCAAGAGTGAACAAGCCAATGTCGTATTTCCAGTGTTGTCCGAAGCCACACCACTAAAATGTTTGGCTCCAACCTGTAACATGACCTGTAAGTGGTGTTAATCCAGAACCATCATTATGAGATACTAGTAGCTCACCTTTTTCAATACTTCATGTATCTTTGCTCCAGTATGTGATACTTCCGATGACTCGTCACCTTCCACCAAAAAGACCCAATGCACTGGAGTGATCACATGTATGGTATAAACAGACTCAGGCAATTTTGTGGTGTTTCCATCGAAAGTGATGGTAAGGTTGTCACAGGTATGAAGGTGTTGCAATTGCAAATCTTCAATGCGAGCTGCCTCGTTCGGGATTTGTGATTTGGTGAGTACTGCACAAGATGCTGGTTCATAGTCAGGATTTCCGTGTTTCCACATTGTCTTCCATTCTGTTGAATCAACTTTTGTTAGTGGAATACCACCAATACAGATGAGTTTCAAGACATCGAAGTCAAGTTGGTCTTTAAGTGCTGAAATGCGTGCTTTACGCTGTGATGGATATATTGATTTTTGTTTCAGTGGTGCACTAGGAGTTCCTCATAATGAAACTGCGGAAGATGTGGGTGCGATGACAGGACTCAGAGGTTCACATTCAGCACTTGGAACTAGCAGGCTCTGACCTTCAACACGATCACCTAAAGATTCCTTGGCCATAGCAGTGCGAACACGATCCCATAGTGTTAAATTGATCTTGTTCAGTTTTCCACATGGTAATGCATGTCCAAATACTCGGGTCTTCCAATGAGGTGCAGCCCATGTTGTGGCACATCCGTATTCAGCTCCAGCACACCAAACGATCATTTTCTGGGGGTCCTTTTTAGGTACATATTGACAGAGAGAAGATCCATCAGAGGATCAACTTTTGCACCACCTTTCCCCTTTGCAGGTATCTGTTTGGTATCTGTGTATAGGTGCATGACAGATGTGTCAGACTCAATGTTGCTCTTTTTCTTCTTTGATGCCTTCATTGACTGACTCGACACAAGCTCTATGTCTGGATGGACATTTGACTGATGCGAAGACTTTGGTAACTGTATCCAGGCGAGTCAGTGATTCAGTTTTTCCGGCAAAGTAAATCTAATTCACAGCTTTTCCGGCAGCGAGAATGGCACCTCATGCAGCTTTAAGGATGTCATGCACCCACTTCTCGAGGATGATGTCACCTGGACATTTTTCAATCCATGTTTCCAAAACATCCACGACAGCCTCTGTTTCAGGTCCTCGCTCCATGAGTTTCAGGTCGTCAACACAACTGCCAAACCTAACTTCTAATTCTCGATTGACAGCACCAGCCTCGCCAATGTTCACAGCCCATTCGGCATCTGTGCTGAAGTCGGAGAATTTGTACCTGGATTCTGCTGCTAGTGGAACGGGGATGTCCATTGGCAGCACTTTGAGACATAGTTGCAGCTCAACTAATTGATCTTGGAGTTGTTGCTTCATGTAAGTTTGGTAGATCATGGATCTCAAAGGCTGGGGGGATGAATATCTCAAAGATCACAATAATGCATTCATTTTTCGTGTTGATGTTCAACCAAACAAACATTGCTTGACATCGCATGAAGTTATGCCAAAACAAGTAAGCTTGTAGACTTGCAATGTTCAACAATTGAGTTTTTTAAGTGTATTTAATGTTATTTAATGTGACCCCGTGCATGTACACTGTTTTTTGAGTTATTCACATAATCCACCCTATTGATTTTGGCCTTGAGTTATCCACGGTACACTACTCCAGAAGGTGGTATGCATGGCTAGAGCCCATTTCATCTTGAATAAAACACTTGATAGTGCGGTGTGTGACCTCACTGGAGGAAGGAACTAGTTGTGATGAAAGGTCAACTTGTGATAACCCAGAACTTGGGGCGAACCTGCTCTCGAGATCTGCCACCTTGTCGAACCAAGCACATGCAGATTGATGGAATGACCCCCTCAAGGGCCCTGCAACTTTCGCTGGTTGCAAAAAGTGCCAAGCCTTGATGGGGCAAAGATTTGTCAAAGCCTGGGTATTGTTTTCATTGGCCGAGAACAATGCACGCGTCGCCTCCATCCAATCCTCTTCACAATATCAAGAACCCAGGTGTGAAACAAGTTTCACTTCCATTTGAGGCAAGTTCATGTCCAAGGTGAGGTACTCCTCTAGGATGTCCCATGCTGCTTCGTCTTGCAGAGGGTCTGACAATGCTGGTGTGTGACTATCCTCAGAAGCCTGGTCATTTATGAAGGAACCACCCTCTGTACAGGAAGATGAGACAACTGGAGATAGAGACAAGATACAAGACTTACCATCTTCATCCTCTATACCCTCGTCATCCGAGTCAACGTCTGCCTCTGTATCAAGGTACTTTCTGGCATTGACGTATTTGGTGCACTTGATGTGTGCTTCTGGAGCGATTTCAGAAGTCACTGGTCATTTAGACATTGATCCTACTAATAGTGATGTAGTAACGCTAAATGTCTACTGATTGTGTAGGTATCAATCCTAGTCTTTCTTGCCTAAGTCATTTCTAATACCTATCAAAAACTATCATATTCCATAGTATGTATTATCTAGTTATGCTAGAGTCGAGAGAGAGAAATCAGAAAGAAAAGTCCTTGCGTGCAATGAGCCTATTTGTAGTGAATCCCATTTTGAGCTATTGGGGTTAATACATAACGACGGGCTTGTCGTTTTCAAGGAGCAAAGACTACAATAACATTGAGATGCTACACAAACCATAAGTATATAACATTAAGACTACATTACAACATGGTGGAATAAGAAAGTCTGTGAAATAAGGTTTTGAGTCCTAAGTAGTGAATGGGAGAATCAGACTCTGCCAGAGGTACCTGAAGTAGCTGAGTGGCTGAGTGGTTGAGTGGCTGCCAGCAAGTTCCATCAGAGTTTCAACTGATTTGAATTCACTACTTAGGCAGTGAATCCCTGTTTCATTGCTTTCTTTCCTCCGATCACAGTCATATACAATCATTATGTTAATCTTTTTACTTATGCAGACTGTAGAATTGTAGACTCATAGACTTATATCTTAAATTTCAGTTTGGCTGTGTAGTAGTTTTGTAAACTTTTGTAGCGCTGGTTCCAGTCTCCAACTGCATTTCGAAATGTTGCATAAGTCTTGAAAGAGACTAAAGTTGCCGTTCAGTGATAAAGATAAATCAAAGTTCAAGATAGATCATGCAGACCAAAAGGAAATGTCGAAATCTCCTGTCAAGCCTCACAGAATGTCCCTCCCTCCTGGTACCAACCATATATTGACATGTTGTTACAGTCGTGCTCAAGGGAAAGGTTACTCAAAGGGCTTTGGCTTCAGCTCATGCGCTGCACCCCTTACCTGAGTACGTGCCCTTTAATTTCCAAGAGGCAGAGGGGAAGTCCAATGGAAGTCCAGGGAAGTCCGGAGGTCAGACATGGGGGGAGTTCGGCGGAACTCTGGAAGGCTAGCAGGGAATGGAGTAAGGATACTGCAGATAAGTCCGGAGTAGAAGCAGGACAGAGTTAGATTATCCTAAGGTAGAGCTGGAGGATTAGTCCTAAGGTTTAACCCCTAAGACTCGGAGGTGGACAAGAGACTAGACTCAAATCTGGAGAAGCAGGAATGAGCAGAACTAAGATGATATTCAAACTGAGGAGTTCCGGAGTATTACAGGGGTTTATATACTGTAGGTATCATATAAGTAAATCAGTCAGCAAGGTAGAAGCTATGTAGGAAGCATGTGGAAAGTATTAGTAAGTGCATAACAGATCAAAGCAGTGAAGTCGGAGATGAAGTACAAACGGAACAGATCAGTAAGCATAACTGGTAGCTGGAGAACAGTTATTCTAAAAGGAGATAGGAGTGAGCCCAGAGATGAAAGTGGAGCGCCGGATGGAGAATAGGGTGAGGGAAGTGGACTTTCGTAGGGGAGATCCAGAATTCTGGATCTGGAGGTATGGGATATGACACATGTATGTACTACATCCCTTGCCTCTATCGCTCTCCTTATCCAAAAATTTACAGGGTCCAAAGTCACTTAGTGACTCTGACACTATCAAACTAACCACATCCTGCCAGCAATTGATGCATGCAGCTGATTGGCGTCCGTGCACCGCTAAATATATGATCTCATGGTGGTAAGCTCATATTTACCCGCTGTGGGGAATTCCCCCACTGTAGGTGTAAAACCCCGTCCTTTCCACATCGTCTCACATCAGTTCCGCATATTCCGCACATTCCGCGTTTCCCGCGCATCGTCCGATGGGTTCTGCATTCCCACGCATCCTTCGGAACCCACCTGCACTATCCAATATTCCCACGCATCGTCGGACAACCTTCGCATGTCCTGTCCCCATCCTTCCAGGCTCATTGGTATGCTGTATCTCTCTTCCCGTTGCTTCTAATGTTACCCGGATCACACTGACACATGCCCTTATGGCACGGACCCCTATTCCGGAGTATTGCGCCCATGTGCACTGCCTGCCTTCACTTCTGCTTCCTGAGAGACTTACTACCTGTACCTCAGTGTACCTTGAAAATAATCTTCCCTTTAAGTAGTGGTACTCAGGGCTTAGGGGTATTTGATTGAATCCCATCTTTTACCTTCCCACTTTTCCTTCACCTTACTAGAGGACTGCTTTGACTTATGCCCACTATCAATCTAACCTTGTGATATACTTCCTTTGACTTTGCCTGCGAGTTCCGACGAATCAGTACATTCCGCGCTTTATCCATTTGAGTTCTGTTTCATTCCTTTCCATTCCGCTCAGGTTCCGCTTGTTCTGTGCTTGTTCCGCTTGTTCCGCTTGTTCCGCATTTTTGCGGATCCTCATCCTACCTGCGGGAGAGTTGATTAGGGTCGTTTAGACAGAGACTAGTACTTCCCAGTAGCAATCCCCTTTAGGGTCGAATGTGCTTGCTCTCAAGTGAGGCAGTAGGCAGCAAAGACCCAACTGTGTAGTAGATCAATTTCTCTCCACTGCACTTGTTGTACCCACACCGCTCAAGTTTGTCTAATGAGTTATGCCCGAACGCGCTAGGCCTATTTGACACACACTGCTTGACACTATTTTATCATTTATCATGCACTATCAGTGTACAGTCACGTTTACAGTGTGTACCAGATCTGAGTACCAACTTATCATGTGCCAAAGTCCTACCAGGTAAGTTAGTACAGTAACAATCATGAATTCGCCAACAGCTCACCCTGTTCATTGGTTTAAGTACCAATTCAGATGTTCCCCACTGCATTGACGCAGTGTGACAAAGTCCCCTTGTGCACACCAGAACGATATCCAACTGGCTATTATAAGCACTACTCCATATCTGCATGCCAAAGTTGCTGTAGGCTAGAAAGGGATCTTTGTACCCTGCAGGCACTGGTAAGTAACCTCAGATTGCAATGTAGTAAACCCGATCATGATCTTGCCCTACAATGAACATGTGTTCAATGACACCAGGCACCAGAACATGCAACTATCCAGAGCAGAATAGTTGCAGCTGCAATATTGCAACCCTCCTATGTTCAGCTGTTTATACTCCATGATGTGGTCGCTCCCACAGAGGTGAGTTGTCCCTGTCTTGTCCCAGGTGTGTTGGAGGGCATCAGACATAGGGGCCTTGATGATATTGGTGTTATTGTGTGAGACATATGAGATTGATTCTGTAGCTGTGCATAGGATGCCGGTGTCTGTAAGAAATATTCCTTCTGTGAAAGGAGCACAGCATCACTGCAGAATATCAGCTGCTTTGTTGATAACATCGGGTGCCCCAGGCTCTTGAAGCATTGCCTTCACACTTGCAGCGACGCAGAATGTCTCTAGCATAGTTCTTTCCATCTCCCCTGTAAAGCCTTGTTCAATGTTTCTCTTTGTATTTCCGTTCTATGCTCACCAGTTTTGTGACTCATAATGGTCTTCTGCAGGCCTCCAATTATCCTTTCGAAGGGAAACATCCACCAGCCATGCATGGGTCTGTATCTCAAAAGGAACTTGTATAGGTGGAGGCATGTGTGGTGGTTGGGATGGAAAGAATAGCCTGGAAAGATGTCTCGAATGCATTCCAGGTAGGCCTTCATGTATTTCCTGTATTGCTGAGCGTGGTGTGTCGATGTTATATGTGACATTCCCCATTGTATTGCTATCACCAGCAGCATAGTGCTGTGAGCTAACTTCTGCCTCTGTTCTTCTCCACCACCATATTCCGCCCCCCAAATTTTTACTAGAGTCACTGGTAAGTCGAATTCAATTGCCGACCACCATTGCTCTGTCTTGAGCTTGCCATGCTCTGCATCTCCAATGTTTTTTTGGCGGCCCCCGGTGCCATGAAGGTCGCTTGATGCCACTTAGTTCTGCTTGAATTGTATTAATCTCCTCATCTGTCAGGGCTTCAGTAAATATGCCTTTCTGGTCATTTTTTTCTTCTATGTCGGCCGCATACTCCTTCCCCAATTCCTCTGCAACAAATGGTTCGCTATCCACTTGCATCTGATCCTCATTGTTCATTGGGACATTGTGGGTGGGTTTGGCCTATTGACTTATCAATCAGGTTTCTGACTGGTAAAAATGGACAGCGCACCAAAAATGCTTCAACCATCTTCTTTTTAGTGGTATGCCCCTAGCTCAACAATGTTACCCCTGTCTCTCGGACGAGAGCTTGAAGGACAGGCAGCCGTAAGTGGGTCATGGCGGAGGTGGTGGCCTGTGTTCCTCGCACGTATGTCGTTCCCACATGTCATAGTCAAAGTTCACAATGTCTGACTTTTTCTGCCAGCAAAGTCCACACATCTGATTCACAGTGGGACCTGCACGTCCCACGAGGTTGCGAGCAGCTGGTAGATCATTGACAGCTACTGCAATAACAGACCTTGAAAGTCTCCCTTCAGGATGCTCAAGTGTCCTGGTAAACCACATCCTGTCTTTCCAAGATGGTAGGAAGAATTCAATTACTGGATGAAGGAAATGATTTATCTCTTTGAGAGCTGGTTCTCTAGGTCTGGGGATAACACCGACCAAGTACATGTTTTTGGGTCTATATTGCAGACTGGGTGGGAGGTTGAGTAGCCCCATCGCAATCGACCCAACTGATTTATTCTTGCCAGAGGTCTCATTTCCATGAGGGTTGAACCAATCCATCAAGAGACTCCACTGCTAATCTCAGGTCCCTTCTCTTCAACCCATCCATGAATGGTTTCCTGTCGGGACCTAATATATCCTGCATCACAGTGCCATCTTTGATATCTCACAGGTGATACTTTTCGTTCATCATCATTCCATGGTCCATGGCTTCTTCTATTCCAGGCTGACTAAGCAAGCTAGCAAGGAAGGCATTGAAATCTTGAACAATGTATGGGTGCACTGGGTGCCCATGATTTTCGCCCTTCGTCCTTCATACACTTCATCAACAACTGACCACATGGCATGCTAGGTACTTTGTATAGGTGCAGCATTCCAGGTATGGTTATTTTGTTCTTGTGGTTACAGCTGGATACATGCACGAACATCTTGTGCAAGTAGCAAACATCTGAGTAATTGGTTCTAGGTCGAATTTTTTGCAGACTGGTAGGGATATTGGAAGGGATGGCCGGACCACTGGACTTTCTGAGTGTGGTCTCAAGGAGAAGGTTCAAAAGCCCGAGAACTGCATTGCACCATGGCCTGGTAATGTGTCCGAAAACATTCAGGATTAAGGCAATAAGATGGTCAGGAGTATGGCGGGGTTGGCATTGTGGAATCTTCGTCTGACATTAGGATCTGGTTATGATTCAGTATGCATTCCCATTTATCCAATATCTCTCACCTGTGTTGATGGTTGTTGATGCACTATTCAGGTCTTCCTTCGTTCTATGACCCACCATGTCCACAATACTCCCCACTGCCTCTCTGATCTCATGCAATGATTGAAGAGATGCATGCCGCAATTGTTCATTACAAACATCATCATCTACTCGCATAGCTCTTACCTCCTCCTGTGCTTTCTCCATCCAATTATACTCATTGGTAGGCATCATTAGGACCTGTTGTCCGTCAGCTGAGTCAAGTTGATTCACAGTATCAGTCACACCCCAAAGACTGAGCATGCATCTGAATATCAAGGAGGTATAAATCCCGCAGTAATCTTCCAATGCTTGATCCTGAATTTCCTGCTGAATGCTCCCTTGCAGCTCTGGTGGTATCATCTAATGTGCATCGGCTGTCAACCTGGATTGCTTCAGTAATGTGCCCATCCTGTGTCCTGTCTTCCAGTGTTAATTGGAAGATGCTTCTGACAGGGCTCCTCATTGTCCTATTCCTCTACTTGTTAACTGAATGCATGCATTAGATTACATCGTGTTGTGTGACCTACCCCTGAATTTGGCCTTTCCGACATCATTGGGTTATCTTCCTGGCATCGAAGGTGGAGATATAATTTGGACACCTGAAGAAGATATCAATGATTCATTCTGTTTTGTAGTGAACACAAGGTCACCATTGATTGAGAATTCTTTTCATTCAATGCATCTCTAATGATCTATATGTCACACAACCAAAAAACCGGATCTCACTAAATTCTCTTGTAGTTGTTTTAATTCATACTTCAGATGACAACTGAAAACCTGGATCAGGTTTAGATGTTAATGTTAGCAATTTGGCTGTCTTAACAACTTTGTAAACCTATTGTGTTGTAGTGTGATTGATATTGTAAACTCAAAGGAGGAGGGAGTATGCCACATGTGTTCAAGTGCTGCAGGTGGCTGTGAGACTGGGAATAATGAGTAATGAGTTGAAACCAAAATGTGGTGCAGGGGACGACACTGAATGACTGCTACTAGTAGCATTGATATTAGATGCATTGATATTAGGTGCAGAGTCCTTGCTGAGTGGCGCCTGGTTGCATGATCCTGTAGAGTCTGGAAAGAAACCTAAACAAAAGATGTGGGATCTTATTAAATATGCTGATTCATCGAAGCACAGATTATCCCAAATCTCACCTGATGAGCCTCTGCTGCTGCCCTATAGCTCTTATATGTTCCTCCTTGAACTCCAGCAAGGGCTTCTTGAATCTGCGACTCATGCTGGATCATTTTTCTTGGAGTTGGGGTATGGGCACCCCTGCCCCGAGCATGCCCCATGTGCTGTTCCGAGTCAAGACGAGCACAAATGCTAATGGTGAATAGTTTGGCAGATCTGAAACTCTGCTACGGCAGACTTGGCTCAGTGACAAGCAGACATGGACAAAATATGATTTGAAGCAGAGCTAAGTGAGATATTGCAAAGTGTCTGAACCAGTGGTTGACCGAAGTTGTGATTCTTGAGGTGTTGGCCCTACCAAGAGATAATGCTACTTTGGTGCATACCTATGACATATCTCCAGCTGGGTCTTGACAAGTCATACTCTAACACTCGTCAAATTTGCATAACAGTAGGACTACTCTTACTACAAAGTGTGTAATTCTAGTCCTGTGATGACAGCAAAAGATTGTGAAGGTACGACTCATAGAATGAAAATATTGATGTATCAGACACACAGACTGGAGGGAGAGCAAAGGACGGTGGCAGCCTCACCACTGTCGGGTTTAACAAAACAAGAATATTGCAATCTTGCCATCAGAACCATGTTCCGGCTCATACAACCAAAATTTGACTCAGATGTCAATAATGAGGCTTGAAGAACTTCCTCCGGAGGATGGGGCTCATCAACTGCTGCATGAGACACCCATGTGTTGAGGAGCCCCTCGATCTCCTCATGAGTAACACCACCATGCATCTGATTGGCATCAACATCAAGAAATTTGTAGTGCCATGCCTGAACTAGATCCCTGACTCCACCAAAGTAAGTCATCATGCGATTCATCAGCTCCTTGTCGTGCCGCAGCACGAGCACCAACCCCGATTTATATGGAGTGGTGGTGGCACCCATGCCCTCAAGGACTTCACCCCACCAGTCCGCCTTCCTCGGGTCTGTTCTACTGCCCTTTGGCCCATCGAACGAGGTATCAAATTCAATGAAAATGTAAAATAGGGACTTGAGATCATCACTAGCAGTATGTTCGACCATCACATTTCCCCAACCCTTGGCTCTCGCAATTGCAGTATGGTGCCCTTCCAACAATGATATTAGCCACTTATATTATATTAAATGCTGAACTTTGACTCACGGTACCAGGTGAATGAATACTAGTGCTGCCTTGTGTGATAATCTGGGCATGGTCAAAATCAATGAAGAAGCCATGCCCTTCATGAATAATTAGGTTGTTGGGGCTAAGGTCTCTGTGTAGGACTTTCTTCCTGATCATTGCCTTATGCGCTAAAAAAAAGAAATCAATGTAAAGATCAAGCTTAATTTGAACAGTCAAAGAACAAACCCACCGACTACGAGGTCTCGAAAAGCGCTTATTAGCTCTCATTTAGTCGAAAATGTCAACAGCAGCTCTCCACCAGGGGTCAAAAGCATGTGTCAGTGATATATACAGCAAAATCCAGGACTGAATTTCCTGTGGTGGTTATGGATGTGCAATGTAGAGTCGGGCTCTCCCTCATACTTGACATCCCAAGGGGCAATGAGAGTAACTACATTAGGAATGCCCCAGACCATCTCAAGAACCTTTTCTTCATGATCTTTCTTTGCCTCATCCATCCAACAATCCTTCAGTGCATATTCAACTCCATCCTTATCCTGAACGCAATAACAAATAGTCCTGCAGGAGAGAATACCCTGGCTTCTCCACAAAATAGCAATGATCAATAATTTCTGCTTTTCCTTGTCCTCTATCCAGCCAATTGCCTGGTCCCCCACTTCACATTGTGTTTGCTTGCAGGACTCATTGCACATGCGCATGGTGGTATCCATGCCATGGGCTTTACTGTTCCCCAGTGACATGGTGTTTAGCATGTCGACAAGACACATTGGGTTTGCTGTGATTAAGATGGGATGTGTGATGATGAGGCCTGAGCAGTCCATATAATGGGTGCGAAGATGTTTTGCTGCTAGGCTGAATAAGACGATGCACCAACACCAGGGCTGTTCTCACATCATGAGATAACCTTTGGTGATCACCCCCTTGCACAACGGTATGTCATGGTTTGCACCAAGATCAGATTCAGTGATCTCAACGCATGTGAGGACGTGTACCCAGCTTTTCGGTTGAATGTCACAATGAAGGACTAAGCCAAGCCTTTGGATGTTGGTTGCATCCAAAATAGGAGCAAGGCAGAACTCCAGTGACCACTGTCAAGGCAGGTGTTCGAGATATTTGGGCTCAAAAGGGAAGATAGATGAACGTTGAGGGCAAGTTAGATATGAGATGTGCATGGCCATATAGATGGTGTTGAAAAGAAGCACCCATTTTGGTTCTTGTGTGCGCACCTGTGGAGGCAGTTTTCTTGCCGGACTTGTTGGGTAGAATTCTTGGGAGAAGGAGTAGTGGCAGGGAGATCGATTTCTTCCCATAGGACATTACCTTCAAGACCTTTGTCCAAGAGCTTGTCTATACGTGACTGGTGGGGGGGGGGGGGGGTGAGGTGAATGCACTTGATGAGTTGAATGTTGGCAAGATGACAGATGTTGAGGTACTCATCATGGTGGTGGGAAGATGAAGTGCAGTGCCTCATCATTAAGATCTATATGTAGATATCATTTTTTCTTCATGGTCGTAAAGTGTGTCATCATACCAGATATCAAGATATGCCAGATAAGAGCCTATGCTGTTTGAGGAAATAATAATATGTACAACTATATGTATAAGTTGATTATATTTAGTAACAGCAGAGTCCACATACACATATAGTGGGAGAAAAAGAAAGTACACCAAGTGTTGTATTCGATAAGTAGTGAATCAGAATCAGACTCAGCAAGCTCTGCCAGAATACGCAAAGTCTAACTAATAACTAATTATACAAATCTACACATTCTCAAATTCAACAATGCTAGCAATAAGTGCAAAAGCAATATGAAGTACATGATATGGCTATAGACAAGAAATGCATATGACGCCCAGCTTAATCTTAGGCTCCAGTCTAATGAAGCCAATGCAGATGCAACATTTCATTGGGGTGGATTATGATAGGAGAAAGAAAATCAACAAAACAAGGATTCACTGCCTAAGTAGTGAATTAGACTCAGTCGAAGCTCCAATGGAACTTGCCAGCAGCCGCTCAACCACTCAGCCACTTTGGATACCTCCAGTGGAGTTTGATTCTCCCATTCACTACTTAAGCCTCGAAACATTGTTACTCAAGCTTTCTCTTTTGATGATCATGTTTATTTTGTGTAGCATTAATGTTAATGTTAATGTAGTCCTTGTTCCTTGAAAACAACAAGGCCATCATTATGAATGTCATAACCAGTTACCAAAATTGTATGTAACTACAAGGTAGTGACTTTGACTGCAACTAACTGCATTCCATCAGCATCAGGATGTGCACATTGCCAAAATATATAATGTCCTTGTTAGAATAACCAAGTGAAGCAAGCCACAAGTGAGCTAATGAGAGTGAACAGGACTAGAGTCCAGTGTCAGTTGCTTATATATTGTGTAAACTATGAAGTGACTTTACCTAGAGTCCAGTGTCAGTTGCTGAGGAACAACTGACCACTAGACTCACTACCTACAGTCGAAGATATGTAAACATATGTAAACACAGCTTAATAAGGTGAGTAAGTCAAGTCTGGCAATACAGGCAAGTCTGGAGCAATAGGTTATGATATAAGGCAAATAACTCGCACCATAAGGTGCTCAATCACCACAACTAACAGTCCTATTGATCGTAATGGTAAGCTCATTGTTTCTGGCTCAACAAGTTTGTCTAACTGAGCTATGCCTAAAGCTTCTAAATGGCGGTACTGTCGCCACTTCAAGCCACTCACCATTCATTGTGAGTTCCCCCCTGAATGCAGCTACACCCCTCCCCCATTGACACAACATCAACTGTTTTCATGCGACACAGACTTGTCAACCTCTGATGCCGCACAACCAATTACACCAGTGGCTCAGTGACCCATCTCTCTGCCAGCGAAGATTCTGAAACCACGAGGAGATATCTCCCGTATCAATTGAGGAGGATATAATTTACAGGAGGCACTTGGCTGGCCTGCCTCCGAATATGAAGAAACTCATGTGCATGTTCTTGTAGCTGTTGTATCTTGTCTGTTTAATTTTTTCCATGCAGGCTTTTGTTTCACAACTAGCCCATGAATATCTAAAAGTCAACAAGTCCTGGAAGCTCCAAGCACAGCCCAGATTAGCCATTGTGTATGCAGAGGTAGGTATCAGTCTGGTCAACAGTATTGGTTACTCATCTCTGGTAGGCTCAGAAATGATATCCTATCCTTGAATGTTATGATGGAAGTTGGGTTGTTGGCAATATGCTCCATATATATTTGAAAATAGTTGTAGCCATGATACTTAGGCATGGGAAATATTTATGAACACTTGTCCAACATTACCAATACCTGACAATACCAAGCAATCTCCCCAGGTTGAAAGAATATATAAAGCAGGTTGGTAAGTCAATCAATTGCCATTGTCATTGATCTACTCTTACCAGATCAATAGATGAGATTTGATTGATGTGGAGCACATGTCTTGTAACAAACAAATGATAAGCCTTCATTCATTATTTGCAGCAACCATATTGACACACTATTGTACAGGGGTACCAGTAGACTTTTAGATGTTCAAATAATCAGTCTGGAAACTGTCCTGGCATTGTGGCAGGATAACCTTCCTTTACATTAGGAATGATGGCGTTCTGGAAGGTTCATGAACTCACCTGTCTTATGGATGATACCTGGAATGGATGACTTTGTAGTTAGTGCAGTTCCGATGGATACCAGGCCACATTTCACTCCGTGGGGGATGATAAAATTGACTCCATTGAGGAATCATCGTGCAACCTCATGTGAGATGAGGTAGCCCTGTTGAAGCTCCTATAACAACAACATTATTCATACAAATTAATATTGCCAATAATCCGCCTTACACTATGTTTTCCAGCTTGGGCTTGGTGCAAACCCGCATCAGGCACCATGATATTATCAACATCCACATCGTCCAGCAATGCAGCTTGGAGCGCAATGTACATGCACTTGCGTAACTGGTCAGTATTGGCATGCTCCCTCTTGCAGTGATGATTGATATACTTGTTAATGCCTTTGTGCAGGCCACGAACAAGTTTCCTTTTTTTTGGCGACTGGTACTGGTACCACTGGGTGTTATGCCAAGTGTAATGCAGGCAAACAATAATCAACAAGACAGTTGGACTTGTGTTACGTTCTAGACAAGTGTCTAAAGAACGCCCAAAGTTTCAAATAAAGACTAAGAACCGAAGAGGTATCTTAGAGTCAAGTCAGAGATGTCAAAGGAAAATCAGTGTAGGTTAAGCTGAAGAATCAGCATCACCTAGCTAGGGTTTATATAGTAGACAGGGTACAGGGTGTGACATAATAATAGGTATGTATCAGTAAGCACATGCATAAGCAATGAGGTGTATGAGTGATACTGAACTAAATATAGCATGATAAGAGACATGTGTAGTAAGCGTGGATCAAGGGAAAAGGAAGAAAAGAAGTTTGATAAGCACAGCCGTAACATCACCCCCTTCTTACATGGAAAGTCCCAGACTTTCACTAAAGACCATGGTGACGACCATCCTCTGTTCCACCAAGCCCATCTAGTACCTCAAAGAAGCCCCTCTCTTGCATGACGATCAACGTCAATTGTTGGAGCTTCTCTTTGATGTCTCGGATGCTATAGTTGAGAGAGAAGAGCTCGTCTTCTCTGTATTTGGCATTATGCCTTTCCAAGGTGTTTTTGAGACAATCTCCGAGACGATAGAGGTCATAGAGGGCATTGAGCGTGGGTTCAGTATCGATAGCATCCTTGATGGGATTCTTGAAGAGTTTGGACAACAACAAGATCCTACGGTGAAGTCTACGATCTTCAAGATCAGACAAGTAGGGGTCGGTCACTACTCTCCAAGGAGCTGCTCGTCGACAAGCTGCAACACACTCACAATTTCTGATTGTAATGGGGCTGGTGGGAGTGTTGATAAAAGTAGGAATAATAGGTTTGTTGAAAATACGATATGGTGAAGGCGATCTAGTTGCTGGTAAAGGGAATGAAGGATGAGGGGGCTCAGGAGAATTTCTTTGACTGATGGTCATATAGTGTGGATGGGGAGAGAAGACAGGGAAGTGAAGATTGGGGATAGGAACATTGGGGTTGCTGTTGTGCGTGATGATAGTTCAAGTTGAGAGGGGAATGAGTCGATGTGCCTGCTTATATCTGTTCAAGATTTCAGTGGAGTTGGCTAAATCAGACTCTGACAACCATTCATTATCGGCCAATGGGTAACCCTTCCATTTAACGAGGAAGTGTTGTTGTGAGAGAGTTCCTTTATGTCCGAGGATAGTGTCATATACCTGATTCGACCACTCCGCTTTCCGACCACCTCTGCTCCATCCATCCTCTGCTCCTGTCATATACTGGATCCGAGTACCCCCAGTACCACCTATAAACATCCCTACTGCTGGTCCGACCCCCTGTTTCCCCGTCTGCTCCATTCCTCCTTCCCCGACAATGCATGAAGTGCATCTCAGCAGGATTAGCCCTGCTACCTCCGCCTGACCCCGTTCCGCTTTTCTGACACTACCCCTATGTCCCCCGACCCCACACCCCTTCCATCCGACCCTATCTGGGGTTCCGCTCCTCCACCCTATCGGTCCGCCTGATCCTACTCCTACTCCCTCCGCTTTTCCGACCCACGGGGGTCCTTCAGTTCCGCTCGTATTCCCCCACCCGACTGTTAGTCTGTCTGACCACCTCACCGGTCCACTCCTAGACTAGGAACCACTCAACTGGTCCTATCCCCATTTAGTATCATAGTTCCACTTTTCAGATCACCGGTAATCCCTATACCCTAGCGATTCTGATCCGTCGTGTACATACTGTTCCTCAAGCCTTATTCTCATATGTCTCAGTCATCCTATTGTAATCCTGTACACTCAGCACATAGCCCTCTGCCATGCTATGCTCATCACTTAGAGTATATAAACATATGTACATTTGTCTGTAGATACTCAGTCTGAATATTACCTTTTCTAAGCCCTGCTCTTCTGTTCTTTGACTTGGGACTGATCCTAGTCAACTCCTGTTGAGCCGGCCTAGGGGATTGACTCCCTAGGTTGGCCATCCTCCAATCCTCCAATCCTCCAATCCTCCAATCCTCCAATCCTCCAATCCTCCGTTCCCCCATTCCTCCGTTCCCCCACTCCTCCATTCCCCTATTCCCCTGTTCCCCCGTCCCTCCGCTCATCTGACTTCCCATGCGTCGGAACTAGACCCCACACTCTCGCGTCCATCCCCTCCGTTCCGCTCTGCTTCGGACTTCATCCAAGCAGTTCCCTCTGCTCCGCTACTACTGTTGGTTCTGATCATAGTAATCTCCTGCCCCCCTCCTGTCAGGCGGAACAACCCCTGCCCAACTTTCCTGCGCTCACCTGGTAGTCCGTCGGTCCTCCTTCAGAGGACCCCTGTTCCGACGCCCTGTTGGAACCCATAGAATTCATGTCGGACTACATTCTGAAATTAGGGGCATGTACTCAGGTAAGGGGTGCAGCGTACGAGCTGAAGCCAAGCCCCTCAGACTCCACTTTACCCCTGAGCATGGTCTTAACACTGCCGCTAGTAGCTCTTACCTCCTGACCCTCAAAGCGGACCTAAGCAGTCCACTCATCCTATCGTCGGACAATGTTGGACCCGCTCCAAATTCAGGGCACGTACTCGGCTAAGGGCACAGCGCAAGAGCTGAAGCCAAGCCCCGACCCCTCTGCCTCTTGAGCCGGCATGGTACCTAACAGATAGCTTCTACCTCATGTTCTTCTTCTCCATCGATAAGGTCAGGAAGTGGCGATGGGAAATTGGGACTATGTTCTTCATTTTCGTGATAAGGAGTAAGAAGCGCTGCATGGAATACCGGATGAACACACCATTGGTTCGGGAGTTTTAGGCAGTATGTGACTGGTCCGAGAACTTCTGAGATAGTGAAAGATCCTTCTCGCTTGGGTGCTAATTTCCTATTGGGGTAATTGAGATGAAGGTTCTTTGCTTCTAGCCAAACCTTGTCGCCTTTATTGAATGGTGTGAACGATCGAGTGATTCTTTGCCTCATGGTTTGTCTAGCGAGTTCATGTGATGATAAGGCTTCCTCTCAAGCCTTCTGGAGTTCTGATATTCTTCCTTCAATGGCTGGGAGATCCAATTTCTCGGTAGCCAGTGGTAGCACTTGAGGGTGATATCCCATCATGAGATAGAAGGGTGAAGTGTTTTGTGCAGAGTGATGTCGGGAGTTATGTATGAATTCTGCCATAGGAAGTTTTTCTGACCAAGAAATTTGATCGTTCGCACAGAAGATGTGGAGATACACTTCTAGTTCTTGGTTTACTCATTCTGTTTCTCCATCTGTCTGAGGGTGGAATGTGGTGGAAAGGGCAATTTTGTATCCTAAGAGTCGTCCTAGTTCTTGTGCAAACTTGGCTGCGAATTGAGGTCCCCTGTCAGAGATGATTTTGTCATAGAGGCCAAATCGTGTATAGACACGGTTGAAGAATACATCGGCGACTCCTTCTGCATCAATCGTCTTGTTGCAAGGTGTGAGCACCACCCCCTTCATAAGCCCATGGTCTACCACAACCATGATAGAATCGAAGCCATTGGAGAGGGGTAAGTCAACAATGAGATCAATGAAGCATTGAGCAAAGGGGCAGGTAGAAGAGGGAGCGGGAATAGGGAAAAGTGGTGGGGCCGTAGGGTGAGTGTTGACTTTATTCTGTTGACAAACAGCACAACCTTCAACAAATTTGCATACAAAGGTTGGAAGACCTGGCCACCAGTAATTGCATGATAGGAGTTCCTGAGTCTTAAAATGGCCAGAATGACCAGCGGTCGGAGTGTTGTGGTGAAGGGAAATGAGCTCTTTACGCAGAGGTCCAGGTGGAACGTAAGCATGGCCTTTGAAGGTTAGAATATCACCAGAGAAGGTCCAGTCAGAAAGAGTAGTTTTCATAGGGAGGGGTAGAGCAGGATTGGAAAGAGTATCAATGGTTTTCTGAACCACGACATCAACTGATGAGGAGATGCAAAGTTTGTCATGCATAGCGGTGTCAATAAGGTTGATAAACAACCTGTCTGGTAGCACAGTAACATCCAAATTGTCTGTGGCGTCGACTGGGACGTGATCAGGCCTGTGGGAAAGGGAATCGGGAATGGAAAGATCTTTGCCGGGTACATGTTGTAGTTGTAGATCAAAGCGAGAGAGGAAGAGGAGCCAACAGGCTTGTCTACGGTTCAGTTGTTGGGCTTGGTGGAAATAGGTCAGGTTTTTATGGTCAGTCATGACTAGAACTGGAAAAGGAGATCCTTCCAAATAATGGTGCCAAGCTTCTAGAACACAGATGATGGCGAGGAGTTCCCGATCAAATATCTGGTAGTTTTGTTCAGCAGGGGAGAAAGTCTGAGAGAGATAAGAGCAAGAGTGCCAATCGCCATTGGAATCTTTCTGCAGGAGGGCCACCCCCAGTGGCATAAAGAGAGGCATTGACTGCTATTGCAAATGGCGTATCTTTGTCAGGGATGGAAAGGACAGGGCGGATAGAGCTCTTGGAGTGAGCAATTGTTTGAATATTCAGACATTCTGTTCTTGAGTGAGTGGTGAGCAAGGGGATAATTGCGTGAAGGACAATTGCAATCCAAGAATGATCGAGTTGTGTTAGATAGCCAACTGAACAGCCATGACTATGAAGTGAAAGACCAGTGTTGCTTTGTGTGTTAACTAATGAGTGTACATACCAAGTCCGTGTCAGTTGCTGAGAGCAACCACACAGGATGCTACCTATGGCAAGTCTATGTAAACAAGTGTAAGCCTAAGTAGAAGATTCACTCACATGCTAATGGAGTCAAATGGAAACTCAAACACAAATAACTCGACCATAAGAATAACACTGTTGACAGTGGTAGGTTGTTCCCATTTGACAACACCGTCTCAACTGACTTTGTCCATTCAGATTGGCTGGGGCGAATAAGGAAGGCCTAGATATTTCAACTTCACTCGGAAGTCAAAAGACACACTTTTTGGGTTTGAGGGAGAGTTGGTGGTCACGTAATCGTTGTAGAACTCTAGTGGTTCGTTTATGGTGGGATTCAATGTCTTTAGAGAAAATAAGAATGTCCGTCCATATATATGACCATCCAACCTTTGTCAATCATGTCAGAAAAGATGTCATTCATCATTGCTTGGAAGGTTGCAGGAGCATTGCAAAGACCAAAGAACATGACAGTGGGTTCAAAGAGTCCTTGTGACATCTTGAACACCTGCTTTCCATCTATCTGATCCGTGAATATGAACATTGTTGTATCCTGTGCGAACATCCATCTTTGTGAAGATAGTAGCGCCTTTTAGTTTGTTGATGAGGTCAGGGAATATGGGGAAGAGAGGTAAGCATCTTTTACAGTTGCAGTCGTTGAGTTTGCGATAGTCTTGACATGGTCAAAGAGATCCTGTCTTTCTTTCCTATGAAGAAGAATGGGGAGGCTTGTGGGGATTGAGACAGGTACAATAGTTCCTTTCGCTAGGTGTTCGTCAACAAATTTGTTCATGGCTTTTTCTTCTGGTGCAGACAATGGATAGATTTTGCACGACCTGTGGTTCAAAATCAGGTTTGAGTTTTATCTTGTGGTCGAAAGGTCAAGATGGGGGAATAGTATCCAATTGCCGCTTTCTCAAAAACATCTTTATACATATGAAAGACCTTGGGCACAAGTTCTTCAAACCTCTTCGGCTTTTCTTTAGCATATGCTTCTTGTGCTAGTTGTTGTGCAATGTTTGCAGCCTTTTGAACAGGGAGAGGAGTGAAGATGAATCAAGCAGAGTTGGGGACTTGAGAAATTCTGGTTGTTCGGGATATGTGTCATATACCTGATCTGACCGCTCCGATATTGATATCCACTCTGCTTTCCAACCCCCTCCGCTCCATCCATCCTCCGCTCCGTCCAATCACAAGTCCACATTCCGCCCTATGCTTCCGCTCAACCACTCAACCGGTCCCCTTCCATATCCTCTCCATTCAACTGGATCTCTTTCCCCTTTTAGATATATACTTTCCCCTTTGGTACATAGACCCTTACTTCCGGATCACCAGTAATTCCTATTACCGCCCGATCGCTGATCTGATGCGTACATATTGATATCCGCTCCGACTTATGTCTTTGCCTATGTAAAATACTTACAAACTATATCCTTGGTACATAGCTTTACTACATAGTTATCCTGATCACTGCCTCATACATAGTAGTATATAACATATCATGTACTTAGATATTTTCCTCAGTCTTAATATTACTTGTCTTCTCGCAGTTACATCTTGTGAGAATTCTCAGTATGGCCTTGCCTCCTCTGGACACAAGTCTCAACTTGTTGTCACCTCCGACCCTCCGACCCTCTGCTCCGACTTAGAGCCGTACTCTAAGTCTTTCCCTTATACTCCGCCCCTATCAAATATTCTTCCTTGTCCCTCTGCATTATCCTCTGCCTTCCCTGCCCCTACCAAACATTCCCCTGCTCCTATCCACCCTCCACATCACTCCCTGCCTTCTCCGCTCTGCTCCTAGTCAGCCTGCCACTAGTAGCTCTTACTCCCCGACCCTCAAAGCAGACCAAAGCGGTCCACTCATCCTATCATCGGATAAACGTCGGACCTGCTCCAAATTTTGGGCACGTACTCGGCTAAGGGCACAGCGCAAGAGCTGAAGCCAAGCCCCGACCCCTCTGCTTCCTGAGTCGGCATGGTACCTAACAATATGAATGAGAACGTAGGGGGAATGTGTTCTTGAGTGAGTGGTGTATCAAAGTTTGTTTTCTCATAGACCCCTACAAATTCTTCGCCCTTGACATAAGCGATAAGAACTTCATCATCATCTAGATCTTCAATGATTTCTTCAGTATCTTCTTCTTCTTCGGGTATGAGTTCTGGTTGTTCCTTGGAGATTTCTTCCGAGGAGGTATATGCTTCTTTGCCAGGGATTTCTTCTATTCTGGGTTGCATAGAGGTGTGTTTTGCTCTATCAACGATAAGGGTTTGAATCATGACTGGATCTTCTTCCAGTGAGATTACGCTCTTAGTCCAGTCTATTTGTGGGTTTTCGTTCTTGAGCCATGGAAGTCCGAGGATGATATCTTCCCCTCCAAGGGATGTAATAAGGAAGGTAGTGAACATGGTTTGACCTCCTGCTAAGAAGAATAGATTGCAGGCTTTGGTAATGGTTCCTGCTTTATTCTTTGTTCCATCTACATTTTGGACTTCAATTTGTGAAGAGAGATGGTGAGTTGAGAAGTTGTTCTTTCATACGTATTTCCAATCAATGAATGTTCCAGCTGCACCCGAATCTATAAGGGCAGCTACTTTGGCGGTTTTATTGGACTTGCAGGATTTGATTGAAATAGGAATGTGCATGGAATTCGAATCACCTACAGAAGATACAATGAGTCCAATAGAAGTACTAGGGGTTTCCGACGCCAGTCTGGTCTCCCCATTTAGAAATCATTCTTAGAAGAAGAAGGTGTCTTTGACGCTTTTCAAGCTTTCCAAGTGAGGAATTCCTGGTACTCTGCGTCTTGATCATCTGGTTCGATCTTAGTCTCATGGACTGGTCATCCAGCTGGCTTTTGCCAACCAGGAGCGGAGTGTCTGTGGTTTGGGCAATCCTTCATAATCCCTTTCTTTCCACACTTGAAACAGAGTCTCATTTTGCAATGTCTGTCTTGCTTGGATTGTGAAAGCCTGGTGTTGTGTACTGGAGTAGACTCTTCTTCGTCTACTTTAATTTTGTCGATATCCATTGCATATGGATCGTCTTTCTTGGAGTAACTCCTATCTCTGGAGTGAATGAGTTGTCTTCTGGATTTGTATTCTCTTGCTGCATCAATCCAATCGTTGATGTTCTCGGGTATCTTCTCCCATACTAGAATTGCTTCCTGTACTTCCTTCTTCAATCCTTGTCTGAAACAGGTTGTTTCAACGTTGGCATCGACGCAAACAGCTTCTGCTGCAATTTGTTTGAAGTAGGTAATGTATGCGGAGATGGTCGACGTCTGCCTTGCTTTCATAAGCATATTTATTGCAGCCAATGTATTATTCTTTGGGAAGAAGACTGTCTTGAATTCAGTGGCAAATTCTCCCCACTTTCCTAATGTATGCATAGAGGGGTGCTTCTTATTGAGCCAAGCTGTGGCCCATTGTTGTGCGTGTCCTTTGTGCATGAACGAGGTGGCAAATGCAATACATTTTGTGTCTGTGTCATATACTGCATCATTGATAGCAATGTAAGTGGTGACTGATGTCCACCACACCTTGGATTGTTTCTGTGATCCTGTCAAAGAGAGCTGGTTTGTTCAAATTAATTTCGCCCATTTTCTTCACAGATGGAGGAGTTGGTGTGTGTGGTGGAGGTTGAACGGGTTCAGATGGTCCTGGTTGATCTGGTCCGTATCCTTCAAAGTATTCGTTCTGATCTTGTTGGATAGGTGAGCCTGGTTCAGAGATATGTTCTTGTTCTTGGTCTGACTCCAAGGAGTAATGTCTCTGCTCTCGATAAGCCATGATGTTTTGCGACGACTACTAAGGTAGCATCTTCTTGTGATAGAGCTTAACCTTTTGTTACGCCAAGTGTAACACAGACAAACAATAATCAACAAGACAGTCGGTCTTGTGTTACGTTCTAGACAAGTGTCTAAAGAACGCCCAAAGTTTCAAATAAAGACTAAGAACCGAAGAGGTATCTTAGAGTCAAGTCAGAGATGTCAAAGGAAAATCAGTGTTGGTTAAGCTGAAGAATCAGTGCCACATAGCTAGGGTTTATATAGTAGACAGGGTACAGGGTGTGACATAATAATAGGTATGTATCAGTAAGCACATGCATAAGCAATGAGGCCTCTGAGTAATACTGAACTAAATATAGCATGATAAGAGACATGTGTAGTAAGCAGTGGATCAAGGGAAAAGGAAGAAAAGAAGTTTGATAAGCACAGCCATAACACTGGGCCTCACCACAGTTGATCATCAGAATGATGGCCAGGGGTCCAATCTCCTTTACTTTACAGTAAGTTGCAGTGTTGACAGGCGGTGAGGAGTTACTAACCTCATTATTTGACCTTGTGCTATCTACACAGCCATATGTTCCATTCCCTGCACTGATAGGCAGGTCGAGATCAAGATCCATAGCAGACCCCATCCACACGTCCTGGAAATGTTTAGCAGGCAGGAATTGTAGGTAATTAACTTACTTACTTTGTCGTCTTCACATTGTCAAAGCTCACACTCATAGGACTTTATTGATGCCTTGATACCCCATTCCATTTCCTGCATCTCATATGCATTGACGGTTCCCATAAGGGAGTGCGGTGTAGGTCTGCCATACAGGTTGAACCGTGTATTGATGGTGCTGTGTTTGCGAGAAGGTATTTTCGATGTCATGAGTTTCATGGCTTGAGTTACTTACTTCCTGATTTAAAAGTAGGCCGGGCAGTCTTTATCAAACAATTAACGATCTCATCACCGATCAAGTCAGAATCCCCCCTATCAAACTCTAAATCTGTAAGCTTCTCCCATTTCCATGGTGGTGAATGGACAATTGGCCAATTGTCGACAATGCTTTTTGTTTATGAACTTCATGATCACTTTGGCTGTCAGTGCTAGGCAGATGGTTAAATACCACCAATTTGTCTCCTGCATGTCTCAATATTTTATCATGGATGTAAGTCCTTCAACTTCAGTTAAGTTATATTTTTGTTGATGGCAAAGTAGTTTTCTAGCAAATATACTCTCACTCACCACACTAAGGCAGTCAATGTATTGGCTGTGAGTATACATGGAGCATTGCTCCTTACTGAAGGTAATCACTCTATCTCTCTCACTTAACTTGTACTAAGAGCAAGATAGGCAATGATAGTCACAGAGCTTGGTATCCAGTGAAATGATTCAAGAAATCTTTACACCAGCAGCAGGTTATATCAGTGCCATTATCTGGATGGACATTGACAATCACAGTGAAACAATATTTGCTTTCAGGGGCTTCAGATGGCAACATTCAAGTATATGAAAGGAGCAATGATGTAAGTGATAGGGGTATTGTTATTGCTCTCGCTGATGATGGTTGATCACCTCAGGCACTGTTCACATTCCAGAGCACCACCATGGGCCACTCAGGTGCAGTGGAGTCGCTAGCTTGGGATCCTGTTCATTGGTGTCTGGTGAGTGCCACTGGTGGTCACCCGCATCTTTGGAACCTAACACCAGACAGTGGGCTGCCTACCTGTCAGTTATTGCATGGTGTTGATTTTTTTTTGGTCAGAAACCCTCACAACCATCGCCTTGCAGCCTGACAAACAGTTGTATGTTGCCCGCACAGTTCACTTCTACTACAATGGTGCTTCCCTCCTAGTGTCATATCTGGAAAGTGGTGAAATGTCGGCTGCCCATTCCATTCTTGATTTCACTGTAACCCTTATATTCAGATTCTGCTATTCTATCGAACCTTGGGATCTAAAGTGGCGCAAGAAGGTGCAAGGAAGAATGTAAGTAGGGGTTTTGTTTCGCATAACACATTATTCATGTGTATGCTGCAGTGGCAATGCTGTTCTTGAGGGCAGTTTCCTGCTTGTGAGCAATCTCAAAGACAGGGTGGATAAATACACTGTTCCTACCACCCAGTGCATACAGTCCTTTAACCATGTGATCCTCTGCAATGTTCCTCTGCAAATCTCTGTTGCTCAGCAGGTGGGACTTCCGATTTGATCTTGCCCCTGTTCTCTCCCTTGTATCTTCAATCGCGATCACAGGTGTAATGCAGTTAGGCTTGATTTTACTTTTCATGCCAAGTGAAATAATTGTTATATATCAGGCACATTTACATGCAAGTTGCTGTTCGGCACCAAACACCAAGCAACCCATGATTTTTTTTCATAGACAGTTGTTTGGACTTGGTAGGAATAGGAGTTTGGACTGGTGAGTCGACACACATGATATTGAAGAGTCTAGACTGATGCACTGTCACCTTATCCAGGATAAACTATTGTTTGCTAGGATAGATGGGAGTTTAGACTCATGAGTCGACCCATATGATATCTTGTTTGGACTTATGCACTGTCACCTCGTCCAGGATAAACTATTGTTTGCTAGGATAGATAGGAGTTTTGACTTGTGAGTCAACCACAATAGTATTGTTTTGACTATTTGACTTTATATTTTTCAGCGATACCCTCATGACACGACACATTGCATCCATTTGCTCATTTGATTTTTTAGTTCATTTCAGTCAGCGTGGGGGTAGGCCTATTGTCTAGCTTGTGAGCAGGCAACCCACAACTTGCAATAAATATGTTGCATAATTCTGCGTCATTCCCCATCATCCTCTAGCCATGGTTGCCACACAGGCTCTCAGATCTGTTCACCTGTACATGTTGTTTCATATGCAAAAACTGAATCATTGTTAGCCCCCTGTAATTTCAAAATGGAAGGCCATTGATGATTCTCTCAAAAAATTCATACTGCCATGTGAGAAGAAGTGCAGATTCCCTGCAGTGCAAGTCGAAATGTAAATCGCAATGAAGGAAATCCACATGGCTCCACTCCCTCCCAGTCGCAAGAAGCAATTCTCTCCTCTCCCATTGCATATGCAATTGCTGGACCTGTACAGTGAGTTAAAACCTTTCCCTAAGTCTGCACACCTCATGCTCCTCAAGTTATGTGACCTGTGGAGCTGCCGGTAAAATTCTCAATGTTAAGACCATGCTCAAGGGTAAGACAGAGTCTGAGGGGCTTGGCTTCAGCTCATATGCTGCGCCCCTTACCCGAGTACATGCCCCTAATTTTGGATTGTAGTCTAACTCAAGTTCTACGAGCTCTAACAGAGTTGGAGCAGAGGACCTCCGAAGGAGGACTGATGGACTACTAGGTGAGTGCAGGAATGTCGGGTGGAGATTGGTCCGCCCTATAGGGGAGAGTCAGAGGGTTACTGCAGTCGGAGCTAACAGTAGGAATGGAGCAGAGGACAGAGTACAGAGTATTGGCCACAAGTCCAACATGGGAAAGGTGGCGGAGGCATGGGAAGTCGGACAAGCGGAGAAGGCGGCCGACCTAGGGAGTCAATCCCCTAGGCTGGCAAACAGGAGTTATCAAGGGTTTTGCCCAAGAATAGGGACAAGAGAGCAGGGCTTTAGAAAGGTAATATTCAGACTGAGTATCTACAGACAAATGTACATATGTTTATATACTCTAAGTAATGAGCATAGCATATCAGAAGGCTATGTGCTGAGTGTACAGTATTACAAGAGGATGACTGAGACATATGAGAATAAGGCTCGGAGAACAGTATGTACACAACAGATCAATAATCACTTGGGTATAGTGGTTACCAGTGATCCGAAAGGAGGAACTATGATACTAAATGGAGATAGGACCAGTTGAGTGGTTCCTAGTCTAGGAGTGGAGCGGTGAGGCGGTCGGGCACGACTAATAGTTGGGTGGGGCAACACAGCGGAACTGAAGGAACCGAGTGGGTCAGAAAGTGGAGGAAGTAGGAGTAGGATTGGTGAACCAATAGGGGAGGAGCGGAACTCCAGATAGGGTCGGATGGGAGGGGTATAGTGTTGGAAACAATAGGGGTAGTGTCGGAGGAGTGGAGCAGAGTCAGGGTGGAGGTAGCAGGGCTAGTCCTGCTGAGATGTACTTTGTGCATTGTCGGAGAAGGAGGGATGGAGTGGACGGGGAAACAGGGGTAGAGATGTTCACAGGTGGTGTTGGGGGTGCTCGGATCCGGTATATGACACTCAAGCATTTGAAACACAAAGCATATGGAGACATGCCAGATGGTTCCTTCCCTCCCAGTTTCAAGAGGTGTACCCTCTCCTGTTCATAGTGTTGCCGATCTCACTGTGAGTTTAATCATTGACCAGTCTTCCACGCATGCCTCATTCGTTTTCAAAGCTCACTCAGCAACTGAAGAGTGGCAGCGTAGATCCTGTCCTTTTTTTGCATGTAAGTCAATCTTGAATCTTGAGGTGTTTTTAAACAAAATACCTGTCTTTTGCAGGGGATGCCATCACCTGTAGCTTTGACTGGACAAATCACTTTTTTGTATTGGTCCTTCCAAACAAGCTTGTATTGATGATCTTCCAACATCTGCCTGCGACACACCTGTGGTCGATCATGCAGGTGTCCTGCCTCTCAAAGGACATTGCATGCACCCTTATATCTGCATTCCATAGGCTTACATGTCGAGCAAACATGGTTGCGCATCAATGCTCAGACTTGCCTAGCTCTTCCATTGTATACTAGAACAACTTCTTTCTGCGCTCCTCGGTTTTCTACATTACAACCTCCATGGTACTGGTGACCATGATCTGACAGCACTCAAGATCTTTCATGCAGTCCTTGAAAGGTGTTCAGATCAAACCTATGTCATTGATTATGTGCTTCAACGCCCCCCAGGAGTGTTACAGTAACATGAGCATTACGGGTTATTTCATTCTCTTCATTCTGTCAACCACTGACATGTGGATAGACTGTGCAGACTCGTCCAGACCGGACCATGGTTACAATTCTATTCTTATCTCTTTTCTTTTTGATCTCGTTGTTCTGAAATATGAGAAGCTCTCACTTCTACCCCTAGATCATAGAAGCTGCGGCTTCTACCAAACCCTATGCCTTTACCATTGTATTGGTTCTATCTTTGATGGGGATTCCCCATGCCCTTTGCCCTTTGCCCTTACCGTTCAACTGGTACTACTTACCCTTTTCAGTATGTGACTCATACATACCCTTGACCCTTACCGATGATTCGGTACTGCCTCCCCTTACCCTGTACCCTTACCACTCAACTGGTACAGACACTTACATATATATATCACTTGTCTTGTAGATAGATTCTCTAACCTGAATCTACTTGGTTCTCATCTGATACTTGTCTTTGGGTCTGAACTTCTCTTACCTAAGAGAACTCCCTCTGTGCAAAGAACCATCTTTTCTTGAGACAATACTCTTGAGTTGAACTCCACTCTCTCTTGGATCGTATCCTTGAGAAACTCCAATTGACTCTACACAAGTAAGGGCCTCAACCTTTACTCAAGACTGAGCGCAAGCAAGCTCCTTGCTGGGCTAGTGCTGAAGGCCATGCTTCAAACACCCCTTGCTGGGTTTAGCATTGCCAGATCTCATCTGAGAGGTTTTGCATAACAAGGAGTAGATCTGGCATCTTTATTCCAGCTCATCAAGGATTTAGATTGCTCCAGTTTCAGTTATTCAAGCAGTGATGCGGACCACCCATGTACGGTTGTACCTGCTCCTGTCTCTGGATCAGACCCAAGCGCAGTATCTAGTCTTCAGTGATTGTCGGTGGACTCGCTCATGTTTTTCTCCCCATGTGTCGCCTTGCTCACCCTCACAACCTTGCAGGACTCCCCATTAACCAACCTCTCACTCACTTACACTGGATTGAGCAGCATTCAGTGGACTGCATTGCTGCAGAACGTCCACCTCCTGCTGCTTCGAATGTTGACAGTTGACATTGAGTGCCCCCCTGATGTCCTCACTGAATTTTTGATCCACCATCAGAATGTTGGCCAATTGTGGATTCATTCGGGGTCGACTCTTTCCCTGAAACTACCAAATCATGCCTTACAGAAGGTATCAAGACAAAAATTGCAGCACATCCCCAATTCCCATCTACTACACCTAAATGTTCTTGGCGGCCCACCTTGGTATCTTGTTTCCCTGCTAGCCATAATTCATTCAGGCCCTTGTATTCGAAACCTGAGCCTTCAGTTCAGAGAAAATTTGACTTCTAACCACTTGTTGGCCATTCTAGACATTACTCAACATTTCACAAGTATCCAGGCACTGCAGTTGAGCTTTTTCGATGCTTCCCATACTGCCAGCTACTTTAACGTCCCATATGATGATCGCACTGTACCATCAAAACACCTAACAATTTCTGTGCGTGGCCCTTATCCAGATGCTCTCCTCATGAGTTCCCTTTAATGTACATATATTAGCACTCACACTCATGTAGTTCTGCTGCCATCCTTGGCTTGACGCCTTCCATGAGCTGGAAAGCATTGAACTTCAGGCCAAATGCATGAGTTCATTTGAGAAGCTCACAGAGCTCTTTTCTCGTACAGACAATCCTTTTCAGCTGAAAATTAGCAGTGACTGGTAATTCATACATCTACAATATAAAGCACAACTTACTGGCGGCTCAGTGGCTATTCCGTCTATATATGTTATCATATTGCATATACTATATACCCTCTGTCAATCATATATTGTGGTCAAAATCCCAAATGTCTACATTGATTCTGCATTTACAGTTATTTCCAAATTGATAGACCAGATTCCATTTTGCACGACTCACTGCCTTTGTTTACTTTCAGAGTGGTTAGTTAGAGCACAGCTTCAGTTATTCTTGAGCTACACAGTTTCTGGGCAGGTGTGGCAAACTGGCGAAGCTGCTGAGGGAGTAAACTTTGAGATGGGGCAGTGAATTCCAGCATGGTCCCTGAAAGTCGAAGGGCGATTACTAGAGGCACATCTATTGCAGCAAGCATCAATGGATTGCTTTGACGGCTATGAAGCTTCCAAATCAATGTGCATGAGACAGCATAAAACAAATGATTATGGTTATTGCATGAGCATCAGGAAAATGTGGTAAGGCTATATAGCCACCCATAGCACTATAGACTGCTATACAGACTCCATAGCCCTATAGCTCATATAGCCAAGTGCCCAATTGTGCAGGCTTACTACACCAGTGTATAGTGCTATATAGCTCTATTAAAGTTGCTATAGCTGGGTGGAACATACCACAACTATTGTAACTATTGTAGCTCTTATAGCTCAAAACACAAAGCAAAAATTTCTCTTAATAGCTGTTTGTTGCCATGATAGTGTTCTCAAAATTAAAAATTAAAAAAAAGCGAAAATTCCAAATTATATTTCAACTACTACAATACATGTAAACTAATAACTACAAAACAGGCAAAAATGCGAAAATTACAGGAGGAAGAGGCAAGAGAACTAGAAGGAAGAATCAGAGAGGAAAGAACTTACCAAATAGTGAAAATTGCGAAAATTCTTGAGGGAAGAGGAGGGAAGGGAGCTAGAAGGAGAGGATTAGACAGGAGGAAGTGAGAGTCAGAGAAAAGACTTGCCAAATGGTCAAAAATGCGAAAATAGTTGGGGGGAGGAGGAGCAGGAGGGAAGAGAGCTAGAAGGAGAGGGTTAGAAAAAAGATTAGTCAAATAGTCAAAAATGCGAAAATTATGGAGGGAGACTTACCAGAGTTCAAAGCACCAGCACCAGTACCAGCACCAACAACATCAACACCAAGAGAAGGATAGAGAAGCAAGAAGAAGAGAAGAGAGGCAAAAACTCGAAAATTGTAAGAGAAATATGGAAGATAATCTAATGAGGGGGCAGTGGGGGGGAAGGAAAGAATGGGAAAAGACTTGTTGGTTGACCGCATTTTTGCTTCCATAAGCAGTGCCAAACAAAGCCACAACACAAGACTTGGTGAATTTTCGAGTTTTTGCTTATTAGGACTAGGATTATGACAGTAAGAAAAAGACAATGAAATTGACTGTTAGCATTAGGATTTTGAATACACATAAGGTGAATTTTCGCATTTTTGCTTACATAAATAAGGTGTACCTTAACACTTTTGAACCCTTCAATTTCAAGTATTTTCCTTATAACTCACTAAGATCTTGACCTATTGAAGTCATTAGACTATGGATAGACCTCCCTTGACAAGGACTACAACTTTGATTTAATCGAAAAAGGTTCCCACGGTCAAGTTGCTTTCTTGAACCCTTCGATTTCGAGTATTTTCCTTGTAACTCACTAGGATCTTAACCTATTGAAGTCATTAGACTATGGATAGACTTCCCTTGACAAGGACTACAACTTTGGTTTTCATCAAAAAAAGTTCCCACAGTCTACTGGGGTCTATAGTTGTTGAAATGTTTTACTTCTAAATACACTTACCAAACTTTATGGTAATATAGACTTTCATGATGTCTATACTGGTCTATAGTGCTGTGATAGCTTGCGATAGACTGTATAGAGCTGTGGTGTGCTATCGGGGCTATATAGAGGATGGTCCTCTATATAGAGATACAGTTTTTCCTGATGAGGGTCAGCATGGATGTTGGTTTCTTGACTCTAGAGAATAATTGATAAATTGAAGGACAGGAGGAGCTTTGTGTGCACTTAATTAGGTGTCATTCAAATTGCCAATAGACAGGCTGATTTTGGGTCATCTTGAGTGAAGCTGCTCATATGGGGGCAGAGTTCACGAATAATGATGTACTTCATAGGTATGTGTCAACAGTTACTAGTTACTCAGGAGTTCAGGAGTCGGGAGAGAATCTAACCTTCTGCAGGCTCAGTGGGTCTCCTGGGAGTCAACCGCTCACATATGAATATTCTATGCAGACCAAATATTCCCAGAGTCTCTGCAGAATCTCCTCAACTGTCCTGTATGCTCTGTTATTAAGTACTTCCATTATACCTGATCCCACTGTGACATTATGGTGTTGCAGTAGTTCTTGCCAGCAGATCCAAGCTGGCATTAACCATGCTTCACAAGGTGATTGTTAGGTACTGTGCCGACTCAGAAAGCAGAGGGGTCGGGGCTTGGCTTCAGCTCTTGCGCTGCGCCCTTAGCCGAGTACGTGCCCTGAATTTGGAGTGGGTCCGATGTTGTCCGATGGTAGGACGATTGGACTGCTTTGGTCCGCTCTAAGGGTCGGGGAGTAAGAGCTCCTAGCGGTGGGCTGACTAGGAGCGGAGTGGAGAAGGCAGGGAGTGATGCGGAGAGGGGATAGGAGCAGGGGAATGTTGGTAGGGGTGGGAAAGGCGGAGGATAATGCAGAGGGGCAAAGGAGGATATTTGATAGGGGCAGAGTAATAAGGGGAAGACTTAGAGCACAGCTCTAAGTCGGAGCAGAGGGTCGGAGGTGACAACAAGTTGAGACTTGTGTCCAGAGGAGGCAAGGTCCTACTGAGAATTCTCACAAGATATAACTGCGAGAAGACAAGTAATATTAAGACTGAGGAAAAATATCTAAGTACATGATATGTTATATACTACTATGTATGAGGCAGTGATCAGGATAACTATGTAGTAAAGCTAGTCATCCAGAAGTAAGGGTCTATGTACCAATGGGGAAGGTATATATCTAAAAGGGGAAAGAGATCCAGTTGAATGGAGAGGTTATAGAAGGGGACCGGTTGAGTGGTTGAGCGGAAGCGTAGGGCGGAATGCGGACTTGTGATTGGATGGAGCAGAGGATGGATGGGGTGGAAGGGTCAGAAAGCGGAGCGGATATCAGTATCGGAGCGGTTGGATCAGGTATATGACAGTGATATTTGTTCCATGTCAAATTGTCATTCAGGGGCTGGAGAAGCAGTGTAGTGCTGGGATGATCACAATGGCAGGATGCGGGCTCAACCAACCTGGCAACCTCCAAGGCCGAGTGACCCATTTCACACTGCCATCTCAGAGTTAATGTAGACCATACCCCAGATCTTTTTCTACATGAGCTTCAGCATGCACTGTGGGAAGCAAGGGATGTCAACAAGTAGCAGGTAGTAGGAGGCATCACAATAGCAGACGCATAACTTGATACTATAAAACATACAAAGGCAAGTATTGACGACATTACGGTCTCTTCACCAAGACAGTCTTCCTATTTGAACGACGAGGAACTGGGAGGGGTAAGATGCTGACTGGACTCAATGACAAGGCTTGAGTAACTGGAAGGGGCTCATCAGGAGCCTCATGATATATCCATTTCATGAGGACCTCTTCGATATCCTCGTGATGAATGCCACTCTCACCACTTTCTTCAACTGCCTGAAGAAATTTGAGGCGCCACTCCTGAACGAGATACTTGAGTTTGCCAAAGTAAGCTGTTGTACAGTTCATCAACTCCTTGTTGCGCTTTACAAGTAATAGCCCCAACTTGTACAAAACAGCCTTGGAGCCTATGTCCTCCAATAGATCAGCCCACTGTTCTGTCTTCAGGTATATTATCTTACCATGCAGCCCATCATATGTAGTCACAAATTCAACAAAAATGTAGAAAAGAGACTTGAGATCATTGCTGGCAGTCTGTCCTGTCATGACAAGATCCTTATCTGTCAGTTTAGATGCTGAATGGAGATAACGGAGAAGGTGGATATACATGTACAGCAAGGTGCCCTTCGAACATTGGGATCAGCCACTTATACCAGATTAACCTTCGAACTTGAACTTACGGTACCCCATGCATGAACACTAGTGTTGCATTGCATGATGATCTGGGCATGGTCAAAATCAATGAAGAAGCCACATCCTTCATAGATGATCAAGTTGTTGGGACTAAGGTCTCCATGGAGGACTTTCTTCTCAGTCATTGCCTTCAGCACTAAAAATAATTGTCAGTACCAAAGCTTCAAATTCAAAGATTTAAAGAAGAAACCCACTGACTATGAGGTCTCGAAAAGCGCTTATTAGCTCTTCTTTAGTCGAAAATGTCAACAGTGGCTCTCCACAAGGGGTTAAAAGCATGTGTCAGTGATATTTACAGCAAAATCCAAGACTAAATTTCCCATGGCGGTTACGGATGCGCAATGTAGAGTTAGGCTCTCCCTTGTACTCGACATCCCAAGGGGCAATGAGAGTAACTACATTAGGAATGCCCCAGACCATCTCAAGAACCTTTTCTTCATGATCTTTCTTTGCCTCATCCACCCAACAATCCTTCAGTGCATATTCAACTCCATCCTTATCCCAAACACGATAGCAAATAGTCCCACAAGAGAAAAGACCCTGGCTTCTCCACAGAATAGCAATGATCAATAATTTTCCGCTTCTCCTTGTCTTCTATCCAGCCAATTGCCTGGTCCCCCACTTCACATTGTGTTTGCTTGCAGGACTCATTGCACATGCGCATGGTGGAATCCATGCCATGGGATTTATTGTTCCCCAGTGACATAGTGTTTAGCATGTCAACAAGATGCATTGGGTTTGCGGTGATTAGAATAGGACATGTGATGATGAGGCCTGAGCAGTCCATGTAATGGGCGTGAAGATGGTTTGCTGCCAAACTAAATAGCACAACAAACCGACACCAGCACTGTTCTCGCATCATGAGATAATCTTTGGTGCGGTGACCATTGCCGATGTGGGCATTTGTGATCTGCAGGTTCAAAAGGGTACATGGGCGAGCAATGAGGGAACATTGCCCTATATGTCATGCGCATGGCCATATAGACAGTATTGAAGAGACACACCCATTTTTGCTCTGGTGTCCGCTTTGGGGTCGGCTTTCTGTTTGGTTGTTTAGGGTCGTATTGTCAAGAGTCCCAGCCCTGATCACTGGCATCAGGCGCGGCTGATGTGGAGGAACCTTCCTGCCCTGACGCAATCAGTATCATCTGGCGCCTGCTTCTGTTTCTGTTTCAGCATCTGCTCGTTCCGATGTTTATTGAGTTCCCACTTGTGATCGATGAATATTGGCACTCCAGTCGCATAAGTAATGTTCTCAATAACTGATCTGCGGATACTCAATTTTGGGATGATGTGATCCATGAGAGAAGAAGTGGTGGCGGGGAGATCAGTTTCTTCCCACAGGACATTACCTACAAGATCGTGTTGCAAGAGATTATCCATGCATGGCTGGAGGTGATGTGTAGGAAATGCGTTGGATGAGCTGACAGTTGGCAAGATCCCAGATGTGGAGGTGCTCGTCATGGTGATACCACATAAGAGGCTTATCCCCTTCTTGTGTTGGGAGAGGGGAAAGAAAAAGAAAAAGTCAGCGAGATTTAGCACCATAAGTAGTGAATTGGACTGAGTCACTGATGCTCCAGAACTCACTGGGGTGTTCTGTTAAGACCGTGCTCAGGGGTAAAGTGGAGTCAGAGGGGCTTGGCTTCAGCTCGTACGCTGCGCCCCTTACCCGAGTACGTGCCCCTAATTTTGGGATGTAGTCTGATATGAATTCTATGAGTTCCAACGGGACATTGGAACGGGGGTCCTCTGAAGGAGGACCAACGGACTACTACGTGAGCGTGGGAAAGTCAGGCGTGGGGGTTGTTCCGCCCAACAGGAGGGAGGCAGGAGACTACTGTGGTCAGAACTGTCATATACCAGATCCGAGCACCTCCAATACCACCTGTGAACATCCCCACGCCTGGTCCGACCCCCTGTTTCCCCATCCACTCCATTCCTCCTTCTCCGACAATGCATGAAGTACATCTCAGCAGGATTAGCCCTGCTACCTCCGCCCGACTCCGTTCCACTTTTCCAACATTACCCCTATGTCCTCCAACCCCATACCCCTTCCATCCAACCCTATCTGGGGTTCTGCTCCTCCGCCCTATCAGTCCACCCGACCCTACTCCTACTCCCTCCGCTTTTTCCGACCCGTTCGGTTCCGCTTGTGTTGTCCCACCCGAATATTAATCCGTCCGACCGCCTCACCGGTCCGCCCCTAGACTAGGAACTACTCAACTGGTCCTATCCCTGTTTAGTATCATAGTGTTAGAATAACCAAGTGAACCAAGCCACAAGTGAGCTAATGAGAGTGAACAGGACTATAGTCCAGTGTCAGTTGCTGTTGTGTTGTGTAAACTAATGAGTGTACTATACCTATAGTCCAGTGTCAGTTGCTGAAGAGCAACCAACACAGGACTTGCTACCTATGGGCGAGTCTATGTAAACAAGTGTAAACACTGCCTGAGTAAGTAAGGAATTCACATCACATGCTAAGTGAGAGTCCAATAGAGGAAGCAACATCATAACACAAATAACTCGCACCATAAGGTGCTCAATCACCACAACTAACACATAGTTCTACTTTTCAGGTACCCGGTAATCCCTATACCCTAGCGATTATTGATCCATCACATACATACTTTTCTCCGAGCCTTATTCTTGTATGTCTCGGACATCTTCTTATCCTGTACACTCAGCACATAGCCTCCTGCTATGCTATGCTAATTACTTAGAGTATATAAACATATGTACATCTGTCTGTAGATACTCAGTCTGAATATTACCTTTTCTAAGCCCTGCTCTTCTGTTCTTTGACTTGGGCCTGATCCTAGTCAACTTCTGTTAAGCCGGCCTAGGTGATTAACTCCCTAGGTCGGCCATCCTCCGATCCTCTGATCCTCCGCTCCTCTGTTCCCCCGTTCCTCCATCCCTCCATTCCCCCATTCCCCTGTTCCCCCGTTCCTCTGCTCCCCTGACCTCCCGTGTGTCGGAACTAGACCCTGCACTCTCGCATCTGTCCCCTCTGTTCCGCTCTGCTTCAGACTTCGTCCAAGCAGTTCCTTCCGCTCCACTTCTACTATTGGTTCCAACCGCAGTAGTCTCCCACCTCCCTCCTGTCGGGTGGAACAACCCCTGCCTGACTTTCCCATACTCACCTAGTAGTCCGTTGGTCCTCCTTCAGAGGGCCCCCATTCCGATGTCCTGTCGGAACTCATAGAACTCGTATCGGACTACATTCCAAAATTAGGGGCATGTACTCAGGTAAGGGGCGCAGTGCACAAGCTGAAGCCAAGCCCCTCAGACTCCGCTTTACCCCTGAGCACGGTCTTAACAAGAACCAACAGTAGAAGCGGAGTGGAAGGAACTGCTTGGACAAAAGTCCGAAGCAGAGCGGAATGGAGGGGACGGATGTGACAGTGCAGGGTCTAGTTCTGATGCACGGGAAGTCGGAGGAGCAGAGGGACAGAGGAATGGGGGAATGGGGGAATGGGGGAGCAGAGGAGCAGAACCCCAGATAGGGTCGGATGGAAGGGGTATGGGGTTGGAGGACATAGGGTAGTGTTGGAAGAGTGGAATGGGGTCGGGCAGTGGTAGCAGGGCTAATCCTGCTGAGATGCACTTTGTGCATTGTCGGAGAAGGAGCAATGGAGCGGATGGGGAAACAGGGGGGACCCCTTAGGACTAATCCTCCAGCTCTACCTTAGGGTAGTCTAACCTCTGTTCTGTTTCTACTCCGGACTTCCGTAGTAGCCTTACTCCATCCCCATATAGTCTTCCGGAGTTCCGCCGAACTCCACCGACTTCTGTCCTCCAGAACTCCCCGGACTTCCATCAGACTTCCCCTCTGTCCCCCAGAAATTAAGGGCACGTACTCGGGTAAGGGGCGCAGTGCACGAGCTGAAGCCGAAGCCCTTTGAGTAACCTCTCCCTTGAGCACGACCTTAACAGTCCATTACATTGTGGTGGAGCCCACTACCTCAGTTCTAAGTTATTGCTTAGACAACAAATGGTGTTTAAAGTTAGCAAATGAGCACGCAGGAAAGAGGGGGACTAGAAAATTGGTAGTTGATGTAGTTATGCACATTCTGATCTATGACAATATGGGAAGCCAGTAGCCTGTTTTTGAATTGTGTCAATGACAATAGCCGTCAAGCAAACAAGGGCACACAACAACCGTGACATAACCTTCAGGGATAGGGACAGTGCTTTGACCTTAAGATAAGTATAAGGACGTGGTGGAATCAAAGCACAGAAACTTGCCTGCTGTATCCTATATGAAAAATGATATCAAGTCGATCTGACAAGGTATGTGAGGCTTGGCAGGAGTGTTCGATGTTTCAATTTGGTCTGTATGATGATTTAACTTTAACATTGCTTTAATGGATGAAACGAAACGACCTACACAACAGCATATGCAGGGTATGTGCTAGACTTCAGTCTTTTGCAAGACTCACATAACATTTCAAAATGCAATTGAAGATCAGAACTGCTACCATAAGTTTACAAAACTACTATGCAGCCAAACTGAAATTTAAGATATAAGTCTATGAGTCTACAATTCTACAGTCTGCATAAGTAAAAAGATTAACATAATGATTGTATATGACTGTAATAGGAGGAAAGAAAGCAATGAAACAGGGATTCGCTGCCTAAGTAGTGAATTTGAGTCAGTTGAAACTCCAACAGAACCTGCCGGCAGCAGCTCAACCACTGAGCCACTGAGCTGCTTCAGGTACCTCCAGCGGAGTCTGATTCTCCCATTCACTACTTAGGACTTGAAACCTTATTTCACAGACTAAATGCGAAAATAGAAAGATGGGATTGGCAGGTGCTCACTGGCCCTCCATTTTGCACAACAACAATGATTTTATATGTACTGCAACTGTGATACATGATGATAAATAGTAAAATTTGAAGGACAAAAAGGGATTTTGGGATTTTTTTGGGGAAAAGATAAGAGAACGCCAAGCCAGTAGAAAAATGTGAAAAATGGAAAAATGCCAAACTGTGAAAATACGAAAATATAAAGATGGCAAAAATTGGCAATGGGTAAACAGGAGAATGGGAAGATGGAGAATGGAGAAATGGTAGGCAACAGAAGGATGGGAGAACAATGGGAGAATGGGAGGACAGGACAATGGGACATGGGACAATGGGACACAGGACAATGGGACATGGGACACGGGACATTAAATGTAAGATGTAAGAAATTATTGATTTCACATAACTAAATAATATTAAATAGTCAGCCTGTGTTGAGGACACAGTAAGACAAGGCACTGAAGGTGCCTCCAGCAGAGCGCTTTGCGCTCTGCTTGCTTCCTGTGCCGAAGGCACAATGGGCTTGGACTAGTTATGTATTAACCCCCAATTGTGACTGCTGATTAGATGATTCACAGTGTGTTCTTATTAGGACTTGTTCCTCTTGGCCTATTGTTATCTATTCTTATTTGAACTTGTTTTGTTTCATTTAGTTGTCAGGCAGATGAAGCAAGTGGATGCCATACAATTGCGGACTTTGTTGTGAGTATATCATGATGCTACATCGTGTGAGACCAACCAACCTATTTCTCTACCTGTGGTTATGGCTCAATGTGGAGACAACTTTATTCTGTGTGATAATTCAGAGATCAATCCAAGTCCTCAAAACCTTGTCACAGCACTCGTTGTAATCGGGTGGACCACCTGCAAGTACGTGACTGAGCAGGATGCACATACTAGCACTGATTTTGAGGTTGCAATCTTTTCTAGTTTTATCACTCACAGGACTCCCATTTTGCAAGGCCCAACTGTGCCAGAATATCACGCTAATTTAGAGAACAGGCTTAATACTTCATTGGCATACAGGCCATACAGGCCATACACCTCTTTCACTCCACGTGAACAGCATTCCAGCCACTCTCTGCACTGTGTGTGTGAGTCTATCCCTCAATCCCACCCATTAAATATTGCCTCCCTCCAATCCACTAGACTCACCAGCTCTTCATGTGGCCCCACCGAGTCTTTGTCCCCGCCTCCTGCTACCGTTTCATTCATGTCCCCTGGCCCTTCATCCATTCCAATAGCATCTCTAGATATCTCTGCTACACTCGTTCATCCATCTTCTCTGACAACTGCCCAGATAACCATCACCAACACTCAACAAAAAGATACTCCCATGGACGATACTCCTATAAACAATGAGCCACCTTCCCATGCCAATTGTGAAATTCCAATGGATCAAGATGTGCCAGCAGCCACTCCGCTCCCGCTCATCAGCCCTATAACCCATTCAGAACCAGCATCCAGTATTCCTACAAGTTCTGGACGACACAGAGCACTGTCCTTGCCGCTCATCACAGAAAATTATCTGGGACAGTTGGTAAATCAGCAATTTGCTCAACTGTCCAACAAGGTAGTTGTGCCTGCTCTCAGGAGTGCAGTTGACACTATGATACCAACAATTATTGAATGGATAACTGGTGAAACTATGAGCATCCATTCTACCTGCTCTCACACCACTCCACCTGCTCTCACACACACCTGGAAACATTGTGGGTCATCTGAAGATGACGATGCTAGCGAGCCTGATTGTGACGATAATCTAACACCTTCTCCTTGCAGGAAGCACCTGGGGAAGTGGGGCATCAAGAATAAATTACATGTACATCTGGGGTGTTCCAAGTGAACAGCGGCTGATCAATATCAATCCTAGCGCTCATTTCGGATATATCTATGGGAGAAATGTCTTCTACAATCACCTCCATCACAAACAGTTCACACTTTTACTCATTACAATGAAAGCCCCCCAAGTTTGGGCAACATCACCATCAACTGGCAAGACTCTTTAAGATCCTCTCTATGGAATACAGAGGCGATCAACTTGATGGTGGTGGACTTTCAAGAAAAAATTCAGACAGGTAGTCATCCATTGGTAATTTTCAACGAAGATACAATGAACCTCAGCAACTTGCACCTACTCTGCATCGACAAACTTCATCAAACTCAGCAAGCCTATCGACAGTGCAGCAAGATAGAAGAATTCAGAGATGTTCAAGAGAGGGAGGAAGCTACTCATGAACTGTCTTCTTGTAGCACTTGGAGGCAACATCTGGATAGGCTTAACAATCACAAGCACAGGGTAAGTGGGTATTGCTATTTCCCTCATTTTGTGCCTCATGTGCTTCCAGACACTCAAAAGATGTCAAAAAATTGCTGAACAAAATTGCCACCACAATCCTCAAACCTGGGACACAATCAAGCGCATCATTGATCGGTTGGATGTTGATGGCATGAGCGAGGATGAAACAGACACTGCTATAGGTGCGAAACTGAAGATTGTGAGGCATGTGGCTCTCCCGTGGATCAGCCCAGCAATCACTGATCTACTTCACACGGTTGAGTCCTATGTGTCTGCAACATACAAGGAAAATATGTCAGTTCCAGTTGGTAATACTTGTTAGTTGTGGTGATTGAGCACCTTATGGTGCGAGTTATTTGTGTTATGATGTTGCTTCCTCTATTGGACTCTCACTTAGCATGTGATGTGAATTCCTTACTTACTTAGGCAGTGTTTACACTTGTTTACATAGACTCGCCCATAGGTAGCAAGTCCTGTGTTGGTTGCTCTTCAGCAACTGACACTGGACTATAGGTATAGTACACTCATTAGTTTATACAACACAATAGCAACTGACACTGGACTATAGTCCTGTTCACTCTCATTAGCTCACTTGTGGCTTGGTTCACTTGGTTATTCTAACAGGTTATGAGCCCTGCGCTTTAAGGACCTCAAGTCATTCATTCCTCATCCAACTGCTGCTCCACTCCTTCCCTAGTGTATTCCATCGCATTCTACGCCCCAGGAAACCCTTATCTTTGTGTCTGAGCACCATTTGGACTGTTGGAACACCCATTGTGTTGCTTTTGAGTAGTTCAACCAAGTGGCTTTGTTGAAATTTTCCATAGCCCCTTTTGGTCATCTACCCCCTGTTGCTCCCTGTCCTATCCATTGCTTTCCTGAACGTCCTGCATCATCCTAGAACGTTCTACTTGCCACCCAATCCCTTGCTATGTCGCCCATGACTATTGCTCAACTCAGCTCTTCCAACTATCTTATCTGGAGATCAGAGATGGAGTCTTACCTGCGCTCCAAGGGCTTGTGGCTGCTTGTCAGTGGCTCTGAGAAGCGTCCTGCAGACTCACAGCCTGAGGCACAGGCTCTATGGGACCTTAAGGCTGACCAAGCTGCTGGGGAACTCTATCTGGCTTGCCCATTGGAGATGAGGTCCCAGATTGATGCTATTGAAGATCATCCTGTGCTTATCTGGTCTACCCTTGCCTCCCTGTACTCTAGACAGCGTTGTAGCAGGAGGAACAAGACCAAGAAGCTCTCCAGGAAGACTCAGAGTCTCACAGGCCCCACTGTATCGCCCTCTCCCACTTCCTTTCCTATTCCTATCAACTCTACTATCATTGAGTTTGCTGGCACTGCTTGTCTTCGCTCTTTTGACCCTTCAAGCACCTATCTGTCCCCTTCAACTTGATGCTACTGTCGACTGGAATGCAGACACAGGTGCCACATCCCACATGACCCCTCATCGTCACTGGCTTCGCAATTACACTCCCAATCGCATCCCTATCAAGCTAGCTGACAACACCTTTGTCTACTCTGCTGGTGTTGGCACTGTGGTCTTCAACCCAGTCATTGATGGCAAGAGCGTTAGACCTGTCGAGTTTTCAAGAGTCTTGCATGTCCCTGACCTTTGCAACAACCTGCTCTCTGTCCTCTACCTCACTTGGCACAGTGGCTTCCATGTCACCATTGACTCCACCAAGATGTCATTTCAGCGTCCTGCAGGCACCACATTGTTTGTTGCACCCATCAGCAGCAGCAATGCAGCATTCTTAGATGGCTCCACCAGTCCCTCTCTCTGAATATGCCTCTGCAGCGACCACTCTACCTCTGGACTTGGACCTATGGCACAGGAGACTCGCCCACCATCACTTAGCAGGTGTCAAGAAGCTTATTGATCATGACATGGTCACTGGACTCAAGCTAGATTCAAAGAAAATGCCAGATCCCATCTGTGAGCCATGCTTAGCTGGCAAGATGCATGCAAACCCATTCCCCTCATCTCAATGGCGTGCTACTCGACCTCTGGAGCTTGTCCACACCGATGTCCATAAGGTCCCCTACCCCAGCTTCTCTGGCTATCGCTATTGGGTCACGTTCATCGACGACTTCTCTCGATTTCGCTTTGTGCTCCCTATTAAAGCTAAGTCTGATGTCTTTGAGGCTTTCAAGACATTCAAGGCCTATGCTGAGAACCAGTCAGAGCGAAAGCTAAAGATCCTCAGAGATGACAAGGGAGGGGAGTACATGAGCAATGCCTTCATTGAATTCACCACCCAGTGCGGCATTGAGAGGCAGCACACATGTTCGTGCTAGACCACAGCAGAATGGGGTTGCTGAGAGAGCTAACAGAGTCCTCTCTGAGCGACTCACTGCTATGCTGGACGAGTCTGGGCTTCCCAAGGCCTTCTGGGGCGAGTGTCTTGCTGCTCTGGTCCATGTCTGGAACAGATGCCCTACCGAAGCTGTAGACAGCGCTACACCCTATGAGCTGTGGCATGGTAACAAGCCTGATGTCTCACATCTTCGAGTTTGGGGATGCACTGCCTATGTGCACATCCAGAGGGACAAGAGAGATGGACTTGGCTCCCACATGGAAAAGTGCGTCTTCATTGGCTACCCTGCTGGCTACAAGGGCTGGAAGTTCTACAACCCCACCTCCAAGAAGACAATCATCTGTGAAAGGGCTGACTTTGATGAAAGATACTTCCCTCTGTCCAAGCGCCCATCCAGTCCATCCATTCCAGCCCCCATCGCTCCAGCACCTCCTGTCGACGCTCCCCATCCTCCCAGACAGTCGAAGACTACCTCTGAGCCCCCAGCAGCGCCCTCCTATTACTATCCTCCTCATTCAGATGACTCTGACTCTGATTCTGACTCTGACTATGATGAGTCCAGTTCTGATGAGTCACTGGATCAAGGGGGAGATGTGGTCCCTCCAGCAGTTCCTGATGTCCCTCCTGTCGTCCCTGTTCCTGATCCAGTCACTCCTCCTCCTGCAGCTCGTCCCAATCCACCTCCTAGACCACCATCTCCCATAGGCATTGGTGCCAGACTCCCTCGACGCAATAGGCAACCTCCCAGAGACTGGTGGAAGCTCTCTCCAGCTCAGCTGACTGATGTTGTTGATGATGAGACTGAGGATGCTGACTTTGCTCAAGGATTTGAGCTTGCCTTGTCTACCAGCTCTTCCACCGAGCCATTGTCTTATAGGGAGGCATTGACTCGAGTTGATTCAGAGCAGTGGAACCAAGCAGCTCTTGAGGAACTCAATGCTCATCGAAGCAATGGAACTTGGAAACTTGTCCCTAGACCAGCTGGGATCAAGGTCATTGGCTCCAAGTGGATATTCAAGGTGAAGCGCAATGCTGATGGCTCTATTGAGCGCTACAAGGGCAGACTTGTTGCCAAGGGCTACAACCAGCGTCCTGGATTTGACTATGTCGAAATATTTGCTCCCACTGTGCGTATGCCCACCATTCGTGTTGTCCTTGCTATGGCTGCCATCCATGACCTCCACCTTCGCTCCATCGACATCTCACATGCCTATCTCAATGGGGAGATGGACTGTGACGTCTACATGGAACAACCTGAAGGCTTTGCTGAAGGTGATCCAAAGAAGATGGTCTGCTTGTTGCAGAAGAGCATCTATGGCACCAAGCAAGGTGGCAATCGCTGGAACAAGAAAATGCGCTCTGTTCTGGAGTCTATTGGATTCACCCAGTCCTACTCTGATGCCAGCATCTATATCTATGTCAAGGGTGAAGTCAGGATCATCTTGCCTGTCTTTGTTGATGACATGACCTTTGCATCGAAATCTGCTTCTGCAATTGATCAGATCATCAAGGACTTGTCTCAGCACTTCAAGCTTCGAGACTTGGGCCCTACCACCCAGCTTCTAGGCATCAAGATTGACAGGGATCGCTCCAAGCACTCCATCACCATCTCCCAGCAGCCAGTACTGCCTTGACATCCTTGATCGCTTCAGCATGGCTGATTGCAAGCCTGTCTCCACTCCCATGCAGCCCAATCTTCGACTCACTCGTGCTCAGTGTCCCCAGACTGCTGATGAGACTCAGGACATGCGATCCACTCCTTACCTTGAAGCTGTGGGTGCTCTGATGTATCTTGCCACCACCACTCGCCCAGACATTGCCTACACTGTTGGCTGCCTTGCTCGATTCAACTCCAACCCTGGCCCTGCCCATTGGCAAGCTGTCAAGCACCTGCTCCGCTATCTGAAAGGCACTGCAGACTACTCCATCACCTATGCTCCTGATCCCAATTCCATCGAACTCTTCTCCACATTCTCTGATGCTGATCATGGTGGATGCAAAGACACTGGTCGCTCCACTGGTGGCTACCTGGTCAAGATTGGCCTTGGTGCTGTCTCCTGGTCGTCGAAGCTTCAAAGCATTGTGGCCTTGTCCACCACTGAAGCTGAGTACATGGCTGCAGTTGAGGCAGGCAAGGAGATCCGCTGGATGCGAAATCTCTTGTTTGAGATGGGCTTCCCTGCCACTGCACCCTCTGTCCTTAGGATCGACAACCAGAGCGCCATCTCTGTGGCCAAGCACCCAGAGCACCATGGTCGGATGAAGCAGCTTGATCTCAGCTGGTATTGGCTTCGAGATGTGGTGCACAAGGAGATTATTGCACCAGTGTTTGTGCCCACTGCTGACCAGCCAGCTGACATCTTGACCAAGGCATTGGCTCGACCCAAGGTGCAGTTGTTCTGCCAGATGATGGGACTGAGTATGTTGAGGGGGAGCTGAGATGTGTAGAGGTGCACAATCAGGGGGGAGTGTTAGTTGTGGTGATTGAGCACCTTATGGTGCGAGTTATTTGTGTTATGATGTTGCTTCCTCTATTGGACTCTCACTTAGCATGTGATGTGAATTCCTTACTTACTTAGGCAGTGTTTACACTTGTTTACATAGACTCGCCCATAGGTAGCAAGTCCTGTGTTGGTTGCTCTTTAGCAACTGACACTGGACTATAGGTATAGTACACTCATTAGTTTATACAACACAATAGCAACTGACACTGGACTATAGTCCTGTTCACTCTCATTAGCTCACTTGTGGCTTGGTTCACTTGGTTATTCTAACAGCGAGTTATTTGTGTTATGATGTTGCTTCCTCTATTGGACTCTCACTTAGCATGTGATGTGAATTCCTTACTTACTTAGGCAGTGTTTACACTTGTTTACATAGACTCGCCCATAGGTAGCAAGTCCTGTGTTGGTTGCTCTTCAGCAACTGACACTGGACTATAGGTATAGTACACTCATTAGTTTATACAACACAATAGCAACTGACACTGGACTATAGTCCTGTTCACTCTCATTAGCTCACTTGTGGCTTGCTTCACTTGGTTATTCTAACAATACTTTGCTCCCCCGCTCCATGGAGGCAAAATGCACCTCTAACAATTCTATCACAATCATGCGGCTCCCTCGTAATTGGTACAATGACATGTTAGTTGTGGTGATTGAGCACCTTATGGTGCGAGTTATTTGTGTTATGATGTTGCTTCCTCTATTGGACTCTCACTTAGCATGTGATGTGAAATCCATTACTTACTTAGGCAGTGTTTACACTTGTTTACATAGACTCGTCCATAGGTAGCAAGTCCTGTGTTGGTTGCTCTTCAGCAACTGACACTGGACTATAGGTATAGTACACTCATTAGTTTACACAACACAATAGCAACTGACACTGGACTATAGTCCTGTTCACTCTCATTAGCTCACTTGTGGCTTGCTTCACTTGGTTATTCTAACATGACATTTGGTACAAAGACAATTCAAGCAGTGCTTGGGCATTTATTGACACTCACAAGGACTTTGAAGTACCGTGCTTGGTTTGTAGTTGCATCTTTGAATTTAAGGTTTACTGACCACTTGGTAGGATGTTTATCATTGTGCCAATGTCTATCGATGAAACCCATGATATGCACAGGGAGAGTTACTTATCAGACACAGTAAATACTCGTATGTTGCACAATTGCAGCGCAACTTTTATCTGCTTTGTTCAAATCGTGATTCAATATATAGTTCTCACCATCTCAATCAAACACCCCTATTTTCTCAAGTTCCTTGGTTGAGACTCTCAGCAATGGAGATACCCAAAACTTTTATGAGTGGTATTCCACCCCAGTGGACCTTTTAGTGGGGTACTCAGAGGGCCCCACGAGTACATATCTTCACCATATTCATAATTTGTAAACACATTTGTCACATCAGCAAATAATGATTATTTTTAGATTTATTTTTGAGCTTATTGTGGAGGCAGACCTGAAGTCTGATATGTAATTTGATGTTAAGTCTTCCCTTGGAAATGTCACCCTTCTCATCTGCTCATTGTTGTGTCAGGTACATCGCTAGTGCCAGTTTTAGTAGCGGCTCTTCTCATCTGCTTGTCATTGTGTCAGTGTTTAGCATTTCAACTACTAATCATATCATCGAAACCAGTTTCTCACCAATGACTGATAATGCTGGAGAATCATCGCAAACTCATTGCTCCTTGCCAGGAAGCGACCACCATTCCAACAGATCTCAATCCTTTAATTCAGAAGTCATTGAACAATGTATCAAATCTGTTGTTAACTACTGAAAGCAACAAATTTCCAAGGGAGAGGCAATTCTCTGGATTCATTGAGAACTTGCAGTTGCCGCCGAGAATGAAGATAGTCCAACCTTTAAATCAGGATTCAATCACTATCTTGAACTCCTTGACAATGCATGAAGTGTTAGAATAACCAAGTGAAGCAAGCCACAAGTGAGCTAATGAGAGTGAACAGGACTATAGTCCAGTGTCAGTTGCTATTGTGTTGTGTAAACTAATGAGTGTACTATACCTATAGTCCAGTGTCAGTTGCTGAAGAGCAACCAACACAGGACTTGCTACCTATGGGCGAGTCTATGTAAACAAGTGTAAACACTGCCTAAGTAAGTAAGGAATTCACATCACATGCTAAGTGAGAGTCCAATAGAGGAAGCAACATCATAACACAAATAACTCGCACCATAAGGTGCTCAATCACCACAACTAACATGAAGAGATGATGAAATTGAGGAGAACACCCAACAACTTGGAAAGATACATTTGGAACATGGTGACAAAATCTCTGAAAAGGGGTCAAGATCTCAGTGGAGTGTTTGAAGAGGGATTGTCAGTTCAACAGAGACAGAGGATGATGAGAACTCAGACATTGAATCTGGAGAGGAGTTCGTGCAGCAGAGGAAGAGAAGAAAGGAATCCAGCGACCAATTCAACCTCTACCCCTGGCTCAATCCTGACAAGTTCCGACACTGTCACCAGGCAAGAGTCTCAAACTCACCCTTGAGTGTTATGAGGAATGGTTGGAAGACCCAAAGTTCTATCACACCAAAGTCACAACTACCCCGGGATGTCCAAGCCTACCATCATTGCAATGGCTCCTACTCCTCGAAGGGTGAGCACTTGACCTTGACAAAGTCTTCTCAGGTCATTACTCAACCACCATTGATTCCAAGCAAACCCAAGTACTTGGGAGTGGATTTGAACTCACTCTATCCCAACTGGCAAGTACTCAAAGTGTCAAAACCTTTGGAGATTGGAGTATTGCCCCTGATCTCTGGAGCGAAGCCCTTGTTTTCATTATGCCCTGGAGGGAGTGAGAACTCAGGGAATTTTGCAAGTTCATGTCAGACATTTTTGGGACTATCCATTACTCAGCCCACAAGCGAGTTCTCAACTTTGATTGAGCCATTTGTCTCCTCATTGAACAGCAGAAGTTCTTGCATTTCGACAGCTTCAGGCGCTTCAAGGGGTTCCAAGCTAGTCACCTCTCATCCTTTGGGATGGTTGCCATCAACCAGCTCTCTAAGTCAGGAGCTGGTGCATCCAAACGAGCTGGAAGGTCTCAAGGTGGATCTAAATGGCCCAGCGGAAACTCTAGGTTTGGTGAACTCTGCCATAAATGGAACAGAGGTCAATGTGAAAAAGAGGTGAGAGAGTGTCTCTACTACTATGTCTGCAACAGGGGAAATTGTAAAGGGGTGCATAGGTGAGCAGAGTGTCCATTGGCAAGAGGAACTCAATGAGTGTATCACTAAGGGGGAGCGGTTTAGGCGATGGATGGTGTGGGGAGAGAACTCACCTGTTTTCAGTCATACTGCTGTTTGGATCGAAACTGCACAACCCTGACTGCGTCCGCCTCAAAGGGAATATGAAAACGAACAGGTTTTGCACACTATCACCACTCATTCTGATTAGTTCCAAGTTTCTACTCTGATTCATGTTGATGTGTTTGAATCTTTGCTTATCTCTTCGGGTCACCCTAATTTGCCTTTTTATCAGTCGGTCTGTACAGGATTATGAGAGGGCTTCTGGCCCTGGGCAGACACACATTACGGAACTTATCTGACTACTTTGGAAGTTCGTATGCCAGTGCTGAAGTCGCACAAGGAATTCTCTTTCCTTCATGATCAGATCTTAAATGTTAGGTACCGTGCCGACTCAGGAAGCAGAGGGGTCGGGGCTTGGCTTCAGCTCTTGCACTGCACCCTTAGCTGAGTATGTGCCCCGAATTTGGAGCGGGTCTGATGTTGTCCAACGATAGAACAAGTGGTCCGCTTAGGTCCACTTTGAGGGTTGGGGGGTAAGAGCTACTAGTGGCGGACCAACTAGGAGTGGAGCAGAGAAGATGGAGGATAATGGGGAGGGTGGAGAGGAGCAGGGGGAATACTTGATAGGAGTGGAGAAGGCAGAGGATAATGTGGAGAAGTAAAGAGAAGACTTAGAGCACGGCTCTAAGTCAGAGCGGAGGGTCGGAGGTGACAACAAGTTGAGACTTGTGTCCAGAGGAGGCAAGGTCCTACTGAGAATTCTCACAAGTAGTAACTGTTAGTTGTGGTGATTGAACACCTTATGGTGCGAGTTATTTGCCTTATATCATAACCTATTGCTCCAGACTTGTCTGTATTGCCAGACTTTACTTACTTACCTTATTAAGCTGTGTTTACATATGTTTACATATCGTCGACTGTAGGTAGTGAGTCTAGTGGTCAGTTGTTCCTCAGCAACTGACACTGGACTCTAGGTAAAGTCACTTCATAGTTTACACAATATATTAGCAACTGACACTGGACTATAGTCCTGTTCACTCTCATTAGCTCACTTGTGGCTTGGTTCACTTGGTTATTCTAACATAATGTCATTGCCAATCATCTTTCTCATAATAGGTGCCGGGAGGCCCTGAAGTGTAATGAATGCCATCCAGAATGGGTTACAGCCCCAAGCCCACTCAGGCGCTCTAACATCCCAAATGGTGTCAACCAGCCAACTTTCTACCTGCCTGGTGAGCACAGACCAGCTGGCCTCACACAAGGGATTGAAAGACAGCGGAAGTGGCAAGAAGGGTATCTACATGAATGTAAGGTTCAATGTGTGTCAGTGCTATGCACCCTTTGAGACTTACCATGAGCTGTGGGAAAGACTGCGACTTGACATTTGAAACCAATTCTATCCAGGAAATATGGCAAATTACGGGCATCACCTGCCCTCCAAATTCACGTGGTAGTTGAATTGTGACCTGTAGTGGCTAGTAGACAGGGTGAAGGGTGTCAAGGAATTTGAATAAAAAGAGTACTTACAATGGTACTAAAATTCAACAGTGCTGACTGCGCTGTACTTCCTTGGAAAGATATGGAGAGAGAAATAGGCATGAAGCTAATGCCTTCATTGGCTGGGAGAGGCGAGGCATGGATGATACTGGTGACAACAGACATGTGTCCATGTGGTAAGAGTTGTTCAATTGTGTTCCAAGTCGTGTTGATTGAAGATAAGGTAATATTCCCATGGATGATGGTCATTGAAGCTTGAAGGCCCCTGTGATCAATCAAGCCCAATCAAACATGTTTGCAGCATGTCACCTGTTTTTTTAACTCTGGCCTTTGCTTCATGTGCTCTGAAACATACCATGGCCAGGACAGGTTGTCAGCAGTCAATTCCCCTTGATCCCCAAGGTATGTATTCTTTTTATGCCAGTAACAGACTTACAGTGATATTCTTCAGTATTTTCATTGCAGGTGGACGTGTGGTATGATGTAGATAGTGCATATGTCATGTGAGAAATGACTAATCGTGCTGCAGAGGATCGCATCAACAATCAACTATGCATGGATGATTCCACATACCCATGGCCATCGAAAGCGGTATGTTTCATTTCATTTTTATCTACCAATGAATTTACAGAACCCTGCTAGACCTTTATCACAGACCTCCTCTTTGGTTCAATGCACCTACGATTTTCAGAGGCACAGAAAAAAGCTGTGCTTAGTTGGGCACATGAAATGGGCACTCAAAATGTGCCTACCTTGTATGCACTTCGCAAAGCTCAAGATCATGTCCATAGTTGCATCGGAAATCCAACTTGCAAGGTTACAGCATCTTCCAGTAACATCTTTTATATAAACTCAATCGACTCTGCAATCACTAAGGTACATGCATTTGCTTTAGTGTTGACCCTGATTGATCTGCCTCACCAGGACTATTCCAATCCTCTCACTTGCTTCTGCATGCATGACTATCCTGAAGATGGGAGAGGGAATATGTCTCAAGTGCACCATGGATCGAAGATGCTGCATGAGCTTCCTGAAGAACTACTTGTCCCATCTGTTTGCATCAACAACAACATCTACTTCCAGAATGAGCTGCTTCAGTCGACAACCAGATTTTTTATTGCTACACATTTCTTTCAAGGCAATATTTCTAGTCACAATGCTGAGCGATTATCATTGCAGGTCCTTGCATTGGGACATCCAGTTGTATGGACAGAGGTACAATCACCATCTGAGTCTAAATTCCAACATCTTATCCCTTCCCGGGCAGGCTTTGCAGTAGATCCTGAGCGCATCATATTGGAAGTTTCATCATTTAAGCGGACCTACATAGACTTGCAGACCAATGTGCATTTGTGCAGGTTTACATGTAGGTAACTTCTACTTTTGTTTAGGTGACTACTCATAGGTTTCTAGCGACATCACAGTCCTTTGCTGCAGAAATGCCCAACCCCCTGCACGAAAAGTCAAATGGTTGACTCATCCTCACCGTTCCCCTCATAATCTTCATGGACAATGTCTCTGGGAATGTGTTGAAGCAATGGAACAAAATCACACAGTGTACATGTCTAATGCCTCCATACTGCATGAGATGCTTGAAAAGGAATTCTGTGTTCGTTTTGTGTCATCCTTGCCGCATGCTTCACCCATGGAGATCATCAAAGGCGGCAAAGAGTCAATCAGGTTTGTTTCTTTCAATTTCTTCAGTCAATTTGTCATGTTGATGTGTCCGTCAGGGCTGCCGTGGATGAGGGCATTGTTGTGTATGACTGCAAATACAGAGATGAGGTGATGCTAATCCCTTATGGTCTATTCGAAGCTGGAGATAACCCCATGCAGGTGGAAGAGTGTAGCAACGGCACTTTACACTGCAATTACTTCTGTCGCACATGCAAAGTAGGAGGGACGATGTCTATGAAATAGTCTGATGGAGGGTATCTTAAACTATTTGAGACAAACCTTTGTATTTGCTGGTGATCAATTTTTTGAAGCGGTGCATCAGATTGGAGAGCTTCATCAACCAGAAGAAACAATTCAGCAGATTCTCGAGCAGATTGAGCTTTTGAAGTTGTCTGGTGGGACTACAAATGTCCAGAATGCTGTCTTGTCGACTGGCACCCGTGACACTACCTCCACATCAATTGTGAACCACCTCCTGGAACTCAGGAAGTGTCTGCAGAAATGAGAACCTGGGAAACCAGCAACCAATGAATGAGAAGTCTGACAGACATTGGAGAGGGAGTTCAAGGAAATGCTGGGAGGTCTCTCTGTGGAAGATCATATCAACCCTTTGCTTAGCATGACAGGCCTCAACATCCATCAAGACACGCCAACAGAGATTCTCCATACCATTCTCCTTGGTGTCGTGAAGTACTTTTGGGGTCAGACTTTCTGGATCCTCGACAAAGTGCTGTTAGTTGTGGTGATTGAGCACCTTATGGTGCGAGTTATTTGTGTTATGATGTTGCTTCCTCTATTGGACTCTCACTTAGCATGTGATGTGAATTCCTTACTTACTTAGGCAGTGTTTACACTTGTTTACATAGACTCGCCCATAGGTAGCAAGTCCTGTGTTGGTTGCTCTTCAGCAACTGACACTGGACTATAGGTATAGTACACTCATTAGTTTACACAACACAATAGCAACTGACACTGGACTATAGTCCTGTTCACTCTCATTAGCTCACTTGTGGCTTGCTTCACTTGGTTATTCTAACAAGTGCACCTTGTCAAGATATTCCAAACCAGATTGGACAATATCAACAAAGACGGCCTTAATTCACCCACTCTTGGCACAGAGTATATCTGTTGGTACAGTGTTAGCCTGATCGGCAAACACTTCAAGAGTCTCACTCAGCTCATGCCTTTTCTTATATATGATCTTGTTCCATCTACTGTCCTGAATGGATGGACCGTCATTGGACAGCTGGTGGTCTTGCTGTGGCATATGAGAATTGATGATGTCGACAAATATCTGGTATGCTACCTTCCCCAACCCATTTTTGCGATACCAGGCTCGTCTTACATGCACTATTGACGATTTCCTCAATATCTCAGTTCAGTGTGCACCTAGCATTATCCTCACCAAATCAAAATTTCATTTTTTACTCCATATTCCGGCCTGTATCTGAAGGTTTAGGCCACCTATCTCGTTCTCAACTGAACACTTTGAGTCCTTCAACCATGTCTTCCAACTCAGCTGTGTTCATAGCAACCATCAAGCTCTGAGTCGCGACTCATGCAATGTGTTTGCATATAATGATAAGCATGTCACTACTGGGGGTTTTTGGATGGAGTCAAAAAGCAAGCAGTGGGTGCACACTGCTTCAGGTGCCCTCAACTATATTGCCAATCACCCAGAGCAATGCTTGGGTGTTCCCACAGTGCACGAGAATCATCCAGGTGAGTTTGTCGCAACATGTCCGTTCTTAATTCTAATGAATTTTTGAGGCATGGCAACAGTTCCAACTTCATCAAAGACCTCGCCTGTGCCATGGACATCAACACACTCGAGCATGCTCCAGCCAGACACAAAGTTAAACAATGCTGTATTTCAAACGTCTTCAGTCATTGCTGTGAATGGGGACAAGGTCACCATTGAAAAATATGCAATTTTGCATGGCAATGGACAGACTCACGAATGGTTCATAAGCATGCTGCTCATCAACAGCAGAGAGTGTGCTGCTGAATACGCCAGGAGTGAAGGCTGAAGTGAAGGTCAAAGTGTCATAATTGGGTATCTGTGAAGTTGGCAGGAACTCCTGGAGAAATTCCCCAGCTGGCATCGGGCCAACAACATGACCTTTCATCTCATAGCCCATGGCATTGAGAGTTTCGAGCCGGCATTGTGTATGAGTTGTGTAGGGCAACATTGTGGAACTACCAAATTTAAAGGGAGTGTCAAAGATAGAGGGATCTAGGGATGATGCAGGAGAAGGCAGAGGCCCTACTGGTCGTGCAGCAGGGGTGTCGGTCCCATCACCAGGTACCTCTATGATGTCAGGCACAAGGAGCATGATATTTGTAGATACAGTATTACAACTATAGTACAGTGAAATTGATATATAGAATGATGTAACAGTGGGTGGGGAAACCGGACTGTATGTCCCGAATTAGATGAGGGAAGAAAAGAGACAAAACTAGTCATCATTCGAGCTTATATAGTGAATGACTCGGTCAGTCAGATGTTCCCGAAATTGGGTGCAGGCACTGAAGTCTGATAGGCAAATGCCAGTGAGCTGGACTCTAAAGTTAGCACCAGTGGGAAGCATGCTTCAAGGACCTGATCATGAGGGACAATGACGATCACCTACAAAGAAACACTTTTCATAATAACACTAGTATAACCATAATGAGTCTGACTCCCAAGAACACGTCATGATCACGCCTGTTCTTCAAGCTTCAGGTCAGAATGACTTTAACAACAAGACACTACTTACTACGGAACACGATAATTTCACACCTTGACTATTGTCGCATCGTTATCGCTAACACATGAGTGACAAAAGATCAGAAGTAAGGAACAAGGTTTCAATGCTTAAGTAGTGAATGACAGATTTAGACTCCGCCAGAGACACCCGAAGTGATTACAATCTTGCACCTCAGGTGTGATATAATGCACGCGAACGTGTCAAAGGCCTTACTGACATTCTGAGCCAGGTTGCCTGCTCAGCCTCCATCCACCACCTCAAGTCTCTTCCAGAGGTACCATACCCTTGTCCGTCTTTCTGTCCTTCAAAAAGCTACTTAACCCTAATGCAAAATGACAAATGTCACCCAAGAACCTACTAGACATTGGTATGGTAGAATTTTTCGTACATAATTGGCTGGTCAAGGTCTGCGCTGGATTGGACAGATTCACCTGAAGTATTGAATCTGACAAGGCATCATTACTACGGTACGTGTTAATTTTCAAATGTTCCTATCCACTACTCAGTGACTTGGATGGGTAGGACACTAAAGGAATCCGCATCTTCATTTCCCCCTGAATTTGTCTCTTACCACATTCTCCCATGCCTTGCCTCAGCAGCAACCATCGTTCCTCTCGTCCTCCCATTTAGAAAGAACATCGCACCCAATGACTTGTTAGAATAACCAAGTGAACCAAGCCACAAGTGAGCTAATGAGAGTGAACAGGACTATAGTCCAGTGTCAGTTGCTATTGTGTTGTATAAACTAATGAGTGTACTATACCTATAGTCCAGTGTCAGTTGCTGAAGAGCAACCAACACAGGACTTGCTACCTATGGGCGAGTCTATGTAAACAAGTGTAAACACTGCCTAAGTAAGTAATGGATTCACATCACATGCTAAGTGAGAGTCCGATAGAGGAAGCAACATCATAACACAAATAACTCGCACCATAAGGTGCTCAATCACCACAACTAACACTCCCCCCTGATTGTGCACCTCTACACATCTCAGCTCCCCCTCAAGCTACTCAGTCCCATCATCTGGCAGAACAACTGCACCTTGGGTCGAGCCAATGCCTTGGTCAGGATGTCAGCTGGCTGGTCAGCAGTGGGCACAAACACTGGTGCAATAATCTCCTTGTGCACCACATCTCGAAGCCAATACCAGCTGAGATCAAGCTGCTTCATCCGACCATGGTGCTCTGGGTGCTTGGCCACAGAGATGGCGCTCTGGTTGTCGATCCTAAGGACAGAGGGTGCAGTGGCAGGGAAGCCCATCTCAAACAAGAGATTTCGCATCCAGCGGATCTCCTTGCCTGCCTCAACTGCAGCCATGTACTCAGCTTCAGTGGTGGACAAGGCCACAATGCTTTGAAGCTTCGACGACCAGGAGACAGCACCAAGGCCAATCTTGACCAGGTAGCCACCAGTGGAGCGACCAGTGTCTTTGCATCCACCATGATCAGCATCAGAGAATGTGGAGAAGAGTTCGATGGAATTGGGATCAGGAGCATAGGTGATGGAGTAGTCTGCAGTGCCCTTCAGATAGCGAAGCAGGTGCTTGACAGCTTGCCAATGGGCAGGGCCAGGGTTGGAGTTGAATCGAGCTAAAGCAGCCAACAGCGTAGGCAATGTCTGGTCTGGTGGTGGTGGCAAGATACATCAGAGCACCCACAGCTTCAAGGTAAGGAGTGGATCGCATGTCCTGAGTCTCATCAGCAGTCTGGGGACACTGAGCACGAGTGAGTCGAAGATTGGGCTGCATGGGAGTGGAGACAGGCTTGCAATCAGCCATGCTGAAGCGATCAAGGATGTCAAGGCAGTACTGGCTGCTGGGAGATGGTGATGGAGTGCTTGGAGCGATCCCTGTCAATCTTGATGCCTAGAAGCTGGGTGGTAGGGCCTAAGTCTCGAAGCTTGAAGTGCTGAGACAAGTCCTTGATGATCTGATCAATTGCAGAAGCGGACTTCGATGCAAAGGTCATGTCATCAACAAAGACAGGCAAGATGATCCTGACTTCACCCTTGACATAGATATAGATGCTGGCATCAGAGTAGGACTGGGTGAATCCAATGGACTCCGAGAACAGAGCGCATTTTCTTGTTCCAGCGATTGCCACCTTGCTTGGTTCCATAGATGCTCTTCTGAAGAAGGCAGACCATCTTCTTTGGATCACCTTCAGCAAAGCCTTCAGGTTGTTCCATGTAGACGTCACAGTCCATCTCCCCATTGAGGTAGGCATGCGAGATGTCGATGGAGCGAAGGTGGAGGTCATGGATGGCAGCCATAGCAAGGACAACACGAATGGTGGGCATACGCACAGTTGGAGCAAATATTCGACATAGTCAAAGCCCGGACGCTGGTTGTAGCCCTTGGCAACAAGTCTGCCCTTGTAGCGCTCAATGGAGCCATCAGCATTGCGCTTCACCTTGAATATCCACTTGGAGCCAATGACCTGTTAGTTTGTTGGTGATTGAGCACCTTATGGTGCGAGTTATTTGTGTTATGATGTTGCTTCCTCTATTGGACTCTCACTTAGCATGTGATGTGAATTCCTTACTTACTTAGGCAGTGTTTACACTTGTTTACATAGACTCGCCCATAGGTAGCAAGTCCTGTGTTGGTTGCTCTTCAGCAACTGACACTGGACTATAGGTATAGTACACTCATTAGTTTATACAACACAATAGCAACTGACACTGGACTATAGTCCTGTTAACTCTCATCAGCTCACTTGTGGCTTGGTTCACTTGGTTATTCTAACAGGTTATGAGCCCTGCACTTTAAGGACCTCAAGTCATTCATTCCTCATCCAACTACTGCTCCACTCCTTCCCTTGTGTATTCCATCGCATTCTACGCCCCAGGAAACCCTTATCTTTGTGTCTGAGCACCATTTGGACTGTTGGAACACCCATTGTGTTGCTTTTGAGTAGTTCAACCAAGTGGCTTTGTTGAAATTTTCCATAGCCCCTTTTGGTCATCTACCCCCTGTTGCTCCCTGTCCTATCCATTGCTTTCCTGAACGTCCTGCATCATCCTAGACCGTCCTACTTGCCACCCAATCCCTTGCTATGTCGCCCATGACTATTACTCAACTCAGCTCTTCCAACTATCTTATCTGGAGATCAGAGATGGAGTCTTACCTGCGCTCCAAGGGCTTGTGGCTGCTTGTCAGTGGCTCTGAGAAGCGTCCTGCAGACTCACAGCCTGAGGCACAGGCTCTATGGGACCTTAAGGCTGACCAAGCTGCTGGGGAACTCTATCTGGCTTGCCCATTGGAGATGAGGTCCCAGATTGATGCTATTGAAGATCATCCTGTGCTTATCTGGTCTACCCTTGCCTCCCTGTACTCTAGACAGCGTCGTAGCAGGAGGAACAAGACCAAGAAGCTCTCCAGGAAGACTCAGAGTCTCACAGGCCCCACTGTATCGCCCTCTCCCACTTCCTTTCCTATTCCTATCAACTCTACTATCATTGAGTTTGCTGGCACTGCTTGTCTTCGCTCTTTTGACCCTTCAAGCACCATCTGTCCCCTTCAACTTGATGCTACTGTCGACTGGAATGCAGACACAGGTGCCACATCCCACATGACCCCTCATCGTCACTGGCTTCGCAATTACACTCCCAATCGCATCCCTATCAAGCTAGCTGACAACACCTTTGTCTACTCTGCTGGTGTTGGCACTGTGGTCTTCAACCCAGTCATTGATGGCAAGAGCGTTAGACCTGTCGAGTTTTCAAAAGTCTTGCATGTCCCTGACCTTCGCAACAACCTGCTCTCTGTCCTCTACCTCACTTGGCCACAGTGGCTTCCATGTCACCATTGACTCCACCAAGATGTCATTTCAGCGTCCTGCAGGCACCACATTGTTTGTTGCACCCATCAGCAGCAGCAATGCAGCATTCTTAGATGGCTCCACCGTCCCTCTCTCTGAATATGCCTCTGCAGCGACCACTCTACCTCTGGACTTGGACCTATGGCACAGGAGACTCGCCCACCATCACTTAGCAGGTGTCAAGAAGCTTATTGATCATGACATGGTCACTGGACTCAAGCTAGATTCAAAGAAAATGCCAGATCCCATCTGTGAGCCATGCTTAGCTGGCAAGATGCATGCAAACCCATTCCCCTCATCTCAATGGCGTGCTACTCGACCTCTGGAGCTTGTCCACACCGATGTCCATAAGGTCCCCTACCCCAGCTTCTCTGGCTATCGCTATTGGGTCACGTTCATCGACGACTTCTCTCGATTTCGCTTTGTGCTCCCTATTAAAGCCAAGTCTGATGTCTTTGAGGCTTTCAAGACATTCAAGGCCTATGCTGAGAACCAGTCAGAGCGAAAGCTCAAGATCCTCAGAGATGACAAGGGAGGGGAGTACATGAGCAATGCCTTCATTGAATTCACCACCCAGTGTGGCATTGAGAGGCAGCACACAGTTCGTGCTAGACCACAGCAGAATGGGGTTGCTGAGAGAGCTAACAGAGTCCTCTCTGAGCGACTCACTGCTATGCTGGACGAGTCTGGGCTTCCCAAGGCCTTCTGGGGCGAGTGTCTTGCTGCTCTGGTCCATGTCTGGAACAGATGCCCTACCGAAGCTGT